GTAGCCATTATAGCTGCGACGGTTATACAGAGTCAAAGTAGGCTACATCAATGGTAGCTATTTGTATGATCTACTCAAACGAGGCACAAAAAAGACAAGAAGTACGTAAAATTCCTAATAGGAAGTATGTAAAATTTTATAGTACGAATATACAGCGTCAGAACCGATATACGTATTTGAGTGGCTAAGTACGTAAAATCTTGGAGGCTAAGTACGTAAAAATCCAAAAAAGGAAGGTGAAGTACGTAAAAATTTACAGTACCCTAGAATCATCTAGGATAGAAAGCAAGAAGCCACCATAAAGCACAAGTACCTTGAATAAGTGCGTGATTTTATTGTTGCTCCTGCTGCATGTCTTTTTTTTTCTTTTCCTCTATGCAATATCTACAGTACTAACCACTAATATAAAAACGAGGAAAAAGAAAAAGAATATATCCGAATATCGCCACTATGTGTCAATGCTTTATTTAGATTTTCATTTTCTGAATCGAACTTTGCCAAGAGGCTGAGTCAGATCCACTAGTACAGTTACAGACAAAGAGCGCTGATAGTTCTTGGTCGTAGACAATTACGCTTAAAGTTGCACAGCATCAACAATGGCAAAAAACCATAATTATATGATGGTCATTGAAAAACGTTGTTTTCTAGAGTGCTGCTGTGTGCTTCAATATGATATAAGGAAACAAAGATCTTCATATTATATTGCGAAGCACGGAGGCACATTTAAAACAGAATGAAGAACGGTCTGGTGGTTTTTATTACTATAAATGCAATATCATTTGAACCAGCGTCATATAGATGAGGGGCATACAAATAATTCATAACAGGTTCTAAAAAATATCGTTTTCCCTTTTTTCTTCGTTGTGGTTCTCATCTTACTTTTACAGTTATCGCTTTTTATGGCAACTATGGTATATTTAATGAATCTCTGTAGAGCTTATGTGAAGCTCACAAGCCATCTAGATTTGCCCCTTTGATCAACGTTTGCTTAGATGTCGTGAAAGAATAATATATACACGTGGTTCGAAAAGATGAAACGATTTATTCTTCAAGTGCTTTATATACAATAATAACGCGGGATCTGCCATTCTATTATGTTGTCAATAGCAAAAGAAACATTTCATATGAGAGATTTTATTATTAAAGGTGATAGATACACATTATGCAACCTGAGAAAGGACGTTTTTATGTTCAACAAATAACATCAATAACATAACCATCCAGATCCATTACATTCACAGCAAGATCAACCGAGCCCATCGGAGATACATATGAATTACCTCCTTGAAAACATCTCGGATACATATGAGATTGTGTTTTGATGAAGCAACCACGTGGTGATTGTCGTAAGCTTTTGAGACTTCAAAAACGGAATTGTGGTATGGACCTCCTGGATGTCCTGTAATGAGACTGGCGCACGCTTAGGATCAGGGTCGTCAAGCGATGCTTGTTATTAAATTGGCATGATAATTGACGCTGGCGCTTCTCCTTTGTTAGCTCCATCTGTCTGCAGTACTCATAGACCACCTGGTTGTTCGTAACTGCAGCTGGACGAACTCATGTCATTGTGATGTTACGTTTATAGGGTTGTAGCCGAGATCGGCAAGTTTGATGCATGATTCGTGATTGTATGGAAAAAGACGTGCAAATTAAGTCGTTGTATTTGTTGGCATGGTTGCAGCAAGCTTCTTAGATATCGGTGCCAATCACACACCGTGCCTTAGAGCCAAATTGAAGAGTGAATGATCGCTATCTAGCTCTGAAAATGCTGTGATGATAGTCGAATATACGTCAAACTGACTACACTGCTGCATGTCGAAAAAATATTTCTGTCACTGTTATGTACTGCATTTTAAAACATTTAGCGGAATGAGAGTCTTGGTCTATGTAAAGCTCTTGGTAGCAAGGAAGCATTTTGTCGCATGGCCCAAGATGTTTTTACTGTATATTTGTGGTAGCCATAAATGTGCAAGTTAGTTTTTTGGGGGATGTAGTAATATCTTTTAGCTCACGCTGCTTGATGATATATTGCGGCGATAAGAAGAAACAGTCGGCTGTTCCTTTGTCCAGTTATTGTACTTCAAAAATTACATGCATCGATGAGTGATCTTGTGCTAAACATTGTTAACAGATTCCTCTCGTGGGCAATTTAATGCAGGGTCATTCGTTTACAGACAATGCGAAATGCTAACGCGTCAGTCGTTGTGTGTAACAAAGTACCATAAAAACACACCACGACAGCGGCTCGCGCAGTAACAACATGTACATTCTGTTGTATATCTTTCCAAGCTGCTCTAAAACTTATGACGTTCGGTAGAGTACAAGTAAATTGCGTTGCTTTAGGTGCACCACGCTCGAATCAATTAACGACAAGTGTTACACATATAATGCTGTGCTACAAAGATCTGGGGGACACATCATCATCGCGACCTCACACATCACAGATAAATAGCACATGCAGACTATGTTATCCAATAATGATTACGAGTCTTGTGTACACTACATTAGTCAATATGTAACAGCAGCTACAGTATTCCTCCTCGGTACTACGCGTACAGGTTATAAATACTAGCTACACTCGCTATAATTGATATCGTGTACATCGTTCAAGAAAGTAAAAATTTCTTAAAGGGATCCTTTTTGCTGGGCTGTCAAGTCGAGCTCGTTTACACCTACGTTGCCCGGATATGTACTGTCACTTCATCCACCTGCATTTTTTGCGATGGTATGGATACAAATGAACATTCCTTGTGGTCTTGCCCGAACAAAGCGCCTGCTGAACTATTCTCATGTACAATCCGTGTGGCCAGCTAACCCACAGCCAAAACCTGCTTGCACAACCCTTGCTCTGTGGAACGCACACTGGCAACATATTTTTCATCAAAAGCCATTTTGGCCTCAAGGTGTTGCTGCTGCTCGCGCAATCCGAATGCTCCATCATCTGCAACAAGAAAACCGCACAATAGCGTAGTTCGCATTTTCTCTCCTTTGCCTTCGTTTACATCATATATTTTCTTCTCTGCGATGCCCGCCCTTGGCGGCATCTGAATAAACTCTTCATACACGAAAAAACGAAGACATCCAAATGTGTTTGTAAAACTTGCGACAAGTTCTTCGAGACATCTAGGCAAACCACACAAGAAATCGTCATTCCTCAGCAGTGGAAGTAAAATACAGCAATGATCAAGGTTTGTCTTTTTCTTGTCCACATAAGAAGCATCGCTCTAAACATTGCCGCCCACGTGTGGAATACTTTGCTGTTACAGCTGCATAATAAATCAACAATGACGTGTGTGATGTACTCTCTCATAGTTCATGACTGTTGATAAGTGGACAAGCACATGATACGCATGGACTCCGTCACGATCATTTCCTACCTGTTGATATATACAGCTGCACTGCTTACAACTGCTCTTTCAATTTAGAACGCCATAAAAAACCTGCTTTTTCGTTTCACTTCACTAATTGTTGCCGTGACAATGACATCCAAATATATTTGTGAATTTTGCGACACGCACTTCGAAACGTCTTGGCAATTAGCAAACCACAGGAGAAATGGGCATTCTCCAACAGTCGAAGTGAATTACAGCAATGATCAAGGTTTGTCTTTTTCTTTGTGCATATGAAAAGCATCATTCATTCGTTCACACTTGACTTAGGGGAAACCATTGCGATGGTACTGGAACGCGACATAGCTACCGGCGAGTTCGTTTGCACTATTTACAAAAAATCTATGACAACCGGCTCTACTGTACGATCGCACTTCAAAAGACATCGTGGCAACTACTCAGCAACAGCAAGCAGTAAGAGCGACTCGATAGGGTGTTAATCCCTATCTGTAAATCAAAAAAGGTTTTATTAATTAAATGTATATCATTGTTTAAACATATGTAGGAAAAAATAAAAAATTAGATTATAATTTTTTTATTTTTGAAACACTTAAGGTATTTCTTTTTTATTTTTTTTTAATTCTTTAAACAGTTTAAGTTTTGTATTAATCTGTTTAAACCCTTTATGTTGTAATATCCCTTTATGTTTAATTTAATACTTATAGTGGCGGAACAGTAGTGAGCAAGTCCCTTCTCTAGCCGAGGAATACCTGGATGAAGGTAGCTTGACAGTGAAATCCTTAACTAAAATTAATTGTTATGGATTGATACTCATAATCGATATTACATGTCATAACTGTAATCCACATTACACATCATAACTGCTTTCTTCTACATATTTATGGTGCATTTCATCTGTAATCGCCAATAATTTCTTCCAAATTTGAGATCTATCTACTTTACCCTAAGTCATTATATTTCAAATCTATACTTTAATAAACACTTTTAGGCATGTAAAGAATAGTTATTGAAGTTTAGAAGTTGCAAAAAAAGTTTTAAAAAAAAGTTGATAGCTGTCAAAGATGGTTGGTCAAAGGCAATTTTCAGATATTTAGCAGGGAAGAATGCGATTTGAAACATGTTGCACAAGCGCGTCAGGGTTTTTACGGTCCCGTGTGAATAGCTATCAGCCAATTATGTTCGAGATTTGCTTTCCCTCACTCTCTATACTGTTTTACCATGGCTCCCCAAAGTAAGCACCAAAAGGCTGCTAAGAAAAAGCAATGTAATGATAATGGTCGTATTACCGTCACTGGAACCACATTGAACGAGGCAATTCAAACAACAATAGAAGAGGAGACAATCCCTTATGATTGGGAGATTGTTTAGGCATATTTGTAGGATATACCCAGAAAAGAAGCACTGGGATTAGTTAAAAGTTTTCTTCAAGAGAGTATACTTCACATCACAGAATTGCCATTCACTATTAACACGTTACATATATTACCGAATAAAGAATCTGAATTTTAAAGTTGAAAATTGAAACAAAATGAAGTTTTGGCGATTACAGACGAAATGCACCATATTAAACTCGCGAGGCAATGCCGATGAATCTAGTGAATCAGATGATGATGAAAATATCGATGTGAGAATTCTCACCGAACGATCACAATGCCAGTCCCTGAAGCATCTACAGCGCCCAAACGAACTTACGAGGAAGCACTACTCTGTGCATCTCGCCTTGTATCTGCGAAACCAGAAACTCGAAATAAGGCACTGTGGATTCTGAATGAAATGCAGCTTCAACCATTTGCCTTAGTTGATTCCAATAATGTTAAACTTGCTGCAATAACACATAAAGACAATTTGATGCAAATGATCAAACCTGATTGTGATAATCAAATGCAGATCGAGCACGTCCACTAAGAAAAACGACAAAAGTAGACTGAAAATGCTAACACATCATCGTCAACCGTGGGACAAACACACCTTACGTCCATTATACACTACGGTCCATACAAGCATCATCTGATAAAACACTCGTATGCTGAAATGTCTCCAGAAATCGCCAATATGCTCAACACAGACTGGACTGTGTTGAGTTTCAATCCTTAACAATTATTATTACTGTAAACAGTATATTAATTTTAGTTATGTCTTTCACTATCAAGCTAGCCTTCGTCCAAGTATTCCTCGGCTAGAGAAGGGACTTGCTCATTACCATTCCACTATTATAAGATTTGAATTAATCATAAAAGAATATTTTGTTTTTAATGGTTTAAACATGTTTATACAAAACCTATACATATTATATGAATTAAAAAAAAAATTAAAGAAAATATCTTAAATGTTTCAAAAATAAAAAAATTATAATCTAATTTTTTTTTCCTATATATTTTTAAACAATTATATATATTTAATTAATAAAACCTTTTATAAATTACTGTTAAGGATTAATACCCGTTTCTATATTTCCAGTTGTTTGTGCGCAAATGCTAGCTGGCGCAATTGCAATCAATAACATGACCGAGGCAATGATTATCAACTGTGGGGAAGTTTACGGCCGAACTCAAATGGTAGATGTCCATCGAGAAAATTTCTCTACCAAAAAGGGATCACCACCTTCGACCACGTTACCCCTAGACAATACCAAGTACCCAAATGTGTGGATCACGACAAAAATGGACAGTGATGGCAAGAAGCTTATCATCGGCACTAAATCATGGAATCTACTGGTGACATCGTCACTGCGAATCGATACTATTAAGCCTCCAAGTGTCAGTGGCACACATGTCCACTTCGATCTCGATCATGACCAAGCAAAGACAACTGCAATTTTTCTCAACATTGCATCGATCAAAAAAGCAAGTTTATTGGCAGAAAGCACATCCACACGTATGATATCATAGTACGATGTACTTCATCAATTGCGACAAATCAGAATGCGCTTCTAATTTCCTTCTACATATACACTCTGTCGTTCATCAAGCTCACTTACTGATGACCATCGATCCTGACCATATACAATCTTCACACTGGCTGAACAAGATACAGGTGACCGAGATTCGGGTACCAAGGTTGCCTCTCAGCTAAATTACTATTAACTACGTCTCTACGTGTAAAATTATAATAGATAAAATAATAATTAATAAAACACTATATTTAGTGTATGAATTTAATTTGATTACAAAGTTTAAATAAAATAGTTTCCCAAATTTTACAACATTCTTTGAGTAAATAGATCATATTATTACATTTTATAAAAATGTAAGACATGTGATCATTGAGGATTCTAATCTTTTTAATTAGTTTCCTGCTGATAATTCGAATTTATTAATTGTAACCAATAAGGTATAGCAAATTTTAAGAATTTCCCAGCATATAGTCTTATTTTCATCTCTATAATCTTCTGACTTTACTCTTGAAGATTAATTAAGAGATGCCACTTGACTTAATGGTTGTAACAGACCATAATATCCTACTTTATTAGGACCTAGTCGTCTTTGCATAGATCCCATAGCTTTTCGTTCTACAATAGTAATAAAAGCTACAGACATTAATAATAGTACAATAACAATAAGTACCTCAATAAATGATAATAGCATCATGAGTAAATAATTATATATATATAATCTTAATATTTCTTTAAAATTCTTCAAAATAAAATTAAGATTTAATAAGAAATAAAAAAAAATATTGATTATTAATTTTATCGTCATTAAGCCATTAGACTTAGTAAATTAATTTAATTAATTATTTAGACTAGAGCTTAAGCCCTGTTCTAGGTTTAGAAGATAAACTCTGTTCCCAGAACTTAATTATCTAAAAAAATTATAATATTAATTAGTAATTTTTAATTAATTACTACAAAGATCTGGGGGACACATCATCATCGCGATCTCACACATCACAGATAAATAGCACATGCAGACTATGTTATCCAATAATGATTACGAGTCTTATGTATACTACATTAGTCAATATGTAACAGCAGCTATTCCTCCTCAGTACTATGCGTACAGGTTATAAATACTAGCTACACTCGCTATAATTGATATCGTGTACAACGTTAAAGAAAGTAAAATTATCTGACATAGATTCTTTTTTGCTGTGTTTAAGCCTTGTGCTACTCAAGACCCTTCAATTGCCTTCTTTTATTCCTTTATCTCTTGAAGAAGAAAAACGCATAAAGAAAATTGGTTTCGCTTGAGGATAATTTGATGAAATACTAATATCACTACAACGTATTATTGCTATAGTATTTTTTAAAGCAGTGACTTCAAGAAATAAGTATATAATATACATGCTCAAAAGAATAAGCACGCAAGGTGCAAGTTGAGCAATAGAGAATTTTTAACATGTTCGTCAGTTTCCAGATTGAGCTGACCTACATAAAAAGCAAAGGCTTTCCAAAACAGAATTAGCTTGCATTGACAAGGTGGCAGGATTGTTTTGAGCAAAAGGAAGTTTTTAACAAATCCGACCACACAGCGAACTATCTGTTTCTTCTTCTGCTGTCTTAAGACTCGATTCCACCAAGCCGTACCAGGAAGAATCGTACGAAGGACGAAGAATAAATCTCTCTCTCTCGCGTTGATGGTAGCACAGGCTATTAGCTCATTGCTTATAAAAGCTAAGTCGAAAAAAGGATAGTTGTAAGTTGTCCTCTCGAGTCGTTTCTTCTTATAGACCTTGCACCTTTAAACTACTTCTGCAGCCTAAACCAATATGAAGAACTATTTGCTACTTGCCGTTTTGGCATTGGCGTCAACCTTTAGTGGCCATGTTTATGCTGACACCGGTGTGGATTAGCTTTGACCAGTACGAGCTCCTTGTCATGTGTTAAGAACTATGGCTATGATCATGCTATTATCCGTTGCTACATCGAAGCCTGGGGCAGAAATCCGGTAAGCAATCATGCTCGGACAAGCATCAAGAACAGCAGCTTAGATGTGTCTGGAAAAACACTGCCAAGTACTATATGAGATAATGAAAGAGACGCGTTAATGAAACTAACGCTCTTTATAATCTGACAATGTGCACAGGGAGGCCTGATTGACTCAAACTGCTACCAGAATTACTTGAATGCCAGATCTGCCGGATTCACCTCGATTGATATTTACTGGCTCCCTTGCACTGGCCGCTCCACGTGCAAGTCGCCTGCTACTCAGCTTAACGAGATCATTACCTATGTTGGCGACAACAATATGATTGTTGGTACTTTGTGGCTCGATGTTGAAGTCGATTCTGCTGCTAACAATTGGCCCTCGACCTCCGCTGCCCGAACAAGTAAGCTTAATTCAAGAGCATTTATTCTATTATCGATAATTTTCATTCTATATCTCCCTTTTGTTCACGATAGTGGAAGAGGAATGTCTGTGCTGACTAAATGTAATGTAATAGCTCTGCAGCAGTTCAAGTCGGCTTTGGATAGCTCTGACTGGAAGTGGGGCGTCTACTCCAGGTATAACTCAATTGTGTAGCAACCCCATTGCTTACGTCCTCTATTATATACTTACTGCTATATATAGCCAGAAATAGCTACTACCAATGGCAAACCATTACTGGCTCTGTATCCTGGGTTCTTGACAGCTCCGTACCCCTTTGGTACGCTGTAAGGTATCGTTCTAACCTAAAATAGCGCTTTCTTTATCTTTTCACATGGGTAACTCATTGCTGTATTCTTTTTGAACTTCATAGGGCTGGGATTACGCTTTGAGCTTCAACAACTTCTCTCCTTTCGGTGGCTGGTCTACACCTACTATTAAGGTTGGTTATCCTTTTAAATCAAAACTCGTAGAAAAATTTCTAAATGAGAATCGCTAATAATAATTTTGTCTTTATTTGCTATTTATAAACAGCAATATGCAGGTATGTACTCTAATTTTCTAAATTCGATGATTATTTTCTCTTTGTACTGATCCAAAATATTTTTTACAGGTGATGAAGTTTTCTGCTCGGCCAACTACGATAAGAATTACTATGGTCAAAACTACTGTTTCAGCTTACATCCTTTTATAACGTATCTTCAATAAAATCAAAGCAGGAAATAATCATTTATTGATATACATCTGTAACTATCCGCTATTACAGAACCTGTATAGTATGAATATCTTTCGTCATTTTTAAAACGTTGGATAGCATATTCGCGGTATGTAGTATGGATTGTATCTATTTATTAGGGTTACGAGTTAGCTTTTTTTCGACCCACAAAAGAAAAACTCAGCATTTTTCATGTAAATCCACCCGCACACCGAGAGTGAGAGAGAGAAAGCAAGTACTTACGCAAAGCATTACCTGAATTCAAAAGGGACCACCAGCGCACTTTTGACCCGTGGCTGGGGTAAATGGTAAAGACAGGACTTACGCCCGAAGGCTGCCTGGGGTGGGAGTATGCCGTTCGCATGAGGCGATAAAGATACATCTGGAAACGCAAGGAAGAAGATGAGACTTTTAACCACTTCCTCAGGTCCAAGTCAAAGCAAAAAGCAAACGCCATCGTCCAGATGGATGGATAGCTCCTGATCATAGCCGATGGACTACATACTTGACAGGTCGGCTTCTAGGAGCGGCATGACAGTGGAGCATCAATCTTGACCAGCATAGAGATTTCTGTGCACTATCGCCATTCCGAGAAACAAAAGAGACGAACAGATACTGGGAAACTTTTAAAGCACACACGCACACACAAAATCCTATCGTGCTACACTTACCCATACTTCTACCATGAGGCACAGGAAAGCCGAGCACCCGGCCAGAGCAGAGCAGAGAATTTCAGCCAAGACAAAAACACCTCTTCTAGTTAGAAAAAAAAGATTCGTTGTAGGGCTGCACCCACGGTGCTATCTTTATTTTTGACACGGCATGGCCACCCTCCTCCATCCCAAGCTGGATCCAGCTATACTTACATTTGCTTTGCCGCTTTACAGAAACGATAAAGACAGAGAGAGGTGGGTCTAAACCAATCCAAATCCAAACAGATCACCGCAGAGCCTGCCTCTAATATGTAAAAAAACATCCAAAAGCAGCTGCGTACACGACATGTTACACTTTTTGACATGCCATGACAGACATCTTCCTGGTTTTCCAAACACGCAAGGACAAACACTAGCACAAGATTCTTTCCAGCTATACTTACTGTTATGGCATCCAACTGCGTTGGTGGAAGAGTGCCTTGAGTCAGAGAGAGGAAAAGCAAGAAGGGCACGACCAATTCTGAAAAAAGAATAAGAGAAGAAAAGGGAGGAGAGAGAGAAAAATCTTGAGAGACTGCCATACTGCAAACGTCATGGTCAGGAATCCTTTCCCGTCACGCTGTTGTGCACACTGCACATCTTTAACACGTCATCTCCAGCATCCAGGCCATCCTACTCACCTACCAATGCTCGTGTCCACTTCTGCTTATACTCACTATCCGTTACTTGTCCGCCGGACAAAATTAACCCAACAGTAGTAGCAGAGGAGAAAGGAGGATAACATTAGCGGCTGCATGCTGTACGCACACTTCATTAGACACGTCTAATTCAGATCTTCTTTCGTATATCACAACCACATGCAAAACCTCAAAGTACACTTCGCACTTTCCATATTGTACTTACACTTGCATTTGGTTATATTTTGTGCTTTGAGAGCCAACGTGAAGGGAAGAAGGACTGTGTCAAAAAGAAAGAAAGTGAGATAAACGGATCATGAGAAACCCTCTTTCCATGTATAATTGTTTCCTTCGTGTGATGCTCATCAAATTTGCCACGCTTTATGCCGCATGTTTCAGAAATCACAACCATAAACATACGCTCTCCGATCTTCTAATCCGTTCCAGTGACACTCACATTGAATAGCCTTGGTCTATAAAAGTTGATGAGGAGGAAGAAGAGTGGCATGATTGCTGCGGCCGCACGATTATATAGTAGTAACGAACACACATGCTACGCGGCATTTGAGCCAGTTCAATCTATCCAATCAGATTACTCTCTCACGTTTATGACGCGCCGAGGTGTGTGGTTCCTCCAGGTCAGATACTTTACTTTACAGTGAATGAATGAGACTGTGAGTAGACGGGTATCGCATCGAGAAAAGGCAGATAACCGTCACTAACACGATATGAAGCTCATTTCAAATCCTTCATCATCTGAGAAGTGTGATCGTTTTAAACATGCTGAATACAAGTATCAACGTATTCACTATGTATACAGTATCTCATGAGACATGACGATCCCGCGCTTGCCAATGTTCCATTTGGTGGGAAAATCATGGTCTTTGGTGTTGACTTTCGCCAGGTATACAACTTTGAATACTCTCTTCTACTATGTATTCTTTTGTTATTGAGCGGTAGTACTCACAGTAAAGTATCTGATAATAGGTCCTTCCTGTGATGCCAAATGCGTTGGGCTCGCAAATCGTACAGTAGTGCTTAAATCGCTCATCAATTTGGCCAAGTGTCACCATCCACCGCCTTGAAACCAACATGCGCGTCCAAGAAGCTGCAAACACAAATGACGCAAACTAGCTTCGCGAGTTTGCACAATATCTACTGCGCATTGATGATGGTGCTGAGCTGTTGGTGTCAACCACTGATGACATAGTCCGGCTCCCAGATCGAATAATCATGCCGCATTGCAACACGTACGAGCTCATAGAAGCCATTTACGGCAACCTCAACGCACCACACGTGGATCGTGATTACCTCATTAGTCGCTCTATCTTGACTCCAAAGAATGTCGACGTTTCAGCAACCAATGATCTGGTATGATACTCAACCATTTTCTAGGCACCGTACTTGAATTCCAGAACGCTGATACAGTGGATGATCCAGAAGATCAACTCACATACCCACCAGAGCTTCTCAATGCAATGAATCCATCCGACCTTCCACCACACTCGCTAAAACTCAAAGTCGGTTGCCCAGCCATGCTTTTGCGGGTGGTCTCTGCAACAGGACACGGCTGGTTGTACGCTCTTTCCAGCGATATGTACTTGAAGCTGATATAGCCACTGGAACTCATGCCGGCAACATCGTCTTAATCCCCCACATAACACTAACCCATAACAAACACGCTCCCACATTCAGTTAAAACGCACACAATTCCCCTGTTTGCCTGGCATTTGCAATGACCATCAATAAGGCACAGGGTCAAACTTTCAACACTGTTGGCCTCTACTTGCCTGAACCTCCTTGTCACGCGTCCGCACCCCTTCATCCATTAGAATCATGTTAGATCCTAAGAGCTCAAGGATCTCGGGTCAGCATGGCCAAAACAACCGAAATGTTGTTTTTCAAAGTTCTTCTATAATCTTTTGATCGCCTATTCTCTTTTACTTTCTTATTTATATCACTACATCATCTTTTCCTACACTTTTTTTCGTATTGCATTTTATTTTGGAGGTGGTCAAGTATCTAACTTTGACCACTTCCTATGATAGACTACTTCTCACTGCACAATGAATGACCTTGCTTTTGTTATTGAAAACAGACAACAAGCATTTAATAGCGAAATACTGATCCGTTGTAAGCGTTGTATCCGTAACCTCGCTCCACAGGGGGAACCCCCTTGCTACGCGTTTCCGTTGACACGGGGGGTCATTGATCCGAGCGAAGCGAGGAAGGACCGCCAGTAGAACTCAATAAAGATCGAGTTAGCGAGATTTGGTGGTAGTTTATTACATGCATGACTCTCAGATACTCTTATACTCAAAACTCCACTTGAACCTATTTCTCTGAAACACACTTTCACGCGCTTACTAATTTAACCTACACGGGCTGCATAATGCGACGCTTATGTTGTGCTTACACTGATAGACCATATTCTATATAACACTTGTTTGTTGAACAATATTCCACAAGTCAGATCAAAACAAACTTTATAGTAAACCAGCAATATTTATTTACTTATTCAGTTAAAGAAAGGTAATGGATATTATAAAGTACTTCGTGTAAGAATGCGTATTTGCTTTGGTAGATGACTGCTGCTACCACTAAGGCTATCAATAATCACGGTCTTTTTTGAGCGAGTTTTTTTCCTTTGTTTCTTTTATCCGCTGTACTGTCTTTGCCTTAGCTGTGGCAGTATACTCTGGGTTTTTCTCGGCGAATTCCTTGCGTAGTTTTGTTGCAAGGTCGTTAAACTTTTGTTTCTCCTCGGCGCTCAGCTTCTTCCATTCACTTCCTATGACCGAATTTACATCCTTGATAGAATATTCTGGATGCTCCTGGCGAATTTTGGCACCGACTGACTTGATGTATTGGATATATCCATTACCAGGCATCCGTGCGTTGCGTCCACGTATACCGCGTTCTCGTCTCACTTCTGCTATGAGCCGTTTAGATTCGTTTTCGTACTTTTCTCTCTCCTCCTAATCAATTTACCAGTTCGATGTTGGCGTCAGTTAAACGAAGCACATGGTCGATTGGGGCCTTCCCACTCTTCATCACCCCCACAAAAGAAAGTATTCCTTACCGGTGGAAGGCTTCGAAATTCTTCTGACACTTTTGCGCTGATTTGACGATTATGTATACCAGGATTCTCATCGCAAATCCGTTTACGGTTTTCTTTGTTGAACAGCAAGAACGGGGTATACTTGCTGGTTGGACTTGGTTTATACTGCGTGTAGCTACGATTCTTGCCTCTACTGCTATCTTTGCTTTCTGCTTTCTGCCTTTTGCTTCTCTGGGATGACGATGCCTCAGGTGAGTTATAGAAGTCTTCTTGATCGGAAAAGATGTTGTCGTCAGAACTGTCGCTCTCACCGTCATTGAAAGAATCTGGAGTTTGCTCGAGTTTTTTGATTGGCATCGTCGTTTCGCGAGATGATGTTTTCATTGCCTTAGGTTTCGCTCTGGCTTTTCCCTTGCCCTTATTCTTTTTTGATCGCTTCTCTTCATGATTCTCTTCGTCCGGCGTGCTGAATCCATCGCTCTCATCACTGTCGTCAAAAACGATATCCGATTCAGATGATTCTCCCTGGTAGACAGAAATTTCGTTGTATCCAATTTTCTTTTCTTCGTCGTTGCAGTCATCACTGTCCTCATCGTTTGATGGGTTGCGTTTCTGTCGCTTGGGCGGTAGCTGCTTCTTCGGCCATCTTTCAAACATTGATTCGCTAGCGATGCCCCTGTCGTCATTACCACGCGCGATCGTTCGCTGCTTCTTGGGTTTCGCCGTTTCTTCAAGTGCAACATCCTCTTCCTTTTTTCTTTTGGTGATGACGGTAGGCTTGGTCTCCATTGATGATAGAAGCTTTTTAAATGAGTCAAGTTTTTGATGGGTTTTCGCCAAGGGGTATTCTTCTTCAACTGTCATGCGTGTTGATTGCGCGCGGCTGCCGCTTCTGATCGTATTCGTTGAAATTGTTTGTAAGGATTCTAGATCGGACAGGTCAGTGTCACCACCAAAAAGAGAAGACGGATAGTGATTTGCATCGTCGACTAGTGCTGTACGTTGAGAATGTGCGATCGTTTTGGGCCTTGCATCAACAAAGGCAATTTCGCCTTGCTTTTCCCATTTCCACACATGACCGCATCGTTTGCACTCTCTGTGTAATGATCAACAATCTCCTATAGTTTAAGTTCTAACCTTTCTTTCTTCAGGCACAAACACACATTCACCGACTCCTTCACCGTCCCTTTTCCGTGCACTAAATATACAGAACTTACGCAGTGCCAGCCATAATCCCTTTTCTGTAGAAGTGAGCATCGTCATTGTTGCAAGAAGGACAATCCCATATAATTTGGGGTCGTCCTTGTACTTGTTTTCGTTTATTGGACATTGGTGTTTTCTTAAACTGTGAATCCGCCAACCAATATGAGTGTAGAAACAATTTTCCCAGCTAAAATTCGTCCGATAGACGTCATTGTAGTCGATTAAATTAGAGTTTGGATGATAAACCACTGGAAGGATGAAAATAATGAAAATTGATCTACGAAATAGATGATACGATAAATATAAAGTTATTTTCCTTCTGTCACGCCTCTATAAGAATGGATTATTTATAATAAGTTGTATAGCCACATTTTCCTTTTGTTCTCTTTTTCTCTTGTTCTTCGTTTCTCTTGCCTTTTCTTCTTGGTTTTAAGTCAACCCGTGCTCGTATCATGCGACCTAGAAAGAAAGTTAGAAGGGTTAAATACGATGACAGTGAATTATGACCTGAAACTTATAGTACTCAACATGACCGTAAACAAGACGATAACAACAACGTCGTGTTAGACAAAACAGGGAAACCAGTTTTTGAATCCGTACAAAAACGATTGTTGAATGTGGATAGTCTTGAAGACGATCCTTCGGCTCTCGAAAAATGTGCCCACACAAATAGTGCCTCGCATCCAGTAGCAATTCATTATGGTATGAATGGTATAGAAAACTGTTTTGGAGTTTAGCAAAGGACTAATTACAGTAGGATGTGATATCTGGCCAGTATTGGTGAGGATTTTGAGGATCCAGCCATTGGGGCAGATAACGATTCCCAACCTCAAAGTCGTCATCAAGAAAGGGTAGAGCGAGCCAATGCTGCCTGGGAGGAAGCAATGCCCTTACTTGCAGATGCTTATATCGACTCCTTAAAAATGGAGCTCTAGATTACGAAGCATCGAGTCCCAGCTATATCGATCCATGTAGAAGCGGTTGCGAGACTCCTCAATTGCGTTCTCTTTCAGTTGACAGCATTTACTACACTGGTACAAGGCTACATACATTCGCTCAAATCCTGCAGCTCTATTCAATACTAATACTTTTATAGGCATCATATGCAATGAGCACTTCACTTTCTGCAAAAAATGTTATCCATCAGCCACTGTGTTTCTCATCCAACATCACCTATTTGCAGCAACTCCCCAACGACCTGAAATGACTTTCCATCTCTCCTTGTTGGAATTCTATGCGACGCTTAGCGGATACGGACATACAGCAGTTCAAGCTTTCGGAAGCACTGTATCGCGCGTTCATATTTACCCTGTTAGTATATACACGAGATACAGTACTAAATACGAACTATTGGCATACAGTTGTACCCCGGTTTTTGCAACCGAGGGTTTTCCGATTTTTTTTTGCAAAAAGTGAGGATTTGCAAGTAACGGGGTAAACAATTCTGCTTTAAGTATACACTGGATAAGTCATCCTATTAACACTAGCCCATTGTTTATCTGTCAGAGATGATGTACGATACGTTCTTTGGGAATATTCATACAGCTCTAAATGTTACTACTTGCATATATAAAACCGTTCTTTCATTGAAGCTGTCTAGTGGTTTGATAATTATTAGCTCTTTTAAGCATGACAAAATCGTTCCACAAGTTCACCTCTAAGCAAGAGGATCGAACCTACGACGAGCACTTGAGCGGGCGGTGGACGAAAGTGCTGATTCGCCTATTCCAGGGCCAACGTCGAAGGAAAAACAGGTTGCAATTGCAGGAGTTTTGAGCTTTTTGGATAATATCGATAACTACGACTTAAAAAAGTCTTTGCGTAGGATTCCAGAGAGTCTCAGGCAGCAATCATTCTCCCGACAGTCATCCCTTGATGACTTCTTCGAGCTCCTTTGAGCAAACATTTTATTTCTATATCTATATGTAGTATGTTCCCTTTTTCTTACATCTTCATCATTTCTTTTATGGATTCAATCCAATCAGTGCTATATATGTGTCCCGATTCTACTGGCTCAACTACCAAATAATAATTTTTATGTCATATTTACACATTTATCTTGCAGTAACCGCATCATTTTATTCCTCATAATCCGCAACAGATGCTTCTTTCAGTTGATATTGCAAAAATTGAAGCTGTTTTTACCCCGATAACATGCAAATCGTATAAACTCATTTGCAAGTTGCAAATTTGCGAAACTACTAAGTTTTTTTGGGATTCTTCAACAAAAGTTGCAGATATACGAGGAATTGCAAATCCAGGGGTTGCAAAAACCGGGGTACAACTGTAGTATCTATGATCTCAACAAAATGTTACATTGTCGAATGATGAAACCTTGAGCAAAAACCTTGGATACGCGCTTTTAAATATTTAGAGCTAACTACGCTTGTTGGAGAGAAGCTAGTATCTGAAAATCCTCTGGTAAAAGAGGAAGAAGGTTGCCCTGCTTGTCCCCAGGTAATACAACTCTTCAGTTGATTGCTATAATTTGAAAGCTAGAAATTTAACAAGATAGGCAATGTTTTTGGCATTTAGGAGCGTATGTTCGTTGCCATCGATGGAAATATGCAGTTGAAACGCTATAAAGCAAATGTAAACGATAAAGGAAAGTATCTTAGCAAGCAATATTTTTCTGCTGATGAGAAACAAGATCTAAATGATAAAGAAACGCCTCAGCCAGCAACAAATACTGCGAGATCCTGTGACAGCAGTTAAAAGGCAACTGCAAAATCTTCTCATGGTGATCCAAGGTGCCACGAATGCAGTTTAGTAGGAAGTATTTGCGCTCGCCACTCTTTTAGAATTCACAAATATGTTTGAGTCTGGAGAAAAGTTATCAATGCTAAGTACTCATTTATTTAATATAAATGTATACTAGGTGCTCACTAGATGCTTAATATCTTTTTGTTGCAATGAAAGGTTCAAGTATGCCCGTGCAGTTATTAATGTAGTACTTCGCATATCCGGTGTCAAAATTGAAATTGTAATGTACGATATAGCTAGTCGTATTAAGTCATCGATCAAAGTACGTAAGAATAACAATTATCCGTAAGATACATAGTACGTTTACTGCTAACGTAAAAGTTGACATCTACTTGGATAATACGTTTAAAAGAGTAATTTTCCCGAGCTCGGTGACGAGGAAATGAAAATGGCAGTTAGTGTCTTCCACGCCTATGCACACTTAATGAAGTGTCAAGTGGATTTCAACCCACGTTATGTTGAAGCCCTTGGTTTAACAGGCGGGGAGGGCATGAAGCGGCTTTGGACCAACGACGCCTAAGAACAGAATGTTGACACTCTGCCATGCTATATCTCATTTTAAAGCAATTCGTATAGCAACTTGCGTAAGCTTACTGGATAAATAAATACAGATATCTGTACTAACCAGCTCTGAATTCTCTAGCTGCAAGATTAGCTCGGCGTAAGAAAAATGCTTCTTAAAGCATTGCGGTACCTAAACAGCGCAAGGCTTCTTGCTTCCAAAACAAATCACGAAATGCGAGCAGAATGGAACAAGCTTGCGCAAAAAATACTTGACGATCATTCCGCTCATTTAACTGAGAGAGAAGAAGATGAGAGAAATACGTTCATCACTTGGAAATATACTATAGCACAGAGTAAGTTAATCAACGCATGTAGTATTTACTTATGCGACTTCCATTACTTATTACTATTATATTATTGTATATATTCATCCAAATTGATGCATAGGGAGCAATCCGCTAAAGTTCTTGAAAAACTGAGGCATTTAAATGGAGCAACATCTGAATCACGCGAGCAGATGTTGGATCTTTTGACGGAGGTGCCTTCCTTTGAGACCTCGTTCACCAAAGCGCTGAATAACATTAAGAGCTACGAGCGCAGACTCGGTATCAACACGATAAATGAAAGGTGGACTAAATCGTCTCTTGAATACATCGCTGTACAAGAAAGAAAGAAGAAAAGAAACCGTAACATTGCAAAGTCCATGCTCAAAACTCTACTCATTGGTCAAGCGTTATTGAAAGACGTACTCCATCGCTCGGGCAAATTAGGTAATAAGTAAGATAACCAAATGAAAAAAAAAACTGAAGGCTGATAAATTACAAGTCTAGGACACACAACAAGCTCGCAAATGCTTAAATCAGTCAACAATGCAACAGCAAGAGCAAAAACGATTCTTAGTCAATACAACGAAGCATGCAAATTGTTGGACCCGACTTACCAAGATGTCAAATTTGATGATATTAAATCATTAGATAGTTGTCCTTTTTGGGATCCCGATACATCAACAGAGGAAATCGACTTTCGTGCTCTTCGCCAGTACATGAATAGAAGACGTGCAACTGAGGAGCTTTCTTTGTTGGAGGTAATTATCCAAAAACAATTGTCAATGAAAATGTTGAGCTTAGCGGCGGCCTTTTCACAGCATTTCTCAAATACATTATAGAAGAGGAGAAGCAACTGAAGCTGTATGCGCTGAACAGGTGCCAACGACTTGTTGCTGTAATCAGCAACGAAACACGGGGTGGTGGTTACAAGAACCTTATAACCCGCAAGTTGCCTGACGCCGAGATGCTGTTCAAAAAAGTATATGGCCAGTCATGGCAGCATTATTGTGAGGAACAGCAACAGCACAACTAGGAGACGCACTCGTAGATGCCGACGAGGGGAGCGTTGTAGGCGAAGAAGAGGACGGAGGGAAGGTGTGCCCTGAGGACGCGCTGATGGTCTCATTTGCAGACCTCATAATGGTGATGGCACGCGCAGAAAATGGGGACGAAACTATTAAATTGCTGCAGCAGAGCTAGGCATCCAAGAAGATCCTGAAGCCACCGACATGCCGTAATCGTAGCTTGCTTCATACGTCATAAGAGAAAGATGCTATACTCAGTGTCTGGAGATCGTTTTGTTTAGGTAATGATTTATATGTTGATAAGTGGAAGATTCTTCAACAGTACGCTGGTCACATTTCTATCTTGCTGTACGCTAATTATAGACTTGTATGAAATCAAAAGAGAAACCAGAGAATGTTGCATTACCTGAAAAGCCCTGCGGTGTGAGCGAAAAAGTGAGCCTATCGAAAGAGGGAGAAGAAATGGTGGGATTCTATAGGTAAAGGAAGAGAGAAAGAACGATTATGTAGGGTGTGGAAAGGTGTAAGGAGCCTTGTATTATGGGCTCGAAACATTGCTGGCTCGTGCTTGTCCTATTGCGCATCTGAGTGGCTCAGTTTATCGATCTCTCGTAAAACTCAAAATAAAGCAGACCAGGTGGGTTACTCACTTGTTTTTGGATAGATCAACATTCAAATCGGGAGGCAGTAACGATGGGCTGCATTTCTTCAGAGAGCTGAAAGCGTCTAGCGGTTGCTGATACAGAGAGCTTAGCAGTGTTGTCGTCTTACTAGTGTTGAGCCTCTTTGTATGATGAGGAATTCTCGATCATTGTTGAGCTACGTCTACTCATGTTCGAGAAAGCTCGCTATGCTCTGGCTTTATTTGAATAACTGGGCCCGCGGGTTTAATAAAATGTGTCGCTATACTGAGAATTTTTGAGATACCTGACTATGGAGTATATTCCGGCTGCTGCCACGATACACGTTCGGGTGTGGACGAAGCGCTTGACAACCGGGTCGGTCGGTCTGTGCGACACGGCCCCTTAACGTATACCACCGTTTTGGCCCCTGGCACTCTCTTTTCACTTGCTATGTCTCTCTTTTTGTCGAAGATAAGTTTCGGGCGGACCGGGCCTATTTGCACAAGACTTTCCCTTTGACGTTGGTCCAACACTATTCCACAATGGGCGCAAAAAGGAATCTCAACCATAAATTTTTAGTGAAGTTGCAACTTGAGAATAAGAATAAGAGAGAGCTCTTGTCCTCTCTGTCACTCTATTTGGCTACTCACGGTAGGTCATCAACTGTGGTAATTAATAAAGAAATTGATCGGCTGAAAGTGTTGTATGTGTCCTGAGCGCAAGTATGAAATGTTGCAATATGCGTAAATGAAAAAATCACGGAAGGGTCCGAGAGGAGGGAAGAAGGTAGTAGTGGTCTTTGTTTTGATCTAAACGAAAACGCTACCTTCCCGGATATATATATATATATATATATGTAGAGAGAGAGTAGCAACATGATTGGGCCTACAAAGCAAGCCGCCGACAGTTGCCGAAGATATACACGCATCATACGCATAGCATGTATCAGACAACTTCATTTGGATGATGTCATTTGATGATGAGGAGGCAGCGAGCAGTAATGACATCCCATCCTCTCCGTTTCTGGGATCAAAGTCGCATCGGAACGAGCAGGAAGCGATGGATTCACATGCGATCCGGTTAGGGTTTTGTGCTGCATGTGAAATATTTCGCGGGGTCAAGACGAAACACCAACCAACCCTCCTCCACAGCATAAGCGGAATATAAATACTGAGACGTAAACTCGTTTTCCTTGGTCCTGCCCACACTCTCTTTCTTTTCTCTTTCTTTCAATACAACAACAACAACAACAAAACATGGTTAAAGTTACTGTTTGCGGTGCTGCTGGTGGTATCGGTCAACCCCTTTCTTTGCTCTTGAAGCAGTCCGAGCTTGTCTCGCACTTGTCCCTTTACGATATTGTCAACACTCCCGGTGTTGCTGCTGATCTCAGGTAACGTAAAAGAAACAAAAAAGAGACGCGTCATTTGCCCCAGACAAGTTTGAAAACTTATCGACTTGTGTGTTTAGCCACATTAACACCAAGTCCAAGGTCACTGGCCACGTTGGTGCTGACCAGCTCGAGGAGGCTATCAAGGACTCGGACATTGTCGTGATCCCAGCTGGCGTTCCTCGCAAGCCTGGTAGGGATTCAAATATATCTTTTTAAAAGAGGAAAGGGGAATCACAGTGCCAATGACTGACCCCACCTTATGAATTGCAGGCATGACCCGCGACGACTTGTTCAAGATCAACGCTGGTATTGTCCGTGGCTTGGCCACTGCTGCTGCCAAGTTCGCGCCCAAGGCTTTCATGTGCATCATCTCCAACCCCGTCAACTCGACTGTCCCTATCGTTGCCGAGGTCTTCAAGAAGCACAACGTCTATGATCCTCGCAGGTAAACTTTTCTTTTCTGCTTTGTTGGGGGGATGGGGAGAGGAGTGTGTTGTGTGAGGCCAGGTCAGGAAGGCATGGAATAAACTGGGAAGATTCCCTTTGTGGGTGGACACGAGAAGAGACTAAAAAGTGCATCATCTTTCTTTTAGAATCTTTGGTGTCACAACGCTCGACATTGTCCGGGCTTCGACTTTCATTGGTGAATTGATCGGCAAGAGCCCCAAGGATGTTGAATGCAAGGTTCTCGGTGGCCACAGCGGAATCACCATCCTGCCCTTGTTGTCGCAGGTCCCTGGCACCGACAAGTTGTCTCAGGAACAGATCGAAAAGGTCACCAACCGTATTCAGTTTGGTGGTGATGAGGTTGTCAAGGCCAAGGATGGTGCTGGTAGCGCCACCTTGTCCATGGCCTTCGCCGGTGCTCGTTTCGCTTTGAACGTCATTGAGGCTGCCGTCAACGGTACTTCCGTCACCGAATGCACCTACATTGACTTGGCTGCTGCTGATGCTGACGCTGTCCAGTCGGTCAAGGAAGCCACTGGCGACGACTCGCTCACCTACTTCTCTCTTCCCGTCGAGTTGGGTCCCAATGGTGTCAAGAAGGCTTTCCCTATCGGCTCTCTCTCTGATTACGAAAAGACCCTGTTCACTGCTGCCGGTGCTGAGCTCAAGGGCAACATTGCCAAGGGTGCTGCATTCGAGTAAAGTGCAACCTCATCTACCACGACATACGACACATACAAACACACGCTCTCAATTTCCTCTTTTCCTGTGCATAAAAAAACATACCATACACTTCTTCCCCCCGAGCCGTTTAAGCCCTAAAAAGAAGGTCTAGCTGTACATATACGATATAGCATGTCTGCCTTTTGTTTCAAACTGTAAATGTATCAATAAAACTCCAAATATTACGGGAACATACACAACTGTAACGTGGCAGCATGGATTGGGCGTTGCTGAGAAGGGATCTAGTACGCCCACCGATCATTCGATAGTGCAATCGAGGCGCACCACCACCCACACGCCTCACGGATGGTTAGATCATGTCTTTTCATTCGTTCCTTTTTCTGTGTTCTTCGAAGCGTGTTCCGAGGAGACATTTCCTCTCCTGTTTCACGTTTGGGAGCGTTAGCAAAATATGGTAAAATGTCCGGTCCCAACTTTGATAAATAAATCTTTCCGCCGTACATGTAATACACGTTAAGCTGTTATATATAATGCCATCTGCTAGCGTTACGCTCCCAGATTTAGCCCATTCAGACCAGCTCCTTTTCCCACCTTTTGCGCTCTAATGATGGACGAGATGATCGCTATCGTTGGCATGTGTAATGCTCAGCGGTTCTGAAATTTTCCGTTCTAATCAGCGCCACTTTTTTGGGGAGGGAAGGGAGACAGCAAAGGTGCGCGTGCAGGGACCTTTTTAGAGTCGGGCGGGACTTTTTCGAACTCTAATTTAGCTTTAGTTATGCAATAAGCGTTAGGTACGTAGTTAAGAGCCAAGTGATATGACCGCTGTTGCGCATTGACAGGACAACGATAATGCAAGATTTCGATACTTTTAATCCTGTGTATATATACGTAGCGACATCTCGACTATATATCTTCCCCGTGTGAGGTGATAAAAGGAGGCAGATGTTATCAGGACAACAAGCGTCAGTGCAAATTCTTTTGTTCATTAATGTCGGCCCTTCTCCGAGAACACGAAATATAGAATGTCAGCAAAAAAAATCATGTGTCGCTCGTTCGAAAATCATCATGAGACATTCGCCTACATGTGGTTTCTATGGTTTGTTGTAGAAGGCTACTCTCTTTACTGCTTGTTAACTATGCGACTTGGTACCATACCAGATCATTCAAAGCTACTGTAGTCAGAAAATGCATACGACACTTAAAAATTTGTATGTATACCCCTTTCATGAGGAGCTTGTTATTAAAAGAATGAGTGGAAAGAGGGTAGTATATGATCCACTAGGTTTCAAGATATGCATCGGTATTGTATACTGAGTATGAGTACAGGGCAAGATTACTTGATAGAAGCATCATGGTACTACTGTCCATGGTTAACGGTGTATGCTCAGTACCAGCTTTGGATGTCGACTTCAACTTGTATGAAGACACGAGTGGTACAAGGCGTATCTCTCCATCTAGTAGCCGCTATGTATCTATAAAATAAAGAGAGAGAGAGAGAGAGAGAGAGAGAAGGTAGATTACTCCTGCTACTAGCAACTCTAATATGAAAATGTATGTTTGTATACCCAATGCATAATAAACGCCGTTTGTTATGTTGTGTAAACAAAGCTGTTTTCTTTGTAGTGTTTCAAGGCACTTTATGTTACCAAGTATATTCATTGCAATCATGCGTGTGGATGGGTGCCGTATCGCAAAAGTATAATTATAGAAGGAATCATGTCGGTGCCACACTGGGTCACTTGACCGATTGTCAAAATTTCACAAATTGCATATTACTGTTATATGTGCAACAAACAAACAAAGACGCTATAAACAAACACGTCGCTTTCTTTCTTTTCCCACCAGAACATCCAACCACATTGCAGCAGTAAAGTAATTTAGAGTTGCAAAGTATGCTTTTCTTTAATAATGATATATACCTAAAAAAGAGAGAGAGACAGAGAAAAAAGAAGAATAGAAAAAGGAACGCAAAGGTTAGGTAGTGCGGGTGTTTGTTTGGACAAAGAAAAATAATGTAGAGGGAGATAGTACGAAGCAAGAGAGAGAGAGTGAGAGCGAGAGTGAGAGTGGGAGAAAAGTAATGGCGTGCAAATAAGAGGAAATTGTTGCAATATAGCGACCGAGAGAGAGAGAGAGAGAGAGGGAGGTTGCGTGAAGATAGACAGTTTGAGGAGGGACGGGAGGAGGACAAAGATCGAGAAGAACGTTGTCTTTTGGTTACTCTAGCTTCGTTTCAACAAGGTCAAGACGGTAGCAGCTTCGACAGCATCAACACCTGCAGAGTACTTGTCGAGCATCATCGAATCATGTATGGATGTGGAAGAGTTGGGAGATGAAGAGAAGGATTCAAGCGGGCTAAAGGTAGTGTCATCGAGTGATTGCGAGTAAGAGGAAAGACTGCTGGCGTGTTGTGGTTCCCAAGATGAGGCAGCACCACCACCAATACTCCGTGGAATGGATGGACTTGCTGTGGTATAGTGGACAACACCAGTCATCAGATCGTCGTCCTCCGATTCCGCCATGATGATAGCTGATGATGATGATGATGATGGCGGTGGCGGCCGTTGTTGTTGTTGTTTATTCCGTTGTTCTTTTGCCTTGCTTCGCTTCTTGGTTGTCGTCTTTCGTTTTCGCTCATTATTACTACTACTGCTCTTATTAGATGAACTCCGTCGCCTTGACGAAGAGGTTGTTGTGGAAGGAACTGTTGATGATGGTGTTGATGCTGATGCTGAAGAAGATGATGCTAGTGGCCCCGAATCGTTTCCGCACAAGATTTTGCCATGTTTCCATTTGACTCCACATGCATTACAGAGTGTACCTGCACCCTGCGGTCCTCGACGCCACATGGGTGTCGATTTTGATCCACAATACAAACATTTTTTCAGTGATGAAGAGTTATTGCTGTTGGTATTTCGTTTTGATGAACTTGTGGTGGTGGTAGTAGGTGTTGCAGCAGCAGTAGTAGTAGTAGTAGTGGCGGGAACGGTGGTGCTGTTGTGGTTGTTGTTGTTGTTGTTGTTGGCGGTAGTAGTAGTAGCAGAAGAAGAAAGGGTCGTTGAAGATGCGGGGGGCGAATCCCGTGCAGATGAGGATGACTTGCTGTGCGGCGACGTCATGCAGAAATCCGTGTCCTGATAATCATCATCAACGTCTTCATCTTCATAATCTATCCATTAACAAGGGATGATCAGCGTTACATGCTACTTTGTATGATTGAACAAAGACAAAGAAAATCTTTAGCCGCTGCGGCTATATACCTTCGTCACTGCTCCATGGGAGTGGCCGTTTGTCATACATATCCTCCTCTTCCGATTGGATTTCTGTTTTAGTCAGCGCCATTGGAATGGTAGCGGCTTCTTCTTTTTTCTCGCATGTTAATCGTTCAGTATGTAACCGCATCTATTGTATGCCGAAAACGAATAATCTCGGTTAAATCAAGTGAAAGAGGGGTGTGCCGGTTGGAAAAGCAAGAGAAAGGTTGGAGGAAAAGGGGTGGGTCGGGTGGATTAGAGAAAAGCCATCATGTTCTCTTTTGGATGATAATACTTTACCAGTTCCATGGTACGCTGGCATACAGTCTCAAACCCAGATACGCTTTGTTTCATAGCAATGTACATATCCCTGGATACCCCGGATAACTGCATATTTAATACATGGCAATCGGGTTTCCACAACAACAATCCCGGATCCGTTAGTCGACGTTGCGAAGAGCGACGTGAGGAGAATAAGGACGCCGATGCCGATGATGTCGTTGAAAAGTGGTCCGAGGAGGAGCAGACGGCTGCAAATTCTTCCAGTTTGGATGGATAACTATTGTTACATGTACATGAACACAAACACATGGAATGCAAGGTGGATGATTCGGATGATTTGGGAAGATGATAGGATACGAGGACCTATGATTAGAGATATGTGTTTTAGTTGGATGTCCCTGCCTTTGCCTCTGCACTCTTGACCATTCATATCCGATCAAACGTAACCTTATCATAAAAACCAACTTTCAAAAAAAGAAGCTTTATACCTCAAATGGAGAAGCCTGATTCACAGCCTCTACGACCGCATCCCGAGGAAACAAAAAGTACTCTCGATCCGGCGACGGATCCACTGACGCAGGCGTATCCAAGCAAAAGACCACATCATAACGGATCACGCGTCGCCGCTTTCTCTTTTTCGGCGGCAACGCCATGGGCGAAGAGCGACCCAAAAAAATTTCGGCCGTCGAGAGCGAGAGCAACGCATCCACACAACTATCCGGGTCATTGTTACTGTCGGAGGACTCTTGAAGAGGCGACGATCGTTTCGACGATGAGGACGCGATCTCTGAAATTTCCGACTCGGTGATCTCGTAAAAGGATGCCATATTGGGGAGGAACATTGATCCGATCTTGAGCGATGCGACACCAAGAAAACGAGACTGGATCCGATGGGTCCACCCACTGCCATCGGGACACACCGAATCATGATTGAGATTGACCGGCAGTGTGTACTGAAGAAATGCCTCGGCTATCCAACCAAGGTTGTGGGACGACGACGACATGGTGCTCTTGTTGCTGTTGTCGCTATATAGTTGTAGTATATGCGTTTTCATGGTATGTATGTATGTGTGTGTGTGTATATATGCATGTTTTATGTGCAAGAGTATAGAGAGAGCATCATATAAGAACGGTTACATTTCCACAAAGTGTTTATACGGGATCTGGCTCTCTCTCGCTCTCCTTCTCTCTTTCCTAATCTCAAGAACAAGAACTTTACCCATTGCTTCCCGATATCATTTCGCTGTTGGCTCGGGGTCTTGCTAATGATGCCATGTCAAAAAGACAACAAGTTGAAAAGGACGGGAAAAAAAGTGATGTCTGACGGGGAAGGAGGTTGGAGGAAGATTAGGGAAGGAGGGAAAAAGAGAGAGAGTGAGACAGAATAGTAGGTTGCGATGGGGACTGTATAAACACTCTGTGTATGTGTGAGAGTAAACTGGTACACAATAAGAAGTATATACGAGAGAGTGTGTGCAGATCTGGTTTTTTGACTGAAAGACGAAAAAAGCAGTAAGACTAGTACAATGCCAAAAGGGTTATTGTTAAGTAAATAAGGCGTAGATAGCAAGGTTACAAAAGCAATAATAACGTATACAAAGTAGACCGAAATGGGGCTCGGGAGAGATGGCGATCGGGTTGGATAGATGAGGGAAAAGGAAGAACAAGAAGCCTCTTCTTTGATTAGCCGAAAGATTCCTGTACAGTCGCCGAACCTTGGCACTTTGCGGTGATTATTTTTGGCCTACAACCCAACCTCTTTTACTACGCACAACCTAGCTTTCTCTCTCTCTCTCTCTCTCTCTCTCTCTCTCTCTTACTCAACCTATCTTTCCCACTTTGATCTTTTAAACAACTCTTTACGTTGGATGACTATGGGAGGATAAGACTGTATTGCACTCGGAAGCAGCATGCCTTCTGTTCTTGTCTGACGCAACTGTTATTTCTATTGTATGCAACCTTTTTATTTTTGTGTGCCCCAACCCCGTTTTCTTTGCATTTACAACATAGCCTACTAGCTGCTACATAATAATAAACCCGGGCTTTCAGGCTTGAAGAACGAGCAGCTACTACTACCATACTTTGTAACGATCTGTTTGAGCAAAATACAATAGTGCGTTTAAATGACAAGAGCCCCCCTAGCTTTTTGCATGTTAGCATTTTTTCTTCGATCGTATGATTGGCTAACCTTTGCAAATACTATATCACTGATTTGCCCTACCGCTATTAACAATAAGACTACAAATGGCTAAAGTTTGACTCCCTATAGCTCCAGAGTCTGCCACTGTCTTCCAAATAGCCCTTTCTTTTTGGCATATCATCCGAAATATATCCTCAAGATTTCAACAAGTGTCAGCTCATTCGTCATACGAGACTCGATGCTTGGGTGGTGCTGTTATGCACATATACCCTTTCACATGTACTACATACGCGATGCCATTGGCCGTGCGCACAATCCGATACCGTCAACAGATAGAAAGTAGTAGCATCAGGCTATGGACATGCATTAATAATGACATTGAAAAACAAAAGCGTGTTGCTCTGAGCGCACGTTATCATCACTTTCTACGGTCTGCTGTCAGTTGGAGAGTGAGAAAAAAAAAGCAAGGATTATCCTGGATCGGTCAGCAGATACTCTGACGTCGACATTGTGCCACCATTACGCCTATATAAACAAGCAAGATGCCGCACAGAAAAAAAAAAACTGGCTAAATCATGTATCAAGAAGCAAAATAGGTCTTAATCGTGATAAGATGTTAACATCCTCATTCCGTAACCCAAAGTGCACAGTGCTACTGTAATGCCGCTTCGCTTTTTTAAAAGCGGAAACAACGCTTGTTTCTAACAGACCTGGGGGTTACTGGGCAAATTTCCCATATCACATGACAGTTACTCAAAAGTAAAATGTCAACTTTTTCTTTCTTTTTACACAAATGTAGCTCTACGTTACAGCAATTATCGAGTATGCTAGAGTCTCTCAAGTAAATGCATACATCAGAAGCTTATTATTACGTAAACAAAATGCCCTGGTCCAGGTCCGTCCGTTACTTCTTTGTCGCCGACTAAAAAAAAAGGTGGCCTTTTGTGTCTGCTTCTGCCATCAACTTGTTCAAGAGTAGCGTCTGATAAGTTAGTGCGGCCATCAAACATCACTGAAAGATGCGTTAATGACGGCAAGAAGTCCAGTAGCATTGGCAGCGAGATATCGCAAGTGTGAAATGAAATCGTCAAAGCAGTTAGCGTATGCGAGAAATATCTGATGAATCCTGGCAGTAACGTGCTACTGTCGAAAATAGGTTGTAATTGTTTGCTATGCACATGGTTGCTGATGTCTTATTTTTTTTTATTGAAAACAAAGAAAAAGCTTTAGTATATCTTTTGCGCATAAGCAGTAATAAGTACTACCGAATACGCGATCCTCTTAACGCAAAAAAAAAGAGTATAGTTTTACTTCACCAAGGAAGCGAATGCTGTATCTTCGCCAAGCAAGTCGTTCCAGTACTTTATACGTGGCTTGAGATCTGATGTATACTGATTCGACTTGTTGTCCCAAACATTGAAGCATCGCGTCGCTCCTTTTGTTCCATGCATCAGGCGAGATTCCCACCAGTGTCCACAGGGCTGTCTGGTAAGTGGGGATCGCGTATAACCAGCGGCGACATACTTTCACACATTCGACACAGCCCGCTGTCCGATAAACGAGAAGATGTACTGAATGATTCGGGAGGCAAAATCGAGATCAAATCAGTCATATTACGTGTATGTGAAAGGGGACGCGCGAAAAGAAATTTGGCACGAGGCTTTTAATCGAACAAAGCCTGTATAACATAATCCGGACTCGTGAAATAATATGTCCGACAAAGGAAAAGCAAGTCGAACCAGGTAGCTCACCTGAATTTTATTTGGAAAAGGGGGACCCTGAAGATTGATCTATTGTAACCACCAGTAACTTCGTTAAATCTATGCTATCATAGCGATACGCAGATACACATTAGAACAGGCTCTTTCTAAAACCATCGACTTCTCGATACGAAGGAAAAGGCTTCAATCAATACTCGGGTTTATTGTTTGCGAGCCGCAAAAGTCATATATAAGTAACGAATCGCTTGGCCTGGAAAACACAGCATCCCTGTGTGTGTGGGTGCGTGCATGTTTTGGTAGAGCAACTATATCATATCTTTAACAGGTCCCCCTGATATCTTTGGTGAGCGATCATCACTTTCAAATAGGTGACGCATACCTTGAAAATATGTAACGAAGTAAAGTTAAATAAGAAAAGGAAGAGAGAAGTGAAGGTGTAAGGGGAGGGAAAGAGCTGTTACAAGAATCACGCTTTAAAAGCAGGCACATCGGAAAGATCAGTGCAAGCTTTTCGATCCAGGTAAAACCCAAAATGATAAGAAAATTGTGTTGTGATAAGCTACGTGCAGGAAGAGTGAGAGAGACGAACAGCTGAAAAAAAAACATTCCAATTTTTTACAGATCTGACAATTATACAGGTCTGCTGGCGTATGCTCTGGCGTTGCCTCTTATAAAATAACCGACCATATCCTCGATAACAATTTTTTTCTTGACAATTGCTTTGGCAATTTAGGCGAACACAGAAAGTGAAAAAGAGTGCCAAAGCATTGTGATCGTGTTACTTTCGGCTACGATACAGAGCCACTGTCACTGTTCCCCGCTTTGTTTAGCACGGAGCTGTGAATGGATGGAGGGGGGAGTAATTAGCTTTTTGTTCGCGAAAAAAGAAAAAGGAACTTGTCGTGCACATAAAAAAAAGGCGAAGCAAAAAGCGGTAAAACGTTTATGCGGAAAGTGCGAAAAAGAAAAATATATTTTTTTTATTTGTTTATCATTTTCTTATTTGTGTGTAATAAATAATAATAAAAAAGTTCGTTTCAATTATCCCAACATATACCGTTGGCATCACATGCACCCGAAGGTTCACGATCGGCTGCCGGAGTATATGACCACATTCCCACTGGTATATATTGCAAATTTTCTTCAGGGCGCGGACCACTGAATCTGCCGATCATCAGAAGAATTATGACAATAGCCAGCACAAGCAATGACCCGATCATGGCACAGAGCAGTGCATCTGTACTACAGACCAAAGCTGTACCAAAACGAACTGAAGAGAAGAGAAAAAAGAAAGGCGAAATTGCTCGCTTTATATAGACATTTTTCTCGTTCGGGACTTCAAATCCCCGTGAATTCTCATTGGCCCAGATAACGGGTTGCGTATCAACTTGTGGGCTGCCTACTATGGCATAACAAAAGATACAGCACCAAAGGAAATGAAAGGAGGAGTGGTACCTGATGGTCAAGTAGACAAGCGTGCTTCGGCGGTAGTGGTACGTGTCTCTCACCATGCGGAGCTGTACCCTCCGATGGTATCGGCGCTTGTTTGTGAGTGGGGCCGTGCACGGCACCGTGTCGAGCAAAAACAAAGACACGAATGTGAATGAGCATGTAGATTCACGGAAGAAATGCTTTTCTGTGAGCAATAAAATGGCAATATAGAATTGTCCGACAAGGTAAACAACTTAACAGATTCTACGGCATCAGTTGCTTAGTAAATATCAAGGACACGATCCTCCCAGCAGCCAGTTTCCATTTCACCCAACAAGATAAACAGTATAAAGCGTAGTCCACAGACGATTCCATTTTGCTAGTATCTTTTGACTGCATGTGCGGTGTGCGGGAATAGATACAACACACACTTGACTCCAACGCTGCAGTGTATCAAAGATCGTTATCTTTTATTGTGAAGCGTGCTTGTCTACTGTTGCTTTATAATTTTCGCCATCCGCCAACAGTTCTCTGAACTACGCCGTGTAACCTCCCTCCATCCATTCCGAATTCATACTCTATCCAAGTATGTATGTGCTGCCGCAGATAAGCTGTCCGCTCATGGTAAGTATACGCTGCCGCTAGTGAAGTTGACTCATCCTTCATTAATTTTCATTGCTGCTGATAAAGTTAATCGGTTCGTTTGTTTTTGTGCGATTCTACGTTCTTTTGAGCAGCGTTCAAGATCCATTGGGACGATCAGGAGAATAACATTATAAACGACGACTTCCTACTGTACATCTTTTGACCCTTTTGCGCGTAATTCGTTGCTCCATTGATCACCTTGTTGACTCGCCATTCCTTTGTGCATTTTGAGTACCAAGTAAATTGGCCAAGCGACGCGTAACAACAATGCGCTTTCACTCTACGGAGTTTTCATTTCAAGGGAAAGCTGTTGGCAACGTTCGAAGTTTGACACACGCATCACTTTGTCACTATTAAAAAAGAAAGATCCGTGTTGCGCTCTTCCTGAGCTCCTCGTTCCTAGACTACCTTTGCTTCCTGCTGATTTACGTCAGTTGTGCTTGTCACAAGTGTGGGTTGATTCAGTCATGGTTGCCTTTTGCATATTACTTTTCAATAATTCGTTTGCATCTCTTTTTTTCTTTCTTTGAGAGTAAGGAAGACTGAACTAGCTTTTGCTCTCTATGTTGCTATTGCCAGGATGACTTTAGCTATATAATCTAGACATCATTATGAATGCTGTTGTCTATTCGTTACCGCATCTGCAGGGTATTACAATGCTATGCAATCCATTGAGCGGGTTGGGATCCAGGAAGCTCCAGTCTTTGATCGGATCCTGTTATACAAAGTACCGCATGCAAATGAATTATTAACATAGATATGGACGTGCATGGTTCACATGCTGCGATATTAAACTTACTAGGGTGATGTTTATATCTTGGTTGACAGCACACAGTAGCAGTCCAGCGTCTTGTATTAGGCTTGCCTTTTCTCTGGCGTTTTGAGCTTGCTATCGTATTGTTGTTCGTTTGGTAAGCATCAAGCTTAAGACACTTGCTTCCTTTACTGAACAATTGCTCATGAGTTTGTTATAGAGTTAAAATAGACAAAGTACTGTAGTAGTTAGAATTTGCCCAGAAAATAGTGAGGAACACTTTCTGGGAACCGCTATATTTCAAGATGCTCTTGATCCCGTATATATCCTAGCATGATAATGTTCCCGCTGCTTACCATAAATCTTGACCTTTGTCAGTAAACTTGACTCCAATAAGTCCTCTGCGTAGTATAACTCTCAAAGCGGTTCGAGTATAGTTGCAGCAGCACGTTGGGCCAATGAAATCCAAGTACCGGGCACTGCCCGACATTAACAGGAACGCGCGTATGCACATACATACAGCATACAGACTGCTTTTTTTGGTCATAAAGGGAGAGGGGAGGAGGCGACGATGGTCTTTCTATTCAACAACGGAAGAAAGAATATTCTCACTTCATTTTTTTTTCTCTCTTCTGTCACAGGAACTATATCATATAGAGTGCGAGGTGATCCCTTTTGTGACGAAAAGAGGTACACAAGCATTTCTGATATATAAGGAATGCATAGGGTAACCAAAAAAAATTAGTCTGTGCTTTCGCTCAGTTTTATACTTTTGCAAACCACTGCCACAGCCATACCTTACCACCACCGCTTCCGTTTACCAGAGTCCTCTCCGTCCTCTTTTGATTTTATTTTACCTTAAACGCTCCTAATAGCTCCTATTTTACGCCTTTCTAATTGATCCTTCTGGCCAAATTGAATCTAGTCATCTTGACGAGCGTTACATGACAACGGCACCGACGACACAGACGACTACAGCCACGGAACAAGCGCCTGTCCAAGACGACGACAACGACAACGACGACCACTCCGTTAGTTTTTCGTCACATGTGAGAAACACAATTCGTCTTTTTCTTTCCCCTTGCAAGCCAAAGTTTGCGTATTTTCACAGACAACGACGACAACGAGAACGAGAACGAACAGCAACAAGAAAAACAACAACAGCAGCGCCTTTCTGCAGCGAGAACAGCAACTGCGCGTGGCATTCATAATGCGTATCTATTCCTTACTACACCCATATCACCGTCGGTAGTAACTACAGCAACAACAACAACAGCAACAGTAGCAACAGCCACAGCAGTAGCAGCAGGATCCGACAAAGAACGTTCGTTTAACAAAGCGTATTCAACAGCACCACCAACACCGAAACTACTCACTCCCACCACTGCTGATGTAATCCAGCAACAGCAGCACCACCAGCATCTATTTGACCGGGCGGCCATTGTCGGTGTTACTCTGTTTTAGATGTCTTTTCGAAATGTTGACAACGGTTCCTTTTCTACTTACAAATTTCATGGAACATGGCCAGCTGCTCTACGGTAAGTAAAAAAAGGTTATTACGGAGCTGTTGTACCCTTCCTTTCCCCCCAAGCACACATGCGTGCACAGCACATTGAGGGAGGGCCTGTAGGACATCATTAAGCATGCTATAACTCTAACAATTATACAGTGCCTTACTTCTTACGAAGTTGGGTGCTCCTGCTGCGAATCAAAAGTGCCATGAAAATCAAAGGCAATTTGCAAATGACAGGTGCGTTTCTAAAACAAAACAGGTGGTTGGAACACATAACATTAAATTTTTCAGAAGCATAGCTTTATTCGCTTATACTCATTAGCTCAATTTCCGATACCCTGATAAACTATTTTGCAGTAGACATAATGTAAGAACCCCGTGGGTAAGCTGCTATGTGGTGGTATACAGTCATAGACAAATGAAAAGTGCTACACCAAGATGATCGAGAGTAGACGATAAAAAACTTGATATACTAAAGCATTATTGTATGGGCTTACTGTGAGTATATGACTACTGAATACTCAGAAATGTCAAAAAAGAAGCTGCAAGATCATGTTATTGTTGAGTGCCAGGCGCATGGTGCTACATATCGATCGGCCCGGGGGGTCCCTGCCTGTACGACTTTGTTGTACGATAATCTTGAAAAATGTGTGCCATGTAGCTTTATGGTGACGATACTGTATCACCTGTAGCTCGATGATAACGACTCTTTCTTTCAAAAGCCTTTGTTTCTTTCTCTCGTTGCGATCATCATCAATGCACCTTAAAAATTTATGACCACTGCAAGCAGCTGCAGCATTCTAGAAAAAGTTTTTGGGCCAAAGAACAGCATAGATCATTGTTTTTATTAAGCGCGAGCTTCTGATATATGGTACATACACGGCTTCTTTGCTCATTGCAGCCTTCAGTTAATGTACTACTGTATATTCAGTGCAGAAATAAATATGTTGTCAGTATAACTTTCCTCAGCTGGATTTCGGAAGAGTATTTATGCGAGGATTTTTCCAGCCAATCAGCGTTTTTCTTCGTTTTCACGGCTTAGCAATGGTGTACAGGAGTTCTCAGCGACCACAATGATCCGTACAAGATGTTGCTGGCTCATAGCATAAACAGTAGAGTCCAATATACAGCTTATGGTAGTATCGAATTCTGATTTGAGGTCTCGCCTTGTTTTCTGCTCGCTTCTGACGCTTATTAACGCTCACTGGTTACATTATAATGATTATTACTCAGGCGATACATCATGGCTTATAAACGATATGTAACAAACATACGAAAAAGTGCTGCTGCTCCTCTCTTTAAACTGTCTGTAAAATGTGAAATCATTAAGTAGATAATCATCTTCTACCATTTATCTAACAAATAGTTGCTCAAAAGTCATGGATCGGCACCCTACTTGCATCGCAAGTTGACAAAAAAAGCGAATGTTATCCCACATGTTGCACTGCGGCACAACCCACTGACTGTTTAATAAACTGTTGGATAAAGGATATATGATGCCGTTGCGATGGACTATTCCTTCTATTGAGATCTCATGGTGCGATATAAAAGGAGATGAAGCCTAAGAACCGGACACATGTGGGGTATATGGCGGCTAATGATTTGTTTGCGGCAAATGTCACAAGTTACACTACTCCTTGTGAAGCCAACATCTACTGTAGGACAAAGATCAAGTTCTTCGGCTAAAGATAAACTGTGTCTCAAGGCACGTTTTATGTGGCGCTGATATAATATTGTCACAGTCTTGAAGTATCATCTATAAGAAGGAAAGTCAAGAATATCATCTTTGTGCATTTATGCCATAAACTGCTATCTACCATCGGTCGTCACACTATCAGAAAAAGATGAGGTTCTCAAGAAAATAAACATGCAGCCAGTTATTGAAACTTCTACTAGTCTGTGTACACATCTCAATGACACATCTTTAGCTATTGATTTTATTTGACGTGTTGAGGATGCGCAAGTTCAAGTTCCTTAAAATGATAGTCAAAATCTATCACATGTCGAAACGCATGCAGCCGGCTCGCGGAACAATGCATATACTCACATACAGACCGCATTTTTCATGCTCGACGAGAATCAATTACGGTTGCATATCTGTCATTTTCAAACTGTGCTAAGCTACCGTCATCTTTTTATGAACTTAGAGAGTCAGCGCATATTCACATTTTTTTGACTTCCAAAAGCACCATCAGCAGCAACAGCAATACTACTAGGCAGGTGTAGAAAATATAGCTCTTTAGGATTTTTCTTTACAAGTTAAGAAAAAATAAATCAGAAAGAGAGAGAACGTTTCTTGCATTTCTCAAAGTTCCCTAGATTCTTTCATCGTTACTTACCGAGATTAGATAATTTCGCACTATTCGTTTTCTTCTGATTTGGATAATGGTGAGTTATAGAGCGTGTGAGATATACCACATCCCTCCTGAGAGACAAATTGTGGCTTCGTGATTCGTATTTCTATTTCAAAACACTACTACACTGTTCCTATGATCCATCAACATTAATAGTAACTAAGATCTACTCGGTACGTGCAAGTACATACATGTTCGACGCAATAAACTTTTTGCAGTGTTAAACCGAACTTTTTGGTGATGCGCCCTTTTTCAACACACGCAACCCATCGTTTGTACCACCTCCATACAGAACAATGAATGTCCAAATATATTCCACGTGTCGTTGTATATACTTGATTAGGCTGTTCATCCACTTGCAAGTGGCTTACCCTTGCCTGCGTACAAAAGAAAAAAAAATCTGTTTATACAATATGAACAATGATCAGCGTAGGTTATTACGCCATCATGCACATCACACCTGATTACCCTGGCCTACGCGATGCACTGCAGACTAAAAGAAGAAAACGATATCTTCACTTATCCTTTGGGCGCGTTCACTGGACCTTGTCAAAATAGCGGGATTTTTTTCATATATGTTGTTTCACCCCAATCCAGCAAAGAAATGAAGAATAAAATGGAATAAAGTTTACAGGGAGAAAAGGCAACGGTAAGTCGAAGTTTGGATCTATCTTTACCCCTACTTGTTGTCAACGGCTTAGAATTCTATATGTTGTGCGCGATGTTTCAACAGTGATAATTGTAGCAGAAGGTTTTCTTGGTAATAGGCGGGAAAAGAAGAGAAACGCAGCAAAGATGGTCGTCACATGGACAGAGCGTCTTGTAGCCAAGTATCAGGATTACCCCTTCAAAAGAAACTTTTTTTTAACATATCCAATAAAAATAAAAAATGATCTCGTTTCGGAATGAAACATGGGGCTAAACGATCGAGGGACTCGGAGACGGTGGAGATGTGTACATGCGCTATGACCTGCGTAAACTGATTGGCGCGAATCAAATAAGCACGTTGTCAACATCGCGCCCACAAATTCGTTTAACTGTTTTCGTAAATTGTCATACAACCTTTGGTACACATACGCGCTTGCACCTTTTCCTTACGTCTTACTACTTAAACTCTTTCTACTGTAGTTTTTATATTGTTATTGTAGATGCAGCATTACGTGCATCAACCGTACCATCGGCACCCAGACCCTCTTGATCAGCTTTATCAACAACAACGAAGCATAGTGAATAAACCCGATGGGACAATATCGAGCAGGTATGTTATTGTTTTTGCTCTTTTTCTTCCTTTTCTCTTCATTCTCCTCGACTTCCCTTTTCACCTTTTTCTCTTCCTTTATTCACTGTTTTGGTTCTAAAGTGACTCTACTTCTATGACACTATCACCGTCTCCCTATGCACGGAAAGCGACATCAAGGGCAGTATCGATAACCTCAACATCGTCATCCTCTAAATCATCCGCTGCTTCTGCTGGTCCGTTTCATCCTCATAGCAGTAGTAGCAGTAGACAACAGTACTCTCACGCCGCGCCAATCATATCATCATCGCGATCTCAAGGAAACTATTCGCCGTCACTCTCGGCGATCTATCAGAAACCACATCATACAACGCCCATCAGCTCATCGTCCGACCTTGCCTCTGTGGTATCCAATTCCAGCGATGCCATAAGCGAGCTCACCACTAGCGCTGCAGCACATCGATCCAACTCGCTACCCGAAATGTCATCAGTGTCGTCTCATCAGCTTCCTCATCAACATGAGACCTCTTCTACTCGACCGTATCTAGCACAGCGTCAACAATACACACAATTGCTATATGCTGGAGACGTTGTTTTGCACGAAAACCCTGACACGAACAAACTGCAGCTGCTGCCAATGAGGAAAAGCAAAAAGGTGTTCCTGGTACTAACGGATACGTGCCTACTGCATTTCAAATCAGCCGCTAAAGCTCATTTAGCAGGCATCGAAATCTCGTTCAACACATCAGCTTCCAAAGATCGGCAGCAACAACAACAATATCCAGCTATCAGAAGCGCAGGAAAAGGTGCCTTGGTGGTGGCATCTCTCAGTGATGTGTATGCAGTCCATATTGTCAATACGATTGCTGAAAGTTACACCTTTCGAATTGATTTTACCGCAGACGATGACACGAAACGTGCTACCGCTGTTGTGGGGCAAGTTTCGACAGCCACCGAGCTTCGACAATGGATCATGTCGCTCCGCAAAGCAACACGTACCCTGGGTCAGCACGTCAGCAACGCTACGATGCAGCGATGTCTCTCTCCCTCAGAACGATATGCAACAATTGATCGTATCAGAAAGCACAACGATGTGCAAGAAGACATGGCCATGTTCAAGGTTGTGTACAAAGAAAAGCGGCGGCAAAGTACAAACGACTTGGTGCCCAAAGATGCCTTTGTCACTGTCATTTTTGCCATTGGCAAATACAGCTTTTATCTGCTGCCATCGTCATCATCTTCGGGAGGTATGCTTACGCCAACAATCAAAGAAACCTCTGGAAGAAGTGGTAAATCAAGCAGTAGCAGAAAAACTGCAGCTGTCATTATTGCATCGTCCTCATTATCGTTTTTGGAGCGCGATCGATACGGTTTGCTCGCCATCAGCGAAATCGAATACGATGATCAAAAAGATGACACATTCCGATTATTGGTGCGACAAGTCAACAAGCCTTTGCTTCAGATTGCGTTGGTGTCAAATTCATGCGAAGTTATCATTCAGAGACTGCGACAGGCCATGGACTCCTTAGCGCCAATCCGAACCACCTACACCTTGCGTCTGCCAGATCATCTGATGAACTCGGCTGTCGTAGCGCTGTCCAGTGCCTCATCATACTATCATCAGGCGGTCATTGTCAAGGCGGCCAACCATGACGATCCAGGGTATGATGAGCAGTTTCTGCAGTTTGAACTCTTGTTGCATGCGCATTGTGCGGCGTTAAACTTGAACAAGTCCCGGTTTTTTTATGATGTGTCCGGTCCGTTGGATGCCAAAAAGTTGCTTCTATTGCCACCGAACGCAGTGAGTCAGTCGGCTGATACTTACTCAAAGCATGAGCTGGTGGCCTTACTTCGATGCCTTTGGCATAATGTAAGCTTGACGTCTATTTTTTTCGCTATTGTAAAGAAATATCACAGAGCTGACAATATTCATTCTGACATATTGATAGCCGTTTTTCAAAGAAATCGTTTTCGCCAATCATTCGCTCGAAGAACTGGATTCGTGGGCAGCAAACAATCAGGACGGATGGGCGATGCATCCGCGTGATATCTCAGCGAAATCATCCAACAGTGTACTTGCAAACGAACTGTATGCCCTCTTTGTGGACACTCCATTGCTTGCCAAAATTGATTTGACAAATTGTCGGGTTGGATACAGCAACGCGGCCAGCAAGATATCGTCACTCGCATCCATTGGCACTGCACTACAGCAAAACGGACGACTCAATCAGATATGCATTGGCAAAAATCAAATGTCAGCATCGGATATTCAGGAGCTTGTCAATGGTTTGCATGCCAGCAAAGGTCTAACCCATTTGGACATCCATGACATGAGCTTGCACGCACGACAAATTGAGCAAATCTTGTCCACATTGCTCAGTTACAGTCCAGAACGGTTAACGTATCTGGATGTTTCGTACGGAGCACGATCGCCGAGCGTATCTCCTGGCCTGATCGAAGCCATTCTCGAGCGATGTACACAGCTTCAAGTATTACGGCTTAAAGGACATCATGACTTGCAGTTTGGTGAGCTCATATTCAAATGTCAGCCGACCTTGGTCGAGCTGGATATGAGCCAGATGCAGCATACGAATGACGACATTTTGCAATTGACGCAATGGATACAGTCTTCGTCCTTCAGCAGCAGCAGTAGTAGTAGTAGTGGTAGTGGTAGTGGTAGCACCAGTACCAGCAGTACCAGCAGCAAGAAGATTGCTACGCATGTACTCAGGCTGGACGACTGTGGACTACATGGTGGTCACTTGGGAATTCTCATGAAGGCGATCCATCCAAGTGGCAATGTGCACCTGAGTTTCAATGGCAATCCAGTTTTGAAGGACGTCGTCCATTTACCCAAACTCTTTCCGGTGTTTATGCACAGCACGCGTGGTCCTACATCGTTGGCGCTTGGCCGAATTGAATGGGAGGAGAATTCGCTGCGCGAACTGTTTGACTGTCTCCAAGATAACCAAGTTCTGACCTGTCTGGATCTGGCCGAGAGTGGATTCGTATTGGGCACAGAAGATTTGTCTCATGATACGGTGCGGGTATTGACTCGCTTGTTTGAGCGCAACACCATGCTCAAGGAGCTGACGTTCCGATCGAGCGCACCATTGCTTGGAAAGGCCATAACACAAGCCCTACATGGACTGAAGAGTAACCGGTCTTTGGAGCGATTGGATTTGACGGGACTGGGGCTGGGCGATGCCGGCATTCAGGCATTAGCGAATGTTTTACAACATAATCGGACCTTACAAGCGCTTGAAATAGATAGCAACTGGGTAAGGCATAGTGACTAAACCTTTTTTTTAAATACTGTATGATCTTATAGCTTGATAACACTTGTATTTGGATAAAATATAGACGACAATACGAGGATTCCGAGATCTAACAACTGCTATTCCAAAGTCTGGGCTGATCGAGCTGTCACGGCCGTACAAAGATCTGCGATACCAACTACAAACACTGCGAGAAACGATTGCGGGTTTGATCCAAAGCGAAAATGAAATGCAATGGTTCATTATCCACTCGACACAGGCTAGCGAAACACGACGCACACGAGCGCAGCTGCAAATGCAAAACCAGACACGACGGTCCGCCGAAGCGAGCTACAGCAAGATAACAGGGGTAGTCAACAAGATGATGCAGGTCGTAGAAGAAAACCACAAGCAATATCAAGTAGAACAGCGACACATTCGTGCCATGCGGCTACAAGCGGAATATGCTGCCGAAGAATTGGCAATTGCTCAGCTGCGACTTCAGTCCGATACGTCCATGGCAAGCCATCATGTCGGCTCGCGGTATACATACTCATCCATCGATAGCGGTGCTACTGGGAACATTAGTAGTCGGTCGGCGTCCGTGAGTACGATAGGGCAGGGATCTGCTGTTTCTGCAGGACAATCAACGACAGCAGGATATCATATCACACAGTCTCCATTGCCCTCACCACCACCTCCCTGGACAAGTTCATCGTCGCCACCATTACCAGCATTTTCTTCTTCAACGTCTACTTCAACAACGCGACATCAACATCATCACCATGATAGTGGCATGTCAATTCAACTTACACCGGCTGAATATCAATATAATACATACCCTTTAACACCAGCATCAACGAGAAGAAGCAGTACACCAGAAGAGTACATTGGACATTACGAAGAAGCTGTTTCCTCTGACATTGCTCCACCGGCTGCTCCTGCTGCAGCTTCTACTATTGTCCTTGCATCTTCATCTCTATCAACACCTACAACATCTGCTGCACCACCTCGACGAACAAGCAATGCAACTACTGCAAGGCGCGTAACACGCCGACGACATGCGACAGAACCCACTGTCAACGAAAACTATGATCATCCTGGATTTGTTGATGACTTTCGCATTATTGTGAGGCAGGAGCTCGGTAGTATCGCAAGACATCAACATCAACAGCACCCGTACTAGTACCTCTGTTGATACGTAACTATTTCTTTTTCTTTTTCTTGTTCCTCTCTTACAACTCTACTTGAAAACGCCCAGTTTTGCATTCCTTTCTTCTCTTCTGTATTATTTGTACTACATACACAAGCCCATCGCTACCTATCCTCCTTCTCCTCTAATATTATATATGACTCTCCAGCAGCAAAATACAACTCACTCCCTCAACACAGCAACTACATGACGATGATGATGATAACTATTTTTATATATACTACAATTTCAATGTACTTCAATTCAATAATATAGCCGATACTTCATTTCTTCCCATCGTGGGGACGATAGCTATAGTAAATAGCATTTATCAATACTTGTCAGTAGTAGGCTCTTATCCTTAGTACGACATTAATATGTATGGGTTGTCTTTTACCTTTTCAATGATACAACTTTCGCTGCCAAAAGCCTGTAGTTGTTGTTGTTGTTTCTCTTTAGACATCATGGCTTGCCAGAGTTCCTCTCTTCGCTTATTTTCTCGAGAAAGCAAGTATCCCGTTAAACCAGAGACAAGGCCCGTTAGGATGGCGCATATCAAATTGAACCCGTTCCCAAAATCTGCAAAAGAAGCAATATTGATATAGTATGATGCAATGTTGTCATCAACAGTTAATACAACGAACGGCTCCTTTTGTTAAACCCCCCCCATCCCTCAGCGAATTAGAATTATATATTACTTACAATAATGAGGGGCGTTCGTGGAAGGATACAGATATGAAGCAATCACGCCACCTGAATTACCAATCATGACGACTAACGCAACTGCAACAGCGCGCACAGATAAGTCTGGAAAGTTGACAGCTGACCAGCCAACGACAGCAGGGCCTTGTAATCCCAGTCCTGCCGGTATAACGAACAATGACCCATAAAGTGCTATAGACATGTTACAGAAAAAATGATACCAACAGGTTCGTTAGATATTAAAGAATTCCTATAATGGCCAAAATTTACAGATCCCTGCTCATGTTGGTGTACATATTACCCCATCGTTGTTGTAATACGAGCATCATTGTATACCCAACCGTGAGAATAAGAGCGCTTGCAACGAGCAATTTTGCTCGACAGTTATCGTATCGATCAATCAAGTAGCCGCTGAAAAGTACCACGGTGACCGCGATAATGTTTGGAGGAGCGGCCAACAGTTGAGAGGTTAATACCGAAAAGCCAAATCCTTATGTATCAAATATAACAAGAATATGACCGGGAGGCAGGTTAGGTTATATGTATTCTGCAGAGTTAGTCTGCAAAAGCCATATGCTACTAGATAACAGTAGCAGAGCAGCAGAAAAGAATATCTTCTTACCGTCAATAATTACCGGAGAGAATATTGAAAAGCTTGAGAAATTGACAACATGCAGCATATACACCAAGGCAAACAACCACATTTTCCAATCCGTGAATGCCTTGTACAGAGCAACCCATTGACCTGTTGTCGTTTTCTTTCCATCACAACTAGTGCCACCACTATGAAGACGGCCATCCTGCTCTTTCTTCTCCGTATCTCTATTCTCTTCTTCGGGCAGTGATGATGATGCGGTACTGTCCATGAGCTGCTGAGCCTGCATACGACAATGCTGTAATTGCTTTTGGGCAGGTGTCAACCACTTGACCTCGTCAACGTTATCGAATAGCAAAAGATAGGATACCACACTCAGGGCAATGGTGGGCACGCCTTCTAAGATGAATAGGTACTGCCATCCATGCATGTTGTTGCGACCTTCTAAGAAGGATGTCCCGTATGCGAGGGGTCCTGATAAAATGCCTGACATCGCAGACATGCACAGCAAGATTGAGATCCGTATGCCTAGTTCTCGGGCTTGATAGACGCGAGACATTTGATACAAAATACCGGGAATATATCCACTTTCGGCGATGCTACACAGTACAGAACGGATGTAAGCTCATGGTTCTTTCCAAAAGTCTCGCGTGCGAAAACCGGAATTTTGCTTTGTAGTGTTGATATAGTATTACCCTAGCAGTAAACGAGCAGCCAGCAGACCACCAAAGCTGGTAACGAATCCCATTACAAGTGTGATAACTGCACATAGTGTTGCAACATAATGTAAGTTAGCGAGAAGCTGATTCAGTAAAATGTTTTTGTTACATATTTTCAAAGGTGTCCAGGTTCAATACCTCCCCAGCATAGCATGATACTCGACAGCCATATCGTTGCACTGGTCTGTTTTAGGATCATGTTGGAAGGTACTTCAAATAAAATCTAATGGTATGAATACATATGTTATCAGTCCCTGTTTCTCTATACACGTCATATATGGTACCATCGTTCTTTACAGATAATGAATCGCATATTTGTCTGCTTCCATACATAGGTAATGTAAAATGCTGAAATTGCGGTGCTCAACTGTGTTGCTGATAACTACGTATGAACGATGAAATTATTGTAAGTCAATGAAATAGCCATGTCATAAAGAACGATAGGAATTCCAATCCATCCGTATGATTCCCTATTTTTAGAGGATGTATCTACATTGAGATCTTCTTCGATACCAGCCAGACTATTATTAATTCATTGTATGAGGGAAGAAAATGAATGTATGTGAGTTTATTCTGTTATTGAATGATGTTTACACAAAAAGAAAATACACTTTACCTTGCATTGCCAATATTGGCTCTATCGAGATAATCAGTAAAATAAAACACGCAAAACAATGGCATCAAATGCCTGTCCAGAGCTCGAACGATCTTTTTTTCTTCTTCTTCTGTCGTGGTTGTCGCATTATTAGTTTGATCTTTCATGATGATTATACTGCTATCAACCGCTCCTTGTTGTCCTTGTTCTTCTTCTTGTTCTTCATCTAGTTCCTCGACCACCGATGGCGTTGTGAAAGCCCTCGTCTTTCTCAAAGGATGATGTTGTTCTAAATGCATTATCAGGATATGTAGGTAATCGACAAAAGAGCAAGTGATAATACAACAGAAAAAAAGAGAGATAAAAAGAAGCATAAAGCCTAGAACAATAAATAGAGCCTTTTGCGTTGCTGATGGTGGTAGGTAGTATTCTTTTCAATATGTCGACACTCCCTATATCTAACCAGAGCCTAGGCAAACTTGTAAAGTCGACATAGGCTGTACTTCTTTTTACTCCTTTAGAGCGATCTATTGGAATACCGGAAATTCGATAATTTCAAACATGACCAGAGTCGCAACATACAGTAAATGGCTTTAACTTTGAGTTCCTGACGCACTCACTCATTTCCTTGTTTCTTCTCCCAAAAAAAAACAAACAAAAGAAAGAGGGACTCACTATGCAAGCTTTGTTTAATAATTTTTTTATGTGAGAAAAAGAGAGGGAAAAAATGAAAGTGAAAAATTTCTTTGATTTTTGCTGTACTATGTATACTTTTAATGTCCATGACCACCGTGAGGATCCTCGCCCTTGGGCTCTGGTGCAACTAAAAAGAATTAACAACAGAATGCGATTAGGACCCTTCTTTAGCACACCACAATTGAGAAACAAACCATCCTTCATAGTAGCGTAGTATCTTACCCTTAATCATATCATCGATTCGCAGAATAGCAATAGCAGCTTCGGTAGCGCTCTTCAAAGACTTGATCTTGGACATGGCTGGTTCCAATACACCGGCGCTCAAGTTATCACGGATACCACCATTGATCAACTCCAAGCCATAGTACTTGAGTGCACGCTTGCGTTCATCAGCACCCTCGTTCAACGCAGCGTTATGGTATGCGCGCAACTTGGAAACCAACTCGGTCGAGTCCTTGGCAGCGTTAACAGCCAAAGTCTTGGGGATTGCCAACAAAGCATTTGCATATTCGGCAATGGCAAGCTGTTCACGCGAGCCCACGCTCGTGGCAAAGTTCTCAAGGTATATGCTCAATGCCGACTCGACAGCACCACCACCAGGCACAACACTGTTGCTCTCCAAGGTTCGCTTGACAACGCACAACGAATCGTGCAAGGCACGCTCCATTTCGTCCAACATGAAGTCGTTGGCACCGCGCAGAATGATCGAGGACGAGTTTTGGATCTTGGTTCCCTTGACGAGGATACATTCGTCGTCAGAGATGCGTTCTTGTACAACTTCATCGGCTTGACCCAAGTACGATGCTTCAAAGGTTTCTTCGCCGTCCAAGTTGGCCAAAGTAGATATGAAGGTGGCTATAAGATTACATACCAGCAGACCATTGTGTTAGTATACACATGCTGCACATGCTCTTTATATCTTCAACCCGTTCCTCTTATTTACAACAAAGAGAAAAAATACTTTACCTCCAGTGGCACGGGCAATACGCTTCAAATCCTCCTTCTTACAGCGACGCACAGCCATGGCACCAGCCTCGACAAATAATTTTAAGCACAAGTCATCGATACCCTTTGTAGTCATAATGACATTGGCGCCAGTGGCGAGGATCTTTTGAATGCGTTCGGTAGTGATTTCGATTTCGCGCTTTCGGATATCTTCAAGCTTGTCTGGATCATCGACGACAATGTTGACACCCAAATGCATACGGGCCTTTTGCAAGTTCATATCGAGACAGGCAATCTTGGCGTTTTGAATGTGGGTCTTCATGGCTTGAGAAGCGACGGTGCAGTTCATGGCATAGCCGCGCACAAACATGGATTCACGGCCAGACTTGCCGTGGGCCTTCAGAATGTTGACTGCCTTGACAGGGTATTTGGTCTCGCCACGGACGTTGGTAGTCTTGACAGCCAACATGGATTCGACAGCCAAGTTGGCGAAGAAATCAGAGTCACTATATGAATTCAAAGAAGGAAAAACACACATTATTTAGTATTATTGAAAAAAAAGATCGCATTCTCCCCTTCATCTTTCTTTTTCCAATCCCACCCATATCTAGGTTCAGTTGTGACCCTTCAAGAAATATAAAATAGGATAACTTACGAGCCAATGATCTTACTGCTCATGGAAGTCTTGGCTGCGTTGACCAAACATTCTTTACCCAACGTATCGACCTTGACGGCCATCTGATCCGCAATAAACTTACATGCCACCTTGGATGCGAGACGGTAACCGGTAATAATAGTAGTAGGGTGAATCTTGTTCTTGACCAATTCGTTGGCACGCTTCAACAGTTCAGCAGCAATCACGACGACTGAAGTAGTACCATCGCCCACTTCACGATCTTGCTGTTGTGCCAATTCAACCAAAACTTTGCCGGCAGGATGTTCGACTTCCAGAAGTTGCAAAATAGTAGCACCATCATTGCTGATTGTGACATCCTATAATATTTTTTTTGGAAATGAAAAACAGGAATGTACGTCAGATTGATTTTCGTCTTTATAATCTAAAAGTGTGAAATTTATGTGTGTTGCATCTTACACCAATCTCATCGACAAGCATCTTGTCCAAACCGACAGGGCCCAATGAGCTCTTTACAATGTTGGCAATAGATGCGGCGGCAAGAACTATATATGCATACGTGTATATGTATCGTGATGAGAATATGTTCCTGTCACTTCTTTTTTTTTCTCGGTGCGTATACGCGCGAGACGAGAAACATAGAAACATCCAATTCAAAATTTACCGTTGCTTGCGCGAACATCTTGACCAGTAGTACGTTCGCCACCGAGAAAGAGCGATGCGTTCTTTTCGCGCTGGATCATGGTTATATAAAAAGGGGATGTAAGAAAAAAAAGTGATCAAATGTCAAAAGATGAGCTATTACCACGCGCGTCCCCTTCACTTTAGAAGTAACAGGTTGCTCCTCCGCCACCGTCTCCGCTCACATGGCACATTCTTTTCTCGTGCTACACACGCACACTTGGATTACTCTGCTTCTCCCTCTTTCTCCCCTTCAATTTCAAACCAATAAGCCACTTGAGTGGTCGTTGGATAACTCTTCTCTTCCATTTATTGATACAGTAGTATATATCAGCTCTTTCGCTGATACGTTTTGTGATGCTGTGGACGTAGTGAAGGTGATGAACCTCTCATAATGTACTGGCGAGACCACAATATACATAATCGACGCAATAAGTCTGAACAATTTGGCTGAGCTTATGACCCACCTAATGAAAAATTAAAATTCCAACTTGCTGTACTTTGGAAAAACGACCACATCAACTGGTTTTTATAACTTTAAAACTAATCACACTGAACGAACGCGTCAGAGAATTGATCTTTCAGTGATGGCTTGATTGACTTCATTATCGTCACTATTGACGGTAGCGCAATTGCAATAGTAATTACGCAAAATCAGAGATATACCTTTTTAACGCATGATATTAATGTAATCAAGTGTCACATTGAGAGACAGGAGCTTAGGTTGGTCCCTCAACAACCATGACATACAACTAAACTTATATAGAGTCTTTTTGTCCCAAGAAAAAATATTAGCGTAGTATGCCTCAAATTGCTACATACTCTTTCTTTCGAGCAGTGTTACAATTGTAAATTGAGCGCAGTGGCTGCATATTGATTTAGCCTCTCAACTTTGATGCATCACCATAATCCTTCGTCGGGTATCATTATCCTCCTTACTGGGAGGATAATACTTTCAATAATTTTGGCTTACATGCTACAGCGCACAACGTGATGCACTTGACCAGTACTGTACTCATCTTCATTTTACGAATATCGTATGTCTCTAACGATCGTATTTACTACGAAATATGTCACATTAAATCTTTGAGTGGTCATTCTATATCGAAAATGTTTCTATTTATTTATGAGCTTATGCTATGTTGGTTTTATCCCTATTATGTTGTCTACGTTTCAAAAACTGCTTCTAAGTGTATGTGCGGACTGAGAGAAAAGAATTAATACAAAAAGAAACCAAAGCTTGTTCAGTGATCGACCTCAGAACACTACCGCGGTTGATGTGTGTTATTTTGCTCGGTTGAATACCAACAGCTCGGAGCGCTTCCTGATGTCCATCTCTTTGCGTATTGTAAGTGATAGCTTGTATACGGTTGACACCCTACAAGACGTGTATGTCGTACCAATGTCTGCATGATGTGAAATCCGGGAACTCTTCCTTTTTAATATGCCAGCGGCTCCAATCGGACAAACTTCTGCACGGCGGTGTCTGATGGCAGCACCGTACTCGACTCTTCCATGCTGATTGGTCTTCTCTGCAGTTCGAAATATTCGTCATGCTTATAGCTTCTCGCCGCACCTAGATACAGTATCAGTGTCTCCGTTGTGGTATTTGAAGGGCCAATGACAGTAACAGCCGTCTATGTACTGCCACGTACGAATATCACTGACATAATTAATGCCCTCCAACAACTTCTGTCAAGTCACGCAAATACAACGCATGTCATAGCTGGCGATTTCAATTTCAACTTCTCGCCTAGAAGTGCTAGATAATGATGGGATAGGCTCCGCGGGTAGGCTACTAGACCTGCAGTCTGCCGCAATTTACCAAGTCATTGGGGCCATACGCGAAAAGGTTCGCATAAGCAGCGAGCGTCTTACGGATCCTGTCAAGGTGAGCTGTAGGGATGATGTTTCGTAGCCAAGGGAAAAGAGCTGATTGTTCTTGATTGTTGTCGACCCACAAGCGGTCGCGTATCGCTTGAGCATTTCGAGTACCGTCTGATATTTATTAAGTTATATGCCGGTATGAGCATCCGAATTGCAATACATCTGGTATTGAAGAAGATGTCTTATAAATACAGAGTTGCGGACGGTGTGTATATTATTGTGTGATATATCTTAAGAAATAAACAGAGTGAGAAAGGTTTTAGCAATTGCTCAGTATTCTGCCTATGTAAAATTGTGCTGTTTGTTGGCTTATTATCACGACACATCAGTGATAGGACATGCATTATTTATGGAGCTATTAGGAGTAGCGCTCTAATAATAGACAGTGAAGAAGCATAAAGAAGGATAGCGCCACCATCTCGTACGTGCGCATTTACAGCACTTATTGTAACCTTTCACGTATTACCTAATAAAGTAATATACCGCCTTTTCTCCCTCTACTCCTCGTTCCTGGTTTTTCTTTTTTCTTCTCTTCTCCCTCGCTTGTGGCTCCTAGCTCCTCCCTCCTCTATACTACTTTTTTGTAAAACACAAAAAATAGAGTCAATTCTTGTGTGCTCGTTTGCGCAAAGTGTAGTGCATGAATGCTCGTCGACTTTCAGCCGCCCGCTCCTAGTGACAAGTGCTACAAACTAGTATGCCGCGCCAACGATCTTTATGAGCGTCATCTCTATACCGACGCTGCAGCCGAATATACAAAAGCCATTCACCTATCTGCACACGAGTGTACGAACGAATTCTTGGCGTTACTTTACTCTAATCGAAGTGCTTGTTATTGGCAAGCAAAACACTATGCTAATGCGAGGGATGACGCGAATCGAGTCTTGGAGTTCTGGCCAACCTGGGCCAAGGTCAGTAATTACAAGCTTTTCCTGTCTCTCGTTGTCAAAGATATCTAAAAAAAGAAAGGAGAAATTGAATAAGTAAAGGATTGGTGTTATGCGTCTACAAACAATAGGGATATTTTCGATATGCCGAAGCACTGATGAAATTGCGGCAGTTTGACGAAGCACTTACCTATTACAAACGAGCTTTGGAAAAGGTATACATATCAAGTTAGTGAAGGTGTCACACAGATAGATTGCTCTTTAGTAATCAGAATGCGGGCTCTTTTTCTGTCTTTCAATAACGGCGGCTGTAGGATCCAGAAAATGGAGAGATCAGTGCAAGGATCGCCAAGGCATTGTTGGAAAAGGATAATCGAGCCATGGGCCTGAATATTGTGCAAATAATGCCAGGACGCGACATTGCCATTAAACGCAACTTTCACAAGCCTATCCAGAACCGTATCTACGAGTTCGCCCAAGTGATGCGTAATATTATCTATATCGTTGCCGATCTAGAAACAAAGCATTGTGTAGTAGTGGATGCGGCAAGTATATCAATTTTTATTTGGAAGAAAGGGGTGGAAGGGAAAGAGTTGGTTAGCGGATACAGTAGTGATAAGCAGCAGTAGTTGTACTAGTGCAGGAGCTGACACCTTGGCGAGGTTATGGAGGAAGCAGAATGTTCTAAATTTATGCAAAAATTATATTCTTGGTTAGGGCAGTGCTGGGATATCGATGGGATTTTCCAGATTGTTGAAGAGTACGGCTACCACATTGTTGCTGCCGCAGTGACGCATTACCATTTTGACCATGTTGGAGGATCGCCTCCTCCACCCTACGACACCTTACCCATCAAGATTGCTGGCCTGGCCAACTTGTTGAAACGATTACCCTATATCAAAGCCTATGTGAATCCACACGATATACCTTATATCCGCCAAGCGAACCCAACGATTCCAGCGAACCGACTCGCATCAACGTGTTCAGACGTGACAGAGACACTAGAGATTGGCAAGACTCGGATCCGGTTTTTACCGACGCCAGGACACACGCCCGGCTCACAATCATTGTTGATCAACGATTGTCGGTTATTAGCGGGAGACACACTACTGTGTGGCTTTTGTGGTCGGACGGATCTACATGGCGGTGATAAAAAGGTCATGGAACAGACGCTAAGACATACTCTCGGGCCATTGGATGACCGCGTGGTGGTGTATCCAGGCCATCACTATGGCTCAGAATGGTCGACTGTTGGAATTGAACGCGACAAAGGTTGTTTGGGAGATGATCTTGTTGGTTACGGAACAAACAACAACATCATATCGTCGTCGGCGTCGGCGTCGCATGGAGCAAGTACACATCATGCCAATGGATCTTCCACATCCTTAGCGTCTAAACTGAGTCGCTCGTGGTCAAGGAATAAGCGAGCAGCAGCATAACTTATTAGCATCATTATCATTATCATCATTCTCATTTTTGACGTTTTATATTTCTGGCATCTTATCTAGACTTCTTTATTACTTTCTCATTTTTTTGCACACACAATACATATGACGTGTCTTTTTCAAATGATTGAATAGATTCGCTAATAACAGTATCGTATACCCTCTCATAAAGCTTTCTTTCCTTTCTCTTTTTCCCTCACTTACCCTCTTTTAATAATAGGCATCAACTACACTTTTTTGAACCGAACAAGAAAACTGATGGTGTCACGAAATCAAAAGAAAGGTGGTACGAAGTCATCAAACGCTTAAACTATCTGTTTTCTTTCTTTGTTACACGTTACATGGATCACCTCTTGATAATATGTTTCTGTACCATTTGTGGTCACTTAGAAACACATCGAACCACTCAACCACGCCTTGTTCTCGAGGCAAATTTAGAAAGCATGCTACCCGTGTTAATTCAGCAGCAATGGCTTGGTCTTGAAATTATAACCTCAGATATGAAACAGAAAAGGAGGGGTAGCAGCCGCGCGGGATAGAAGATTATATAGCGGAGCATACCGTGCTAGTGCAATGTATGAGACAGTAAGGCACGAGAAGAAAGAAAGGTACCATTTAGCCTTGGCACCATGTGAATATGCAATGCTATTTAAAACTTGTTGGCATGTATAGTACATGAAACAATGTAGCGTCTTGTGGAAAGCCAAGGAACCGACGGATTGCTTCTCCATATTCCTTTGAGAAATCCGTCAAAGCTGAGAAGTTCACATGAGCAATCCAGCAGCGAACTATGGTCTATATAGCTCAGTGTCACCTTTTTTATTTTAAGCCATTGGGCCTGCGTGTTGTTTTTAGCTCTAGCTCTCTCTTTCTTTCTTCTAATCCTGTTTAGCCCTTTTTTAAGCACACTCCTTTGAACTACTCTTACACTATGAAAAACTTTTCGGTCGAAGTAGGCCCTGAACAACCGAACGGCGGTCGTATCCGACGCGCCACTTCTTCACCCGACGCACTCGTCACTATTCCTGACCCAAACGTTCGCACGCTCTATGATGTGCTCGAAAACAGCAAAAACAAATACGGAGACAGGCGCGCCTTTGGATTCCGCAAGGTCGAGCAGATCATTGAGGAAGAAAAGGAAATCATCAAGGTCATTGACGGTGTTGAGCAAAAGACGAAAAAGACCTGGAAGTATTTCCAGTTGTCAGGTTACCAATACCTTAGCTATAACGCTGCTTCAAAACTTGCTCATGAAATCGGTGCTGGCTTTGCTCATCTTGGTTTGACATATAAAGCAAAAGTCGAGATCTTTGCTCCTACAAAGTAAAGTGAATGAGGAGAAAAAGGGGGGCAGGTAGAAGAAAGAAGGACTCAATTATTGTTTATTTTTCCAGTGCACATTGGTTGGTGACAGCACACGCCCTATTTACGCAAGGATCGACAATCGTAACAGCTTACGATACGTTGGGCGAGGAAGGGCTGTTGCATTCAATGAACGAGACGGAGGTGGAGGCTATCTTTACGACAGGTGAACTGTTGTCGACTGTTGCCAACGTGATTGATAAATGCCCTACCTGCAAATATGTCGTATACAACGGTGAAGCGACCGAAGAGGCAATCAAAAGCGTCAAGAAGGGATCCGTCGAGCGGGTTGTGTCCTTTGATGAATTGGCCCGCATTGGTAAAGAACATCCTTGTGAGCCTCGCAAGCCAGAGCCCGAGGATCTGTCCTGCATCATGTACACCTCTGGCAGCACTGGCAATCCCAAGGGTGTCATGCTTACTCACAAAAACATTGTCGCTGCTAGTAAGTTATATCCTTTTTACTACAACCCACCAATTCCCAGAAAATGCGCACTGAAAACTGATGTACACAGTCGGAGCCTGTAACAAACTTTTGGGCCACTTGGTTACTTCAAAGGATAGCATGATGGCATATCTGCCACTAGCCCATATTCTTGAGTTTGTCGTGGAGAATGTGTGTATTTTCTGGGGTGTTACACTTGGTTATGCCTCAATCCGTACCCTTACCGACAACAGTGTCCGCAACTGTAAGGGCGATATTAAAGAGTTTCGGTAAGTGCTTTATCTATCTCGCTACATGGCATCATATATGTTCGCCTCAATTTGTTGTTCTATCTGGGAGGGAAGGTGGAGTGCATTTGACTACTTCTTTAACTCTCTGCATTGTGTTCCGGATGTATAACCACGCAGACCGACAGTGATGACCGGTGTTCCTCAAGTATGGGAATCCATCCGAAAGGGTGTTTTGGGCAAATTGAACGAAGCGTCTCCTCAGGCGCAAAAGATTTTTCACAAGGCATTTGCAACCAAAATATGGCTTATGGAACGTAAGCTTCCTACCGGCTTTTTAGACAAAACGGTGTTTGGAAAGATCAAGGAGCAAGTTGGTGGCAGACTTCGGTTCGCACTCTCCGGTGGTGCCCCTGTCTCCTTAGAGACCCAGCGTTTCTTGTCGGTAGCCTTGTGTCCTATTCTCGGTATAGTGCTTTCTGGTTTTGTTTTGTTTTGTTTTATGTTTTTTTTCAAACAACAATCATATCCATTTGATAAAATAGAGATATACACCTAACTTTTTGATTGTTGTTTTTTGGATGAATTTAGGTGGTTATGGCATGACAGAAAGTAAGTGAATGGGTGAGAAATGATCATCGAGTTGTTAGAGCCTAATAACTAACGGACGTCTTATGATCAGGTTGCGGGTAAGACGAAGCACAACACTCTTGCTTATTCTGGATTCATGGAAAATAGGAAGAGGAGTATGCTGATGTTTGGAATATTCGGTTTGTATCATTTAAAGCATGTGCGGTATAGCGTCACCGGAGCAATTTGCATACGGTATAGTTGGTGCGCCAGTACCATGCTGTGAGATTAAGCTCGTCGATGTGCCTGACGCCAACTACTTTTCAACAAATACACCAAAGCCTCAGGGTGAAGTTTGGGTAAGCTACGATTTAATTTTCTCTACCTCTAATACTAAGCACATCTTTCTCACGTTCTGTTATTATTATTTGCAATTCTTAATCGGAGATAGGTCAGAGGCCCTTCTATCACATCTGGTTATTGGAAGCGTGAAGACTTGACCAAGGAAGCACTGACGGAAGATAACTGGCTTCAAACGGGTGATATTGCCGAATGGAACGCCAACGGCACATTGACCATTATCGATCGTAAAAAGAATTTGGTCAAACTCAGCAACGGTGAATACATTGCATTGGAAAAGCTTGAATCAATCTACAAGAGCTGTGTTTATGTCAACAACATTTGTGTCTATGCCGACTCGTTGTGTGCACGACCCGTCGCATTGGTTGTACCTGTCGAGGCTCCTGTTCGCAAATTAGCAGGCGAACAAGCAATTCCATCGGATGAATGGGCGGATATCTGCAGGGACCCATTGATCAAAAAGACTATCTTGGCCAATCTGCTGAAGACTGGCAAAGATGCAGGTCTCAAGCCTGCAGAGACCCTGTTCGATGTCTATTTGTGTGATGAGGAATGGACCGTCGAAGGTGGTTTGATGACGGCCGCACAGAAATTGAAGCGAAATGATATCGTAAAGACATTCAAGGAGCAGTTGGATGCCATGTAAGTATTTAGTAGCAGAAAGAAGGAACAGTAATATGTCCGCGTGAGCCATGCTAATTCTATTGCTGCTCTTCATAGGAACGCTGCCCAAGGAAAATAATTTACTATACTCATTTCTCTATTGCTTGCTATATTACTCTACTCATCATTTTAAGCTAATATCATTACGTACCCATATCACTTTAATTTCGATAAAGTCCTTTCTTTCTTCCCTCTCTCTCTTCATCCTCGTGATAGACTGTTTTCTAACCCTGAAACCTACCGGAGTCCAGTAGAGCTACTTTGAGTTGTGCAGTGAACATTTGAATGAATTGAATCAAAAGGGAGAAACAGTGATGTGCTGTTGCTCGTAGTTTCTAAAACGAGCGCTCGATACATTTGTTGAAGTGAATTTGTATAGCAGAAAACAAAGAGTCGGTAATAATACATTGAGGCCGTCCTTTTGCATGTAGATTAAGGCAGAAACTTCACCTGCATACAATAAATGGATGTAAACAAAAGCAGTGGAGATGTTTGGTTTGAGCGATTTATTGTCCTTGTATCCATTGAATGATACATCTTCATCATCCCACACATGGGGTAATATATATATAGAAATATGCGCTCCTCAAGAAAGTGATAGTATAATTCAACATAAGAGCAATGACTTTGTCTCATTTCATTTAGTTCTCTGGACTATCACGTCGTTTGAATAGACTTAGTGCGAGCTGTTTGTACCGCTCGTTTGATAGGGATAGCATGTTGAATACGACAAAATGGGTAGGTATATTCATGTTATCTTTCATCTGTGTCGAGGACTGCACGGTTTATTGTTGTCATCGTCTTAAATTTAAATTTGGCATATTACCGCCGACATAGTATCGCAACCAACGATAAATAAATACTTTCGAGTCTCAAAATTGTTAGTGCCTACCTTTACTCATACAAAATTTCCTTTTCCTAAGCATCCGCAAACATCGACGTTATCTGACAGCCAGTTAGCATATATTTTTTTTCAGATACTGCTATTGGATATTTTTTTGGAAACGGGAATTCGACCGTGTTTATAAAACTTGAAGAGATTATATCAGAATTTTAATCGCAAAAGAACCGTTATATGAAGGCGGTACCAGATGTTCCGTATTGCCAAATCAACCCTAAAAGTCTGTATGGTCAAGCTGCAGATATTCCACTGGATGACAAGGTGAATTCCGCTGAACGTGTGGTAGAAGTCCTGAAAGAACTACAATGAAAAGCTACCTTTACCATATCCCAAGGCATTTTAATGATAACAATACAGTAGAAGATATAAACATCACCCTAGTAAGCTTCCTGGATCCCAACTCCGCTCAATGGATTGGATAGCATTGTAATACCCTGCAGATGCGGTAACGAATAAACAACAGCATTCAGGATGTCTAGATTATATAACTAAAGTCATCCTGGCAATAGCAACATAGAGAGCAAAAGCTAGTTCAGTCTTCCTTACTCTCAAAGAAAGAAAAAAAGAGATGCAAACGAATTATTGAAAAGTAATATGCAAAAGGCAACCATGACTGAATCAACCCACACTTGTGACAAGCATTTACTGACGTGAGTCAGCAGGAAGCAAAGGTAGTCTAGGAACGAGGAGCTCAGGAAGAGCGCAACACAGATCTTTCTTCTTTGGATAGTGACAAGTGATGCGTGTGTCAAACCTCGAACGTTGCCAACAGCTTTCCCTTGAAACGAAAACTCCGTAGAGTGAAAGCGCATTGTTACGCAACGATTTGGCCAATTTACTTGGTACTCAAAGTGCACAAAGGAATGGCGGGTGAACAAGGTGATCAATGGAGCAACGAATTACGTGCAAAAGGGTCGAAAGATGTACAGTAGGAAGTCATTGCTTATAATGTTACACTCCTGATCGTCCCAATGGATTTTGAACGCTGCTCAAAAAGAACTTTATCAGCAGCAATGAAAGCCAGTGAAGGGTGAGTCAGCTTCACTAGCGGCAGCGTATACTTACCATGAGCGGACAGCTTATCTGCTTGGATAGAGTATGAATTCGGAATGGATGGAGGGAGGTTACACGGCGTAGTTTAGAGAACTGTTGGCGGATGCATGGCGAAAATTATAAAGCAACAGTAGACAAGCACGCTTCACAATAAAAGATAACGATCTTTGATACACTGCAGCGTTGGAGTCAAGTGTGTGCTGTATCTATTCCCGCACACCGCACATGCAGTCAAAAGATACTAGCAAAATGGAATCGTCTGTGGACTACGCTTTATACTGTTTATCTTGTTGGGTGAAATAGAAACTGGCTGCTGGGAGGCTCGTGTCCTTGATATTTACTAAGCAACTGATGCCGTAAAATCTGTTAAGTTGTTTACCTTGTCGGACAATTCTATATTGCCATTTTATTGCTCACAGAAAAGCATTTCTTCCGTGAATCTACATGCTCATTCACATTCGTGTCTTTGTTTTTGCTCGACACGGTGCCGTGCACGGCCCCACTCACAAACAAGCGCCGATACCATCGGAGGGTACAGCTCCGCATGGTGAGAGACACGTACCACTACCGCCGAAGCACGCTTGTCTACTTGACCATCAGGTACCACTCCTCCTTTCATTTCCTTTGGTGCTGTATCTTTTGTTATGCCATAGTAGGCAGCCCACAAGTTGATACGCAACCCGTTATCTGGGCCAATGAGAATTCACGGGGATTTGAAGTCCCGAACGAGAAAAATGTCTATATAAAGCGAGCAATTTCGCCTTTCTTTTTTCTCTTCTCTTCAGTTCGTTTTGGTACAGCTTTGGTCTGTAGTACAGATGCACTGCTCTGTGCCATGATCGGGTCATTGCTTGTGCTGGCTATTGTCATAATTCTTCTGATGATCGGCAGATTCAGTGGTCCGCGCCCTGAAGAAAATTTGCAATATATACCAGTGGGAATGTGGTCATATACTCCGGCAGCCGATCGTGAACCTTCGGGTGCATGTGATGCCAACGGTATATGTTGGGATAATTGAAACGAACTTTTTTTTTATTATTTATTACACACAAATAAGAAAATGATAAACAAAATAAAAATATATTTTTCTTTTTCGCACTTTCCGCATAAACGTTTTACCGCTTTTGCTTCGCCTTTTTTTTATGTGCACGACAAGTTCCTTTTTCTTTTTTCGCGAACAAAAAGCTAATTACTCCCCTCTCCATCCATTCACAGCTCCGTGCTAAACCAAAGCGGGGAACAATGACAGTGGCTCTGTATCGTAGCCGAAAGTAACACGATCACAATGCTTTGGCACTCTTTTTCACTTTCTGTGTTCGCCTAAATTGCCAAAGCAATTGTCAAGAAAAAAATTGTTATCGAGGATATGGTCGGTTATTTTATAAGAGGCAACGCCAGAGCATACGCCAGCAGACCTGTATAATTGTCAGATCTGTAAAAAATTGGAATGTTTTTTTTTCAGCTGTTCGTCTCTCTCACTCTTCCTGCACGTAGCTTATCACAACACAATTTTCTTATCATTTTGGGTTTCACCTGGATCGAAAAGCTTGCACTGATCTTTCCGATGTGCCTGCTTTTAAAGCGTGATTCTTGTAACAGCTCTTTCCCTCCCCTTACACCTTCATTTCTCTCTTCCTTTTCTTATTTAACTTTACTTCGTTACATATTTTCAAGGTATGCGTTACCTATTTGAAAGTGATGATCGCTCACCAAAGATATCAGGGGGACCTGTCAAAGATATGATATAGTTGCTCTACCAAAACTTGCACACAGGGATGCTGTGTTTTCCAGGCCAAGCGATTGGTTACTAATATATGACTTTTGCGGCTCGCAAACAATAAACCCGAGTATTGATTGAAGCCTTTTCCTTCGTATCGAGAAGTCGATGGTTTTAGAAAGAGCCCTGTTCTAATGTGTATCTGCGTATCGCTATGATAGCATAGATTTAATGAAGTTACTGGTGGTTACAATAGATCAATCTTCAGGGTCCCCCTTTTCCAAATAAAATTCAGGTGAGCTACCTGGTTCGACTTGCTTTTCCTTTGTCGGACATATTATTTCACGAGTCCGGATTATGTTATACAGGCTTTGTTCGATTAAAAGCCTCGTGCCAAATTTCTTTTCGCGCGTCCCCTTTCACATACACGTAACATGACTGATTTGATCTCGATTTTGCCTCCCGAATCATTCAGTACATCTTCTCGTTTATCGGACAGCGGGCTGTGTCGAATGTGTGAAAGTATGTCGCCGCTGGTTATACGCGATCCCCACTTACCAGACAGCCCTGTGGACACTGGTGGGAATCTCGCCTGATGCATAGAACAAAAGGAGCGACGCGATGCTTCAATGTTTGGGACAACAAGTCGAATTAGTATACATCAAATCTCAAGCCACGTATAAAGTACTAAAACGACTTGCTTGGCGAAGATACAGCATTCGCTTCCTTGGTGAAGTGAAACGATACTCTTTTTTTTTGCGTTAAGAGGATCGCGTATTCGGTAGTACTTACTACTGCTTATGCGCAAAAGATATACTAAAGCTTTTTCTTTGTTTTCAATAAAAAAAAATAAGACATCAGCAACCATGTGCATAGCAAACAATTACAACCTATTTTCGACAGTAGCACGTTACTGCCAGGAATCATCAGATATTTCTCGCATACGCTAACTGCTCTGACGATTTCATTTCACACTTGCGATATCTCGCTGCCAATGCTACTGGACTTCTTACCGTCATTAACGCATCTTTCAGTGATGTTTGATGGCCGCACTAACTTATCAGACGCTACTCTTGAACAAGTTGATGGCAGAAGCAGACACAAAAGGCCACCGATACACAACATTATCTTCTTAAGACTGGACGGTGTTCTCAGTTTTAAATACCGGATCCGTCCCTTATTGCAGCGTTGCTCCCACATCAAGTACTTGATATTATCGCCTTACTCACGATTCAACAACGTATCTCCAACCAACATCTATACAGCTTATGAGCTGTGCCCTCTATTACGCTACATTATGTGGGAATGCAGCGAACCAGTCATAGCAGACAGATGGATTTCACTATCAAGAAGCACGAGTGCTTATATTAAGTAACTGAAAGGAAAGCATCGAATGATGGCGAGGAAGGCAGTATGGCTTATGAACTGCTATTCAACGGCAAGGGACACGAGAGGATCATGCCGATAGTAGTAAAATCGCAGCCGATACTAGAACATTTACGTATAGTCGCCTGTGGTCTTTCTGATATTCATTGCTGGGATGTCTTGGCACGCAACCAATTCACACAGCTGACAAGTTTGGGGTTGACGGACATCACTGGTATGTCAAGCGAAGATTGGTCCCAGATTTTGCTCATGCAGCAACAAAATGAGATCTTGGAAGTTGGAAATCGCGCTGGAATAACGCAGTATCTGAACAGCATTATCGCAACCATCGGTACGCTGCAACGGCTCCGTATACTTTCCTTGCGAAATTTCCTTCACATGTTCAGCGAGAATCCTCTTTGCGATCTTACTCCGCTTCGACGTTTGCAACAGCTTGAAAAAATGCGTCTCACGAACATACCCATCGACAACCAAGGTCTAATGCAGTTGTGCGAACCATCACAGCACCCACTAGTCAGGAGATTAAGCTTGAACCCGCACATCACCGTACAGTAATAGTGTCGACGACTTTCTCACAGAGGCAGGATGGATTGTGTGGGCACAACGACTTGAGGAAACCAAAATACTGAATCTGGAACCGACAGCCGTGAAAGGTGTTACTGGTGCTGTCCTTGAGCATTTTGAACAAGTCGAAAGCTCGGTGCTATTGCGTGTTTCACGGATCTATAGTCTCACCAATGCAGGCATCAATGCTTTTCGTATCATTGAAGGATCTAGTAAAAAGATTGAAGTCGTGGGGTGTTCAGGATTATCTCGGACAGATGATCTTCGTATGCCATACAACATATATTTAATAGTTGAGTACCATTGCGGTGATATTTGCAGTCTGGCTTGTACTTTTATTTATGATGAGCTGATAAACAATATTGGCAGCATGTTTAATTAATCAGTTTTCCAGGTTGGATTGTTGTGATATCTGTATAGTCAAGCATCGATTTGAAATGTTTACATATACACTTACTAGATCCAGGATTGATGGAAAGGCAGCACGATGTGGATCTGGTCGGCAGCGAGTCTGGTGCCCTTTCAAACCTGAGCGAAAGCACAGACTAATTTTTTTTGGTTACCCTATGCTTTCCTTATATATCAGAAATGCTTGTGTACCCTTTTTCGTCACAAAAGGGATCACCTCGCACTCTATATGATATAGTCTCTGTGACAGAAGAGAGAAAAAAAAATGAAGTGAGAATATTCTTTCTTCCGTTGTTGAATAGAAAGACCATCGTCGCCTCCTCCCCTCTCCCTTTATGACCAAAAAAAAGCAGTCTGTATGCTGTATGTATGCGCATACGCGCGTTCCTGTTCATGTCGGGCAGTGGATTTTTAATGCCCGGTATTTGGATTTCATTGGCCAACGTGCTGCTGCAACTATACTCGAACCGCTTTGAGAGTTATACTACGCAGAGGACTTATTGGAGTCAAGTTTACTGACAAAGGTCAATATTCATGGTAAGCGGGAACATTATCATCTTCCACATGCTAGGATATATACGGGATGAACATCTTGAAATATAGCGATTCCCGGAAAGTGTTCCTCATATTTTCTGGGCAAATTCTAACTACAGTACTTTGTCTGTTTAAACTCTATATGTAACAAACTCATGAGCAGTTGTTCAGTAAATGAACCCAGTGTCTTAAGCTTGATGCTTACCAAACGAGCAACAATACGATAGCAAGCTCAAAACGCCAGAGAAAAGGCAAGCCTGATACAAGACGCTGGAGTGCTACTGTGTGCTGTCAACCAATACAGGAGATAAAACAATACTCTGTGCAGTTTTACATAGAGTAACTTCTCGCTGTAAGATCTTTATAACTTCTACAGCAGATTGCTCTGTTGAACGCTCATAATGCTACTTAATTTTGCTGTTCGTATTATAGAACCACTGCAACTAAGATAGATATTTGCTTGACCGCAAGAGAAAGATTGCTGCAGCTTACTGCACACGAAAGTCTGTTACAGCAAAGGATATTAGCAGAACAATTTTAAAGGGAACATGTTATGTACTGATGAAATCATACGACCAGCAACACCACTAATGTATCCTAAACTCTAAACTGGTCTATTATATTATCTCAAAGAAACAAAATTAGTTTAAGCCATGGATCCTGGGCCAGCTTAAACACAGCACAAATTAAATGTTCAGGCGTTTTCACACAATGAGACGTGTCTTTGATATAAAAGACGAACTATCGTATACGTAGAAGTCATCATTTAATCGCAGGCTATGATTGTAGTTATCTAACGTAGCTTTGTTTCTAGCTGTACTCTTGATAAAATCTGTAATCGAAAGTGTTTTTTTTCTATGGATGATTTTATCGACGGGTGAGGGCGACAACAACAACTGTTGTGAAGGAATGTTGTAGCACTAAGTTCATCGGTTATTTTTAATAAACGCATTCTTCGTTTGTTATATGCTGCTACACATAACTGTCTTGACGTAATGTGCAGTATACTTATTGCTAAGCATCACTCCCCACCAGATCTTTATCATATCGTTATGGTAACCACCATCATTATCCGCAGTATCTTATTATATATAATTTCAGCTTCACAGGAAGAAATAAAAAAGGCGTCGCCTTATTTAATAAAACCTCATTTTATGATTATTTATTTCTCTCTACAATTATTTTTGTGGCTATACTTCTTCATGGTCTCTATCTGTGAGATACACGGCAAGGAAACAAAAGGCTTTCTGAAAAAACACAAAAGGTTGATCAGATCGTATTGATCTGATGCTGCTCACTAGAGGGATCGAACCTCTGACCTTGGCGTTATTAGCACCACGCTCTAACCAGCTGAGCTAAGCGAGCTTCTTGTATGAATTGCATTACGGTAATACATACACAAAGTTTCAATTGACTAGTCACGTGATGTCTTTACATAAATCTAGGCCTTTATGAGTAACAAAAACTTCTTATTATAATCACATTTACATTAAAAATGAGATGTAGCTATTTCCCTACATTACTACTAACTACTATAGGTAATAAGTACACAATCTAGTAGTTTCTTTTTGAATTGGAAGTATTATATAAAGTCTGAAATAATTATATATATTCTGATACCTTGAAATCCCATCTATTTGCACTTCTGATTACGATTTATAGATATACCGTAAATGCCATGCCTTTAGCAGTAGGGTAGTATCCTTGTGCAGTCGACTATGTATCATCGATTGCTAAAATACTTTTCTGTATTATTATTTATATTTTTTGAAAAAAAAATTAAAATAACATACAACTACATCTTATTCAAAAAAAGAAGAGAAGCTTAGCTACATTACTTATTGTATAAAATTTAAAAAACAGATAATATAGTAGTTATTCAAAATGAAACAGCGGTAGTGAATGGCTACTATTCACTAAACTCATACACTTACTATATTGCTCTTATTATCTATAATGATGAAATTGTTATGAACATTCCTCGACCTCCACTAAGTGATCGTCATCAACCTCGATGATCACTTATTAAATCCCCAAGTAACAATATCATCCATCATCACCGTCTGAATTATCAACCCTAATACCAATCTTTTCGTTTATTCGCATTATTAAATTATATATAAACACCATAGTCTTTGAATAATAAAACATCAGTCAGATATCTTGTTTCCATCCTATATCTTGTTCCTTACATCCTCTCTCATCATCTGCTCTCCTACCTCCAGGTTTCCTTCTTGTCTTATCCTGTTCTTGCTGAAAGCACCTAGCACATTCTCGTCCGGTCTTTCTGTCCTCGTCTTGTCTTGTTCCTGTCCGCACCTTACATCGAAGGTTGATATTATTTGCTGTGTAGGGCCAGGTTGCTCAAGCTTTACATATATTTTGGACATATATAATACTGAATGATTATTATGAATAATGAAGTCTTACTATATTTCATATATTCAAAAGTGACAGCAGGCAGTTTATATTAAGGCATTTACTCTATTGTATTCGTTCATGTGGGCATTCATTCCAATCATAGCATGTTGAGATATAATATGCAAGTCTACTAAATTATTTGTGATATAAGATGAGAAAAAAGGGTAGTAAGCTCATATAATGATGTAGTATCTATTTGTAACGAGCAACAACCATTTGAAGATCGCGTTAAACAAGATGTGATCGGTGTACTCGAGAGCTGTCTTCACGGAGAAGTATATCTCTATCTTATTGCTCCTGATATTATTTAAAATACCATTACCACTGTCATTACTATAAGCTACATAAATATTTATCTATAATATCATTCTTATTGTGCATTAGGAAGCTGGTTTAAATTTCCTTGATGCATCGTAAGTCGGATCGCATCGTGTTAATTGCTTAGAGAGTAGACTTTACACTTTCCTTGGTTGCATTTATCATAATATGCTGCATCATCTGTACCGATTTGGCTGTTCTATGATGTGTACCTTGACGATTGGCCATGTATGTATTACAAAGCCCTGCTCCACATTACATATTCCCTCGGAATGAAGGTCTTATTTGATCGGCTGACATTTGCCGTTGTCAAGAGAAAAGATGAATCATTTTGCCTATCATCTACCTTTACAGTAGACTGCTATGGATACCAACGTATATGCAGTTGACAGGTTGTAGCTGTTTCAAATCACGAGCGGTAAATAAAAAATAAAAAATAAAGAAGGGCTAGTGCGATGGTTTGCATAGTTTATTGGGTGGCATGTTTCTTTACAAAATAATAAAGAACACTATAGTAAAATTACTTTGATTCATTCGATCCAAGAGCGGTAGCAGCGGCAACAGGCAGTTGTTTGTATAATTCCTCGATTGATGGGAATTTCGTTTCAAAGTCTGAGACCTCCATTGTCGTGCTACGCGAAGGTTTTAAAGGTGTAGGTGCTGTGCTTGGTGCAGGTGTAGCGTTGTTTTGAGCGACGCGGAAACGTGCTGGTTTAGGAGGTGGCATAGGTTTGGCTGTAGAACGGGAAGGCTTAGATGGTGCTGGGAGTTGCTGAGAGCTACCAGTGGTTGCTGCAGAAGATGTTGTGTTGCTAGTTGGCACATCATCTGTTGTAGACGATGGAGATGTGCCCTCAACACTCATTTTAAGAGCATTTAAGCGTGCCTCGATATTAGATGATACAGTGTTACGCAGAGTGGGAAGGTCGTCTACCTTGCTACTGCCTGTGGTATTGCTAGTGGTAGCTGGATGATGTTCATTACTTTTAGATGTTGACAGGGACGATGATGGCGGAGTGTTTATCTGTTGTTGTTGTTGTTGCCCATTGCGTTGTCGGCTGCTACTGTTGTTACTACTAGATCCACTGCTGGTGGCTGGAATATCTATTATCGAAGATCTTTGCTGCCATGTCGCGAATCCACTGTTGTTGTTACCACTCAGTTGCTGAGAGAGCTGTACTTCAGACGGTTTAACAGAGCCCGTCTTGCCGCTGGAATGATTGGATAACGGTTTATCGTTACTGGTCTTGCTGTTGGTATTATCGGGTGAAGATGGAGTGGCAGAAACAACAGATTGTGGCCTGTGCAATGGTTGAAAATCCGAGTCAAATGTCATGCTATTTTGCACTCTTCTCTGATCTTCTGCTACGGCCTGCAAGTTTTGCTCGTTCAGAGCAAATGCATCGTCAATATCAGCCGCGGAAGGAGGTCGTGGTGCGGGAGTGCTTGAAGCGCTAGAGCCAGCAATGTGTGATGGGTCAAATGGATCAAACGTCTTTTGTTCAGACTGAGAATCGGTTTTGGCGTGTCGGACAGGGCGTCCACGGCGCATAGGAATAATGTCAGGGACTTGCTGTGGTGGTGTTGGTAATTTTTCGAAGATCGCAGACGGGCTTTCTTTTTGCACAGCTTGCTTTGGTGGTGTTTCCGTAGGCTGGTGTTCCGTGTAGATCTGAAATAACAAAAGTTTTCGGTTAATGTCTTTTCCCGCGATTACTTTGTTTGAAAACAATGAGTCGTGTCAAAACCTTACATTTCTTATTGGGCACTCCACACCCCGAAGCTTACAAACAGCTTTTAATACTTGATAGATGTTTGGTCGCTGCGTTTGATGCTCTTGCAATAACGAGACGATAAGCTGTTTCAAACCATCAGAAAAGCGAGGTTGGGCTGGGATTGAGTATCGTGCGTTCAATATAGCAAGCTGGCCCTGCTCTTCAAATGGTGTGGTATAATAACATAATTTGTATAAAAGGACGCCAAGTGCCTAAATGGTTGATTCAAAAGGAGCAAATCAGTATCCCCAACCTCCAGTACCTTTCAACAAGCAATCAACGTACCCAAATATCTCCCTTCTCATTAATTGGTTTTCTTTGGTATATATCAATCATTTCAGGTGCCCGGTATTGAAGCGTCGTATGTCGTTGGATATCGTCTTCGATTTTTTGGATCTCCTGCAAATTGGTCGGAACGTAATTGCCCTTGGATAACGCAGCTGAACCGAAATCACAAAGTTTATAATGGTCTTGGGACAGGATCAAGATATTTTCCACCTAAAGGCCATCACCATTCAGTGCGTGCTTGTTTTTTGTATTCATCCTTGTTCCCACCTAGGTACCTGCGCGAGATTGGCCCTTGTACATATCTATAATAAATACCTTCAAATCTCTATGTAGCACTGGTGGATTACAGTAATGCATATATGCCAACGCCTAGATTATAACCGGGATTTAGTGACAAGTATAATAAGAAAGAAACCTGATGAAGCCCTCTCACCTCGCAAACGTCGTTAAATATCTTCAGCACTTCAGGTTCCGTCAATCGCTGCTGCAATCGTCTATTCATAAGATCAATGACACCACCACCTAAATAAACCAGGGCATATTCAGTAAATCCAACCATCTCATTTCTTTTGGAAAGCAAACAGTTGTCAGCAAGTTATTACCCGGGCAGTACTCCATTAAAATCAATGCTTCAAAGCCGCCTGAGGGAAGCGGATCAATCCGTGAGGCATAGTAACGAGTGATATATTTATGATCTCCCAATCGTCTCTAGATGATGTAATGTTGTTTTCATAGCTTCAGCATTTAACCTTTCTGTTAAATAATAAAACGATAGCGAAAAAGTAAGAGAATTTACCATAAATGCAATTTCCTTCTCCACAGTTCTGAGTCTTTCATTGTCTGGGACAGCCACCCGCTTCAGAACGACATACCCTGATTTACCCTCGATTCTTGCCAAATATACATGAGCAAAACCACCTAGACATTTTTCAAGAAGTCGTTTAATACATCTCTTTCGTTCCTTTCTCTCAAATTTGTTATTTACCTTCAGCGATAAAGTTATGTACAATGACTTGATATTTCTGTACTTGGACACGAGTTCCGTGAGGCATGGCGCCCGGTGGCAGCTGAGATGTGTTGCTCGTATCAATGCCAACAGGAACTGGTGGCAATGTTTGGCCAATCGATTGCTGTTCTGGTATACGAGGATGACGCAAGGGCGACTGAGAGTGCATTTCCGGGAAATGTTGGAGAAGAGAGACAGAGAGAGGGTGAGGTTGAGGGTTGGAAGATGACGGACGGAAGGGCTGGAACGTACTGTTCGGAACAAGTTCGAAAAAGCCAAGCAGTTAACCGCGGGATCTGAATCAACACCATCACTTTGTCACTAGGTAGAAAAAATGCTGAGGCTATCAGGTTGTTAGTCTGAATACATCATCGCTACGAGCTCACTTACTGGAGTGAAATCACTCATCGCTTAGGTACATACTTTGAGTTCTTTCAGCTAAATACCTCTTCTGTATGTGATATAAAATGTCACCACATGCACCTTAGGGACGATATAATAGCATGGTCAAGATTGTGCGGATAAAAGGAACTTTCAGAGATTTTTCTTTAAGCAATTTAAATTTCAAGCATTATTCATTCTTCAAAAAGGAGATATGATGCCATTTTAGACAAGAAAGCAGTTTGTGATAGAGTATATCCATGATGCACACAAATGATACCGCTTCCAAAGTACTCAGGGATCCAACTTAAAAAATGATCTTATTACCTGTTGAAGGTCGTCCTTAAAACGTTATGTGTAATATATTGAATACAATAACTAAAAGATTGTTTCCTGTTATACTTACTGCTCAAGCTGTCGTAGCACTCACCCATCCAGATATCAGCGATTTCATGAATACAATGGGCTGCAGGGGTCAGTTGGCCCTACCTATTACAGACGACATATTACAACAATGCTCCACTTACTCGTCATATGTCAAGTTCTTAATCAAAGTGGTATAAGTAGCTTAGAAAAAACATCACATATACTAAACGTGCTGTAGAATATATCTTACTGCTTTCTATCGTCAACGCAAGACCTATGACGATGATACTTACCATTACCGCCATGCAAATCAATAACAAGACAAACTAATACATGATGATAGGGGTCAAAACGCATTGGCTAAGCATAGAGTGACCGTTTCTATCAAGCTCAACAATGGTTCTTAGTTTAGACCGGTAGGTGTTCTTGCGCGATAGCAATAAGAAGATGTTGATCTTCACATTAATGCAATTAAAAGAAGCCCTAAGCGGGTGAGACTGTGACTTGATTTCGTGATAGTGAAGGGGGTCCCGACGACTCTTTGTTTAGGCGCCAGTTTCGGCAGTTGATATCGAACGCAATGTTATCTCCCGTCGTGAAGAAATCGGCAAGTGACATTTGAAAAAAATGAAGCGCGAGACGTTGATGAACGAGTATTTTATTAATAAAGAGATGAAATTTACATTCTTTCCTAAAAATCTAGTTGGCAACCGCTGCTGTTGGCACCGCTGCATTCGCTACCTTGCCCAACCAAAAGGTGTACGCCGCCGAAGAGACCAAAAAATCCAAAGTAATATATACGCATATACAATACCCACAGCAGCGTAAATCACATTTTGTTTTTTGAATTAACGGAATCCACTGAATTTGGCGCGATCTGCTCTTGTAGCTTAGCATTTATGACGAACCACAAGCTGAAGTAGTCATTGTCGAAGAACCCACAAAACTGGAAGAACATGTAGCATATGCTGAAAAGTATGCAAACGAAAGAGTCGAAGAGGGCAAGGTAATAATATATATCAATTTACGAATAATACCTCTTCGTACTTTTTTACCCCTCGATATAATATTCAATATATTCATATTGGGAATGATTATTAGACACACGTTAACAAGCTCCACGGCGAATGGAAGCAATTCGAACAATGCGTCAAGAGTATGTCAACGTCGTCGTGATATTTCTACTTTAGCGAGTTGACATAATTCACATGCTGCTGGAAAGCATAGTATTTGACGCTAAGGAGCGAAAAAATTAACGGATCATTCATGTTCTCTAGACACTGTGAAGGAGACGATCGCCAAGGATGAAGAGATCCTTCCAAACGCACTGTATATTGGCGTTGCAGCGTTGGCTGGTACCATCCTTGCTCGCAACCGCAACATCGTCATCCGATTCGCCACGTCGACTGCCTTGGCCGTTGGCGCATCGCACTATCTTCTGCCAAAGACCACACAGAACGTCTGCGTGCAACTCGAAAAAGTCGAACGCAAATACCCTCAACTCCAGTCCGCGCATCAATCCGTGAATGAGGTTGTCGGAGATGCCCGTAAGCAGTTCGATGGTGCGGTGGCAGAGGTCCGTAGCACTGTAGATGACAGCATTCTCTGCCATTTCCAGCAAAAGGACGCATCACAGCAGGCACTGGACAAGTTTGAGAGTGTAAAGAAGAGTGTAGAAAGCATGTACTCGACACGATCGAACGTAAGTTTGGACTATTTCGTTTGTTTTACCAGAGACGTGATGTCTAGCGATAATGTATACGTGTGTACTCAATAGCTGTATGTTTTTATAGCCTGGTGTAGAAGAAACCTTGAAGAAGAACAACTAGATCCCATCCAAACAACGATAAAAGAAAAAGCAATTTTATATTTCATCGACAAGAGCAATCAACGACAACCATCAACCATCCATCCTGCCCGAAAACAATGTCTTTTTTCTGTTTGTTCCGTGTTTGTTCCTTTTTTTTTAGAGAGAGGGTGTCCTGCTCCCCAGCCCAACGACACTTTTTTTTTACTACATTATTAAAAACATGAAAAAATATTGATTACAAATTATTACATACTATAAGTTTTTCATTAACCCGGTGGAAGAGAAGTAGCATCCACAGCTTCATGGTCATCCTCAAATTCATCCTCTTGTGGTTCTTCTTCTGGCAAAGGCGCACGGGGCAGAGCCATGACACCTGTTCGAGAGGCCTCCAAAAGACCAAACGGTCTGCACAATTTAATGAAAGACGTGATACGACCAGGCTTTGCACAGAGTTCGATGATCACCGAATCTGACGATACGTCCAAAAGTCTTCCTTCAAATAGACGCGTCAGTTCAGTTAATGCACGCAAATGTGCTGATGTTTCCCGCAGTTTCTTGGACGCCCAGACCACGTCGCCCTCGTCATGTTCTTCTTCAAGTTTCTGAGCTTCCTCACTCTGGCCTTCAGGACCTAGGATTGAGACGCGCAAAAGAAGGAGTTCACGCTCGACCAGCTTGGTATGGGTATAGTCTAAAACGGCCCACATTGGTACCTAGCATATACAATTCAAATAGTTAGACGCCGGTAGCTCTGTTGACACTGTATTCTGCTATATTGTTGTCGCCGCAGGCTTCCTCTCCCAAACCACCCTTGTTAACAGTAACACGTACAATATCTTCCAGCTGATGCTTTGCTTGTTCTATCTGATTGCCATCACCATTCAACACGACTGTCATTCGACTCAATCCAGGCAATTCGGTATGTGCGGCCACAAACGACTCAATATTGAATCCTCGAGATTGCAAGATGCCCGAAACACGCGTGATGACGCCGGGTTCGTTGTGAGCCAAACAGCTCAGGATTTGGCGACCTCTGGTAGGTTTTGGTTCTGTCGTGTTATGGAGAATGTTGTACACGGCTTGCTCGACCGAGGGTGTGTGGGTTGCTGGAGGAAAGTGGCGTCGGCTTGCGCTTGTTCTTACTGCGGTCGTGTTTAGACAGCGTCGATGTGCCTTTTTCCACCAACAACACGTTGTTTAGCCACTCTTCTCGCTGTCTTTTTTTGTTTATATTGAGCTGGATCAAGGGATATTTACCAGTTGCGTGGCACGTAGAAAGTGAGATCTCAGCATGTCTTGCTAGAAAAGAAGCTTAGAAGGGAGAGAAAGAAGAAACGCTAAAAGGGGACTTTGTTTTTTTTGCGCTTACCCTTTTGATGGTCGTGGTTTTTTCCGATGGAGTTCGTGCGTCAGGGTAAACAGTAATGCAACAATCAACCTGAATCATCGTGATCGTCCGATTCTGATTGGGCTGCTGTCAATGCCAGCATCAAAAAAAAAGGCGGCCACTGAAATCAAACATTGTACACAGCACACCGATAAAGAAGAGACGTGTTTTCCTTTTACGGCTGACTCTGTTTTGCCAGACATGTGAATGAGCTGCCAAACCCAGTGTTGGCAATACTCACGTTGACCATTTTTCACGGACAGTGAGAATGTACATATTCACGCGTGAATAATACATGCCAAATCAATTTTCACGCGTGAATAAACCTTCCTATACTTATAAATGGACTCTGGAGCCTTTGCTTTCTCTCTCTCTTGCTCTCCCTTAAGCATTTCCAATTGATGAAGATTTATTCATGCTGGAAGCTGACAAGTTTGGCGTTGACGGACATCACTGGTATGTCAAGCGAAGATTGGTCCCAGATTTTGCTCATGCAGCAACAAAATGAGATCTTGGAAGTTGGAAATCGCGCTGGAATAACGCAGTATCTGAACAGCATTATCGCAACCATCGGTACGCTGCAACGGCTCCGTATACTTTCCTTGCGAAATTTCCTTCACATGTTCAGCGAGAATCCTCTTTGCGATCTTACTCCGCTTCGACGTTTGCAACAGCTTGAAAAAATGCGTCTCACGAACATACCCATCGACAACCAAGGTCTAATGCAGTTGTGCGAACCATCACAGCACCCACTAGTCAGGAGATTAAGCTTGAACCCGCACATCACCGTACAGTAATAGTGTCGACGACTTTCTCGCAGAGGCAGGATGGATTGTGTGGGCACAACGACTTGAGGAAACCAAAATACTGAATCTGGAACCGACAGCCGTGAAAGGTGTTACTGGTGCTGTCCTTGAGCATTTTGAACAAGTCGGAAGCTCGGTGCTATTGCGTGTTTCACGGATCTATAGTCTCACCAATGCAGGCATCAATGCTTTTCGTATCATTGAAGGATCTAGTAAAAAGATTGAAGTCGTGGGGTGTTCAGGATTATCTCGGACAGATGATCTTCGTATGCCATACAACATATTTTTTAATAATTGAGTACCATTGCGGTGATATTTGCAGTCTGGCTTGTACTTTTATTTATAATGAGTTGATAAACAATATTGGCAGCATGTTTAATTAATCAGTTTTCCAGGTTGGATTGTTGTGATATCTGTATAGTCAAGCATCGATTTGAAATGTTTACATATACACTTACTAGATCCAGGATTGATGGAAAGGCAGCACGATGTGGATCTGGTCGGCAGCGGGTCTGGTGCCCTTTCAAACCTGAGCGAAAGCACAGACTAATTTTTTTTTGGTTACCCTATGCTTTCCTTATATATCAGAAATGCTTGTGTACCTCTTTTCGTCACAAAAGGGATCACCTCGCACTCTATATGATATAGTCTCTGTGACAGAAGAGAGAAAAAAAAATGAAGTGAGAATATTCTTTCTTCCGTTGTTGAATAGAAAGACCATCGTCGCCTCCTCCCCTCTCCCTTTATGACCAAAAAAAAACAGTCTGTATGCTGTATGTATGTGCATACGCGCGTTCCTGTTAATGTCGGGCAGTGCCCGGTACTTGGATTTCATTGGCCCAACGTGCTGCTGCAACTATACTCGAACCGCTTTGAGAGTTATACTACGCAGAGGACTTATTGGAGTCAAGTTTACTGACAAAGGTCAATATTTATGGTAAGCGGGAACATTATCATCTTCCACATGCTAGGATATATACGGGATCAAGAACATCTTGAAATATAGCGATTCCCGGAAAGTGTTCCTCATATTTTCTGGGCAAATTCTAACTACAGTACTTTGTCTGTTTAAACTCTATATGTAACAAACTCATGAGCAGTTGTTTAGTAAATGAGCCCAGTGTCTTAAGCTTGATGCTTACCAAACGAACAACAATACAATAGCAAGCTCAAAACGCCAGAGAAAAGGCAAGCCTGATACAAGACGCTGGAGTGCTACTGTGTGCTGTCAACCAAGATATAAACATCACCCTAGTAAGCTTCCTGGATCCTAACTCCGCTCAATGGATTGGATAGCATTGTAATACCCTGCAGATGCGGTAACGAATAAACAACAGCATTCAGGATGTCTAGATTATATAACTAAAATCATCCTGGCAATAGCAACATAGAGAGCAAAAGCTAGTTCAGTCTTCCTTACTCTCAAAGAAAGAAAAAAAGAGATGCAAACGAATTATTGAAAAGTAATATGCAAAAGGCAACCATGACTGGAATCAACCCACACTTGTGACAAGCATTTACTGACGTGAGTCAGCAGGAAGCAAAGGTAGTCTAGGAACGAGGAGCTCAGGAAGAGCGCAACACAGATCTTTCTTCTTTGGATAGTGACAAGTGATGCGTGTGTCATACCTCGAACGTTCCTACGCAACGATTTGGCCAATTTACTTGGTACTCAAAGTGCACAAAGGAATGGCGGGTGAACAAGGTGATCAATGGAGCAACGAATTACGTGCAAAAGGGTCGAAAGATGTACAGTAGGAAGTCATTGCTTATAATGTTACACTCCTGATCGTCCCAATGGATTTTGAACGCTGCTCAAAAAGAACTTTATCAGCAGCAATGAAAGCCAGTGAAGGGTGAGTCAGCTTCACTAGCGGCAGCGTATACTTACCATGAGCGGACAGCTTATCTGCTTGGATAGAGTATGAATTCGGAATGGATGGAGGGAGGTTACACGGCGTAGTTTAGAGAACTGTTGGCGGATGCATGGCGAAAATTATAAAGCAACAGTAGACAAGCACGCTTCACAATAAAAGATAACGATCTTTGATACACTGCAGCGTTGGAGTCAAGTGTGTGCTGTATCTATTCCCGCACACCGCACATGCAGTCAAAAGATACTAGCAAAATGGAATCGTCTGTGGACTACGCTTTATACTGTTTATCTTGTTGGGTGAAATAGAAACTGGCTGCTGGGAGGCTCGTGTCCTTGATATTTACTAAGCAACTGATGCCGTAAAATCTGTTAAGTTGTTTACCTTGTCGGACAATTCTATATTGCCATTTTATTGCTCACAGAAAAGCATTTCTTCCGTGAATCTACATGCTCATTCACATTCGTGTCTTTGTTTTTGCTCGACACGGTGCCGTGCACGGCCCCACTCACAAACAAGCGCCGATACCATCGGAGGGTACAGCTCCGCATGGTGAGAGACACGTACCACTACCGCCGAAGCACGCTTGTCTACTTGACCATCAGGTACCACTCCTCCTTTCATTTCCTTTGGTGCTGTATCTTTTGTTATGCCATAGTAGGCAGCCCACAAGTTGATACGCAACCCGTTATCTGGGCCAATGAGAATTCACGGGGATTTGAAGTCCCGAACGAGAAAAATGTCTATATAAAGCGAGCAATTTCGCCTTTCTTTTTTCTCTTCTCTTCAGTTCGTTTTGGTACAGCTTTGGTCTGTAGTACAGATGCACTGCTCTGTGCCATGATCGGGTCATTGCTTGTGCTGGCTATTGTCATAATTCTTCTGATGATCGGCAGATTCAGTGGTCCGCGCCCTGAAGAAAATTTGCAATATATACCAGTGGGAATGTGGTCATATACTCCGGCAGCCGATCGTGAACCTTCGGGTGCATGTGATGCCAACGGTATATGTTGGGATAATTGAAACGAACTTTTTTATTATTATTTATTACACACAAATAAGAAAATGATAAACAAAATAAAAAAAATATATTTTTCTTTTTCGCACTTTCCGCATAAACGTTTTACCGCTTTTTGCTTCGCCTTTTTTTTATGTGCACGACAAGTTCCTTTTTCTTTTTTCGCGAACAAAAAGCTAATTACTCCCCCCTCCATCCATTCACAGCTCCGTGCTAAACAAAGCGGGGAACAGTGACAGTGGCTCTGTATCGTAGCCGAAAGTAACACGATCACAATGCTTTGGCACTCTTTTTCACTTTCTGTGTTCGCCTAAATTGCCAAAGCAATTGTCAAGAAAAAAATTGTTATCGAGGATATGGTCGGTTATTTTATAAGAGGCAACGCCAGAGCATACGCCAGCAGACCTGTATAATTGTCAGATCTGTAAAAAATTGGAATGTTTTTTTTTCAGCTGTTCGTCTCTCTCACTCTTCCTGCACGTAGCTTATCACAACACAATTTTCTTATCATTTTGGGTTTCACCTGGATCGAAAAGCTTGCACTGATCTTTCCGATGTGCCTGCTTTTAAAGCGTGATTCTTGTAACAGCTCTTTCCCTCCCCTTACACCTTCACTTCTCTCTTCCTTTTCTTATTTAACTTTACTTCGTTACATATTTTCAAGGTATGCGTTACCTATTTGAAAGTGATGATCGCTCACCAAAGATATCAGGGGGACCTGTCAAAGATATGATATAGTTGCTCTACCGAAACTTGCACACAGGGATGCTGTGTTTTCCAGGCCAAGCGATTCGTTACTTATATATGACTTTTGCGGCTCGCAAACAATAAACCCGAGTATTGATTGAAGCCTTTTCCTTCGTATCGAGAAGTCGATGGTTCTAGAAAGAGCCCTGTTCTAATGTGTATCTGCGTATCGCTATGATAGCATAGATTTAATGAAGTTACTGGTGGTTACAATAGATCAATCTTCAGGGTCCCCCTTTTCCAAATAAAATTCAGGTGAGCTACCTGTTTCGACTTGCTTTTCCTTTGTCGGACACATTATTTCACGAGTCCGGATTATGTTATACAGGCTTTGTTCGATTAAAAGCCTCGTGCCAAATTTCTTTTCGCGCGTCCCCTTTCACATACACGTAATATAACTGATTTGATCTCGATTTTGCCTCCCGAATCATTCAGTACATCTTCTCGTTTATCGGACAGCGGGCTGTGTCGAATGTGTGAAAGTATGTCGCCGCTGGTTATACGCGATCCCCACTTACCAGACAGCCCTGTGGACACTGGTGGGAATCTCGCCTGATGCATGGAACAAAAGGAGCGACGCGATGCTTCAATGTTTGGGACAACAAGTCGAATCAGTATACATCAAATCTCAAGCCACGTATAAAGTACTGGAACGACTTGCTTGGCGAAGATACAGCATTCGCTTCTTTGGTGAAGTAAAACGATACTCTTTTTTTTTGCGTTAAGAGGATCGCGTATTCGGTAGTACTTACTACTGCTTATGCGCAAAAGATATACTAAAGCTTTTTCTTTGTTAAAAAATAAGACATCAGCAACCATGTGCATAGCAAACAATTACAACCTATTTTCGACAGTAGCACGTTACTGCCAGGATTCATCAGATATTTCTCGCATACGCTAACTACTCTGACGATTTCATTTCACACTTGCGATATCTCGCTGCCAATGCTACTGGACTTCTTGCCGTCATTAACGCATCTTTCAGTGATGTTTGATGGCCGCACTAACTTATCAGACGCTACTCTTGAACAAGTTGATGGCAGAAGCAGACACAAAAGGCCACCGATACACAACATTATCTTCTTAAGACTGGACGGTGTTCTCAGTTTTAAATACCGGATCCGTCCCTTATTGCAGCGTTGCTCCCACATCAAGTACTTGATATTATCGCCTTACTCACGATTCAACAACGTATCTCCAACCAACATCTATACAGCTTATGAGCTGTGCCCTCTATTACGCTACATTATGTGGGAATGCAGCGAACCAGTCATAGCAGACAGATGGATTTCACTATCAAGAAGCACGAGTGCTTATATTAAATAACTGAAAGGAAAGCATCGAATGATGGCGAGGAAGGCAGTATGGCTTATGAACTGCTATTCAACGGCAAGGGACACGAGAGGATCATGCCGATAGTAGTAAAATCGCAGCCGATACTAGAACATTTACGTATAGTCGCCTGTGGTCTTTCTGATATTCATTGCTGGGATGTCTTGGCACGCAACCAATTCACACAATATTCACGTACATTTTTCACTTTTTCACGGCGTGATTATTAGCTCTCCGAAGATTCACAGTGAATAATCCAGTACTGTGCCAAACTGATAGCAGTCTTGCTGAACGTAGCATAGTGGCAACTAGTATCCATTTGGCTGCTCTTTTTGATGTCATGCTTGATGGACTATGAGAGGCCAAGTTCGCTTGAATACTGCTCCTCCTTTTCTCTCTGTGACAATTAAAAGCTAACTTATCAGTGTCAGCAGATGACTTTCGGCGACAATTGCTCAAAACGAGTTCCCAATTATGACCACACTTTGCTATCAAAAGCATCAAGTGAAACAGCATAGTAAGCTATATCAATTAAGGGGAACACTATCTCTAGGAGAGATCACCATCATAACAACCAAGTACCTCAACAAATGCAATGAGTACATGTTGCTCGCTTTATTTGCTCTGGTATAACAAGTATAAAATATTGACGGGCCACGCAAGAAAGCGTACATCTGGAGAAATATGTCATTGGTTGTAAGATCCATTGCAATCGGCATGGCTGTATACAGTATGCCTCTCATGTATATTGCCATCAAGCTTTGACGAAAGAAGAATCCAGCCGCGAGAAGCCTGGAAAATAGACCGGTAATAACCCTAGGACCAAAATTATAAGAGTATATGTCAAATATGCATCCAATCCTTCGATATTGAATAGCAACAAAGAGCAATAGACGGGGAAACGACAGTAAATAGAAAAGAAAAACAATATACATACCTTCGTAAATACTCTTGTCGCGCTCAGAGAAAACGCAAAAGACAATCTTGTCGAACTTTGCATAATACGTCCAAAAGAGTTGCAAATTAGCAGCCTATCATAGCACAGTTGCATTGCCGTAAAAGACTCACCGAATTCTTTCCCTTAGCCAGATCTGCCATCAAGTAAGCGCGAACATTGGAAAGTGCCACATTGGCTGCTTGCTCGTGGTCATAACCGAATGCGCCCGTAGATATGCATGGAAATGCAACGGCACGCAAATTATTGGTTTCACATTTTCGAAGGCAGTTTATATAGCACTGGGCTAGGACTTGCTTTTCCTGATTGCGAGGTCCTACTGTGTGAATGACATCTGATCCACAGGCGATTTAAGTTATGCTTTCACAACAGTATATCCTATAACCAAAAAGAATCTCATACGTTTTGCTGGTAGTTGGTATCCCTTGGTAATTTTTGCTTCCTATAAAATTTACTTTGCGTGAATAAAGAACATTGGTCTATCCAGTCTTTCTGCTGTAATAATTACTACTTACGCCAATGGAGCATCCTTTGAGAGTTTTGCATTCTTGATATAGCTTTGGTCCAGCTTTTCTATAATGCAACTTGATCAATGTTACTGCGCGTAAATTGTAATAATGATCGGGCCATTACAGTCAAAGAAGGTTGTTTATTCTTTCAATTCTATAATTTCTTACCGATGAATCTGCCCGTTTGCTTAGAGGTTTGTACAAAATATAATTAGCGACCATAATAGTATTGATAGCTGCTGTGGATTATCACCCTTGGTGTTGTACAAAGTTCTTGGCACCATACCTCCTCCGCCTGGTTGAAGAGCTTGATTGCTTGGATTCACTTTAAGAGTGCAAAGTACGAGATGAGATGAGCCAGTAGAAAGAATGAGCTCGGTATAGTTTAAAAAAAAGTATGTTACCTATAGCATCTATACGGAGCGTACAAATGTCATAGTAGCTTTGAATAGCAACTCCTTAGTTCTCTGCTACAAGTGACCAGTAAAAATTACCAACTCTACCATAACCATATTTTCGACGAAATGCGTCGCTTCTGCACGTCTTCTTCTTTGATAGCACGTAAAGCGACACCGGAAGGACCACCTAACATGCTGGCCATCGGTAAAATAGTTAGTTAAAAGGAAACAAGAGTGCAGCGTCCGGCAGGGCTGATTTTTTTTATACAGAACGTCCGTGTGTTATCAGGGAACACATGACCTCCCACTCAATCCTCATTTGGTTAAATTAATCTGTGGCGCGGTATGTAGGTGAAGGTAAAAGAGGGAACTTACCGTCCGACTAACATAAAAACGGTGATTTAGCTCGTGTTATGCCCAAACTTCTGCACTCTAAGAGAAGGTATGAAGCGTATATAGTTTCGACTTTTTTTCACCCCACACATGGTACTAAACAGTTCATCAAAGAAATCATGCAGCAGTGACGAGCACGAATAAGAGTCGTAGTAGTAATGGATGACGTGTCATTACTGCTGCTGTTCTATGTGGCGCATAACGCCTTTTATTTGTTATGCATTACAATTACGGCACTGCAAGCGTCCTCAACAACAGGGTAAGGCACGGTCATGCAGATATGATGATGAGCAAATCCAAATGTCAATAAGCGTTGCCGTCAATTCTAAAAGCTTTATCAAGTGAGGTCGTTGTGGCTCACACATCAGCAATAAGCGACAACGACAACCGAAGAAGAATGTACAGTGATGTGATTGTAGAAAGGTCATGTGGTGCTGGCAAGATCCTAGATTACTGATGTTGCAAGTACAAGTCTACCCAGGAATTCGCTCCGCAGCAAAATCAAGGGGTGGTAGGCGAGGTGCTTTCGTAAGCTGCTGCGGCGTACCCAGGGCGGAAACAGCTGGATTGAGTGGCGACGGCGCGGGACATGTCACAAACTTTACAGTGAAATTATCCTCATCCGTTTAAACACCATGCAGCTTTTTGGAACGCTCCATGACTGGGTAGTTTCCTTTCCTCAAAACGAAGCATCATTTTCGACCTGTATTTATAAAAATTGGCAGATCCATGTGCCTTTTTATGTATTACAACGCAAAATAAAGGTAGCATATCTGCTTCGATAGTTAAAGAAAGTGGTTGCAGAGAAGTACTATATGTTGTATCTTCTACATGGCTTCTGTAAGATTAATGTACAAATAAAGGAATGATTTGCTTTAATAAATGGGTATGCATTTTTTTAGAGTTCATTCTGCTTTATCATTTCTCGTCCGTCGGCTGAAGGTGTTAATCGATGATAGCTAAGTATAGGTTCTGCTGTACTCGCGAACATTTGCGAAGTCCTTTCGAAACCGCTGCGCAGGGGAACTTTTGTCCTTCTGAGAGCAAGACCTCTTTCAAGACCGATCCTGACCCAATCCAAGCCTTTACGCAAATACTCGCATTTGTTATGTCTTGCGTGTGTGTAGCAGTACATGATGCTGACCAAAATAATCAGCTCGGTCTGTTCGTTGCGCAGCGGAGGAGCTACTTGTACTAGGAAAAACTCTGCAAAGCGCAAGGCCACGTCTGGATTAGGCGCATATCGTACAAGACTCGATGTAGCCTTTTGAAAAATTCGTATCTCTTCATCTGACAAGTGACGTGCTCGCTGATATGCTGGCTTATTTGGGTCATGGAGGTCAGGATATTGATTTGATGGGTCTTTAGTCTTTAACACTCCCTTTAGATAATGTGAGTATAGCTTTTTTCCACCATAAAAGTCCTTGTCAAGTTTGATTGCATCGAGTAGTTCACGGATAAACTCTCGTGGATTTATTGCTTCGGGAGCTTGCCGCAATATCGCTTCGGCACTGGACTTCATGACCGACCGGACAAACGTCGACAAAGAGAAAAAGTAAAAAATATGTGTGTGTGTGTGTAGGTGTTTATGAGTGTCAAAATGTAAATTAAAAAAGGACGAAAAAGAAATTGAGTCATCAACACAATGTATAAGGAATGATTTAGTTCTCGTTACACAAGGTCAATAAAGTCACACAATATGCTGCCTCGAACAGAATCCTGCTTTAGACCGGAGCAAATCAGTATAGCAGACCCCAGGTCATCTACCGATCTTCTTTTTCTACAAACAACTCTATATAAGGAATCGAATTTGAGGCTTCAAGTGTACGTACATAACTATTTGACAAGCAGAATAGCCGGTATGTAGAGACATCGTTATCAGTTAAAATCCGATGCTGTTTTTTCTTGATCGGTCCCGCAGGAAGTTCCAAAGTTAACTTCCATACTATGTACAAATATTATTCAATCATTGAGGCCTTATATAGTGTTCTGCTAGCGACGTACTATGTAGACTCGATGGATGAACATATATGCGTGTCTACAGCTGACATCAGTATAATCACATATATTCGGTTCATTTTTTCGTTGTGAAGCAGAGCACCTCAAGTCTGTAAGTCTTTTGTGAGCGTCTACCAATCAAGAATATCATAAGCAGCCAATATTAGAATATTTTGCTTTTGCCGTAAGTATACCTTTCTTAACGCTAATCCTGAGCTGCAACAATCAAGTTAGCAATCGACGCCCCACTCACACAGTCAGTTTTCAAGGCATAATCCATATACTTTAGCAACATATATCAAGAACGCCATGATCTACAGTTGCTTGACCTTTTCGGTCTTGTCGAGTCATTTGAGTGCAAATTATCGTAGAGCTGTTCCGAGCTAAAGTGAGCTTAATCATCAGTTTAAACTTAACAGCAGCCAGTTTATGGGTAGTCGATGAAGTAGTAGAGTGGGATTCGTGAGCTCTACGGACAAACTTCAAGGAATGTTTCTGGAAGAAAACCGAGTTTGTTGGATAATGAATGGAAGTAACCATTTCCATCAAATGAGCGTATTCTGTACATACGATTGTGCGAACCCATTTTCCTCTTTGTACACAAAGTAGCCATAAACCTACGCAGAAGCGATAATGTAGAAGGAGTACCCTAATAAGATCACTGCAACGATTTCCCGACTAGTTGATGAGTTAATATTGGATTATAAAGGTGATTTCGATGTATGAGCAGTGGTATACGCACACAGAGTAACCCCAACAGCCATTATCTTCTACACATAACAAGAGCGAATATTGAATGATTTTCAAACATTCTGGTAAAGCTGAAGTGACATTCAGGTTGTATCACACAATTGCTGAGTGACATATTGGCCAACGTCTGTTTTAACACCGTGACACCACAGTCTTGGGTCCATTGTAAAAGGCCAGTTGGAATAATCCGGGAATGAGTTCAATTTATAGAATAAGCTGCTAAAACAGTGAAACCTCACGAATTGGATGTGGCCATTGTTAAGAAAAATGGATTCGACGTGTGCCCAGTTAACGTATTTATTAACGAGCTTTTATTACATTTTGTGTTACATGCACTGCATGCTCACATAAAAATAGTGTGTGTACTATGCAGCTTGGCAAAACGATGGGATGGGTGTGTGGGTCGACGATGAGGCGCAGCGGAAAGAAGAACCTGGACATGTAAAAAAAAATGGTTCGAGCGCTCTGTGTCACCTCAAACATATGATCTTTCCCCGATTGGGGGGTCGCAGCAATGACCCTTTTTTGATACAAGGGTTCTAGGTCATGAATTCTATATGCTAAGCAACTCTGAAATTTACCGTGTAAACCAAATGACCAATTTGAGATCTTCTTCCTATTGTATCGAAGGGGGAGAGAAATTGAAAGGAGAGAGAGAGAGAGAGAGACGGCGAGTTCAAAGAAGAATGCAGGCCCACGGCCCCCCTTCCATGTTAAGGCACATACCACATGTATGCCGAGAGAACGGACGATCATCAGCCTCATGCACGATCTGACCCAGACATTCAAAGGCATTGTTTGGATTGCGAGTTTATAGAAAATAGTTTCGGTAGTGTTACAAACTTTTTATCTTGTTTTTTGTGTGCGTGTGTGTGTTCAACATTACACATCACAGAGGAAGGGGAAGGAACGATACTATAATATGTACTGGAAGAGGAAGGTTCAAATAATCAAATGACCAAGGCCAGCTTATCAAAGATGTGTTGAAGAAAGGATGTTGTGGCGTCCCTTTGACGATTATTTTAGAGAGAAGAACGGATATACAAGTGTCGTGGTGGGATGATAATGAGAGCACGGGGGAGATAATAAGAATATACAATGTACAAGAGAGTGTGTTGTGTAGATGATGATGAAGATGATTGATGACTACCGGGAAGGTGACACAGCAGTTGCAACTGCCGTTTTGGATGCTGCTTCAGGTACAGATGATGATGATGACGATGAAGATGACGATGACGATGCTGATGGTGATGAAGACTTGCACGACACCATGGTGGATACGGTTTCGCTTAACATGCTTGCAAACATATTGAGCTCCTTGCCGGAATCGAATCGCGTATACTGACGGCATACAACCGCACGTAATAGATCAAGGAGTACGGCGGTCTGGAATTCAATTTCATCCATCCACAATCGCCAACATGACGAGTCTGATGCAGCAACGACCGTCGTGATGGTTTGCGGTCGCACCATCGTGGTGCTGTCGCGGTTACTGGTTGTTGCTGTTGATGTTGTCATTCTCGTCGTATTAGTGGTGCTGGGTGTGGCGTTCTTTTTGTTGTTGTTGTTGTTGTTGTCGGATGATGATGACTGTGACTGATAGGATATAAAGAAGGTGATAATCCGCTGACGAGTAAGAATATGCAGATCGGCTGCAGTCATTAGCTCTGTTTGACAAAGATTGCCAATGAACTGCACCAAGACCCTGAATCCATGGCGCACAGATTCAGTGCGGGCTAGAGATGTGGACGTACCACTGCCTGATGATACACGTCGTCGATGTTGCTGATGGTACCGACGTGTCAAAATGTCAATGTGCCGAGAAATGTGTGCCAGCAATAACCGATGGTGGATGGCACTCGCAGGGTCCGCATCAAAGAGCGCCGTCAGTGTTGGATAGAGCGTTACAAGGAGCGTCGTCATCAAACGACCCATGGGCGTTGAAGCATACTTCTGTTTCTTGCCCTGACTCAACATTGTCGGCAAGTCGTTTGCTGATGAATGTTGGTGCGGTAAGGGGTCGAGCGATGGGTCGTAGAGAACATGATCGAGCATGATGCCCAGGGCCTTGTCGAGCAAAAAATCGAGACACGGCGCCCAGTTGAGCTGCGGTGTTCGATCATAGATCTCGACGGCAAGTCGATTTGCAACTGATTGGATCGCTGGGTGGTTGATATTGTGCTGCTCGTCGTATCCGTACCGACACACATAGGCGATGCTGGCGTGGATCAGATGGTTGAATGAGTTGATGCGTGGTCGTGCGAGGTCGATGTGGTACTTGTGCCATACGAGCTGATGCGCCAGTTTCTGGCAAGAGCGTGAGGTGGTCCCGAAATACCAAAGATCCGAGAAGCTCAAGTAGGAAGCGATTTTCAACAAGGACTCCAGAGGCAAATCGCACACCGAGCAGGGCTTCTTCATGGCGGTGTGGTGGTTGATGGGCAGTAGCGTTTGAGGAATGTGAAGAAGAAAGGGGAACGAGAACGTAACAAGCCAAAAGAAAAGGAGAAAGAGAGGAAGAAAACAAGAAGAAAAAGGAACGAGCGAAAAAAGCAAAAAGACAGAATGCGGAGGGCCTCTTTGGAACGCCTGGACTCGTCTTTTTTTGGAATCACCGTCGATTGCTGTATGCGGGTCTAAACCCAAATAGGCAATTACCATGGTTCCAGACTCTTGTTGCTTGGTTAAGTTGGCTGGTGAAATTGTGGTTGAGGGGCCCTTTTTTCTATGTCCAGACCTTGCTTGTCCGCGTGTGTATGTGTGTTGTGTGTGTGTATGGAAGTCTTTCCTTACGGAGATCTCTACTACTGTCGATCCTTGTCCATTCCGTCACTGCATGCCACCTCGACATGGGATTCCATAATCTTGACCAGCGTCTTGGCCATTTCGAAATCATAGGCGTAGACGGTTGTTGATTTGCAAATGTCCACTGAGCGTTTCAGATAGCGTAGAGCCAATTGACTGTTTGTGTAGCGCCAGAACTTGTGATAGACACTATTGGCAAAGACGAGACCAATCAATGGGCTATTGCAATAATTTGCCGAGGCCTCGATCGCGCATGTGATAGAATAAGCTGCATGCATGCATATGCCAAAGTGCGAGTCGCGGCGTCCCTTGCTGGTCGTCGTCGTCGCCGGCATCGTCAAAAACGGATAGTGGAGTAAAATCTTATTGATGTTAAATTCGACCTGCACCAACAAAATACACGCCCGGGCAAACATGTCAACGTCGGCTGTGTAACGTCCATGTTCGCTACTGTTATTGTGGTGATGATGGTGACGGTGCAGCTGACCCGACAGGTCTTGCTTGAACTCCCATGGCAGCTCCTGGTTGTAAAAGTTGTCAAGTTGTTTTTCTCGTGGCTGTAACATGTCTGCAAGTTCCTGTGCGCTCAAGCCTTGTTGTTGTGCAGACAAGATACACGCCATCACCGCATCTCGCTGCGTCTGCAGCTGGAACTTGAAGGCCCAAGTGCTGAGCAGGTAGTAGTCTCTGTGCGTCTTCTGCGGAGGCTGTAGCAACTGCAGCGGCGGGCTGTTCCATCCATCCCCCAGCCGCGCCGATCCCCCTCGAAGCAGCTGGCTCCATATGTGAAAGTAATAGAGAGACCATGCTAGCATATTGTCGTACGGTGACAGCGACAGGGATCCATCGTACAGGCCTAGATCGTGCGCCATGGAAACTGCGATCCATTCATAGTAGCTAATGAGCCCTGGATACCCGTTCTGGTAACTGCAATAAGACAGCAATATCGCTGCCCGGCACGTATCTGGCGACGGTTCATCGAAACAATCCGCCAAGAGCTCCCGTGCTTGAAGGCAATAGGCCACCGAGAGAGCCTTGCCCATATTGTATTGCGATCCATCACCACTCCCACCACCGCTGTTAGTCTTTTTGTTCCAGACATGGACCTGGAACGCATTTCTTGCGGTCATTGCGCATATGGCATAGACTAGAACTCTGGCAGCCCTACCACTTTTGTATCGGGCCATAAATTCCTCCGTGTCAATGATAGGCAGCCGGATCGCCGAGCAACAAGGCGTGCGACAGTACAGATCCAGCAGGTCACTGGTGAGCTGTTCCGTAATCTCAATAGGATAGTCACTAGGCATCGCTGGATGCGTTGGATAAGCCCATGCATCCCATACTGCAAAAGGACACTCGTCCAGCCGATTCTTCTTGTGTGCCACATCCATCATTATCATCATGGGACTCTGATTGACTTGAGCAATATGGTCGATCAGCTTGAGTAAATCGTTGTACGACGCAATATATGCAACTCCTGTGTAACCCTGGCGCGACGACATCACCGTCCAGATTGCTTTCCGCTGCCGCTTCTTTTCTTCTCGTCGAAGCGCCTGTTCGTACTTGTCCATCATCGCATTGAGCTTTGCTACGGCCGTCGCAATGTGGTAAATCTTGGGCTTTTCGTCGTAATCATATGCGCATGTAACCCCGTTTTGCTGACATCGTTTGCATCTTGGTAGCGTCATGTCGCACGGTTGTAAAGATTGGTAGCATTTTTGGCATGGAAAAACGTTGTTTTGATGCGTCAATTGCTGCTCGAGTGGAGGATGTGGACGGTGTCGGATGAGGCCTTGGAAATAATGGACTCGATTACTCAGCGCCGTCGTCAATTCTTGCAGTTGTTTTAATGTGGGCGCGTGTTCAGGATAAGAGCAGCTTAGGCCTTTGAGCTTGCATCTGGAGCAGGGGTTCTTGCGATCGCAACTGTGTCTGCATTTAGAATATAATATATTAACTTTTTATTAAAGAGGAATGTTTATTTTTGCAATGTCATCATCACTAGAAGTTTCCGTACCTAATGCTTCGACATCGGAAACAAGCAGTTCGCGGAATCAACAATTTGGTAAAATGACCAGAAGAATTAGTCTCCTCTATGCCATCAACCATCAAGGGAGGTAATGTTTACGATGTTGCGAGAAGCAAATTCAAGGGAGAAGCTGTATTGAAGACTTTCACATTTTGTCGGTCCGTCCGGCAGAAAGATTTTGTGTATTGACGGGCCGAACGGGCAGGGAAATGAAAAGAAGCGCTGCCTGTGTGTGTGTGTGTCAAACCAAAACGGGCAAATCATTTCCAAATTTGTAGATTAGGGTAAAATAGTAATAAATTCACTTCTTTTATTATATTGCTAATTCGTAGTAAGTGAAGTCGACTCTAGCCTGAATGAAATTGTAGCTCTGGGGGAGGGGTTTAAGAATGAAAAAGTAATCCCCATAAAAGAAAAAGTGTAGCGATGGGTATATAAAGCAGAGACTGATATAGGAGAAAAAGTGCTTTTAGTAGGTACCGACAACCTCGGTGTTGGAGTTCTTGTCGTTGCTAGCAAGTACGCCTCCCTTGGCTAAGTTGGTCGCCTAAACATACAACACAGAAATATTTAGCTTCTTCTCCGTTTAGGTGGATACAAAGAGAGCAGTAAGGAGAAGTGAACTTACAACGCCACTGACATGGCCTTCATAGTTGCTACCGGCAACATTGACATCCGAGTGACCGCGCTTGTAGTGGCCTTGGCCGGTGATAACTGTGGTGTCGGCGTTTTTGTCGTTGGAAGCAAGAACACCACCCTTGGCTAAGTTGGTCGCCTGTACACAGATATCAGTGTGTTTGTTAGACTCAATGATAGGCAAACTAGATTCAGCCGAGAGATATAAAGAGCAATATACTTACAACACCACTGACGTGACCTTCACCATTGTTACCGCCAACATTGACATCCGAGTGACCGCGCTTGTAGTGGCCTTGGCCGGTGATAACTGTGGTGTCAGCGTTTCTGTCGTTGGAAGCAAGGACACCACCCTTGGCCAAGTTGGTCGCCTGTACACAGATATCAGTGTGTTTGTTAGACTCAATGATAGGCAAACTCCCAGATATAGCCAGTAGGTATAAAGAGCAATATTACTTACAACACCACTGACGTGCCCTTCACCGTTATTACCACCAACATTGACATCCGAGTGACCGCGCTTGTAGTGGCCTTGGCCGGCGATAACTGTAGTGTCAGCGTTTCTGTCGTTGGAAGCAAGGACACCACCCTTGGCCAAGTTGGTCGCCTGTACACAGATATCAGTGTGTTTGTTAGACTCAATGATAGGCAAACTCCCAGATATAGCCAGTAGGTATAAAGAGCAATATTACTTACAACACCACTGACGTGCCCTTCACCGTTATTACCACCAACATTGACATCCGAGTGACCGCGCTTGTAGTGGCCTTGGCCGGCGATAACTGTAGTGTCAGCGTTTCTGTCGTTGGAAGCAAGGACACCACCCTTGGCCAAGTTGGTCGCCTGTACACAGATATCAGTGTGTTTGTTAGACTCAATGATAGGCAAACTCCCAGATATAGCCAGTAGGTATAAAGAGCAATATTACTTACAACACCACTGACGTGCCCTTCACCGTTATTACCACCAACATTGACATCCGAGTGACCGCGCTTGTAGTGGCCTTGGCCGGCGATAACTGTAGTGTCAGCGTTTCTGTCGTTGGAAGCAAGGACACCACCCTTGGCCAAGTTGGTCGCCTGTACACAGATATCAGTGTGTTTGTTAGACTCAATGATAGGCAAACTCCCAGATATAGCCAGTAGGTATGAAGAGCAATATTACTTACAACACCACTGACGTGCCCTTCACCGTTACTACCACCAACATTGACATCCGAGTGACCGCGCTTGTAGTGGCCGTGGCCAGCGACAGCTGTGGCTTCAGCGTTTCTGTCATTGGAAGCAAGGACACCACCCTTGGCTAGATTGGTCGCCTGTATACAGATATCAACGTGTTTGTTAGACTCAATGATAGGCAAACTCCTAGGTTCAGCCCGAAGATAAAAAGGGCAATATTACTCACAACACCACTGACATGACCTTCTCCGTTGTTACCACCGACGTTAACGTCAGAGGATCGGCGTTGATGGGCAACGTTAGTGCGCGAGTTCTTGTCGTTGGAAGCAAGAACACCACCCTCGGCCACATTGGTAAGCTAAAATCAATTGAAGATGAAAATGTTTAGAGTTGCGATATATAATAGAATGGCGAGCAGGAAGCAGTTTAGAATGATAAGATTGTATACGTACAACGCCGCTGACATGACCCTCGGTGTTGCTGCCACCAACGTTGGTATCTGACCAGCGACGTACATGTTGACCCTGGTAGCCACCACCGACAACAGTAGTACCCGAGTTCTTGTCGTTCGAGGCAATAACACCACCCTTCAGAAGGTTGGTGGCCTACATTATTGGGAACGATTGATATAAGTAAAAAAGGAAAGGTAAAATGCAAAAATGATTCATTGAAGAGCATATAAGCTACTGCTACTCACAACACCGCTAACGGAACCTTCACCGTTGCTACCGCCGACATTGGTATCCGAAAAACCACGCTTGTGATGACCATTGATGACAGTGGTGTCCGAGTTTCTGTCGTTGCTTGCAAGAACGCCACCCTTGGCTGCGTTAGTCAGCTAAAGACAAAAAGAAAACAAATTGGTATATGTGAGTTGTTGTTGTCACAGTGCAATATGTCGTTGATAGTAGTGGGATAGTGTAAAAAGAGAGAGATGGAGGAAAATCTTACAACACCGCTAACGTGGCCATCGACGTTGCTACCACCAACGTTGGTATTATAACCTCCGTGAGGCAAAGCGGATGTGGCAACGGCCAAAAGAGAAATAGCAGCGGTAATAGACGCGATCTTCATTTTTAGGTATAGAGTATAGGTTTTTCAGTGGTGATCAAAGAAGAGTGATACAAAATGTACTTGTAGTGGAGATGTGGTTCTGTTGTGATGATGATGTTCTTTGTGGACGGTAGATTGTGTCTTATATATACCATTTTTTAAGAAACGCGAATCCCCTCGATTCACTTTGCTAGCTGGCTACTACTGTTGCTGCATCACTTGGACTATATTCAACTCCAGGCCCAATGATCAGAAAACTATATCTACTTAGTAGCGAAGTACTATCATCGTAGTAGCTATGTCGATCCATGACGAGAGGCGCGTAGGGCTGTTTAATTAACCCCAAAGGTAGGAGCAATAAGGGAGGAGAAGGGCTCACAGATTCTTTTACGGAGCATTGCTTTTTGAGTGGCCTTCTCATCACACGCGATGCATGTACTGCTTGCATCTGCATAGCAGAAATGACTAGAGCGCCAAAAAAAGTCACTAGTGTCAAATGCTCCTGGATAATTATATTACTTCTTCCCAGCTCGATTCCTCATTTCCCCTGTTTTTCTTATGCAGGACTGTTTTATTCACCTGCATTGTATGAACCACGTAAAAATCAAGAAAGAATACATGTGCTCGCCTTTTTACTTGTCGTCTCAAAGGGCAGCTATTTCGGTGTTGTTGCCACCATCCTCTCTTCTCAACGATCGAGAGATATTTATTAGACAACTGAACCTGCTTCTTGTGTGTTCCTTCGCGGAGAAACTCTTGCTTTGTTGTTGTAATCAATGCAGCAAGTCCATCATAAAATGCTGTGGACGAATATGTTAATGTCGTCTATTAAATTCTCTCAGATGATGCTCCGGCCACCAGTTGACGTACACTCTTCATTGAAATATACACGAACAGAATAGCCCGTGTAATGGACAATATGCTGACATGAATAGCAAATATAAATCCCTGGAGTACAGGGTTTCTTTTCTTTACATGAAGTGCTTCAATTGGGTGATATTATACGCTGTTTGACCGGTGCTAGTGTTAATTTCAGTTGCAACCTTTGTACCCCTTATAATCTCTGATCAAGCATGGCAGTAACAAGCTATAAACAGATGGCGAGCTCCCCTACTTCTTGTGTCCCTTTTGTCCCCGACTCAGTTGTTTCGCTAATATCCAGGGTTTGTATAAGGGCTATTGCTGCTGCGTCTGATTGCATGAGCCTTCTCAACTGTCGTCATTTTCCGCCATAAAACTAACAAACGCTAACACTGTATCACACAGAAATCACACAAAGGGCCTCGATCCAAAAAAGGAAGTATGCGGTTTAATGGCTTGTCCAGGGCGTCGTACACATAATCCCATTAGTTGTTGACGAACATCCAGCCTGTATCAAATACAGTACCGCATTCTCGCTCTTTTTTTATTATCTCCGTGACACTTAGTTCATTAAGTAAACAATAATTATATACGGCGATATCTAAAATATGCTTGTTGTTTTGTTATACTGAGCTATACTAATGGGGAACCAATGTATTTCTAAAAAGCCTGGATTAATGCATATAAAAGATGTGATAAGGAGTGAGTGGTTTTTTGTGGGGTTCAAGAAACTCGCGTTGTTGGGAGAAAGCAGTCGTTCTGCACTGCAGTAGCCTGGATCAACACCATCCGCGACAAACGCTTCAACATCTTTCTATTTGCGACCACGTCTTTCACGCGTTTTTCCGAGCGACAACATTGCTCAGAAAATTCTACACCTCAAAGACGATGAAGGCCGTTTGGTGTACGACACAGACATCGGCTGGCAACTTTTCCAAAAGAGCTCTGATCACATCAAGTTAGGCATTAGCATCAGCAAGGGGTGCCTTGATGCTGTCCAATGTACCAAGGAAGGTTGCTAGAAACTGGTGAAACTTGAGTCTACCAAGGCTAACATCAGAAAGCAATTGAAAGCTGGCTGTATTTTTTGCCCCGGAGAAATCGCCTTTGATTCGTGTTGGATGTGTTGCAAAAGTCAACCTGATATTTACTGGCAATGTCGGCAAATTGACATACAAGGGCACACACACCCTTGTCGAGTTCAACCCCCCTCCATGATACGATGGATACGTCGGGACAGGTTGACAAGCACATCTCGGAATGTCCAACGGATACGGCGCAGACATTGTTGGTTGGCACCAGCACCATCCGTCCGCAAAGCCCAAGCCATCCAATTGACTCATCGATGCTAATCTTCAGCACAAATCCAAGATCAAACGCTATCGACGTGACTACTTGGTCAAAAACGACAAGTTGTCTGCGAAAAAGCCTGATTTGGAGTTGTCGTACGATGCGCTTAATGCTCTTAATGGCGAGTTCCCAGGCTATATCCAATCTGCGGATATGGCCCCTCGCCAATATTGCCTTACTTTCTGCGAGCCCAACATTGCCGCACGCGTAGAATTCAAAATGTATCTAATGCTCACGGATGTGACTTACGACTGCTTCCCCGATGGATTCTATCTGTGCACAACAAACATGTACTTCCAAGAACTTGATCAATATGCTGTCATATTTCAGGCTGTCTTTGGTTGGCTTAATTTCGTCCACCCATTTTGCGGCTTACTTCAAAACCTTTTCCCTCATGTTTGATTTTGCAATCGGATCTACGGACAACAAGATCGACAATAATTTCTCTGGCCTGGTGATGGACTTTTCTCTTGCGCAGCGGAACGGCTTTATGCTGGCATTACGAGCAAATGTTTCCTTTTAGCAAAGTTGATCCCAAATTTTTGTTAAAAGGTTGCTATTATCAATGGCGCCTATCCGTCCAGTGTCTCGTCAACAATCATGCAGTGGTGCCAGTGGGAAAAGAGATTGACTTTGAAGACTTGACGAACACAATGTACGACGTTAAGGGCGAGAACGGCTTCCAACTGGCTGTCGACCAGCTTCGCAAATGCAGAACGCTGGTTGAAGTGGTGGCGGCAATAATTTTCAAGTCCAAGCAGTCAATGAAGGAAAAACTTGCCGATCATCAAACTCGCACCTCGAATGGAGTGGAAGGCTTTTCACCGCGATTTGTTACTTTATATACATAAAATACTGTTTAATAAAGTTTCTTAAGGTCCCATGAAAAATTGTGGCGAGGAAGAATAAATGGGGATTGTTGTGCATATAGATAGTATCAGCAAAAGCTCCACATTAAATACATAAATCTAGCGCCTTTCTACAAACACCTTCATCCCATTTTTCATGGGATGTGTGAGCGATATCGTATAAGTCACTTCTTGACTAGGTGCGAGCGAGAATTTGTAACGCTTTAGCAACATAACAATGGCCACGATTCCCTCCAATGTTGCAAGGTTCTGGCCGAGACATACTCTCGGACCTGCATGAAAAGCAGGCCAATGCCCTTGAGATTCACGACGAAGGTCGCCATCCTCTGTTATCCAGCGTTCAGGGCGGAAGGAGCGAGCATCAGGACCCCATAGCTTCTCTGAGCGACCCATGGCGTAAGGGGTCCAGCTACAAATCAAAAGAAAATCGGCTCACGGTGAGATTAGTACCTTTCAATTTTCTTACTCATGTTTTTCATAGAGAGTATGGTTACCTCACAGAGTCACCCTTTCGCACAGGAGTACCGTCAGGCAAAACATCGTCCTCAAGCGCCGTTTTGAGGTTACTGGGAACGGATGGAGACAGACGCAGCACTTCACACCATCTGTAAATATACGATGTTTTTTTTTTGTTCAATGTCAGCAGTGATTTGTATAATGATAAGCATTGTACAGGTCTATTATGCTTTAAATCAGTTATAATAGGAAGAAAAGAAAAGAAAAGCCTTACACTGCATGTGCATATGTCAATTTCTTGCTAATCTCGTAGAACGTTGGTGCATCCAGCGACGATGTATCCTCTGGAACATGTTCGTTAATCTCACTAAGAAGCTTGGCTTCAATACGAGGATGCAACATCAAATTATAGAAAGTCCAAGAGAGTGCTTGAGCCGTAGTATCGCGACCCGCAATGATGAAGTTTAGCACGGTATCGCGTAGCTCGGTGTCGCTCAAGAGCTCATTTTTCTCATTGCGAGCACTCATAAAACGTGACAGCAAATCCTTGTACTCGCCACCGTTCTTGAGCTGCTCGCGTCTCTCGTTGACCAAAGTATAGGCAAAATCATTAACAGTTTTGAGATGTTGTTTGATGGTTTTGGTGCCTGGTCTGAATATGGGTTTCAATGCCTCACGTAGATCGGCGAATGGATCAACAAAGCGTTCAAAACATTTTTGTTGACAAATATCGAATGACTCCGCAAAGGGAACCTTTTCTTTGCTTAACAGTGAGTTGAGCTGCTTGCCAAAGCCAAGACTATTAACACAAAGATTGTGTTTTAACGTGAGTTGGAAAAGGGGAATTCTGTAATATCATAAGGAGCATAAAACTTACTAGACGAACGAGTCCAAAGTGAATTTGTAAATGACGTCGTGAAAGTCAACCGACTTGCCGTTTTCAGCCTTCTTGTCAAAGATGTTTTTGGATAAGATGTTGAGTTCCTTCACAAAAACCCTGATACACGGTAACACACAGTTTAGTTCCCATAATACCGCAGATATATAGATCTAATGAGACACAGCGCAAAACTACGTACTCTACATTTTACAAATAAATATGGAGAACTGTCAATAGGAGTAAAAAAAGTATGATTGAATTAGGCGGTAACAGAATATCACACACCTGTGAAATGGTCTCTAAAGTTGACCACGTTAAAGATTAAGCTGGCAGCCTTTCGTTGATACTTCCATTGTTCTCCGTCTAAAAATACCATCATATCATTGTCAGCTCTAAGGTTTATAACGATGACTAGCAAACATAAACGTGTATACATACTTGCAACAAAGATACCGTGGCCGAATAAGTCACCCATGGCATTCCTATATTATCGTATGTTCCAGAGTAGTATAAGTCGCCATCATTCAGGGCTAATTAGCAACGATTCAAATCGGTGGACGAGATTTTATAAGGAGCGGAGAAGTTTTACTTGCATCAACTGCGGCCCCTTTACATAATTCGAGAAATTGGCTTTCAAACACCAGAATCAAAGTAAAACAAACTGTGAGTGAACTAGTGAAATAATGCTCATAAAAAGAGTGTGTCTTGTTTCTTTTCTCTGTCCTACTTTTTAAAATGTACTCGACATTGTTTGGATCAATCGTCATGATCTGCGGGGGAAGTCCAAGCACTGTCTGAGCGCTGCGTATACCATGCGATGTTTTAGCAAAGAAATTCGTCTGTGTGATCCATCTCTCCCTCTCTTTCCTTTCACAACAAAAAAAGGACAAACTCAGATCCTTACAAAGTGAGTGTATCGAATTTTTTCAATCGATCATCAGTTGCTTCCAAGATGCGTTCTTTGTTCTTAATCTGCTCGAAGAGAGAACCGAAAAGCGGAGCACCAGGATTGAACATGACACCTTCGGGACGATCGTAAAATACTGCCCGGTCATGGTATTTTATGAACAAAAAACCGAGAGCAGCGGCACCGGAAAGGACAGCAGCGCTTGCAATTGAATCGGGGGTCAACATGGAAGCAGACACCTCGTTATGTGTATCCTGGGGAAAATGAAAAATGAGAGGAAAGAAAAGGAAAATGTGGTGTATTTCATTTATTGTCCCTTTTTACCTGGTTACATTTCGTTGTGACACGAGCCCAGGTTACTTTTCATACGCGTGTATATTGATCACTTCTGTAGCCCACAAGGGCAAGTATTCATCATCCGCATCAGAAACACACATGCAATGTGTATATTCACTATGTAATAATAGAAACGCTAGGTATGCAATAGATTTTGTATGGAAAGAAATTGGCAGACAGTGATAAAAGCAGATATATATACGAAGTTGGAGGCCTGATACACAATATGACTACTGCTACGTACTGTGCTGATGAAGTTGAGCCATCTTGAGAGATGAGGGAGATGTTTCTTCTCATGTGTGATATATAGTAGCCACTACCCCTTACTTCCCTGCAATAAGAATATGGGCTATGTGTATCATATGCTGATCGTCGAGCGCTCACGCACATTAAGAATGTAGCACTACACATGCAGTATGCCGTGTACTATACAAGCCAAAGCAGTGGTTAGTATCGTTCCTCACAAAAAACGAATCGCATGTTTAACTTTCCACTTTGTGTACGATTGTCAAAGTGCCACTGTTGATTTATCCAAGATTGATATTGATGCGATATATTTGACTCTGCTCTGATTATCTGTCTAAAGTACAACATCGAACTCGAGCGCCTATCTAGAGCATTTACTGCTTCTCGGCTGTTCGTGATGGTATGTGCTACATAAGCAAAATAACCGGCGATATCCAGAGCTCAGGACTGTCACAAATAACAAGGCCGACATGAACTTTTTCCAAGCTTATCATAGAGCGAGTACTGTACCAAGCTAGAGTTAATATAGTTTAATCCGAACAGATTCACATAGTATCACGTGTGAGCTCGTCAATATCAATTGATGCTTTTAATTTCTATACTAATATCACACCAACATATCGTCAGCATATATTGCCAGTAGTAATCGTTCATGATAGGAAAAAGGCAGGATGTGTATATAAAAAAGGAAAATGCGATCAATGAAACTATATGTATTTTTATCACGGAGAAAAATGCGAGATGTAAAAAGTAAAGAAGATTAAAGAACGAATGTCCTTGAAGTCCTCAAGAAAAGTTTGAAGAAAAAAAAACCCATTGTTTATCTATGCTATATTGTTACAGGGCGTATGCATATGTATATGCTGGCAGTAGATTACCAAAGTTAGGAAGAGGAGAGGGAAATAAGTCGTCAGCGCTGATAATGGTGGTTCTAGAATTTTTATTACTGTATTGGCAGCGAGAACACCATCCTTAGCTATGTCAGTCAGTTAAAACAAAAGATGATTATGGAAGTAACGAATGAGTAACAAGACATAACAACTGTTGTTAGCTGCCATAAGTGTAGTGCCACTTAGAATATCGCTAACATGTCCTTCGTGCTGTTACTACCGCCAGCAGTGTGTGCGAGCTCTTGCCATTAGCAGCAAGAACACCACTCTTGACAACGTTAGTCAACTATAAAGATGATATTGTACGTAAAAAGTTGCTGCGATGCTTTTTGATGGAGTATATTGAAGGAAAATGGATGAGCAATACTACTAACAACGCTGCTGACATGACTTTCATTGTCGTCGTCGCCAGCAGCTGTGGAGCTATCACCTTCCTAGTAGTGGGGTATAGCACTAGTAGCGCCGAAAATGACCAAAGCATGAGCAGCGGATATCGACTCATGTTGTCGTCGGTTTAAAGAGTAGTGTTCAAAAAGCTGTTGTTGTTATTATCGTATTAATGTGATCAAATGTCGAAAATTGCAAGACATTTTGTCCATTGGGTATCTATATCTTTCTACGAAGGTTTCTATTAGGAGAAGAGAGGATATACGTATAATTGTAGCCTTGTTGTCGTGTGGTTTTTTGAAGATCATGCTTTCTTCTATGTCCATATTACTTGACATGATTCATAAGCACTAATATTGGCCGGCGGATTCTGTAGGTGTGAGTCGAGATAGTCTTTATGTGTGCTGGGCTCAGCGCGCATGCATTCCCTTTGCATGTTGAAACAAAATATTTATAACGCGGCGCCCAGTAGGAGAGCTTCTTCTCCCGCTCACCCTAATACCTTTTATCACTTGAAATTTTCTTTCGACTCAAGGGGTTTTTCAGGCCTTCCGGTCAGTAACGCTACTGCGAAACAAGTATATCTCATCAGCCTCCCTATGCATAATAGTATGAAATCAATATGTCTTTTTCTCGGGCGGTAGGAATGATGATGTCTTACATGGACGTTGTTTTCTTTCTTACCACTTACAAACTTACCAACATTTACATCAAAGAAGCGAATATTCAAAACTATACGTACGCAAATCACAACTATGAAGACTTGCTGCCATACTCAATGGTTTTTCTCTAATAGTGTGTGAAAAAAATTGACCATGTGTGAGTAGACTGAAAATCACTGTAGACGTATAGCAGGATGGTGATAAATATCACGTTTAACATTTGGCTGATACAGTGCACTATCTTTATCCTACATTTTTACCACTTGTTCATTATTACGAATTGTCTCTCCTCTCCTCTTGATAGCATTTCTCTAGCGTACGCAATGTAATCGGTTCATTCTGTTAAACTAACGCGGTCGATGCTGTATTAGGGATACGGATTTTTGTCAGGTAGTATTAAAAGAAGGGGGGATGTAAAAGTCAGGGGTTGGGGATGACGCTTGTAATCATACAGAGCTCTTTAGTGTAAAACTATTGGTTTTATTGAAATGGAAGGCTAGGTGACATGTGCCATTGTTCGTATAATCACTCTTTGCTGTACGATAATTTAAGATAAGGATAGTGTTAAACAGATAAAGTGATGTTGCCAAAACAAGGACCCCTCCCAGCTTGGGAGGAAAAAGTTCTGGAGGAAAAGAACACGAATATGTATGAATTAAATAACTAATCCCAAATATCCTCTGGTGCCGGCTCATTGCTAGCATCATAATCCTCGATTGGAAGGACACAGAGCAGTACGTGACATACTGTGCTATTCTGAGGAGCTTTTCATTAATTCCAAAGATTCAAAGTTCTTGTCAATTTTGCTGTTGTTGCGTCGTGCTCTTCTTGTAGCTTTTTCTACCGCAATACAGTATCGATGAAACTTGCTGCGTTTTATATCTAATGTCGATATAGAGCTTTTATCTTGCTCTGTTCTGCTGTTATACCAAGCTTTTAGAATAGATTAAGGTTTACGTAGTAAATGTGGTAGAGCATACAAAAAACTGAGTCATGTGCATAGCAGAATAATTATAATACTAGTGCGTGCCTTTGTATCAGTTATTAGAATAGTAAAGTTGTTGATATGGATCCCGTCTACATATAAAGACACGATGTTTCTGGTGCACTTTTTCAAATAAATGTGATTATATTGAAGGCACTCCCTTTCTTAGTTTATCTTTTTTTGCTTTATTACTTGGATTCATCATCATTAAATTAGCGTTTGACAGCCAAAACGCAAGAAGACACGGTTTTGTAATACCATCCAAGGTAGATGAAATTACCACACGCCTCGAACCATTATAACTACAAAGGCCCTTTGAAAAAATTGAAAGACATTTGTTGTTAATTAAATCAGTCTCAAGATACTAGTACAACCTCTGTAAAAGTTGAGCGTGATCTGATGTCAACTTCAATGGCAGCCTTATCCGCTCGCCAGATAACCCAGAGGTCAACGTAGGTATTGCGTGCTCCTCTCCTCCGCCTTTCTTATTTATCTACACTATGTCATACAAAGAGAGATACCTCTTGTGATACAAGTTGCTTTAAGAAAAAAAAGAAAACTAGCTTTCTACAGCTTTTTATGGGGAAAATAACCATCTCTACCTATATATCCCTTCTTCGTTTTCCGAGTTCAGCCTAGATGAGAGGTCGGGCATATGCGGACCCCATATACACTTAGCAATGTCAAATTATATGCGATATACACCAATCAGTATATTAGTAATAGATGGGAGAACTCACTTTTTCATGACAAAGTGCAGACCTACCAATAAAAAACTCGTTATGATGCGAGCGTGCCAAATAATACGTATCAGCAGAAAATGTCTTGTGCATGTGTGTACCCATAAAAGTCGTTGCAGCGCGCAATGAAAGCGTTAAAAGTAGGCTTTCTTGTCATTTACCACGTCATTTGAAGCAATACTTTTGGAAAAGAATGTGAGTTGAATAGAACGCAACTCTAAATCTCGCTCTTCTTGTTTTTACCTTCCAACCCTTTGATTTTTTCGGCTGTTGTTGTCAGGGTAGCAAGGTGCAAACAGGTTGCTGATGATTGTACGAACGACTGATTTCCTGACGCACTTTGAGGCATCAATTCGCAGGCTGACTTTCCTTCAAAAAGTTTCGTTTTCAGAGAAAACTGATTCTCCAAGATTAGATCCCATTGAAGGTTTCTGGCCCAAATCTTTAAGATGTGTTAGCCAAAGATTCTGTATCAGTAGAAGAGAAACTGTAATAAGGTTATAAAATTACCATGGTTGAACCAAGTAGGTAGTATCCATTAAGGTTTTGGTATCATTATACTAATAGCTGCTTGGCTAGCGAGAAACACTTTTAGATAGATTGATAGATAGATGATTGTTTAAAGCTCTGTTTGGGGAAATAAATCATGTATATTACTTATAGACAAATGCCATTATTGTCGTTTGTTAATGTCAAGGTGTAGCCTCGCATGATTCAGTTTTTTTGGTTATTTTAACCTGCCTCAATCATGGCCCACATATATCCCTGTTTGCCTGATCGTACTGCACAGCTCGTCTTTTTCTATAAATATTCTAAAGTATGATCCTGTGCGCATAGTATCCACCTATTTACATGTAGAAGGTGCAGGGAAAGCGGAACTAGTGTTTTTTTGTAGACCCGGGAACCAAAGATCAAATTATCCAAGGCTTTCCCGCTCTCTTCTTCTGCACAGCAACGACACAATTTACTCCATTTCCTTTCCTTTCTAAAATATCAATCGTAAAATCATTGAGAGAATCAGACATGTCGAGCACGCATGAGATAATCAACTACAACAATTTCGAAAATCACAAGATACCCCACATTATGCAGGTATGGTTGATCCAAAAACTGGTACAGATTCCCTTTCAGCACGATCTTGGACTTTATTGTTTTTCTCATTAATAATAAAGTAGCATTCTGACTGGGATTGCGGGTAAGAAAAGATCGTTTCAATAGACCTACAGAATGTAGAAAGAACCCAAGCCAGCAAAAGAAAGATAAACGAACGACAAGGGCGATACGTATGTGTAATTGATGCTGACAACACAGGATATATACTTATAGGCTCGCATGCATAGCCATGACATTGAAAGGACTGGGGATCGAATCCAGCGTAGAACAGCTGACGGAGGAGATAAAACTGACGAGCATATGGACGATCGACCTTGCATTTCTCCTGCGCAAGTACGAGCCGGACTTTACTTTTTACACAAGTGTGTTTGGGACTCGGAAAGAGTACAAGGGCGTGAAATTCTATGAGGCAACGTTCGATCAGGATGAAAAGCGGGTCAACAAGTTGTTTGCCAGTGCAAAGAGCTGTTCTGTGCATATTGTGCGCATGTAAGGAAAAACTTTCTGCACTTTGTGTGTGATTCTGTGTTGTTGCTGTCTTTTGCACAAGAGGGGCTATCACTAAAAGTTAAGAGAACAGGAAATTACCGATAGAAGATTACAAGCGATTTCTGTTTAACCGACAGTTTGCAGTCATTGCATTAGTCAATGCACGGTTACTGCATTGTCAACGATGTGAGGTATTGTGTTTTTTTTCGTGAAGAGAGGTTGGAGAGAGTGGGATCAATAACATCTATCCTCCTCAAATAGGCTAGGAAGGGATGCATGGCGTCCGTGTGCGGTCAGTTCTTTTACAAAATGTCCAATGACGACTATATCGGTAGACACAGCATTTTCTTTACGTTATTCATTGTTAAGAATGTTACTAAATCAAAGAAACAGGACACTACATTGTCCTGATAGGATACGATCCAACCGAAGATCTGTTCGTATACAGAGATCCGGCCAACATGGATGATTACTGCACCATAGCAGCAGATGATTTTGATCAAGCGCGCCAAGCCGAAGGCACCGATCACGATTGGTAGGTATCGCAAGCTCAGTTTTACTCTCGGGAAACAGGCCAATTATTAACGGAGTTTTTTGATATTTTAGTATCATTGTCAAACTGTGATCTGCTATGTATTATTCGTTGTCTTATTATACTGGTTGATGATACCCTTTTCTCTCAAATTCTGATGCATCTTGTTGGCGTTTTTGGCGTTGTCTGTGTTGTTTATGTTTATGTTTATGTTGTTGTTGCTGCTGCTGCTGCTGCTGCTGCAAGGAGAACGAGGAAACAGATGCAGTAACATTCTTGATCGGAAGCGTTAGCAGCACACAAAACACACACAAAAACAGAAAAAAAAGACCCGAGTTGATAGCAGTAAACTCCGATCGAAAAAAGAGTGCTTGTTTTTTTTTTCAAGTTTGTGCCACACATTTCCAGACGCGCCGTCGGTCTGTCTGCCTCCTGTTCCTATACACACTCTCTTCCTTTTTTAAGCTTTTTTTTAGCAATAAACTTTTGCTAACACTTTTCTTTCTCCTTCTCATCCGTCATGACTCAATCCACCTTTGAACACTACCCTCAAAATGTCGGCATCTTGGCCATGGACATGTACTTCCCTTCCAGAGTATGTATTTCTAATTCCTTAGAAAGAGAGAAAGCGAGACTACTCTCTGATGGCGGTAACTGATATCTGATGATGTGGCGATTGACGTGTTCCATCACTAGTGCGTCGAACAATCCGAGATGGAGGCCTTTGACGGTGTCAGCGCTGGAAAGTACACAATTGGTTTGGGTCAGGAAAAGATGGCCTTCATTGATGACCGCGAAGACATTCAGTCCATTTGCTTGACTGGTAAGAAAAGAAAAGAACGTCTTTTTTTCCGGTATTCGCCTCTCTGTCTCTCTCTTATTGATATGTTGCTCACACTCTGCCCCAAAATATTAGCCGTCCAAACTTTGATGGAAAAGTACAACCTTGCCTACACTGATATCGGTCGCTTGGAAGTCGGTACCGAAACCATTATCGACAAGTCAAAGTCGGTCAAGACTACCTTGATGACGCTGTTTGCCGAACACGGAAACACTGAAATTGAGGGCATTGACACCACCAATGCATGCTATGGTGGTTTCAGCGCCTTTTCCAATGCCGTCAACTGGGTCGAGTCTTCGTCGTGGGACGGTCGCAAGGCTATCGTCATTGCTGGTGATTTGGCCTTGTATGCTTCGGGCGCTGCTCGTCCTACATCGGGCGCTGGTGTGGTTGCCATGTTGGTTGGCCCTGACGCCCCAATTGTTTTGGAACGAGGTAACCAACGACAACAAAGAAATTGAAGGATATTGATTGTTTGCTTTCAAGGGGGGTGGTCCGCGGCACTCGTTGGAAAAGGAGAGAAGGAGAGAGGGGTGGGGGTTTCAGGGATCAAGGTTAACCCAGTTGTTGTTGTTTTTTCTGACACATATACTCTCTCGCCTAATTACCAGGCCTTCGCAGCACCCACATGGAACATGCTTATGACTTTTACAAGCCTGACATGCACTCGGAATATCCCGTCGTGGATGGCAAGTTCTCCAACGTCTGCTACCTTCGTGCATTCGACACTTGCTACAACCGCTACATGAGCCGTCTCGGCAAGCAATTGAACAAGGAGCACCCTAGCATGGATGACATTGACTACGTTGTCTGCCACTCTCCCTATGCCAAGCTTGTCAACAAGTCCTTTGCTCGTGCAGTAAGTGGGAAGGAGATGTGGAAGAATCGGATGATTTTTTTTTTGTGGTTGTCGTCTTATCCGGGTTCTGTTTACTCAACACATTTATCGGTTCTAACTGTGATAGTCATACAACGACTACTTGCGAGACCGTGCAAACGAAAAGTATGCGCCTATCCAACAGTTTGGTGAGCTGACGCACGATCAATCATTGGAGAACCGTGACCTGGAAAAGGCCTGCGTTGGCTTCACCAAGGCCGGCTATGCACAAAAGGTCGGCCCTTGCGCATTCGCACCCAAGCAGATTGGTAACATGTACACTGCCGCCGTCTGGGCCGGTCTTGCATCGCTTGTTTCCGAAGTTGACTCCGAGACGCTCCAGGGCAAGCGTGTGTTGCTGTACTCGTACGGCTCTGGCTTGGCTGCCTCGATGGTCTCGTTCCGTGTCAACAGCACCACGACCGATATCAAGGAGAAGCTCAGCTTGCGTGAGCGCTTGGCTGCTCGCACTCACACCAAGCCGGAGGACTTTGCAGAGGTATGTGTAACCTCGAACAGAAATAGGAGTCCCTTTTTTTCACATACACAACACTTGACTCACACTCATACTCTTTCTCGCGCTTGATAGGCCATGAAGATCCGTGAATCCACCCACAACGCCTGCGACTATAGCCCCGTTGGCAGCTTGGACAACATTGCCTCTGGCGTCTACTACATTGAGAAGATCGATGACAAGTGGAGACGCTTCTACAAGCGCAAGGACTAACTTATTGACTACTACACACCCCACCCACTCTTCCTCATTTTGCCTTTCCGAACTTATATACACGCAGCACTCACGCATCTAATATATACAACAGCCATTTCGACGCACACAAAACGTTTTTTGACTACTAGTACATGACCGTTTTCCTTCTTTTGTTCCTAATTTAACCCCCTCCACGTAGTAAATTTAATATAAAAAATCACACCACACACTACTGATTTTGTTTACAAAACGAGACAAAAGAGAAATGCGATATATATTTGTATAAGATGATGCAGTATAGAGAGAGAAAAATACACAAAAGATTATAGAAAAGAGAAACAGGTCAAATAGAGAGCAAGAGAGAGCGTGTGTGTTGTGTGTGTGTGTATGTGCGTGTGCGTGTGCGTGTGCGTGTATGTAAGAGAAGTTAAGAGTCAGAGTGATAATAAGGGAATGAAAGAAATCATTTTTAACATTAGGTAAAACTAGGTAAAACGAAAACGCAAAGCAAAAGAGAAAAAGGAGTTTATCGTCGGTCGCGAGAGCCCATGGAGGTCTTGCCACTGAACAAATGCTTGGGCATCTTGGTCTGGATCGATCGGTCCGAGTCGCCACGCTTGCCAAACTTGTTGTTCTGGACCTGTACCAGCTTCTTTTGCTTATCGGCTTCCTTCTTTTGCTTGACGTTGCGGAAACCAAGGTTGCTCATCTCCTGAGTCATCACTTCGTCTCGGGCAGCTGCATCGGCGTCCTTGACAGCTTCATCGGGAATAGCTTCCGCGCGAGTACGCTTGCGACCTGCAGCACTTGCCTTTGTACGTTCCACAGCAGCGTCGGCATCAATGCCCATTTTGCTCAAGTGAACGTTCATGTCGTCCACAGTTGCAGTCTATTATACTCTCTTGTTAGCACATTTCTCTTTGTATACTACGAAACAAATGATCAAGTACGTACCTTGGTGGTAATCTTCTTTGGAAGCACGTTGTTCTTGCTGCCACGAGCTGCACGATGCGCTTGGACAATGAGTCTCTTGCGTTCCCGAATAGCGTCAGCTGTGCTTCGAAGCTCTTCTTCATCCGAGTCCATCTGCATTAAATACAACAAAAGGATTGTTAAATTAAGCACACAATGCCAATGAACCACATGCTAAGCAGTAGTAGGATCATGGTGAAAGAACTTACGATGGGCTCGTTGTTGTCATAGAATCCTTCCTTCTCAAGACGTTCTTCTTCACGCTCGAGGGCATCAAGCTTCTCTTCGATTTCGGGATCGATAAAGTCAGCGACATTGTGGCCTTCCCAGAACTCAGGGATGGTGTCTTTCTTCCAATCCTCATCGGCAAGCAAGTATTTCTTCTTGAGATCGACGCTGTAAACACCAGCACCACCTGCTTCGACCTCGAGGTCCTTCTCCAATTTCGGTCTGTTAGGATCATTGACATCATACTTGGCCTTGCTCAAAGCACCGTCAGGGATATTGGGCAGACGAGCCACAGTGTCTCTGGCAGTGGGCATGGCAAGATGGATCTTATTGATCACGTCGTTGATCTTGTTACCAGACATCTTCATTTCGACACGAGCGGCCAAAAGTTTGTCACAAGCATTGTTACGCACGGCCATGACACCTTCTTCGGAATAGCACGACATGGTCAACACAGTAGCGGCGTCTTGGTTCATGATTTCCTCAATCCAGGCACGTTGTTCGGCAGGAAGATCTTCAGGCTTGACCTGATCAATCTTGTTGATCACAAGAACGATTGGCTTGTTGGCAAAGAGGGGCTTGATGTTGTGGAAAAGCTTGACCTGATGACGATTCCCACAAAGCACACACGACAAAACGGCGTTAAAATTTCTTTTTTCTCTCTCTCTTACACATATACATATTCCCCCTTCCAGGCCTTCCTTAGTTCTCTTACCTGATCCTCAACACTGTAGCCACACTGTTCGGACAAATCCATGAAATACATGACACATGATCGCAAATGGGCCATGGCAGTAATGGACTGCATCTCAATGGTATTACGCTCCTCCAAGGGATGATCCAAGATACCGGGCGTATCAATGACTTGCCATCGCATATACTTGTAATCCATGTGGCCGACAAACAAGGACTTCGTGGTGAAAGCGTAGGGTTGGACATCGACATCAGCGCGGGTGATTTTGTTGATGAAACTCGATTTGCCCACGTTGGGATAACCACAGATCAACAACGTGCGGGTGTTGGGATCAATCGATGGGAGACGAGACAAATGCTGTCGAACTTGTTCCAAGTATGCTAAGCTGTCCTTTTGACGTTTCATGATCGTGGCCATTCTATATTCCAAGAATTATTTTTTTTTTTTTTTCAGTTGTGATTCCTATTGAAAGACAGGTTTTTTCCCCCAAGTCAAGAATTATCCATCAGATTATGTACCTTCCCAAGGCAGCACGCTTCAACTGTTTACAGCGGTACAACGAATCACCAAACTTGAGCAAACGAACATAATCCTTTGCTACTTGGTCAATCAAGTGGCGTGCTGTGTTGATTTGACCCAAAGCCAACTTGTAATGATCCTTGTCGTATAACACGTTCATGAGATCGGCATAGAATGGGTGAACGTCCTACATGAATTCCCTTTTTGTGTCAGCAGATCTCTCTTTTCCTCATATATCACAAGCTTCAATCATAACAACACATACGTCCAACTTTGGGAATTCGTCCAAGATAGCCTTGAACTTTTCTTCAAAACTATCTTGGGTGAATTTGACCTTGCGCATATAAAATTGTCGAATACGGCCAATGTTGTAGTTTTTGCGAATGACTGTAGGGGTCTTGCGCTGGGTCTTTGACAAGATAATGTCAATAAAGTCAGTGGCCGTAGGCACCGGCTCGATCTTTTTAAAGTTGTAAAGCGAGGACATTGAAAGGTGTTTTCTTGATAAAGATCGAGTTGTTCTGCTGTGGGAAAGGGGGAGGGGGGGAGGGTGCACACACAAAGGGAAAAAAAAAGTTTCTTTTTCGAGGACAGAAACGGGGATAATAATGCTGCGAATAATAAATTTCTAAAGCGGCAGGAACTTTTTGGGTGGCTTGTTTTTCTTTCTCTTGGGGAGCGGCAGACCAACCACAGAGGAAGACGGACCGATACGTTTGTGTAACCATGGGACCTGTCAGTTAAAAACATGGATCTCCACGGATGCATTTGTTCCAACGACTATCGATGATTGTGAGTAGTGGCTTCCAGCTCGTTTTTGATGCCATAGGACTCTACACATCTTAGCACAAAGTGATACTTCTTGGCTGAACGTTCAAGAGTGTAATGCTGGGCTTTACGTGGACATAAATGCAATTTCACGGACGTTGTTGTAGCCTCTTTAACCTTTTCCTCGTCGCACGCTTTACTGAACTGTCTTGCTGCTACCGGATCCTTTTAAGAGAGCCCTTAAGTCTTACAAGCTTTCTCTAGTCGATAGTCCCTGTTTGCACCCTCGACGTCAAAAACTACACGATGCATCAAATGTGCGCTGCGTCGTGCTGCCCTGATGATTTTCGTAGCAGCGCACGTTGATAATGCATGCATACAATTGCAGACGTACGGATATAGACAACGTGCACTTGCAGCGTATATAGAGTATATATACTGTGAGCCACAACCTTTCGCGCCAACGCCTCTTTTTGGAATAAACTATAGGATACTTTTTTTTTTCCGAATTAACAATGACCGACAGCATGTACAGTGTTCTATTTTCTCACACATCAACACGGCTCATTACATACATGCAATGTATGATACATAGGCCAGCCCCAGTTGCTATAGAAGACTACTTTGTACCGATATTAATATTTGTACCCCGTTTTTACAGCCGATTCTTTCTTTGAAATACCACTGAATAAGTCACCCTATAAATAACGTCACTTTGTTGTCTTATCTGTCAAAGACGATGTTACGATACGTTCCCTTGAAAATATTATTATAGGTCTTGGTGTGTCCCCATTAAACTGGCCACTCACCTATCAGTTAGCCATTTCCGTTCCAATCATGTATAGTTCTTATATATTTATTTTGCATTGACCTGTTTGAAGTTCTCAAAGAAAAGTTGCAGACATATGAGATATTGCAAAACCAAAGGGTTGCAACAAACCAGAGTATCATACAACTGTAGCGAGATCTATTATCTTTTAATTGTATATATATAAGCACGGTAAACATATATACAAAGAGTGCCAATTGCTACGTACGATGCTTTACTATCATACGCAATAATATGCGTCGTTATTTTTAGTCGATCGTAGGTAGGTTATTCAATATCAACATATCAAGAGCAAATAGAAGATATATAACAATATACTCCTCAAAAATAATCCTAGGTTTAGCAACGCTGTTCTTGCTGTCATTTGCTTCACACTTTCATTAAAATCATCTGTCACTCACTATAGATGATGACAATGATGATAGCTCAAGGAGCTCAAAGGAAAATCACATATTATCATTGGGTCGTAAATAATCGCAACAGGCCTAGCAGTAGCGCTTCGTGCAAAATAACAAAAAAGTGGACAGCCCCTTAATTTCTTCCTTGTAGTAGTGTATTCTTCACTTTGAGCATATGGGATCTCCTAATCCTCAAAAGCAGTAGTAGAATCTTGTTTGATGCATCGTCTACCGTGTTGTTCAAGGTCAGCGCGGATGATATTCCTCCACTCTGCTCTCTCCTGAAACCCGCAATTACTATCGACCCACTTCCACTCCTATCAAACTAAGTCTTTCTGTATGTGTCTGTCTGTCTCTTTCTTCCTTCTTTTTTCTTGTTTTCTTCTTTGTCTGTATTATCATTAATATTTTTAAAATATACTTTTTTTAACTTAAAAGTTTTTTTAATCTGATTCCTACTGTTTTCTAATTTTTTACCGCGACGACGACAGCCAGCTTGCGCTATAATACGAATAGAGAACGTTATATACATCAACACAAGAAGCGATACTCTCAATAATACACAGGATTAAACACCGCCCCACACCACCACACGTTGTACACAATAGCACACGATGATGAATACGCAGCAAGGTAGTAAATCATAGCTTCTTAAAGTTTTAATTCGTCGAGAACCAGCTTTTATGTGAGAAAACTCGAATTGTTACTGATGACGATGATATAACGACAGCCGATGTAGCACCATGTGGAGCGAACGGTAATATGGATACCGTCTGCTCACCGCTGAGAGGAGAAATCTGGCAGAACAACACTTGGCATCAGATTTCATGGAATCCAACGTAAGAAAAGAAACATATCTAAACAGGACTATGGATTTGAACTCAGTATGATTCACATTGCATTTGCTTCATAAAATATGCATATACCATAGCTATCCGACCTATGTTGCAGACGTGAGTTTATTGCCGAAAAGCACGTAATCAAACATGTTATGTGTCTAATTCTTTTTCTCTTGTGGCAATACATACAATAGGAAATCATAAGCATCTATCTATATTATGTCAAAAACTACCAAAATACAATGGTCAAAAACTGGACCCATATTCTACCCAGGCGATCCAACTATCCTGTACTTGTCGAAGACTCTTGGTTTCCAATTGAATTTCAAGGCGACGCTATCCACGAGGGCCTTATTTATATTGTCGGAGGCAATGTAGATCCGGAACAAGAGATGACCAACCGATATACCGATTATCCGGCGCCAATACCTATTCAAGTTGTTAAACGTAATTGTTAAAAAAAAAGGGAGGGGGGGGGGCAGTTGAAGGAAGGGATAGAGGAGAGATCATAAGGGGGCGGTTTTTCATTTGTTTCGTGTGATGGTGTTTTCCATCGCTCCACCTAGCTGTCTGGAAAAAAAAGAATCATAATGATATGGAATTTTGTAGAAAATGAGACGACTGTATCAGCGAATAACGAAACAGAACTGATTGACGCGAATAATAATGAAACAGCGAATCGTGGAGGTAGTGAGAGTAGTGCATTGCAGCCTTGGGTAATTGCTATTGTCGTGGTAGCCTGTGTTGCAGCCGTGGCAGCATGTATTATCATGGCATGGGCCATACGCCATGTCCGACGGCGCAAACTTGTCTTTGATGAAAAGGGTCATGTTGGTAAGGTTTCACCCTCAGTTCTTTATAAAGTTCAATTAAAAGTCATTAAAAGCCTCGTATTGGATTTGATAGAAGTGGGCGGGATCGGCGGGCCGATGACAACAGCAACAGCCAGGAGTATACCCAATTCATCAATCAAGTATCCTGACAGCCATCATTTGAAAAACGACAGCAGTTTCATGTTACCGTCCACGCCCGTGATGGATGGATCCATACGTAGTCAACACTACCGTCAGCCACCATCGTTGTCGTCACGCATCGTACTGGATCGGGGAAGCACCTGTGTTTCAGACAGCAACATGCTTGTTCGGCCACAATCTGTCGCCTCTTGTAGTAATATATCCACTCCCTCCATCAACGACGCTCCTCCCATCTCTTCCGCCGACGCCGTCATGATTGCTGACACCTTCCGGCAACGTATGCGAAGACCTGAATGGCAACAGCAACAACAGCAGCATCAAGAAAAGCAACAAGAACATGAAGAAGAATCGAAACGACGACAGTTGAGCGAAGAGTTGTTGAAAAAAGAGCTGGCGGCGGAAGGGACGTTGATGAAAAAAATCAGTAACCGAGCACATTTGCTTGGTGCATTTTCAGATGATAACGCACACGACGGTGACGCTCATAAGAATACTGACGATAAAACCAATCATGGCGCCGCTGGAGACCGTGAAAATCATCGCAACGGCGTTGAAGACGACGGCGACACTGATAAGAATTCTGACGATAATAGCAATCATGGCACCGCTGGAGACGGTGAAAATCATCACAACGACGTTGACGACGACGGTGACACTCATCAGAATGCTGACGATAAAACCAACCACGGCGCCTCTGGAGACCGTGACAATCATCGCAACGACGTTGGAGACAATGGTGACGCTCATAAGAATTCTGACGATAATAGCAATCATGGCACCGCTGGAGACGGTGAAAATCATCACAACGACGTTGACGACGACGGTGACACTCATCAGAATGCTGACGATAAAACCAACCACGGCGCCTCTGGAGACCGTGACAATCATCGCAACGACGTTGGAGACAATGGTGACGCTCATAAGAATTCTGACGATAATAGCAATCATGGCACCGCTGGAGACGGTGAAAATCATCACAACGACGTTGACGACGACGGTGACACTCATCAGAATGCTGACGATAAAACCAACCACGGCGCCTCTGGAGACCGTGACAATCATCGCAACGACGTTGGAGACAATGGTGACGCTCATAAGAATTCTGACGATAATAGCAATCATGGCACCGCTGGAGACGGTGAAAATCATCACAACGACGTTGACGACGGTGACACTCATCAGAATGCTGACGATAAGACCAACCACGGCGCCTCTGGAGACCGTGACAATCATCGCAACGACGTTGGAGACAATGGTGACGCTCATAAGAATTCTGACGATAATAGCAATCATGGCACCGCTGGAGACGGTGAAAATCATCATAATGATGTTGACGACGGTGACACTGATAAGAATTCTGACGATAATAGCAACCATGGCGCCGCTGAAGATGGTCAAAATCATTGCAACGACGTTGAAGACGACGGTGACACTGATAAGAATTCTGACGATAATAGCAACCATGGCACCGCGGGAGACCGTGAAAATCATCACAATAACGACGAAGACGACGGCGACGGCGACGATAAATCCAATAACAATAGCAATGTCAGTTCTTCATCGCGACGTCTTTAAAAACCGATAAAACAACCTTCCTCTCCCTTCTACCTTTTACATATTTATACATATACTTTTTTCTTTCTCTGTGTTCGTGTATGCTTTTTTTTTATAATAATAATATTTATATAAAAAGAAAGGAGAAAGAGAGTGATATTATACAATTCTTGGTGCAAGCGAGACAGCCTTCATCCAGTTCTTTTGTCGCAATTCAGCAGCCACGACACCTAATACACGAGTGCCGAGAGGTTCCTTTTTGCTGTTGAGGAGAATGCATGCATTGTCGTCGAAACGAATGTATCGTCCGTCCGGTCGTGCCATTTCTTTTTTGGTTCGTACAACAAGAGCGTGCTTCACCTCACCCTTCTTGACTTTTTGTGATGCTGCTTGGCCGGTAAGGTTGGGGTTAATGGGTCGTGCGCGTTTTACCACACATACAATTTCGTCGCCTATTATTATGTTAATGTTCGCTTTAGTACAACTTAAAAAAAACACTCGTTCAAAATGAAGAAGCCAATTTCTACCAGCGCGAGCGAATCGTGCACCACTCATGACTCGAATGCATTCAGCGACAATGGCGCCAGAGTTGTCAATGACATTGAGTGTGCCTTTTAATCCAATCATGGTAGTCTATGTGGTTAAGCTGTGTCGGGTTGTTTACAAGGAAACCTTTTTTTTTTTTTCTTCCCCTTCCCTTTCCCCCCGAGAGAAAAACAGCGGAATATAAATTATTTCGTTTTTGACAGCATGTCCCACTGAGAGTGAAAGGGTTTTTTAATTTCATACAATAGCAAATCGTTGCTTATGAGCTGTGTCACCACTCCATTCAAAATGCGGCTCAAAAGCGGTGCGAACAAAGCACAATCCTATTGATTTGTAAAAGGGAGCAGCTGTACCATTGCCGTCAACTTGTTGTTGTTGCTGCTGCTTGATGACTGGATAGGCCTTGAATTTCTTACTGTGCTGGATGTCGAACGCTATGCCAGATAGAATCACCACGCAGTCATTGTTGGAACAATTTTCTGTCAGAGAGAAACAGATACTCGATGTCACTCTGGACGGATCTTTTCTGCTGCTGTTTGTTGCAGCAAGGGAATGAAGCAGCAATGTATGGGTTATTTCTATACCGGTCGTCTCCTTGAGGCCAATGAGATCCTTGGGATCCAACCACAGTCTGGTACTGGTGTTATTGGTAAGCCCTACGGCACCACGGTTGATGCTAGATGGCTTTTTCAGTAGTGTCGTTTCATACGAGAAAGTTTGGTTTGTTGACGAGAATAAGTCGTCATCCCAGTTACATGGCTGCACCAAGACGTGGATGCTCTCAGAGTACATGTGCATGATGCCATCGTGTATAGTATAATTTGCTGTTGCTGGCGAGCCAGTATTACTGGCGGTGGTAGCTGCTACTACTACTGGTGTTGTTCTGTTGTTGTTGGCTAGCGTCAACGTCATTACTACTCTTCGTACCAACTTTTGGATATGGACTGTAACGTCATTGCTGCTGTTGCTCTTTTCTTTGTTGGTCGGCCAGAGTTTTTGAATGTTGCTTCCGCTGTGATTACTGCTTTTGGAATAAATGTGTTGGCCAGCCACACCGATCCATGATGGAAGATCAGCGTAGTGTCGCATAGTGCTAGGATACGATTTCGCTGGACGACCAAAGCACAGGACCGTCAGATCATACGTTGCAAGGGTAGTATACGCATCCACCATTTGCTGTACAACCGACTCCTTGTATGTGATGCTGCTGTTGTTGCGAACGTTTGGGAATAGATTGGCCAAAGCAAAAACACGATCATGTTCTTTGGTGCAATGTCGCGTGTGCAAATGGCGTAGTATATTGCTTGCCTCCCTGCCTGGTTTGTGTTGTTCGCAAAGTGATTTGACGTAATAAGCAGCCGTTCTTGTTGAAGCTGATGATGCAACTGCAAATTGGCTGTAGTACAAGTTATGCATCGAGTCTGACCATAGATGCGTATTTTCGCCAACGAAAAGCAAGCGTTCGGATACGATTGCTTCTTGATACGTCCATGTTCGCATCGACCATTGAGAATCGTGGATGGCACGGATACAGCGGGCAATATTAGGGTGGCTGACAGGATAGTATGTTGAGCTCGTTGCTGTTGTTGCTGCCATTGGTATTTTTCTTGATATTTTCATTTCTGGAACAAGCACAACCGTGAACTGGGCATTGCTGTAATAATGATGCATCTGCTGTACTTCTTCTTCCCGATTCGAATTGCTGACACAAAGTTGATCGTACCAGATATAGTGTATATCGAAACCTTTGCATATCTGCTGAATGACACCTTCAAACTTGACATAGTGGACACTGCATCTTTGATCCTGCTGCTGCTGCTGCTGTGGGTCATCAATAGCGTCGCTGCTGGTGCTATCCCTCTCACTGTTGTAGATCACATTCGCTTGTTGTTGGCTTTCGCCAACAGCAGCAGCAGGAGTAGCAAGAGGGTGAAAGATCAGCCGATGTTTGGCCCTGTCAACACGAATGCTGTTTTCTTTGCCACGGACGACAATGTCACCAGACCAGTTCCAAGGATACGAAAGTGCGCAATAGCCTTGCTTATGTGCTTCTGTTCCTGGGACGATCGACATGTCAGATGTACGTACGAGACGCGGCGGGACCCGGAACGGGCTCTTTGCAGCTTTGGACAAAGCCATGAGATGACGGATGCCCGGTGGCGGTCGCTCGCTGCTCCGTTCCAGTGCTTGCAGTCTCGAAGTCTTCCGGTCGCCGTACAATGCAATGTCACCATCGGCGAATATCGGGTACTGTTGCGTATCGTAGGTAATATACATGCTACTGATGTTGCACCCTTGTCTTGATCTTTTGCTTCTAATATGAACGAAGCAAATCGTATTTGAATTTGTCGAATCTACCAAAATATATCCTTTTTATTGTACTTGAAAGACCCTCTATTACCTATTATGATAACGTATTTATTAAAGCTAAATTCTTGCTGATTTCAAAAGGCTGGGATGTTGGCGGTAGATGCAGTGTCGTCAAATGGCTTGGCCGGATGGTGATCTTTCGGGATAGTGATATACTAAGGAAAAGAGGGTTGATGAACTGTTTTTTTCAACGGCTGGATCCGATGTGCAAATAAGCGATATAGTACAGCAAAAAGTGACAAATTGAAAGGTAAGAACGAAGAAGCTCTGGGAAGAAGAAAAAAAGAAGTAGTATTTTATAAAAATATTAATGCGAGGCGGTTAACCACCCAAACTAAGATGGTAGAGCATCTGACTTCAATAAAGAAGGTCTGAAGCTCGATTCCTACCTCGCCACGATCATGCCGCAAAATTGCAATATCTGTCGACTGTCCTGTTTTCTGCTGAGTCGCCTGTCTAGTTTCTCGCTCTCTCTGTCTCCGTTTCCCCTCCAATGGGCAACAAGGGCGTTAATCCGAAAAAAAAGATCTTTACCAGCATAATTCTAGGCTGAGTCGTCATTTCCCTTGTAATTTCATTCTATTCTGTATGCTTTCCTTTTGATATTCACAAACAACGAACCGCAACCATGCCCGTTTGAACTATGTGAATCGTGTGTAACCTTTGCGGGGACGATTTGGACCCGCTCCATCCTCATAACCCGGGGATCTTTGTAATATGTTGTAGCATGTGTGCATAAACAATAAGGTTTTTTTCTGAAACCCTATCCCTATCCAAGAGAAAGTTAAAAAGCATCTTCCATTACACAAAGTATATGTAATGGTGTGTAAGAGTTTTTTTTTTTTTTTGGCAACAAGAAGTGTGTGGTGAGCATTCAATACTACGTTTTCAGCTGCACCTTTGTTGCTACAAAAACAAGAATCCATGTCAACCAAAGCAATAGTTGCATCTTTAATGATAAGAATTTGGTTTGTGGCGTGATGCTGGTGGCAAAAGACGAGAAATCAAGAACATGTCTGCGCACACTTGCGCACACTCAAACACCTTTTGCGCACACTCTGCGCACACTTGCGCACACTCTGCGCACACTTGCGCACACTTTGCGCACACTTGCGCACACTCAAACACACTTTGCGCACACTTTGCGCACACTTTGCGCACACTTGCGCACACTAAACACCCTCTGCGCACACTTTGCGCACACTTTGCGCACACTTGCGCACACTAAACACCCTCTGCGCACACTTGCGCACACTTGCGCACACTTTGCGCACACTTCACTTGCGCACACTCTGCGCACACTTGCGCACACTCTGCGCACACTTTGCGCACACTTGCGCACACTCAAACACACTTTGCGCACACTTTGCGCACACTCAAACACACTTTGCGCACACTTGCGCACACTCAAACACCCTTTGCGCACACTCTGCGCACACTTGCGCACACTCAAACACCTTTTGCGCACACTTTGCGCACACTTGCGCACACTTTGCGCACACTTGCGCACACTTTGCGCACACTTGCGCACACTCAAACACACTTTGCGCACACTTGCGTACACTCAAACACCCTCTGCGCACACTTGCGCACACTCAAACACACTCTGCGCACACTTTGCGCACACTTGCGCACACTTGCGCACACTCAAACACCCAAGCTGTCGTGGGGAGAATGAAATGCCCTCAGTGGCTGATTCTGGCTTCCAAGTGTAGCTTCAAACTTCATGATGATTTAGATTTCTTTGTTTAACTGCATTTGATGATCATTCGAAGCACCCTGTATTGCACTCACATGCACAAAAGAAGTGAGTATCAACAACATCAAAGACGACGATGTCACAGATGACAAGCGATGAGTCCACAAGCAAGGGATGAAAGTTCATGTAATCACATAGCAATACTACTGCCACTACTAACACAAACTGTCGCATTATCCGTTCGATCAATAGTAGCAGCTCTAAGAAACACCGTCTGTATTGCAAACATATTGCCTTCAAACATTGTATACTGTAACAACGGTGAGGTGAGCTTCCAACAGTATTTGAAGTGTATACTTTCATGGTAAGCGGGAAATGATGCTATTGTGTGATACATCTAATACAGTCATCTTAACCGCTTGTTTAGTATGTGCACTTGTAATTGTCATCGGTCAGCGCTGTTGTATAATCCGAATCATAGGCAGACCGATCTTTAGGATGGCAGACAGATTCTAGCCCATTTGGCGAAGTAAAGAATGATATCTAATATAGGCACGTCTACAGCAATGATTGAGGATTTCAAGTTAATATCATATATTTCTTAGCCTTCAGAGGCTCTTGGTGGAGCAATTGTAGTCGGAGATTACTGGTTTCCATAATGATCGCTATTGTCTGCTCATATTGTCTGCTCATTATGACATTTATTGGTACCTGTAGGTATGGTATCAGCAACATGTACTTCAACACCCACAGAAGCAATTAATAATTGCAAAGAGTAAATCAAAGTAAAGATGAACGGATTGAGTTTTTGTTTTGTTATTATAGACATAAATTTGATAGCAATCATTGAGTTTTTTTTTTTGAACATAACATTACATAATACAAAACCGTAAAACTACAGTACAAAAAAGGTATCTAGTAGTTGGTCATGGAGTTTTCAAAGATCTTTGCGAGCTGCTCAGCAGCAGGCTCACGTGTTGGGGCCAGCTTCGTGACGCGGTGTTGGGGCAAAGCACCCTCGACCAAGTCAGGGATCATGGAACTATCAAAGCCAAGACCCTTCAAACCGTTAGGCACCTTCAATTCCTCGAGGAAGGCGGTCAATTTCTCAGCCAAGACATCACCCGCGGTCGAAGGCTTAATGCTAGCAGGATCAGCGCCAAAGGCGACGGCGGCATCCATGTGACGATCAGGGCAGGCGCTGGCGGTGTAGCGGAAGACGGATGGGGAAGTCAAAGCGACCGAGACACCGTGAGGGACCAAGGCGTGGTCCACATTGTAGCCAGGGTGCTTGTAGTTCTTGTTCAGGCCGGAAATGGGGTAACTCAAACCGTGGCACAAGTGGACACCAGCATTGCCGAAACCAATACCGGCAAAGGTGGAAGCGAGTAACATTTGTTGCTGGGCTTCGTGGTCCTCAGGGTCCTTGGTGGCACGGGGAAGGTATTTGACGACCATGCGAAGGGCGTGCATGGACCAGACATCACTGATGGGGTTGGAGCCTTGGTAGGCGGGACGGAGGATAGGGTTGGATGGGCGAGGCGAACGTTCGTTGAAGGGCAAGGCGGTGTACGACTCAAGAGAGTGACTAATTAATGTCCATTATATAATCAATACCCACACTTTTTAACATTCGAATCATCCCTTTCCAGCATTACAATTCTTCCAGGTTCCTCCTCCAATCTTATTCCAAATCCTTACCACAAGACATCCAAACCACTAGAAGCATGGACTTCCGAAGGCATGCTGCGGGTGTTCATAGGATCGACGATACCGAGGTATGGCTTCAAGGCTCTGTGGGCAATACCAGTCTTGGTGTGCAAAGGTTCATAGTCAAAGATAGCAGTACCCGTAGTTTCCGAACCAGTACCAGCGGTGGTGGGGACTTGATGAAACCGCCATCATAAAACGAATTAGAGACACGTTTTTCGACCAAGCTACCATGATGGAAATGCTTTACATACCAGCAATTAAAGGCTTGAGCTGCTTTCTGATGGGCAAGCCCTTACCAATGGGAGCATTGACAAAGTCCAAAAAGTCCGCTTCAGGATGCGCGCTGTACAAGCTGGCGGCCTTGCAGGTGTCCATGACGGAGCCACCACCCACGGCCACAAAAGCGTCAGGGTTGTGTTGACGAGCAAAGTCAATGGCGGCCTTGAAGCTGCCGTCGGTGGGCTCAACACGGACCTTGTCGTAGACAACATAGTTGACCTTGTTCTTATCCAAGGACTCAATGACAGCCTTCAATGGGTGCAACTTGGCGATCTAGTGTAAAAAGCAATCACCACGATACGGCGCTTAGTAGTAGACACACTCTTTCCAAGAGGATCAAAGAGAAAGGAAAAAGGAGCAACTTACGGTGCTGTCAGTGTACACAGCCACTTTTTCTGCCTTGATGTTGTTCAGATCCATACCAATTTCGCTGACATAATAGAATCAGAGTAAGGACACACGCGCCTAATTTGTATCAGGATCGATTTATAGACATGTTATTTTTACCTGGTAACGCCAGGGCCGAAACGAATGTTGGAGGCGGCCATCTCGAAAGCATAATCGGTCGACTCGTTACCGCTAGCATACTGACGGCCATAGCGAAGCAGGTTCGAGAAGGACGACGCGGTGGGGTGGAAGTGTGAGTGTGCGTGCGAGTGGCAGGGGCAGCTGCTTGCGCCAGACTGCAAGAGACCGAGAACGTTGACAACTTTGGAGCGAGCGGCAGCGGCAGCCATAATTTTTATTCTTTTCAAGGAGTATGTGGAGAGGAGAGGGGTGGGAAAAAAAAAGAAGAGGTTTCAATGCAAAAAAAAAAAGAGCCTCACTTGCCCTGTTCTCGGGTCGGTATTTAAGGAAACTCTGTTGGGACTCCGAGCAAACTTATGACTAAGATAGTCCCAGTGTGCGATCAAGTTTTCCTTTGCCTTGCCTCTGTCCCCCTCCCTCCCTTCCTCCTCCCCCCCCCAACCACCACCACTACCGCCTTCCGCGCAACCCCCTGGCTGCACAGATACATACAGCACACGCCAAGGGGAGGGGAAGAGGCCACTTTAAACGGGAGGCAAAATGTTTTTCCTCCCTTCCACTCTTCTACAGCCGGAACGAACCCGTAATTTTCAAATATGGTTACATAACGGCAAACCCACTTTTTAAGCACAGACATGATGTCCACTTTTACTACCATTAGTTTCTGTAGAGTGGAAGCCCATTGCTCCATGGTTTTTCCAAACGGAAGATGCAGGGACTTTTTTTTTGCAAAGAAGTAGTACAATAAAAGCCGATCCTTGTTCGGAAATAGTTTTACCTCTGGTTTTTTTTTTTTTTTTTTACCACGGTGTCGCCTCTCGGTGTCACATGGAGGTGAGGCTCGCCCCCTCCCCCACACCCACTACTATGCAGAAACGTTTCCTATTTTAGTCACAACCGTACGACATGAGTGTGGGACTTTTTTTCTTTTCCCCAGTAACCAGTTTCTGGCTGTCAGTTGCGTAATAATGGGAATCCATGTTATGATTGAAGAGGTGTACAGGAAACCGTGTTGTGCCTTGGAGGCATAGGGTATAGTAGTATACATGTGCCCTTCGTGTATAGGAATAACTAGCCAGAGAGTTCCGTTATACGATGTAAGATCAGAATATGCCCTCTACTACTACTACTATTATCGACCCCAAGAAAACCTTCTTTTGTTCTGCCTTGTTAAAGAAAGGACGCATGATGGGTTGTGTAGATTGCTTTCAAGTCAGTGTAACATTCGTGGCCTAAATCAATAAAAAGGAACAGTATCCATTCACCATCGCTTTTCTTCCAACTTTTTTAAATTGCGTCGGTTACGGTTCGTTATTCATATCCAAGGCCGCTGAAAGTTCGTGTGGAATGCAATTGAGCGGCATGATAGATATGCTTGTAGTATTGTCATCGAGCCTCTCGAAAGGTAAATGTCGCGTTCCAAGCGGTGGAGTAGAACAAAGTGTTGAGATAAGTTACAAGATGCACAAAAGCCGATTAGTATCTTCCACATCAAGTGCAAGCTGTCTATGTCAACCCACAGTATCTCAATCCGAAAGCATCGTTTGCAACTTATATCAATTGAATAGGGGACAAAGAAAAATTGGTTTAGATTTACATTTCACCCAATCTGAGAAAAAATCAAAAAGGCACGGCATCAAGTCGGCCCTATACGACGTAACCCTGGAAATGTGTAGTATTATGTATGGGAAAAAGTGTATATGTAGCAAGCAGATACGCACAAACTATGTATGTTAAAATGTAGATGGATTGATTATAAATTATTACTATTTTTTCAGCATTGCGAATTTTCGTCGTAATTGAGAGGCAAGATTGGTGGAGGCAATGAGGCTACTAGGCCGGTCATTTCGTGATGATACGAGTCGGTACGATAGTGAAGGCGATGCATCGAAATCATCGTTAGACATCGTTTCTGGAAGCGGTGAGCTGAGAGCTGTCAATGTCCGCCGATGTCCACGCTGTTGTCGTTGTTGCTGATGCTGCTGCTGCTGCTGCTCTTGGTGTGGCTCTTCCAGTAGTGTGTGTTGTTGGACAAATATCACGGGCACTGGTGCTTGCTTTAAGCTCTGATGGATCATGCCGTTGTTGTTGGGTGTGAAAAGTACGGACTTGCGCGTCTTTTTCCTGCATCCGACGATCAAGATGGTTGGGTCGTACATCTGAACCTGCGCTTTTTGTTATACAGCCCGTGAAAAATATAAAAAGAAGAAGCCCCGTTCTTGATCCATCAGTATACTACAACTGAAGGACTTTCCTTTCTCTCTCTCTCTCTCTCTCTTTACTCGGCAGCTGAAATTTACCATTGACCGCAGAATTTGTTCGGGTTTACCAAAAACGACTTCTACTGTTATGCTTATCTAGTACATTGTGAAAAAAAAAAAGTTTAAAAAAAAAGGCCCACTAAAAAGGAGAATTTGTCCAAATATATATAAGTAAATATACACAAATACAGCAGATGGAGTACCTTATCCTCGTGTTGCTGAGCATCCAAGGTACAGTTCAATAGCTGAGTTGCCATATGTTTCGGTGTGGGGGTATCTGATTCGTAGAGCATAGGGAGGAGGGACGAGAAGGGCAAGTTATCAGAGTGCGTGATGGTGTGAGAGGGGGAGATAGAGAGCTACTGTTCTTTTCGTTTCTTTATGATTGATTTCAGGTGTGCCTGTTCTCACTTACCGCCATGATGGTGCATGCCAATCACAATCACCTCGTCACCCGTATCCACGAGATTCTGATGGTTTGTAGGAAAAAAAAAAGACAAAATAAATCTCTTGTAGAGGTGCGTTCTTACTACAGTAGTAGTAGTAGTAGTAGTAGTAGTAGTACCATGGCATATCCGATCACAGCTGCAGCTCCGGATACATCGTCGCAGTCGTCCAGCGTGACCATAAATAACCGCGACGCTGTGCCCGACTGATATCCTTCATTGGCCGTCCGCAGGGTATAGGACAAGAAGGCTTTGTCGAGTGTGTTGTCGAAAGAAACTCGACGGCGATACGATTTCTTAGAGTCTCCAGATTGAAAAGAAAGCCGAGAGAATCGCGAATCGAGAGGCAGGATCATTGTTTCGTCCTCTGTTTCTTCTTCTTCTTCTTCTTCCTCGTTGTCACGTTCTTCGTGGCTGATGTTGCTTTCATTTTCGCATAACGTCATGCTTGCTCCAATAGTGCTCGCTGCCCATTCGCTGGTATCCTGTGCTGTGTGAGAGTGAGTGAGTGAGTGTGTGTGCTCTTGCTATGCTAGAAAAAGCTAGAAAGGGAGGAAGGAGAATAGGTGCGCAATAAAAAAAATAATAGCAGAGAGAAGAGAGAAGGAAGGAAACGGGGAAACAAAGCAGCAAAGCATTTTTTGAAAGAGACACATACACTTCCCCTCCCCCTCCCCCCCCCCAGATAAAGGCCCGGATCTCATCCCCTTTCTCTTCTCCCCCAACCTTTTATTCCCTGGGTGGAAATGCTTGGCATCCTTCATCAGTTGCTGTTTGCGGTGCATGTCACGCTGTCTGCACAGAAAATATACATAGTCCTTTCACCCCCTTCAATGCATACGTAACAAGACATATTACAGATAGAAAAGAACGCGCATATCTTTTTTTTTCTTTTATTTGTTATCTAATATGTGGCTGCATTTCTTCAATTGGAGCAGGGCAAAAAGGGCAAAGGCGGGGCCGAGTTTATGCTGATTTGAGCTTGGATGACTTTGTACTATCGCCATTGACTGCGACATAATGGTATACGACAATGAGGATCATGGTTGCCACACCGAGTGAATTGGCAATAAATGCAAGTTGTGTGTCTGTAAGCATGGTGGTCGTCGTACGTGTGTATTGGGTCTACAGATTGTTTTCAAGAAAAAAAAACTTGAGTACTTTTTTCTTAAAACACACGTGTTCATCATGAGCAGTTTCTTAACCCAATGATTAAAAAAAAAATTAAAGAGATGGGGCACTGAGTACGTTTAAAGTCGCGTATATCCGTAATGAAGTGCGATGCCTGATTCCGAGTGGGGGAATCCTTCTTGTAAAAAGGAACGAAACGAGAAAGTTATGCAAGGCAATCTGTCGTATCGGAAATTGATTGGCTCGTCGGAAATGGTAACTGTACTCTAACAACCCCATGTACAATGACACCTCGAAACGTATGCTATAATCAAGTGTAGCACAAACCTCATCATTTTATAGACGGATTCGATAGAATGATATATATCATTGTTGGGTTAGCTATCATAGGATGTGATGATTGAGGGGTGTATTAGGAAAGGTAAATGGGCCACGGCAATTTCGGATAAGAAAAATCGATGATGAGCAGGTCGATGGAGGTAAAAGTGACGAGAGAAAGGGATGATGCTTATTGTTTTCTCTTCAGCGGCATATATGCAGCACTTTCCGATCCAAATACTTGTCAAGAGCTTCCCATACGCTATTGTTAAATGTGATTGAAGCGTCATAAATTTCGTCTTCTTCTTCAAACATGTCATTGTCGATAAATAGTATAGCTAGAAGAAGGCGAACATTGTAATTTTGCTTGTTAAAAAAAGCCGCAGTTCTCCAAACATTCAACAGCCTTGCAGCGAGTACTTCTTTTTGTGTAGAGTTTGACAGACAGACTTCAGGGTTGCACTAGGCGTGGATGTTCGTGCACTTCTTTTCAGGTGCCAGAGCCAACATGTGTGCTGATGTTATGCTGACATGTAATAGTAGAACTTGATATGTTATCCGCCTTAAAATGTATGATTTTGAAGATGCTACATCGTTATTACGAAATTGAAAGCTGGATGGCACAGTAAAAACAGAATTGAAAGAATTCATGTTTAGTCTGCTGACGACTTCGATAAAGATAGAGGCAGACTTATCGTTTGGAGAAAAAACAAAGAATTATAAGAGAACGAGCCAGCGTTGGTAATAATAATTTATATAAACAAGATATATACACAAATAAACTATAATCATGAATGTAATGGGGCAAGGAGGGGAAACTAGTAGTTTTCTTGCAGCGCAGCTGACATGAAACTACTAGTAGTATGAAAGATAATACAAAAAAATGCCATTTACGAAGAAGGAGAAGAGCCAGCAGTGGAGCCAGCAGTAGAGCCAGCAGTAGAGGAAGTAGTAGATGAAGGAGACAATTGAATGTGTTGCCGACGCGTGCTCCAACGTTCGCAAATTGACCGGACGGCCGAGTCGACGTCCCAATGGAAGCAACCGTGTCGATCGCGTGGCAAAAAGTTGTGAGGATCCACAATGACTGGCGAAAACTTGTTAGTTTCCATATAGTAAGGGTGGACCATGTTGTCTACATCCAATGGATCGCTATAGTATGACTCTGGCGGGTGTTCATCTGGGTGTTGCTGCTGCTGACGCTCCTTGTCCTCGTCTTTGATAACTTCAGGGGGATCCTTAAATGTTACTTCTTGTATTTTCTCGCTATCCTCCTCCTTGGGTTTTGTCGCTGCTGTGGTACCAGAAGCGCAGGACGAAGCATATAGCGTGGAGTCACTCGTTGATGTTGTCATGCCTTGGTCCTCCATGGTACCGAATCCATACAAGAGCAAATCGTTTCGAACCTGTGGATTCACAATGCCGGTAAAATGCCACTCAACCGGTTGCCCTGCATACCGATCCAGCAACTCACGAGCGCTCGATAAAGTCTGCAACGCTGTTGAATCGATTTTGTTGACTGCGGTAAAGTCCAGCACAACGGCTTCAAGAATCGGCAAATGATTATTTTTGCGAGCATCCACAGTCTGCGTCCAGAGCAATTCCTTTTTGTTTTCATCCGATTCGCCTTGTCTTGTTCGTGCCTTGGCAGCGGCAACGATCGACTCAGTGACATGGCTTGCATTCGGATACAACAATGCATTGCCCAAACGAAAGACAACAACACCTGGTGGTAGTGGCTCAATGTGTGCTTCAAAATGCGGGTCGCGTTCGTCGAAATAGATGTAGTGTTGGGAAGAGCTGTAAAAGTCGTTGGCGGCTGGTACAGCTGTGGTGGATTTGGATGCTGGATCAAGCGGTGAGCGAGCCATTACAGCAAGGCGTGGCCGAGCAATGTTGAGAAGCATAATGAACAGTGACAGCGCCAGTGCAATATAGATTCCGTCCTCGACACCGTCAAAGAATGTGATCAAAACGGCAGCAGAAAAGACCATAAATTCAAGTTTGCTTGTGGCCCAGAGTTCCTTGATATACTTTGGGCCAGAGACCAAATCAGATACAGCGTGGATCACAACAGCAGCGAGAATGGCTTCCGGGATATAGTAGAATGCTGGAGTCAGGATATAGAGAGCGAGGACGACAATGATAGCCACGAATCCGCTGGATAGGGGGGTTTTGGCACCCGATCGCGCCATAATGGCAGTTCTGCTGAAAGCACCTGTGCCTGGATATGCTCTATATTTGTAAAACGTGTCAGATAAACCCTTCTTCAACTCCCCCCTTTTTTTCCTCGCATTTAAACTAACCCAAAAAACGCGCCAGCCAAATTGGTTACTCCAATAGCCAAAATCTCTTGATTAGGATCGATTGTATAGTCACTGACACGGCCGAACGATTTAGCCACCGAGACATGTTCCAAAACGAGAATAATGATAATAGAAGGCAATACGTCCATGACTTCGCCCAGGATACCAAGATCCATACGCGGCACACCCATGGCATCGAAACCAGCTGGTACAGACTTGAGAATTTTGAACGGGCTTTCGGTCGGGTGAGCCACGTTAATGCAGAACGAAACAAAAGTGCCCACAATGACAATGGTGCCGTTACGCATGATGCCAAAGTAGAACAGACTTTGCTTGAATTTAGGCCAGCGTTTACCGAGTTTTGCGGCAAAGTACTTGATGCCATACAAAGCAAACAAGGCGGTCAAACCAAAGGCGATATCGATGTGGATGCCACCCAAGTTGGAAAAGAAGTCGCCAACGACCAAGTAGGGTGACTGATGTGAGTTGAGTTTGACACCGGTCAGTTTGCCCCATTGGCCCAAGCTGATGGTGATGGCAGATCCAGTCATGTAGCCGGCAATAGCCGGGCCAGGAATAAAGTCGACGAGGATACCGAGACGGATCATGCCCATAAGAATTGTAATGATACCGACAATCACACTGAGAAAGACGGCAACTTCAGGTCCGGTGATATCAGGATGTGCAGTGGTGACGTTGGTGATGGCGCGCCCAACAAGAAGAGAAACAACGGCTTTTGTTGTTTTGGGGTGATAGAGTTAGTTTTTGCTTTGTCGTTTATATATAAAATATTCAAGATCTGCTTCATCCAGTTACTTACTGATGGGACCAATACTGATATCCTTGGAAGTGCCAAAAAAGCAGTAAAGACAGGCACCGACAAAAGAGGTACTGGAATAGTTTTGTGAGAGTTAGTGACTTGGGTCTTGTTTCAAGGCTACGATGGATTTGGCAAAAAACTTACTATAACCCGTATTGTGGTTCGAGATTGGCGATCTTTGCATAAGCGATACCCTGAGGCACCAGGACCATTCCTACTGTGACACCTGCAATAGCATCTTGTAACATCCACTATTAATAGGAGAAAACAAGGTGAGTATGAACAGCACAATAAACATCATAGTTTCTTGTTATCATTTACCGAAGAATTGTATCTCGTGATCCATTGAAATATCGGAAAAAAACTGAGAATGTAAGATTTCACATGTTGGGGCCAATTTTGTTTAAACTTGTTTGCTTTGTCTTTGAGTGTCTCACGCTCATAATCCAGCACAATTGAGCTCATGGCGGGTAGTATAATAATGAGTGGAAGGGGTGTGGGGGGGTTAGGTTTGTTTGTGATGAAAAGAAAACCAAAGAAGTTGGGACCATGTTATGGGATTGCCTTTATATATAAATATACGCGTTCCATATGAATTCCTGTATGTGAAGCTCACAAGGAGGTCAGCGCATTAGTTGGGCTCGTTATGATTATTACGTGTGTGAACAATACCCTATGCAGTGGGGAGGTTATGCATTACTGCTGTGAAAACGGGGTGGGGATTTGGGAAAGGGGGTTGAATAAGTTACAAAGAGTAAAATAAAAACTTTCTAAGGAGTGAGAGAGAGAGAGAGCTATTATGAAATGACATGACATGCCATGCATATTAAAGTGAGAGAGAGAGTGATAGCACAGTTTTAATGCACGTTAATCCGTGCAAAGGAAAAAAGTAGCATAATGAAAAAGGTCCGGAGTCATCGGTCGATCTGTATGAATGGAATGATAGCGCACTGGCGTTTTCACTGCTCGGTTAATTGGGTACATTTGCGGGAATTTACACGACGGTGATGGTGTGCATAAGGTATTGTGGCATTGTTCTTGCGAGCCTCCTTCTGTCTTTTTTTCTTATCTTTTCCTTCAATGGATAGAGACGGCTCCTTAGAAGAGGTACAACAGGGTCCCTCTTTGTTTTTTGTTTTGTTTTCCACAGGGTTCATTAATGTTTTTATGTTGATCTATTATGACTAAGGTTAAGATAATGGTGTAGCCTAGAAAAGAAAAAAACCTTAAAGCTGATAATGAACCATTTAACCTACAGTTACCGTCAGAGTCTGACTTGGAACCACAAAATGGCATGATTTCGTGTGTGTGTTGTTCTCAACATATTGTTGAATGCAGCAGAATTGTCCGGTCGTCACGACCTAGTCACCGCGGTTGTTAAGCTTCCCCCTATTTTTTTTTCCATGACAGACAACAGAGAATGACATAATGTCACCAAAAGTATTGGAATAACACCAGAACCATTAGTAACAAAGACCTCTTTGCTACTGAAATGTTACAGGGTCCATGCTAAAGAAGAACAACATAATCGATGTATTCTAAACTTCTCTTTGCACGTTTTCTGTATATTTGACTAGGAGAGGGTGGTGTTGACATATAGGATGCTTTTTATTCTTCAAAGAAGTCTTACAAGGGGGGGGGAAAGACAGATTTTTTTTCATAAAAAGTTAAACAACATGGTGTGAACCACATGTATATAAAAAGTGCTTCACGATAAGTTTCCGCAAAACCACAAGCATGTTCTAGTGTTTAATACAACACTCATCTATCAAAATGAGTAAGAAACTCCTGGAATAAGGAATCTCAAGCCATAGTTTTAAAAAAAAATACAAGATTAACAACATGCACAGATAAATCGGTAAAGAAGCCAAAATAGTCGCTAACTTGGAATGCATGTATGGTTTATTGTCCGTTTCTGAACTGTATTGTATACTCCTACTTGCTTGGCAAAACATGATCTGTGGTGGGGTTATGACACATATATAGTAGATTACATAAGAGCCAAGAACGATACGCTCAAGATGAGACGATCAACAGATAAGTAAGCAGAGTATAGAGTAAACGTTAAAATCGGCAGTATGCGGTTCTGCACTAAGACAAATTAATACATTAGCTTGTTTTATAAGTAAAACCGAAACGAAGAATAAAAAGAGGAAAAACATAATAGTTGGTAGTATGCGATGCTTCTTGAAGGCTCGTCAATTGTTTTATGCACAATAATCAGTAAATCTGTGTTACAACAAACAATCATGCAGAGTTTTGCAGCAGCGGACAGCAATGATGGATGGTGTAACATATCACCGACGTCTATTAAAGTACGTTAGTTTAGCCACATACATACCGTATGCACAGTGTCAACCGAATGATGTGTCGCCGTTAAAAAATTTATTTTCCATAGCTGAACGTCTGTAAGCTGATATCCGGTAGTTGCATGCTTTGTTTGATGCACATTTACTTTTTTTGCTCTTTTTTTAACTCCCCCTTCCAAACATTATATCATGATGCTTATTTCTCTTTAATTGATTTCCACTCAAAATTAAGCAGAATACTTTTTACATTTACAGCTAACGAAAAACAGGCTTCTTTAGCTTGTAGCTAAATATTTGAAGAATCAACACCTCGGATCATTAGCTTTTTCAAATATAAACCTTTGACCGCTAATTTCCAGGGTGGAAGCATCAATGCCCTTTTTCCAACTCAGGGTTTCTTTGAGCAGTGATCACCTCCATTTTTACGTATATCAGCAAGTTATTCATGATGCCACTATTGCCATTGATTTAATCAGTCAGCAATGTTCGCGCAAAAGTTGGTGTTTTTATTCAGAATGTCAACACCGACCAAACAGCATACGTTGATACTGGAATACAATTCAGCATGCTTTCCATGCTCCAAAAGTGGGGGCAGAGGCAACGGCGGTAAAACATGACTTTATGAGCAATTTGCCGCTTGAATGCGTGTATGACATTATCTACATGAAGCTCGTCTCGGTAGCGCGACACGAACGGTCATCAGACCGAGAAGCTGTCTATCGAAAGGTCACAACCTGCAATTGTCACTGCGTACCTTCAGTGTTTCAAAGATGTCTATTTCAAAAGGTAGCATTATCTTAAAAACAACACATAGTGCTATCGCTCTCGCGTATTTATGTTTGATTACAGTAAATGTAATAGTTGATACTAGTATCATGATAAGCGATTATGTACATATATTACTGTATGCCAGAGCCTGATGACGGATACATTACAGTTCAAATAAGCATCAAAATTCGTATATAACCGTCGTTCTTTGGCTTACGTCGATCGGCTTTGTTTGATACACGGGTTGCAAAACAAAATACTATCATAGAAATTTTACTACATGGTACAGGTGACAGTACAGGCCCGCAAGAAAAGGAAGCTGAAGAGTACACGGCTTAGTTATGATACTCCTTGTGTTGTTCTATATATAGGAAAGAAAAACGTAAAGTAGTAACATACATTAGGTGACAACGTCGCTAAAGGTATCCAGCCTCACGTTATGGTAGATCTAATTGCTAGATTCAATTTTCTTCTAGCAGTAAAAAGCGTAGAGATATAGATAACAAATAATAATAGCTTTATTTACAGGAAGTTGTGGAATACAAAGTGTTTGTGCGTTAGAGAGAAAGAATATAGAAGTGAGAGTTAGAGAAAGGAAAGAGTGTAGATAGATATATATGTATGTATATATGTAAAAGGAGATTGTTTTTGGTTCTTTGACGAGAGGTGGAAAATTGGGAGACAAGAACACAGATTATCCAGTAAAGATTCTGAAAACCAAGTACAAACACGAACCGCAGAAACGGACAATTGAAAGCACTGCAACCGACCACAGCACAAAGCCAAGATAAATCATACTTCGCTCATCGAAATCACCCAAGGCATTGAACGCGGTCTCGGTGATAACAGCAATCAGAGCCAAGTTACTGATGATCCAAGAAGTGACGATACGCGTACGGAAGGCACGGTAATAATCCTCTTGCTTGGTCTGTGCATCCCGATGTGACTCTTCGGGTTCTGGCTTGCGTTGCAGTTCCAAACATGCTGCCTCGTAAGCGTCGTTAATATCCTTATCCTCGGTAGGCACTTCGACTTCGGCTGTATGATCACCCGTGTCGTCCTTGCTGGCCTTGACAACACCCAAGTCAGTCGCTACCTTGGTGTCGCCCTTGGTGCCCCAGGACACGTCATGGGTGTTACAGAACGCATAAATGTTAAGTACGTTGGTGTAGGATGGCGACAGGAAGATGTATTGCACGAAACTGGTAAACATGTGCCAAGGATCCAAGAATCTATTTATAGCGCGTTAATAAGTCATTGATGCTGATAGACAAAGATATAAAAAAAAAACGAAAAGGTATAACTTACAAGAAGGATGAGACAAAGTACATGACATAGGTCGATAGCAGTGAAATACAAATGTTACGGAACATGGATTGGCCAAGCATGCCGAGGACGGTACCGTCGGAGTTTTCTATGGCAGACTGCACACCGACGACCGTGATCCAAACAGTGGCAAAGATCATGTAGGCCATCAAGACGGCGAAAAACACCATACTGCCGGTGTATGCCCATTTAGAGCCTTGAGGTCGGTTACCGAGAGCGAGAATGAATTGGAGAATTAGCAGGAGAAGGTAGATGTAATTAAAGACAATGTGTAGGATGTTGGCAACGGTTTGTGAGAAGGGTCGAGGATCCAAGGATTCGGCAGCCAATGCGCGTGTGAGAATGAAAAACGTAAGGTAGAAGTTGCCCTAACAGAATGGTCGTAATGCATGTTAATAACACTAGCCCTACTACTAGTTAGTAGTTCGCCAAGTGAAACATCAAAAACATACCATGGCAAACCAAGCAAAAATCATGTTGTATGTGTTGTAGACGTCTTCGACCATGAACATCATTTTCCGGATAAACGAGTGATCCGAAGTCCACACTTTACGCCAATGCCATAAAGCATATACACCAGCAAAGAACGAACCGTTCAGCCATCGTCGACGTTGTGAAATGAATTCGGGGACCTGGTCGGGAACATCCGTTTCACCGTAACTACGGTTGACGTAGTGCAAGACATAGTGTGCATCTTTCTTGGCAACCAACTATAAAAAAAAACAGAGTCAGCACATTCTGACATATATATATACTTGACAAACACATTTGAGATCAAAAAAGAGATGAACCTCGTAACACAAGATACGGTCTTCAGCCAAGTACATGTTGGCAGTAAAGATATCGGCGTCGCCACCATGCAAGGTTTCACCCAAAAAGTACTTTTCCAAAGGACCTTTACCCTCCACGTCGTTCTGAAGGGCTGTGTAGCGGTAAGCAGAAAAGGCACCCGGAAGAACGGAGATGTAGCCAAAAACGGACTCGAGAGGCTTGTCGAGAATGTTGGACATTTTGTATTCAAAGTTCTGCGCAGCCACCAAAGGGTTCAGCAAAGCCTTACCGGCGGTACCTGTGTGTAAGATTTTTTATATTATTTAGTAACCATGACAACAACAACAGTTGTTGTTGTGGCAACCCTCCCGGCCTTTTCTCAATGATGTTTTCTTACCTGTCAAGGCACGAATTTCACCACATGCACCAGCAATATTTGAGTTAATATCAAATGCTTTCCACAAGTGGTAGATGGACGAGTGGCCGGGACGTGTTCCGACATCGATCAAGACACAGACGTTGGGGTTGATCAATGGGCCAAAGGCTTGAAAGAACCAACGATGCGAGTTGATCTTTTTGGCGTTCTTTTCCTTCAAACAAAACAAGAGCTGACATGGTGTGATGCCTTTGTCGGCTGCCTTGAACTTCATATCAGGATCGACAGAAAGTTGTGTGGTGTACTATCAAAACAAACAAAGAAAAAAGTAAACATAGCCACAACAGCCGGATCCCCAAAAAAAAAACATATATCATTAGTTTACTTTACTTCTTTTCATCTTAATCAAAAAGAGTCGTTTCCCCCCGCGTTTTTACCTCATAAATATGGGCCGTGACAGGATCCTCACCGACAATGTTCTTGGCGACACCGTCTTGATAAACACCCAACGAGGCCAGAAGCGAGAGTGTTCTTTGGTTGATCTTTTGACGACCGTCGGAAACGATACACACGGTGATTTTCTATAAAGTGGCAAAAGTTGTTGTTAGTGAAAACCGTATGCATGTGTGTATTTGTGACCGAATCAAGAAAGTCGTCGTCGTCGTGCGTCATTGGATGTGTGTTGTTTACCTGCCATCCGTCAGGACCCCATGTTCGTGAGCGATCACGCGCACACAAATGCGAAATATTTTTCATGACGCCATGCATCGTACGAGCGAACAACACTTCATCTTCCTATTGACATGATACGAAGAAAGAGAGAGAGCGAGAGGTTTTTGTTAGTCAGACCGGTGCCTCAATTGTAAGCTGTTGGAAGAGGTCAAAAGAGAAAGAGAGAAAGAGAGACGTTACGTTATACATGGTTAGGACAATAAACAATTCAGTGTTTCGTTCAAGTAGCTGCTGCCGCAATGTGTACCCGTCGGACGCGAATTGAGCGGGATCGCATGTAGCTGCTGTGTATCTCATGTGGGTAAACTCTTTGGTATCTTTCATCGGCACGGCTTGCAAGTAGCGTGTGGGCACAGGACAGTCCAGCACCAAGTGGCCACGATGCAGCTTGACCTTGCGGGCTGAGCATCACCGATCAAACACAAAAAAAAGGGAACAAGGGAAGGAGTGTTTTTTTTTTGTTTAGCCCACTCCTCTCTCTAAAAGACATATCTTTTTTGTTTTCCCCTCTCTTTGAAGGCAACAACCCCAAAACTTACTGGTCTTGTAACGACGCGGCTGACGACGAGGAGCACCTCCAAAGTGCATGTTGGGCGAGGGTGGGGCTACAAACTGCGGACGTGGGGACGGCGAGGCGTGTTCCTGAGGGTGGTGGAACCCGGCATTGTCGGGCGTGTGGAAGCTGTTGTCTGGAGGGTAGAAGGGTTGAGGAGGGTCGCGCAACAAGGGCTGGTTATCGTACGCAGAGCGGCTATTGTCCGGATAGGGATCCGCAAACGGGTCGACTCGGTCCACGGGCTGTGGAGCAAACTGTGTGTCCTGCAACGGATACTGGTCGTATTCGGACTTGTGTCCAGGAGGTGGTGGCGGTGGTCCTTGGTTAGGGTACATATTTCTCTCTCTCTCTCTCTTTCTCTCTCTTGTCTTGTTTGTGTCGCCCAGTAAAGAAGTTATATCGCGCGCGAAAGACTAAAAAGTGTTGAAAGGGAAGAAGAAGAAGAAGCGAAAAGAAAAGCCCAGCGGCAAACCAAAGGCCCAAAAAAAGGACTTATGAAAAACAAAGCTAGTTTCATGGTGTAACCCACTTGCCAAGCAAAGCAAAAGCGACGGCCCGCTTTTTTGCCACGGGAGCAACCCCGAGGGTTTAAAACTTATTTTTAGAAAACCGCCCTTTTCTCTTTTCTTTTCAAGCCACCCGTTCCATGCTTTGCTTTTTTTTATATAGGGGGGGGGGGCGTAGCCCTTTTTGAGTCACTCTACCGTTTCTTTCCCACTTGACGAACCAGCCAGTCCAAAGGTAAATTTCTCCTCTTTTCTTTTTCCAAACAAGCTTGGCAAGACCCAACCCACATGTGATGAAAACCATATAGTATCGAATTTTATATTTTTGAAATCGCCAATATCGGGCGATTCTTGATATGACAATCTTCTCTCTGACCGGATTGGTTGTGTGTTGCCCTGCTTTGAGAAAGAAGGATGTTTCTGAATTTTTATCTAACTTTTTTTTTTTCCCCAAAGTTCTAGGTTTTTTTTGTAGCGTGCCGGATCAGAGCGTATGGGCTTCTTGGAGGTTTGAAGGTCACACCAAAAACTGCGGATGGATGTGGCGCTGTTGCCTTCGTCCAACCTAGTTCGTTCCATCTGTGACGCAACCTTTGTTCGCACCTTCACTTCATCTTAATGTCGTCATGCAAAGCAGTGCTCAACCACACGGTTTTCCACTGCGGATGATGCCACTTATACTCATGCAAATAACTAGATTCTCAATAGCGAAACGCATGGTAACTTGTTCCGTATGACTTTCCCTGATGAAAGTACCTTTAAGATAGCACTTGAGAAGGAGAGCTAGGTTTTCAAGTAGAATAGCTTTTAATAAAAACATACATATTTGCTCTGCTCACAAACAAAAAAAGAACCATTACCTTGTAAAAGCAAAGAAGGCCAAGGGTGCACAGGAACTGGAGCACCAAATGAACAAATTCAAAGTTCGGAAGCGGAATAAATCGCTTGCACGTCTTGTCTTTTTGCATATTCCCAGAATAATCCTTGACCCGAATTCCTTCAAACATGGTAACGATTCTCAAATAACGATCGCATCGTCTTGTTGCTAGAGTTGAACACGTCTTTTCCCACTCACTCTTTTCTTTCTCTCCCCGTTAATTCTTAGTCAGTCACATTACACACAGATCTTGGCGATATTAAAATAGAAGTCTTTTGTGAATCGGTTCCACATTCAGCTGAAGTAAGGCGATCAATCAGATCCAGTCATAGTTTTCTTTACGCTTCAGACTTGATATGAGAGAAAGACAGACACTGACTATGGCTCTATTGGTCTTTTTTACAGAACTTTTTAGCATTATGTGCCAGTGGTTATTACGACAACACTTTATTCCATCGTAACATTGCAGGTTTCATGCTTCAGGTAAAAGCAAAAGGTTTACAACGCCGGGGATATGCATAGTTACTCACAACAACAATGTTTATACAGGGTGGTGATCCAACCGGTACTGGCAAAGGTGGTAACTCTATTTGGGGCAAAAAGTTCAATGACGAAATCCGATCCACGCTCAAGCACAATGCGCGAGGCATTGTATCCATGGCAAACTCAGGAGCCAACACGAATGGATCCCAGTTCTTTATAACATACGCCAAACACCCACATCTCGATACAAAATATACCGTCTTTGGAAAGTATGTATCATTAAGCAGTGTGTGTCACACACTCCTTTATTTTCCACAACTTGTCGAGAGAAAAAGGGTATATATATATATGTATTAAAAATTTCAAAAATGATAGGGTCATTGACGGTCAAGACAGTACGTTAGATGCCATAGAAAAAGTGCCAGTGGATGAGAAACATCGACCGATTCAAGAAGTGCGTATACGCAATGTGACGATCCATGCCAACCCAATTGCTGATAAATCACGATAAAAAAAAAGAGAGAGAGAGAGAGAGGACCAAGTTCTTTGTTTTCTTCAGTTGTTGTACACCATGGAAGCGATCAGTCGACCCACTCGATGATGTAGTACCAGTGATTTCAGCCGTGTTTTTGTTGTTGATAATGATGCTGTCGATGCTGTGGTTGTAGCTACAACTGTCGGTGCAATGGTGCTACTAGTGGGATGATGAATCTGTTGTTTTTTTTCTTCCCATCGTATCTGTTGCTCATGTTTGACAATTTCAGTTTGCTGCTCAATGTATTCTATCGCGCGTTGCTGCCGAACGTGTGCACTATGTGGATACTTTTTTGCAGTTTTGTTTGTTTTTGTTTTTTTTTGCGCAATTAGAAAATAACTTTTGGGGATGGGGTGGTGATAAAAAAAGACACACAATGCATGAATTTTTTTGGTTTGTATTCAAAAGTACCATGGATGTATACCGCTGCAAGTTGTCTGTTGTTAACAAATGCTGTTTTGGTTGATATGATCGAGTCCAAGAGGTAGAGCTCATTCTCTTCATTAAATGGTAGAGTCCATAGGAGAATGCGAAAAAGAAAGATGAGAGTAAGTAAATAACCGTTTTTATAGGGCAATTATACCTGCCAGTAGTAGTAATGCAGTAGTTAAAAACAACAACAACAAAAGTAATAACAATGACGCACTGCTTTTTTTTTTCAGAATAATGAGGCAATTTTTTTATTTTTCAAAAAGCATTAAAACATGTGTTTAGATTGTGGCACCGCTATATTGCCTCAAACTTTGCTAATCCTGAATGATTTGTACCAGCTTCTCGTACAAACATTCGGCGGTATACGCTGGTTCTGTCATTTCTACTGGCACGCATTTGATTCCAAAACTTGATATCTTGTCTACGTCCACAGGAATCTCTACACAGCATCAGAAAGAGAACCATATCATTATTCTTGCTGCATCTATCGTATAAAAGAGTTTGGCCGTTTGAAACCGACGCTTACGTGAATTGGTGAGATAAATCATGTGGGTGAAGAACGCCGAAGGTGGCGATACCGTATCTTTGGTCAACATAATACTAGGTCGTATAGGTTTATCGATGGGCAGCGGGTATCCTTCATACTGTGCCTTGGCATCGAAAAATCCTTGTTGCTGGGTATCGACCCATTGTGATTGATTCAGGGCTTCGGTGATGGTTTGTACGAAATCCAAGGCGCTGTAGCCTTCCGTTTCGCGATCATTTGACCCGTTCAAAATCAAGATTTTGTGTTTGAGTGAGGGTGAATTTGCAACGGCCTGGCCGATCCCACGTAATATAAGACAGGGAACAATGGAGGTATAGAGAGACCCAATCGAGTAGATGAGTGTTTTGGCCCTGGTCAAATGTTTGATGAATTTCGGGTTGGGCCATGGAAATACTTCTTGACCGAATTCATTCTGTATATTAAAGGAAAAAAAACGATATTAGCTAAAATAAAGAGGAAAAAAAAAGTTACTGGTTTTACACTGCATTACCATATAATATATGCGTCGCACAGCCGCTGAAAGTTTCTGATCCGTCGTTTTATTAAACACCAAATTAGCGTTTGTCTTGTCTTCTTCTTCTTCGTCCTCTCCTTGTTGTTCTTGCAGCGACACGGGCAATGACGTGACATCTATTGGATGCTGGTGTGACGTTGACGACGACGACGACGATGGTATATTGCTAGTGGTTGACCCGGGATGGCTAATTTCGCACTGACCGCGTAGCGTGGTGCCATCCTGCAGCTCAGCAGCGATGGACGCCGTATGACTCGTGATAATGACGGGCACCACCGACGTTTCCTCCGCAATACCCGTAATGGCAGCAAAGATAAATATTGCCGCCTCCAACGATCCATAAAATAGCCGTGCGCCCGTCAAGAAAAAATTCCCAATCGACCCGTTGCGAAAGTTGAAGTTTTTGTAGGCGCGTTTCAAGATTTCAAAGTTAAACATGACCAGAAACCCACGAATGGCTTCCTTTTTATCGGTCGAAATGGGGTTCCATAGTCTATAAAATAGAGAGAGAAGAAGGGATCAGCCCTTCTGGTAGAGGTGTGTGGCGCGTATCACTTTTTTACTTACTTGTGCCGACCCTGGACAATGAGGCTCCATTCATGACGTATTGTATATGCATCGCCTTCACTTGGAAGTCGATAACTCAGTAGGTCTTTTATCGCCTTTTTTTCCGGTGAGGCATTTTCATTGATCAGTCTTGTCAGCCGTGCACGGAGATCACCAATGCTAGGTCCGCCCAATACACGTAATAATTCGCTCTACAACATGGTGTCGTTTTAGTAGAGTAGTTGGAAAGCGGTGGAGCGGGGCCGCATAGGAAACCGGAAAAACTTGCGGCTTGTCACCACCCCACCCCCAAGGATATAGGATACTACTACCCCGAAACAAGAAAAGAGAGACTCACTGTGGATCCACCATTATCTGAGATGCCCAGAATATATCGCACATCTTGTGTCAAATTTTGGAACGCAGGGGCTTGTCATACCAGTTGTCAGTAATATTGATTGCTGATCCGCATACAGTATATTTAATTTCACCATATCACAAGCACATCCACGCATTAAAGAAAACAGAAACAAAAGAAGCAACCTATGTCGTTACAAGCCGATCCACCGGATACAATGACTAAAGACGCGTCCATTTCAAAACAAAGAAAGAGAAAGAAGTAAAAAAATATAATAAATAGCAATCCTCCGAATAGATGGTGAAATCCGAAATACGTAAACGGTTCATAATATATACGGGAATTTTACAGAAGAACTACTACTACTACTACTACTACTACTACTACTACTACTATGAGAGATAAAGAAAGACAAGAGTTAGCTCGATTCAAGCGTTCCCCAACACTGCGCTGCTGCTTTACCATTATACATCAAATCAGAATTATTATTTTCGCCTAAGACTAAAATGTATGTATCTTATATCATTATTCACTACATACTGCACACTGCTTTTTTACGGTACTTTTTATGCATTGGACACCAATGGCGTAATTATCTCAAAAAAATTGAATCACAACCATAACGCACACATGTGGTTTGTCCAAGGTTTTATACATGTGACAAGCCAGCATATTCATAATACTCGGTCTTGGGTGTATTATTATATACCAGATGGATACAGGGAAGCCCTGTAGAAGCACAAAACTAGAACTACACTTGACAATAAACTGAAGCACCAGCAACCCTGCGAACTTTTCACCTTATATGTGTATTTTACGCACACCCAAATGGGATTGACTACTTGATTTGTGTGGGAATCAAACCAATTTTTTTTTTATAAAAGTACTTACTCGACACCGTCTCGTTCCTCTATTTACAAAGTATGTACATGCATCCTAACTTTAGGTGAATTTTAAAAAAAAGCCGATATACAAGGTGATATTAATCCTGGGAGAACAGCCGTTGTCAAATCTGTAGTTATTACTTATTCATTGAGCTCAATATACACGTAAGACATTATTTTTGATACTGAGTGACTCGGCAGTAGCATATAGAGTGATGAAGCGCATGTTTCCCTATATAGGAGCAGAAGCAAAGGGCAGGTTCTCTGTGTGTCGTTACACATGCAAAGCGACGTAAGAATAGTGTAAATTACTGTCCACCAGACAGCAGGTTGGTTTGTTCTACATAAGATTCACTGCCTGTTACTATTATAACTCTATATATTTCTAAATGATACGCAAACGCTGTAGGCTTGAATAGAGCGGACCCACCGAGCAATTGAAAGATGGTTGAGAGATGGAGAGGGGTAGGTAATATAATGACCCTAGTGTTAAAGTAAAGATTATAATAGGGCTAATATGATATGAGGAAGGGCATGTTGATGTGTTTGAGCTACCGACTCATTGCAAAACGTGTAGATTTGTTCAACAAAAAGCGCAAGCACACTGTCAGCAATCTCACAAAGGAGTTGTTGATGACGTGCATGCATAAAAAAAAAAAATGATGTCGACCCTAGTAGCAGCATTTATACGCATAAATTATTAAAATTAAAAACGACGAGCGCCTTCACACTGCATCGTGACACACACTGGCACGGATTGCGTTCAGCCTATTAAGGAGTATTTCACGTTCAGTGACTATTCAGGAAGAAGAACAGATAATACCATTTAAGAAAGCACCTGTTGACTGCATCATCGCCTACTGCAGCTTTTTACAATGCATCGCAATGACGTTTATCCAACTCAAGCAATGATGGCTCCAGTGAGGCACCGAACGACACTTTTGCAGTAGGATAACGAATTCCCTTATAAACGTCTCATTCGATTCATTTAAAAATTGGGTGATCAGACTGCGAACTCCATCGATGCGTTTTTTGCCGTTTGCAGTGCTTGTTATGGTTGCTGAAGCATAGGATCTTTCAAAAGCAAACCCATGTCTTTTCTCCCATGTTGAAAGGGCCGTATAAAGAATATGCTTGGATCACTGTTACCAGGAGTTCAAGAGGTGGATATTTTTGGACAATGAACACCTTACAAGAGTGGCCATGTCAATGGGTTACGAACTATAGCACTTGTAATATTTTTTGCTAAAACGGATGAGAAAACAAACAACAACAACAACACCAGGCGAGTACACCCTATTCGGCTCTGCCAACCGACAAGCTTTTAGTAGTAGTTATTAAGAGCTTGAAAAGAAGACAGCTTCTGTTCTCTCGTCATATACATTTTAAAGTTGTGCATACAACCCACATTGCATCATCGATATTGATCTTTCCACGTATTGTACCAACGGGCAGCGATATAGTCACATTTACCTGATGTTTTTTTAGCATAATGTTCTTATTGCAAACCTTACACTGCGACATAACTTGCGTTTGTTTGTTACACCAATCAGTACAGGCGTATCTGCAAGAAGTATGGTTTCGGGGGGGGAGCACCAGAATTTTTTGTTTATATGACAGTCAAAAGTAAGCATGAAACAATAAGGATACCCCCCCCCCGTAAAGTAAAAAGCGCACATGAACACATTGACTGTCAACCATCAGACATGCTGTTTGTTCCAAGTGAATCGGTCTACCTTTTTTTTTTTTATATATTAGCAATTTATGCACGCGCTACCGCGTTATCCGACACTAATAGCAGCACTTTTTTTTTTCATGTCCACAACCCCTACTACTACTATTATTATTACTACCCCCTCCCCGCCCCTTTCTTTTCTATCCAAAAGAGGTAGACAAAACACCCGTGTGCTGGTGTATGCTATTATTATTATTAAAAAAAAAGTAAGATGCGTGATGGAAAAAAAAAGGGGGGGGGAGGGGCAGGGGAGGGGACGTGTGTGATTATGTATGGAAGAAAAGAAAAGAAAGAAAAACTAGCAGCATAGGAAGGGAAAGGAATGAGAAGGAGAAGAACGGACCAAAAGGTGAGTAGTATGTAAAGAAAGAAGGAAAGAAAGAGACTATGGTATATATATTATTTATAAGAATGGGAAGCATCGTCGTCATACATCAAGACTAGGCAGCCGATTCAACATGGATCTCAAAGCGACCTTTCTTGATGATTCTGCGTTGTGGCAATGGCAGTTTTGCTACTGCTGTTGTTGTTGTTGTTGTTGTCGTTGTTGATGGCAAGGGAGGTGCTGTCCTTGACGCCAGCAGCGGTACTGGTGCTGGTGCTGGTGGTGATGGCATTGACGGCGAAACAACCTCCTCTTCTTCCAAAAAAGACGACTTTGTTGAAGTAGCAGCGGTCGATTCGTTTGTTTTCCAAAACGATTCGTCCCAGATTGTCGGCTTATTGGCTGCTGCTGCTGCTGCTGCTACCACGGACAGACCACTGCTTTTGACAGACAGACACTCTTCATCCAAACTGACATTGTCGTCCGATGATTGTTGTTGGTGTCGCTGATGTACATTGTTCATGTTGTTGTTGCTGCTGCCGTCATGATCAAAAATCCAATCATGGGTGGTGGTGGTGTTGTTGTTGTTAGTAGTAGTAGCAGCAGTATTGGCTGTCTGGTTGTTGCAGCTCAAGTAATAGTCAGTGGTGGTGGTGCTTGCATTGTTCACATCCACAGCGATATCGTCTGGAAGGATCTTGATGCCTGCCAAATCAGCAAATTGTTTGGCGGTCAAATCCTCCGAGTGGGCAGTGATATTGGAAGAGGAGATGTATGAGACATGGGAGTAGTGACGGACATGGTGCGTAGGATGATGATGATGATGATGGGAGTGCTGGTGTGTTGCAGTGGACCTGCTCCGTCTATGCAAGGGACCAGCAGCAGTGGAAGATGTTGAAGACGAGGAGGTGCATTGGAGACTACTGGTGTGCCTGTGCTGGTTTCGTTTGACAAGTATGCCTCGTGGTACATTGTCATCCTGCCAGCATACAACGCGCGGGGTCGCTAGTACATCGTCGTCGTCGTCGTCGGCATCGTTTTTGCTGATGCTGCTAGGTGTATTGACAAGCGTACTATTGTTGCTCTTGCTCAAGGTACTGTTGTTGTGCTGGGAGGTGACAGGTAAGGAGGACGGTGGAGCGGATGCCGCTTTCCTGTTTTGAGACAAGTCCAGCTTGTTGTTGGTGAGGGATTGTTTGCGGTAGCGGTAGCGTTCAAAAAGGGCATCATTTGCAAACGAGCTGGTGCTGCGTCTTCTGCGGGAATCGAAAAGTGGCTGCTCATGGCTGCAGATGCTTTGGAAAAAGGCACCAATAGAGGTCCGTCTGCTATGACTACTACTACTGTTACTACTACTACTACCGTAGTAGCCTGAGGAAGAGGAGGAAGAGGAGGTGGTTGTTATTGACCATGGAAAGAGTGATTTTTTGAGCTTGGAGAATTTGGTTTTTTCGTATGGATAAAACTCGTCGTCGTCGTCGTCGTCGTCGTCGGCTGCTGCTGTTGCTGTTGCTGTTGCTGTTGCTGTTGCTGTTGCTGCCGGATAGTCGCTGTTGTCGTCGTCGTAATAGCTTGGTGAGTGGTAATGATGGTGTTTCTTCTCCTTTTTTGTGCTCGTATTGCGTTTGACCAATGATAACGATGCGAAGGCAAGGGTCATCGGCGGTATTATCAAGAGAGAGCAACAAAAGGCGTTTTGGGATGTGGACTAGGAAAAGAGTGAGAGAAAGAAGGAAAAGAGTAGTGCTCTGAGGAGAGGAGAGAGAGAGAGAGAGGAAAGATGTTGTTTGCTTCAAAGCTGCTGGTGCTGGTGCTGGTGCTGCGAATGATGATGGCGGTTTATCGTTAGGGGAGAGGTGGGGTATATGTGAGATGGATGCGAGTGTGCGTGCGTTAATGTGTTAATGTGTGTGGAAGAGTGAGTGAGTGAGTGAGTGAGTGAGTGAGTGATGTGTGAGTGATGCGTATGTACAAGCGTGCGGTGTAAAATGACAGAAAAGCAAAGGAAAAAGAGAGAGAAAGAAAGAAAGGGAGCAAAAAAAGCAAGGCATGTTTGATGTAGAGCGTGTGTCTCGGATTTGGGGGTGGACGGGGGTGTGTGTGGGGATGGGGGTTTTGGTACTGTATTTGTTGGCAAAGGCAAGTCAAGTCAAAAGGGAAACCCTCTTTGGAAATTATTCAGGCACCAGGCAACAACCACCCGCTGGGCTGCAGCAAACTTCAAATAAGAAATCCGCAGAGCAGAGCAGAGCAGAGCACAGGGAGAAGGAAAGGCGAGCGGAAACAAAAGCGGCATCTTCCCTCTTTGGTGTCATGCAAGATGTGTGTCTAGTCTACATACCCACACCGGGGGGGTCCCACTTCTTCCCGCAACTCCAAGGGCGTCTATGTATTTCCATCGCATAAGAAACAACACTGAATTCTTTTTACGGTGGAACAAAATGGATGGGTTTACGCGTACACTATAAATCGATTTACGTCACGGTCGCGCAGCTGTGTCTAATCCAAGAAGCCAAAGCCCTCTCTCTCTCTCTCTCTCTCTTTTTTTTTGCGTTTCTTTCCAACTTTTTGCACCTCAATGAGTGAACCCACCAAAGCAGTGCTGGATCCTGCATCCCTCTTGCACACAGTAGCTCAGATTACGCCAAAGACGCTTCAATCACCCTACGATGCACTGGCAGCAGCCACCCACGCCATCATGTTGAGTGTCGGATGTCGATTCGCGGGTCTCGGTGACGATGCACGTCAAGGTAAGAACAGGTCTCTCCTTATACACACACACACACACACACACACACATGTTTTCCCTTTCTCTCTCAGAGCCTTACCCAACCAGCCGCACACCCCCCCTTACCACCCCCCCCACCACCTCCCGGAAAAGATTGTTATTATTGTTATTTTTATTATGATTAAAAAAAAAGAAACTCGAGAAAAGAAAAAGAAAATAAAAAAGACGTGTGTACAAGGGCCCGTCCATAACATCCTTGCGTCCTATCTTCCCATATACAGCACATACACAACCCTAATCCTTTTCTTTTTTGGGGAACACCAACCCCCCCCTCCCCGAAAATACTTGATTCGGTAATTTTTTTTTTTTATTTTTTATGCGGATAATTTCTTATAGAGGGAGATGGTTCAGTTCGAACATTGCCCGAAGCGTGGAATTCTCAGGGTCCTAGCTGTTATGCGTTCCGCTACAGTCATCCGCAGTCCAGCATGACGTTTTGTATCAAGTCGTTGAAGCTCGGTAACCGCTTCATTATGCATGGCATTGCCATTGAGGTAACGCTTCAACAAACATAGAGAACCATTGTCTGGGTTTTTTTTTGGTTTTTTATTTATAAATCATGCCAAACAACCTTTTATCATTGATGAAATGTAGGACAATAAGACAGCAACGCTGGATATCGATGCATCCCATTTCACTTCCAATGCCTTCTTCCCCTATGATCCGCGTGATTCAAAAGACCCGCTGGTGCATGGGCTCATTTCCACATCGCAGTTCCAAGAGTTTGTGAACCTGTTCAAAATCAACATTTTGCAACGGATCCTTCCTGGGCTGCAAAAGCCTGGCTATGAAGACACTTGTTCGTCGGCAACAACAGCAAGCAGGTAAAACTTATGAATGGAAAAAAAAGAAGAGAGAGCTTTACAACCAGGGGTTGTAACTTAATAAATGTACTATTCACAGAACACAGCAACCACCACCGTCTTCATCGACAACAACACCACCATCGACACGGCCGCCCATCTTTGATGATCCTACTGCTGCCGACGACACCTATTATGAGTAAGTTGCACGTTCTTACCCATCCTTCCCTTATTCCTCTACTCGTCCTGAAGCACTTAACAATGATGTAGTCCATTCAATGTAGGTCGGTCTGATCTGGAACCCATGGGCGGTGGTCTGCGCATGCCAGGGTAAGTCTTTGCTCTCGGAGGACTAGAAAGAATCTTTCCCCCCCTCTCACCAATAAGAATGGGTTTTTCTCCTCGTAGTGATGGCGGCGGAATGTTTGTTGGTCCACACCATCCAATGTTCGGCGGTGTTGCTGATAATAGCCCAGATGCACGTTTGCCGCCGTAAGTGGTTATTATTATTATTATTGTTGTTGACATGACCCATACTGTGACGGAGAGGAGGAGGGGGATGTTTGCCGTTGTTGTTGTTGTAACCCTTTCTTCTCATAATTCTAGGGGTGCTGCTCCCCCAGGGGCCAGATTCGATCCTATTGGGCCATTCATGCCGGATCCCAGACGAGGAGGAGCAGGAGGACTTGGTCGAAGTGGCCGTGGAGGAGGAAGAGGAAGAGGAGGTGTTGGCCGGTTCAGCGGTGAACCAGACAATGATGAGCTACCCCCACCCGTGAGTACCCTTGTTTTTCTTTTCTCTCTCTCTCTCTCTCGCTCTGCATTGCAGTATAGATTTTACTAACATCATCCTATCTCGTGCGTTCTATAGAACTTTGACAATTATTTCATGTAAATGAAAAGGATGACCATTGCTTGTGTGTGGTTGTTTATAGCATTAGTAGCTTTAGCAATGTTTAAAAAAAATGTATATCCAGTTGACCATTTCTGTTTTTGCTGCTACAGTATGTAATAATAGTAAATATAACTTGTGGCACAAGTTTATTTTTATAAAAAAAAAATGATTTCTTTTGATCTGTCATGATATTGAGTGTGACACTATTCCATTATATTAAAGTTCCCATTTAATTCGATAAAATCCGTACCCATCTGTATGTATGTAACTGGTGCATGTGCACAGTGTACATGTACATACATTGTTATATGCATACTACTAGCTACGGCTTTCCGTTACAGCTTTATGCCACCCCCTCCTTTCAAATCCTAAATTCATGCTGCCAATTAGCCGCTGTATATGTACTTGTTGATAGCTGGCATCATCGTGACGAATTTTAGGTTGCTATGCAAACGTCCCTAATGGACACCTTAATGGAACGTGACAATAAACTCATCTTTGTTGCCATGTGAAACATGAACACTGCCCCACCACTACAAATGAATGACTTGGGTATCGTGGTAATATCCATCATTTCCGTCGCTACTAGGCAAGTGTATATAAGAGGTTACTAATCAATCCCTTTTTATGTATGAATGAAGACGCTACCTAGAAGAGCATTATGTATGTAAATGCACAACAAATCTCTCTTTCACCGTGCCATCATCAGACACACGTTGTGTGTATATCTATGCAGAACGCTTTGAGCTACTGTATACACACACACACAGAGTCCGAGAAAAAGAGTCGTTGTACAGTAGGCACAACATTCTCGATCTCTGCTCATTCATAATAAAAAATGGCCATCTCCCAAGCTAATTAATACTGTGCACTGATACTTATTCCTTACCCCACTTCAAAAAGATCACATAAAGTCCATTGATGATAACGCCATTGTATAAAAATGCTATGATTCACAAAACAATACATCTATACGTCATGTTTGCGCGCGCTTGACGATGAAAAAAGACATCCTATGGAATAGTCGGAACGGGTGTTTACGGGAGTATACAACAACGGCAGGAAAATAAATGTTCTCGACGAGAAGGCAAATTTAGCATCCGATGCAGGGATGATGAAATTGACGTTTTTTTACACATCAGTCATATTCGACGAATCACATACACAAATTTCTATTCATATTGCATAGGATGGGATGTGTGATGATGTACTATCTATTCATCATCGTTGCTTGTGAATTCAAGAAATTTTGTTTACTATTCTCTAAATGATAATAACTTCAATTAACATGATGTCAGTTTTCGATTGCTACGTGTGTTGGTAGATAATATTATTGTAGTAACTCGAATGGTTTATCAGCGTAAGATGATGACAGTTGTACTCTGTTTCTTCTTTTTAGCCAGGAACTGCAAAACACAATGCTACAACCAGAAGCAAGTGCTGTCTGTAAAGCATACATTTACTTTGAAGGAGTCCGTTTTCCTTTCAATGTAGTTGCTTACAGTTTGTATCTAAATAATCTGAACGATGGCTGGAAAATTTGAGGGACTCAACTGTTGCATAACAAGTGGTGCGCCAAATTATAATGCTGTATGGACTCATTCACACGCAATGACGCATCACATTACTTTATATTAAGAAGCGTCTGATCGTCTCTTGCCCTCTCATTTCTCTTTACTTGTATGTACTGCTGTCATGGCTTCAAAGAACGAAAATTCCAAATACCTGTTGAAAAAAAACCGATCAAAACGGTTAATATTGCCTTTTATGGTTATTTCTTTTTTTTTTCTCTCTCTGTTTGAAATCGAACGACTATCGAGTCAACATGAACCTTTTTAAACTTGTATTGAAAAGGCTTTTGTAAATTACCAGTGGTACAGGAACTTTAGAAAGGGCATTTCCTGTTGTCCTTGATTCTGGGTGTATGTGATCAATAGAAAAACCAACAATAACACAGTAATCTGTGCTTGCATGTACCATATATCATTGTTTTACGGTAAATTTGTATACAATTTACTTGTAAAAGCAGTGGTATTACAGTGCTAGATGCTGTATAACCCTTTGAGTTGGAATGGTTGCCAACGCTAAATAAATATCCCCAATCCAATATGTTTGGAGGGGAACTTGATGCTTCGAAATTAGCTTTATAGTGTTGCAGGCATTGACATTTGCCCTCGAGACATATATTTTTTTGTAGATGACCGTTTTTTACTTGCCCATAAACGTATCTAGAAAAGAAAGAGATATGGACAAGTAGTCGTCGCAGATATTCGAGATTTTCAATCGATGGAACGATGAAAGACCAAGAGTGTGTGGGGGGGGCGGCAACAAAGCGGAAGTGTTTGTCTGTTTTGGATGCGTGGGGGATGTTGAGTGTTTCTTTTATAGAAAAAACCTTGGGAATTGTAAGGATACCGTTATGGTGGTTCAAGAGGGGACTGAGGGCGGGTACAAGTGGTGAAGAAATAAGTATCGCTCCTGTGATACGAAGGGCACTTGATCGAGAACACATCGTCAGTGAGCGGACCACAGACCTTGAATGATACAGGAGAATATATCTTTTCATGAGTATGAAAGGACGATGGGCGTTGGTACGTGTACGTTTTTCGTTGTGTGTTTTCATCCAACAATTATCTTACAACATGTGTGAATATAGTCATATAAAGGATTTTACTCAAGAAATTCACGGACTACATAACAGTAAAAATTCGTTAATTACAATGTAGTTAAATTACATGATGATGAGCTCACACCCCAAAGAAGATACTGTGCGCTAACGTTTTGTAGGGAGAGTATATGGATGTGGGCTTATTATATAGTCAGTCCAAGTTATTCGCTAGCGACGGCTCGTTGATGGCCTCATAATCCTCGGTTGAATGCGTAACCAGTCTATTTCTCGGAGGGTCTTGATCCATTTGCCTCGGTGTAGGCCACCACTCGACCTCGTGGGGTAATTTGTAGCGTATCAAGCAAAGCATATACAGACAATTACCAGGGCAACCAGTTAAGCATTGTAGCATAGAAATAATCCATCCGAGTTGTGTGAAGCACGGAAACATTATACTCGGACGATCCAGCTTATGATAGCTGTAGCAATACGATTGCCATTAAATCATGAATGTTAGATTTTATACATCTGTACAACAATGAACGGCTATGTGTGTATCTCTACGTTTATAATATTTTAGTTGATCATACATAACGTCATTTCAGACAGTCGGAACAACATGCTCAGAAAACCCAAGCATTGCTTAAAATCCCAGGTCTTTGACTTTTTCCAACATAGTAAATTGTATACCATATCATCATTTTATTTAACGCTCGTAAATAGCGATCTTTCGCCAAGTAATACGAAATGTGTACACATAGTTTTTTTCTATATGGAAGGGTTACGCTCGGAATGGGCGATGCGATAGCAACAGTATGTTACTAATGAGCTTGATAAACGATTAAGCCTGGTGTATCATAGCGTTGATGTATCAACTGTCGACGGGTCCACACATCATCCAGTTGCATCATACTGTTCAGCTTCCATACAAGCTGGCTCCCAGTTTCTGAATTGAAGCGATAGCAACATGTGCATTTTGTTTTCAGAAATGCAGTGAGCATTCACTTGAGAGCCAACATGTCACACGTTGGAACGCAGTATTACGGTGTCGCCAGGTGATGTGGACAGATCGGGTCCAATGCCGACCAACAAAAATGATGCCGAAGGCTGAGAATGAAACAACCAGCATCTTGATAGAAGCTAACAATAGTAAAGACTGATACGCTCACATGGGGAGAAGCACACATCTTTCTCCCCCACGTCAAAGAAACTGGTAACTATGTCACGTACGATAACCCCTGAGAAATCTATGTTTTATTTTGCTGTCCCGATTGTTTGTTTATGCAAGCCTTGCTTGTTTGTAAATAACTCCCGATGTTGAAATGATAGAAGATTATAGTTGTTATTTTTGAAGATCAATAAAAGTTTAATGTATTTTAAGTAGAAAAAAGAGAGACACACACACCTTACAAGTAATACAGAGAAGGGGGAGGGGAAAGGAGCACACACACTATTTTTTATACGCGCGCGCGTAAACGGAGAGAGTAGTAATATATGAAAAAAAAAAACAAGAAAGAAAAACACGTGTGCGAGAGAACTGTGGACGGGGGCGGGTCAAGAAAAAAAAAGAGGCGGAAGAGAAGAGAGAGAGAGAGAGAGAGAGAGAGTTTTGTGCTGTAAAAAGACAAATGAAGAGTAATATGGGACAATTTGGAGGAGGAAGGATATACAAATTAGAAAACTAGTAACTGCTGCTACAATCATGGGCTACTACTACTTTACTGCTGCTGTTCCTGTTCACCACCACCGCCACCACCACCACCACCACCGCCGGACGGAGCAAAGTGTACTGCCAGAACAATGACAAGGATGATGACAATGACGGCAAAGATACCAAAGCAGATCCACTTTTTCTTGCGGGTGAGTTTGGCATAATGCACGGCCTTGCCCACCTCCTGGTTTCCCTTTTCCAAATCACCGACGACCTGGTACGAGCTTTCCTCGATCTGCGCCAGCACCTTGGCCTGGTTCTCGAGCAAGTACTGCATCTCCTCAAACAACGACGACAACTCCTCGACACTCTTTGCCAATCGACGGATATCCTCATGACGTTCCTGGACCGCATCCAGCGTCTGCTGGCCATCATAGCGTCGCTGTTCATTCGTCATCGAGTGCATCAATTGTTGGGCAAAGACGGCCGGCCGACCCTGTTCGGCCTGAGCAATGGCCTGATCGATTTCATCGGGCGTAGCGTTGGGGTTGGCGATTCTAATCTGACGCTCATACTGTCGCGACTCTGCCTTTTGAAAGTCAAGAGCGACCTGACGATGACGAGCAATGGTGTCCATGAATGACTTTGTCACGTTTGAAAACTGGTTTTTGCGGATGGCCAGGTCGGAATGGCGAGGTGTGGGTTCAATCTCTTTGATTTTTTGCTTGACGTGTGTCATGAATTGTTGCGTTTCGTTGGTCATGGCGTCGAGTTGTGACCGGATGCGGGCTTCTTCGCGTGCATCGGCCGCTTGTAACATGCTCGACTGTAGACTTTCGATCCGGGAAATGTTTTCATTGACGCCCCGAATGGTCTCTTGGATATGCGAGATTTCGTTCAGGAATCCATCCATAGAGGTAGGGTCGGATTGCGACGAGAGTAAGGGCCGCATCTCGTATCGGCCGGGTGCTGGTGCCTGCTGCCCGCCGGCAACGGGGGCTGGACGTGAAAGTTCGGCTAACCGATCGACGCTCATCGAGTATAATGTAGAAGGGGGTGTAAAGAGAGAGAGAGAGAGGGAAGAAAGAGAGAAAGAGAGAGAGAAAGAGAGAGAGAGAGAGAAAAAGGGGGAACCGAGTTAAGCAAGTTTACTGGTAGGGTAATACACTCTCAGTCCTGTACCTCGTATACAACACCAGCTCTCTCTCTCTCTCTCTCTCTGTCTCTCTCTCGCTCCGTTCACTAAACTGGGTTAGAAAATGGCTATTTTTATAACCCCCACCAAGAACCTTCAAGGTGGGCTTGGCTTGTTCAGGCAGTTGTGGCTGATCGTCTCTCTCTCTCTTGGGTCGATCTTTGTTTTTTAAACATCCTCTTTCGGTTGATGGATGTCCAGCTAAGCCCAGTTCTTGTGCACGTGCTCGCGGGACACAGACACCACAACAAAAGCAAAATATTTTTTTTTGGCGGTTCTCGGTGGCCTGCTACTTGATATAGCGGCACCAAAGCAACTGTTACTGGTTGCTTGGCATCACACACATAAAATAGACAAAATGGGGGCGGGCCTCTATCTCCTGGCACACACAGACACAAATTTATCGGGGACACAAAAGAGAGTTGGAACCGGTCGAGGCCACACACACACATTCATTTAAAACATTCCCAATCAAAACAGAGTCAGAGAAGGGATATTAAAAGTATGTTATTTACTAGGGAGGAGGGAAAATCAAACAAAGAGAGGTTTCTCCAAAAGTGGGGTTTGTTGTGTCTGTGCGAATAATGATAATGATGATAATAATAATAATAATAATGATCGTAGTAGTAGAAATAATAATAAAAGAGAAAACGGGTATAAACAAATCGTATATGTATAAAAAAAAAAGTGGGGGGCTGCAGGGGAATGATTTACTATGCAAATGTTCATGTTGTTGTTGTTGTTGTAGCTTTTTTTTTTTTTTGTTCATCTTCTTTACCAAGCGGTGGCATACCGTTCACCTGCTTCTAGTAGACCCACCGCTAACTTGAGCGCATTTTCCACACGCATGCCCAAAAGACCCTGCTGATTGACATCTTCTAACTGCAGTTTTTCTTTCTTTTCTCGAGACGCTGTGTTGATCATGATAGGCAGCTGGAGCAAGGTTTTGCAGATGGTGATCGACAGGGCCATCCGACGCCACAGATCGAAATACGAGAGGCGTCGCAGCTCTTGTTGTAGCTCATACAGTCGCATCAGTTCAAACTGGATCACTTTGTAATATGTATGTGTGGCTAACACGAAAAAAAGGTTATCAGTGTCTAGGTGTTTGTTTTACTTGATCACAGAGAGAGGATGGGAGAAACTTACATAGTAATAATTCTCGCATTTTGCGGAACGCAAGTTCGATTTGGATAATGGCATCTTCACTTATATGCATACCGGGATTTGTTTCATTCAAGGCATCTGCAATGCGTGGGTCGTGGTAGTTGATAGGTATGTTAGAGTTGGTTGCTTCACTTGGCCCTTATACCAAACATGGAAAAGAGTCGCTCATGGAGAGCCTACCAGGGGGATGACTTACGGATGAATGCACGCATGGTTTGGAATTCACCATCCATCATTTCGATAAAAAGCTAAAATAGTGTCACACGTTTAAACAAAAGATGGATTTTATGGAAACGGCTGCTTGTTATGTCTTTTAAATTGCTATAATTGCTCACCTGATGCAACACGCGCTGTAATGTGTCGTTTGGATTTCCATCGTCGTCTGCAGAATGCATGGGTGAAGCCATTGGATGTTGTTGCTTGGACAAGTCGTATATGAGTTTTGAGGATGGATTGCTCAGCGTCTCATAGGCCAGCGACAAGACTATTTGGTAGAGTCCCCCCTTTTGTTAGACACCACCGCATTCTACATCGAGAGCCACACACACATTCTCTCTCCCTTTCTCTTTTGCACCCAAGAGAGAGAAAAGGGGTGTGGATGAAAGGAGCTTTTTTATTTTCTTGTTCTTACGCTGAAAACTTTCAGTGGCTCGGGGATAGGGCGGTACGAACTTGTCTGGATGACATACTCGACTTCGCTAATGTAAGCCCGTGTCGTTATTATCAGACATTTGTTGTTGCTGTTGTAGGTAGATTCAAAGAGAAAGTCTCATCATGTCGCTCTTCTTCACAAAAGAGAGACACACACACACACACAAGAGAGGAATTTTCTACATACCCGTATGTAAGCTCTTCGAATATCTTCAGTGGGAGACTCCTTGCTAACCCCAAGCACATGGTAGTAATCGGGCGCGCTTAGAACTTCTTCGACGTACTGATATTTCTTTTCGCTCTCAACGGCCGGTTGGTGTTGTTGCTTTTTTGGCAATGTGTTGGGTCGTGGTGCTGATCCCCACGGATTGATAAATGGCATTGTTGATGATGAGTAATAACGTGTTTCTCAAATCGAGTATGTGTCTGTTTTAATTGCGTTTGTCGCTGTTAAGAGAAAGGTTTAAGGGGGGTGGGGAGAGACGGCAAACGGGGAAGAAAGAAGAAGCAAAAGAGAGAGAGAAAGAGAATAATAAGGCACAGGGTGTAGAATAAAAAAGCAAGTTGCCGGTGTTGTTGAGAATTGAGTGTACGGGTGGCTCTATTTCTCCTTAATTGAAGTCGAGGTGAATGAGGGAGAGAGAGAGAGAGAGAGAAATAAAGGAGCCCCAGAAAAAAGAAAAACTTATTATCGTTGTTGTTGTGTATGTCACGCACAGGTAAAAGAAAAAAGATGTGTTATTACTATTGGCTTATCGCTGCTCTCTCTCTCTCTCTCTCTCTCTCTCTCTCTCTGTGTGTGTGTGTGTGTTCTCTGTTCTCTGTTTGCATGTGAAAGTATATAAACTCACTTCTTTTTTTGATGGGCCCACACAGACACATCACACGCTAAACCCCATTCTGCATACACATTCCATTATCAACACTATTTCAAAAGTGGGTGTTTGTTTTATTGCACATGCAGCAGACAACGACTACGTAAGACAGTGCGTCGCCAGCACGAAACTTATCAGCAGCAAAGTATTCTGTTGGCTTGCGGATACCAAGTACAAGCAAGCAAGCAAGCAAGCAAGCAAGCAAGCAAGAAGAAGCAGAAGAAAAGCATGCGCCAGGTTGTTGTTGTACTTCTTCACATGTAGTACATGACTACAGCATAGTGTGAGATTGATCATCACTTTTGTAAGAAACAGACCCCCCTCCCCTTTTACGATAAGAACAACATCTTTATCTTACCTTTCTGCAGCTCAGGTTTGACCACGGCAAAGCTCGCCATCTGCTGCTCAGAGTCTAGGCTTTCGGACGTGGCTTCCGTGTCAGACCAGTTCTCACCTCGGCGATGGAAACGGGCACGGGCCGCCACCAGGTCGGCATAGTATGCCGGCGGCACTATCGACACCGCACGTGTAGCCCGGCCATAAATGTAGCACAGACGATAGGTGAGCTCTTGGAGCGAATCAGAAGTGAACTTGTTTTCGTCGTACAGGACATGATAGTGGGTGGGGCGGGAAGTGCCTTGCAGTCCGGCGTGGGATTGTAGGTCTAACAAACAATAACTCGCGTTTAGCATATTACCTCTTCCCTCCGGTTAAACAAGAAACTTACAAAAGTCAAATTCAAATGGATGCACAATTTCAGTATCAACGACTGTGCCAGGCTGGCAGTTGCCAGTCCGATCCGCATCGCGAGCCTCCACCGGGAAAAATCGAGCGTGATGACGCTTCTGAACAACCACGAATGTCACTGTTGGCTTGTAATCCGGGTCGAGTGACGCACACGCCGCATGGACCTGCTGGACCTCGTTTTCCAACACGGCACTGAACTGACCTTCGGAAATACCATCACGATAGAAAAGAACACGGTCGGGCTTTTGACCACATGCCTGGTAGAAGCTCTTGAGCAACTCCTTGACCATGTTGGCAAGATCGGCAATGATTTCGGTACGGTTGGCTTGCACACGGATGGCACTGGCGTAGCGCGATGCCCGGGCATCCATGGAGGCCGTGACAGCAGCGACCGAAGGACGGTTCAGATCGCCTGGAGCTGGGTGGGTCACGTCGGCACCAAACACAATCGTCGGACGTTCCGAAATGAAAGGGATCTGGTGCGCGTCGAGGAACATGTTCATGCCACCCAGCTTCATGTTGACCTTCAAGCAGACGTTGGCACAGTATTGCTTCTTGGCATCGGCAATGTGCTTGGACTGGACACACTGTGTGGGGATACCGATCACCGTGTCCGACACGCGCTTGATCTCGGCATACAGTGGCACCCCTGTGTTGGGCAAGATGCACAAGATCAATTGTGGCGTGGCCTTTGCAATGTTGCCGGCCTTGAGCCACGCTTCTTTCAATGTACGGTCAATACTTCCTTGTGGATCGCCATGGGTGATGGGTGGATTACGGTTTACCACGTTCAACCCGGTCTCGATAAATGTCTGGCACAACTCTCGGACAAAGCGTGCGATCGCCGGATTCTGCAGCTGCGACTGAAAATTCACGACCGACCACGATCCCAATGTGGCGCCCTGAGCGACTTTTTTACCACGCAAGTTCCATGCACCGCCAACGGGTGTGAAGGTTCCCTCGGGCGAAGTGGTCGAATACGTGATTTGCGGTGTGGGCAAGACGCGTGCACTGATCATGGCCATGTCGGGCTTGACGGTCATGCCAAACTGTTGCATGTACTGATTGTCCTTGTACTGCAACAAATTGTAGCCTTGCTTAATCTTGTTGGCGCGGACATTTGGCTTTTGACACGTAAACTTGATCATTTCGGCCGTTTGTTTCTCGTTGAGCTTCTTCATGAAGCGTTGGCCCGAGACAATGTCACAGACTTCCATGGGCAGAAACATGTCCTTGCGGACAACAATGCATGGCAAGAACGGGTACTCCAGTCGCATGTTGTAGTGTTTGGCGAAATACTGCGACACGCTCAGCTCATTGCCGTCTTGGTCTTGGAACAGCGTACGGTCTGTGGTCGAGGGCGTGAGTCGCAGGATCTTGAACCTGCGCTTGTTCTCGCCGCGATGGTTGATTTGAACTTTCAGGCCCTTGAGCGCTTTTTCCAGTTTTGCACGGTCGCGGTCGGTGATGCCACGACGCAAATCGTCCACTGTGCGTCGACCGAGGATCTTGGCAGCCATTTCGGGCAGTCGGTCGCTCTCGTAAAACGCGGTGGCGCTCACATCCACGTTGATCATCATCTTGCCAACCCCGGGTCGGGCAGATTGGTAGAAGCCTTGCCATACCTCAGCACCGTTGGGTAATGAGCGTCGTTCTTGCGGTGTGAAAAAAGAGCGGCCCACGGTTGCGTACAGCATACTGGGCATGTGACGGATCAACACATCCAAGATCATGATTGCTGATAATTGAATATGCAGTAGTACAGCAAAACAGTCATTGTTGTCATGTACGTTCATTAGTGGTTTGTTGTTATTGTTGTGGTAACCATGCGATGATCCCAGTCATCATGCTGAGGTTGCTCACCTGTCAAGCAGTTTGGCGTCAAACGCGTTGTGCCTTCCAAGAATTGACGCAGCTCGTCCATATTGACCTCACCGGCCTTCTTGATGCGAATATGGAACGTACCGCCAGTGCGCTTGGATGATGCTGTACCGGTATCAGTGTCTTGAAGTTCGACCTAGTAGCAGCAGCAGTAGTAGTAGTAGTAGTAGTTGGTGTGGAAAGATCAGTGAGCCGTCGGCAACGACAACAATAAAGATGATTGTGTGTTTGTGTGTGTGACAACAAACATAAGATAAAAAAAAACAGTGACGGCAACAGAAAATAGAATGTGTAATATGACAAAGCAACACACAATGTGGTGAAAACAGGGCTGTATCTGAAAGTTTTACCTCGTATTGACCTGCTTGTTCAGGACCAAGAGGCAACGGCTTGGGCGAAAACACATTTTTGCGACCATCATAGATGGTTCGGATGCCCTTGAGCAAGCCTTGGCCGCCCATGTCCTCAAACTGCTTCCATACTTTACGATACACCGCCGGCGGTGCATTTGCTTGGTCGATGTTGATGTCGTAGTGGTGCACGTTGGCCAGCGGGAACGACATGATTTCGAAAAAGTTGCTGCGTACGCGAACGGGTCTGCCAACGATGCCACGACCGGGACGAGTCACATAATCAGTGATAGCAAGAGACATGGTTTTCGTGTGTGTGTGTGTGTGTTTCCTGAGTGAAGGCTGGAGGAGATAGTAGTTGCTGGAGTAGGGTGTCAAACGAAAAAGTATAAAAAAACGGAGGAAAGAAAGAAAGAATAGACCGGTTTCCATGGGGGCGTTCATGCTCTTTATATATATATATATGCATCTTGCAGGTTGTTTGGGTGTACATTGTTTTTCTTTTGTTCTTTGATCATGCTGTCGATTACTTTGCTAGTGATTGACGTCGTTTCGTGCGTCGTTTTTAAAGATGTGTATGTGCCGACATTCTGAAATTCCCTTACTCCAATGAACGGCACAACATATCAGCGTTGTAACTGATTTTTTTTTTTTTTTGCTACTGCACGACTCTGTTTACCCTTTTGACAAAGGCAAGATCACGATAAAACACGTATGCAATGAGTTTGTGTGTTTGTGTTTGTGTGGCGAAAAAAAAAATAATCAAACCTGAAACGTGGGTAACAAGAAAAACGCAGGAGGCGTTGTATATAAAAAGGGGGCTACCACATCAACAACAACAACAACCATCATCATCATGGCATCCGGTACTATTCCTTCTTACAAAACAAGGTGCTTTTTATTTATTGGTAATAAGTCTGGGTTGTCTATTGTAACAGGAACGTCTTGTAAACGACATTGTCCGTCTCTTCTTCGTAGTGATAGCCTAGCTGATTAAGGAACTCATCAAAGGCGGCATAATCTTCTGGAGGCACTTGGATGCCGACAAACACCTTGCCCATATCTAGATCGAGAGGCAATTCAATTCTCTGAACCGCTTATCCTGATTGTTCCAAGATCACCCCCTTCTCACTTACCATCGCCATGATTTCGGTAGTTGAACAACGAGACGTTCCATGTCGAATTCATTCCCTTCAAAAACTTCATTAATGCACCGGGTCGTTCAGGGAAAACTACAATAGATAGCGTAAATCAGCAAATACCAATTTGTTTCACCTATCCCGCTTTTAGAAAGAAAAAACCCGCATACCAAATCGGAACACGCGTTCATGATCAGGCCGTCCACGACCACCGACCATATACCGTGCATGAGCTTTAGCCAACTCATTATGACTAACATCACATCCCTTTAAACCATCCGCAGCCCATGCTTTCAAGACCTGCTCGACTTCCTGGGCCAAATGATCGACCTTGAAACTGATATAGACATGCGCGTCCTTGAGATCCGAGTAACGATACGTGAACTCGGTAACGTTACGAGGCAAGACATGTTCAATCATTTTCATGAAACTGCCCGGTCGTTCTGGGATCTTGACTGTACAAAAGGCTTCGGTCTGTTCACCCAACTCAGCACGTTCACTGATGAAACGCAATCGATCAAAGTTGACGTTGGCGCCCGAGACAATAGCCACATGGGCCTTGCCGGTCGTGGTCTCATGCGGATTGAGTTGCAAGTATTTCTTGGCGCCGGCCAAAGCCAATGCGCCCGTAGGTTCACAGATCGATCGCGTGTCTTCAAACACGTCCTTGATGGCCGCACACACTTCGTCGTTGGTCACGTTGACCATTTCGTCAATCAATGATTGGGCCACACGGAACGTTTCTTCGCCAACAACACGGACTGCAGCGCCATCGGCAAACAATCCGACTTCGTTCAGTTCGACGCGTTCCTTTTTATTAAGACTAAATGTCATGGCATTGGCGTCGTCGGCTTCCACGGCAATGATTTTGATGTGTGGTGCAATGCGTTTCACGTAGCTGGCGATACCGGCAATCAACCCGCCGCCGCCGACTTGGATATAGATGGCTGCAATATCGTTGATATCGTGCTGGCGCAGGATTTCCATGCCGATCGTGCCTTGGCCTGCAATCACATAAGGATCGTCGTAGGGTGGGATATTCGTCAAGCCTTCTTCTTCTATCAGTCGTACGCATTCTTGTTTTGCAGTGTCGAAATCGTTGCCGTGCAATATAACTTCGGCTCCTAACCGTTTAACATTGCGCCACTACATATGCATATATTTTAACGTTCCCCTCTCATTATCTTCAAGAAAGTGACCCAGGCAACCCAAAAAAATACCTTGATAGGAGGGCATGATGCTGGCATGACAATTTTTGCCTTGATACCCAAATGTTTAGCTGCCATGGCAACACCTTGTGCATGGTTGCCTAACAGTCATAACATATAAGCCTTTTTGCATCTCATCAAATACGTTTCTTTTTCATCACTGTAATACCGTACCAGCAGAACAAGCAATAACACCACACGCCTTTTCTTTTGCAGTCAGGTTTGCCATCTTGTTATATGCGCCACGAATCTTGAAAGAAAACACGGGTTGCAAATCTTCACGTTTTAAAAAGATTTTGGTGTTGAGTTTATTATTGAGATTGATAGCTTCTTGTAATGGCGTCTCTTTGACAATGTCATATACGCGCGAGGTGAGAATGAGACGGAGGTAATCGGGTTGTTGTTCATTGTTGCCACTTTTGACTTGGCGTGGGTCAATGTTGCCCTTTAATGCTGCTGCTGCTTCTAATTCAGTGCTTTTTTTGTCGGTTACTGCCATTGTTTTATATGTGTGTGTATATATGTATGGTATGAGTATATATATATAAATAGCCTCGTTCCAAGGAAATTATATAGTAGAGAGGGCAAAAAAAAAAAGATTTGACAGATCAATAGATTTTGGTTCATATAAGGTGGAGGGGGCGGAGTTGCGTGATGATGCGTGTGGTATCATGGTGTGTCATCGTTTCATCCAACCATCGTCGTCCCGGGTTTTTATTCCGAAAGGACAGCGCATGATAAGGTTTACCCAGTTTTTGTAAGGGACCATCACTCCCCCCCCCCAAAAAAAAAACTTTCCGGATCTGCCATTCCACGATGAGAGTGTACTCTGTACAATGTTTCCAGCTATCGATGCAATATTTTTTTAATGGCAACAATAGCCCGTAAATCTAATGAGGCTTCCTCAAAATATCTCATGGACAATCATCAGAAAAAACGTTTATGATCGTTGATATCATCAAATTACTTGTCTTCTTCCATTAAAGTGCTCACTATAGTCTCCCAGAATAAACAGTCCGGTTGGCAGAACCGATATGAAATGGTAAGCTTGGTAGGAGAACCCACAGCACTTACAATGCATTTTTATAGAAAGACAACGAGGTATGTACGAATGTTGTATCATGTTTAGCAGAAAGACGAACTTCTGGTTGCAGCTGGTAATGGCATATACATAGTTCGGAACCTTTGAGCAACGCAACAGAGGAAGAAGTAGACAGGCACTGTTTTCTCATTTTATAGATATAATCATATTGGTGTTTGACAATTTTCGACTGGTGAGAAATGTTGAAAGGGTTCTTTTTACCTGTACATGACTATAAGCGGTTGCAAATGATAAGTAGTTGTGACGAGGTCGTTCCGAATCAATTCGAGCATTGTCGTGCCAGGAGCTTGGCTGAGTACACAGTTGCTTTTGTTGGATGGCTCTTTAAAATGCATGAATATTCGTGCAGACAGCTTTTGGAAGCTGGGCAATAATGATGTCGTCGAAAGCAGCAGTAGTGGTAATATGAATAGTAGTGGTGGTGGTGGTGATGCCTTCACCAAGAGACGACCGATAGAACATCAGATGTAAACAGTCGATGAACCAAAGTGGAAAGACAGAAAATATTCTCTCCGCTTGCTCTGGGGCATCACCAAATACATAATAAGCGAGTGAGTTCTTCTCGACTACAGAGATCGAATGTTTAAAAGAAGTGAATATGGCATGTGCTGCTTTATGTATTATTACTAATGGTTGCTGTGTGAAAACTAAGTACATTTAGAGGGAAGGATGCTTGGATAAGGAGGGGACGAGCAAAGTTAAAAATATAAGGTAGTGTCGTGCTGTATAATAAAGGGAGAGAAGAAGGAGATTAGAAACAGGAGGAGATAGGTATTACACAGATTAGTAACGAGGGAAAGAACAATAACACTTTTTGTCGCGCGCGCGCTTCTAAACTGGTGGTCACCAGTACCAGTACGTAAAGGAACTACTACTGATTGCTGCCAATGGTGGTAGAGCACTGGCCATCAGTCAAATTTACATGACAAACAGTTTAATTGGATAGGAGGTCGCGCGCCATCCGTTCGTCTGTCCCGTTCATCCGTCTCGTTACATGATACCCGAATCTTGTAACGAATTCTTCAGTATTGTTTCGGCGATCGCTTTGAAAACAAACCTATTATTGTGTGTTAGTGCTGGCTTCAAAGGGTATGCGACGACTAGCTTTCGACGATCTAGAAAATACTTGCTTGATCTGATTGAACAACAATGAAAAAAAAAAAAAAACTGTGAGCCTAATACTATATCTTTGATAACTAGAAACCAGAAAAATGGATACTAACGTTACTAGTACTTGTAGCCTGTGTGAGACTGAATGATAAAATCATGATAATAAAAGCAGCCTATAGTTAGCAAATCGTCCAATTCCTCACAAGCGTCTTAGTCAAACAAAAACTTACTGTGGGTATATTTTGAGATTCATTCGATTTGTTTGATTAAACCGCCATAGCAAGTATTTTGCACCTTTGGATGGGTCATTTCCACCTGTATAATCTGGGAAATAGCGTTCTAACGGTACTCGGTTGATTTTGGAAACAAACAGATCGATCTTGTTCAAAAACAATATCACAGATGTCCGTAAGAACCACCGTGAGTTGACGACTGACTCGAATAGTACGAGACTTTCCATCATGCGATTCTGGTCATTTGCCATGGGGATTTATAGTTATTATAGCAGTTATTACAATACACACACACACACACACACCACACCACACCACCGAGTATCTATATGTACCTGTTTGGATTCCTCTTGCAGAACCTGATCATATTCACTGAGTGCCACACAGAATATGATGGAAGTGACACTTTCAAAGCAATGAATCCATTTTTTCCGTTCTGACCGCTGACCACCGACATCAAACATACTAATCATTCAAACCGTCAAGGGGAGACAATAAGTTCCTGCGTTTTTCTCCATAATGAAAAGGATCTTACGTTTAAAAAAAAAAAATGTAAAAAAACTCTTACTGAACATTAAGTTTTCCCATCAAAAACCAGGTTTCCGTGATGCCCGTTGTTTTTAACCGTGCTTGCAATACGTCGTCGACAGTTGGAATATAATCGGGCTGCGAAACGCGTTTTGCATGATTTAGAAAACTTTAAAAAAGAAAGCCGAGGGTTTTTGGTTAGTCCTCCTTTTTTTTATATATAAACTCAACCTCGTTCTGAGCGTATTTTCTACTGCTACTACTACTTACTATGAAGCAGAATCCATGATATAAAATTGACTAGAGCCTTGCTGGAGGATCTCGGGTGTGCTATCATCTTGCCAAATCGTTTGGATCGCCGTGATCAGGTCTGCGGGTAATCCTTCATCCGGTGGTATTTCGATCGGCAAGACATAATCTTGTACAATCTTTACGGACACCTTTTTTTTTTAACATATATATATGAATACTTCTTTTTGATTTTGGGAGAAAAAAAGTCAAGAAAGAATTTTTTATATGGATAATAAATACCTCCTCGTTTCTAGGATCGCTGAACTCTGTGTTTAATTTGCGAGCACTAGTCACTAGATCTTTAGCGGAATCGACAAGATTCTTGTGTACGATCGATCGCCATGCTCTCAGTTCATCTTTGGAATAACCTTTTTGATGAATGATTTTCATCTGCTTGACAATGGTGGACTTGCCAGACTCTCCACTGCCTTTTTTTGTTCTGGTTACTTTAACTGCTGTGTGTGTGTATGTGTGTGTGTGTGTATAGAACAATAATAGCGCGAGACACTGGGTGCCTACCTAGTAACAGAAGCTTGCATTCTTGTCTATTCCGTTGCGAGGCCAGCTCGATTTCACGGTCTATTTGGATGCTACGCTGTCGACGTTCTCTTTCTTCTGATGATGTACAGATACCCAATATTGAAAGCATCGTTTTTTGTTATTGAACGGTGCTGTGAGTGAGTGTGTATGTGTGTACTTTATGAAAAAAGAAAAAAGAAGGATGGAAAAAGGGAAAGGTAGAAAAAATAGGGGTGGGGATGATGGTGGCAATCTTAAACACGCGCACTAATACTAGACAGACACGTATCAAGTAGAAGTAGTAGCAGCACTATGTAGGTAAGACACACACACGACGAAGACGACGGCGACGACGGGTACAAACCACACGAGAGGTAATATCTACCACGTTTGAAACCGTGCAAAAGGAAAAAGGAAAAAGATTATGAGTTTGATTAAAAGGAAAAAAAAAAAAGTAAGGAGAGTATAGAAGACCGTTGTATATACGAAACGAGTAGGTTAAGCAGTATCACAAAACGAGGAGAGGGGGGTTGAGCTTCATCATGCGTAATATGTATATGTGAGCGAAGATGATAAACCTCAGGGAGAGAGAGAGAGACAGATTAGAATAGTTAATAGAGAGAGAGAGAGAGAGGGGGGGAGAGTAGGGGTTCAACTGAGAGAGAAAAATAAAATAAGATGCCATCATCCATATCACAATTACTTAGTACTCTCTCTCTCTCTCACTCACAACCACTGTGATATAAAGACACGCACACTCCTTGCTGCTGCTAAATCTTATCCATTTTGTCACGTTTTTCCAGGACTTCGTGGCGATTGAGGAGGTGATATGGTTTTAGTACATACTTCCATTAGTAGATGCTCAGCTTATGTATATATTTAAGGAACGGTGATTTTTCTTGCGTGTGTGTGTGTGTGTGTGTGTGTGTCAAAGCATATTATGTCTGCGTTTGCTTTTTTTTTTCTTTTCCGTATCGTTTAGTACGCATCATAATTCATTGGGTCGTAAACGCTTCCCACGCTTCTGTATCATGTCCACATCTATTGTAAGACGGCATTAGAAAGCCTTTCTTCTCTCTCTCTCTCTCTCTCTCTCTCTCTCTCTCTCTTAGATTCTCTCTCTCTCTCTCTCTCGTTAACTATCCCATGTAGATATCGTGTAGATTGTACCTTCTTCCTCGTTATCTGGTACCGGATTCAACAGCTGCGAATGCGTCCCAAGACTCAACAATGTTGTTATTGGATGAGCGGGAGCAGGATCTGCCATATATCAACAAGTTAGCATATCATATATGAACATAATATAAAAGTACTGTCAACAACTGTTCATCTACTAACCTCCTCTCTGCTCATCTGATGCACGTCGCACTCCAGAATGCTCAGAGCTTCTCCTGGCAAAGCCGTCCAGCAGCGGTGACGTGGATCCACTTTTATTGCTCTCATCTACAGCAGCAGTATTGCTACTACTGCTGCTGCTGCTGCCACCACCACCACAACCACCGTAACCGACAGGAGGTCGAAGTGTTGTGGTGGAAAAGTTGGCACTGAATGTGTTTATGGATGGTAGCCGTGGTGGTTGTGGTGCCGGCGGTACTATTTGTTGTCGTTGTTGTTGTTGTTGTTGCTGTTGCTGCGAAGAAGATGGAGATGAAGAGATTCCAGGATTATTGGATTGTACTTGTATTGGTGTCACTGGTGATGCAGACGGGAATCCAGAAGATTGCTGCTGTTGTTGCTGCTTTTGCGGCCGAGACGATGAGGATATAATCGACGGTGAATTCGAAAAGGACAGTTCTTGGGATCCTTCCCTGGAATAATCGTTCGGTAACAGTGATGATGATAAATCTTGCAAACGGACAACTTGTTGTTTCAATCCATCCACTAATAATAATAATAATAATGATAGGGTTCACATTAACCTCTCCTTCTCTCCATCACTCTCTCTCTCTCTCTTTTTCCTTTCACTGATATTACTGATGGATGCTTACAGTTGACGTTCTGAAATAACTCAGCTACAGATAAGAAGCCCGGTTTCTGATTAGATCGCTTGCATAATATGCAACACAGCACAGAAATAATTCTGGAAACAAGGAATGGGATAAGAGCTTACCTGAAGATTCGCGTGATGCCGCTATAATTATTTCGGCTATATGAGAAATTATCTAGATAGTACTGTCAGTGCACCTGCCCAAACAAACTCCATCTCATCCACTGAAACTCCCATTGAGCGAACCTCTTGTTGTCCACTTAGCAGACTCCGTAGAGACGCAGTTTGGACATGAAGCACCTCGTACGCCTTGGTCATGCTATGTAAACGCTCCTCCATGTCCAAGATATGTTTGTACATGGGTCCGTAGAGAAATTCATCTCCTTCGTTCGGAAAAGCTGATAGCGGCGGGCGATGCTGCAAATGATGACGGGATTTGGCACTTTTTCGTTTTATATTTTTGAGGTCTTCAATGGCACCTCGCCGGAAATGAGGATGTTTAAATTCCCAGTTCTGGCTTTCTGTTGTTAGGTTTGAATGTATCATATCGTTGACCTTGTGGAATCCATACACTAGCAGCAGCAGCAGCAGCAGCAACAGCAATTAGGCAACGACGCGTGTGCGATCAGCAAATGTTCCTCTCTTTCTCTACTCTTTCGGCGCTTCTGACACGCATATATACACGCCCCGCCCGGTATATCCGCTTTCTTTTCGCGTTCCCACATCAAAACAAAGAAACAGGTTGGCACTTACTGTTCAACTGACGAACAAAGCTCTGCCAATTATTGTGTTTGAAATATTGTGGTAAAACTGTCCTAGAAAACGATGTAGGATTGGTGACGCTGAATAGATCGCCGTTTTGAGACCATGATATGAGATGATGGATCGACGAGTCTTCCAGCATTCTATACATACGACAAACAAACGTCATGTTAGCAACACATACTCCGGCAAACAACTTTTTTTTTTTTTGGACACCACGCAATGTACCCGCGATCTTCACACACACACACACACACACACACACACACACACACACACACATACACACTTTTTTAAGATCACCCCAGCGCTCTTTGCTCGTTTCCCTTATCCGTGGGTTCCCACCGTTTTCACATACTTGTACAATTTGTTTACAAACGCGGCCTGTGACCTATTCACGGCCGTTGTTCCTGAAGACCCTTCTGCATCAATTTGCTGTTGTTCGCTATTAGACACTCCATAGTCACTATATAGATATACAATACACGCATATATAAACCATAAACATATAAGCATGGGAGCAACTTTCGGGATTCAATTGCATTCATGGCTAACCAACAATGTGGATTCCCTTTTGTCAATTTCTGATCCCTCCATTACCTGTTGTTATCGACCATGAGCTGCTGTCCTTCTTGAGTATTTTCTCCAGAAAAACCATACCCTTCGTTGCTGTTGCGACTGTATTCCGTGCTGCTGCTGCCATCAATCATCGTGTCTGCACACAATCCATTATCGGCAAGTGCTGTGTGTAATGGTATAATTTTGAAGGAGTGTGGAACGGTCGTTGGTGTTAAAATGATTGTTGACTATATAACGGAAGCTTGTACTGTGTTGTATGTGTGCGTTTTGTGTGGAGGCAGAAGAAGAAAAGAGTAAAGAGTGCGTATATGGAGATTTTCGCTCGTTTGTCCTGGTGTTGACGGCCCTGAACGGTACTTGAAAATGGTAAGTTGTGAAGAGGTGTTGTTGCTACAGTAGAAAGTAGAAAGTATAAAGTAGGCATTGCCAGATTCTTGAATTTCTAGTTGTGGAGTTTTTTTTTTTTTTTTTTTTTTGCACTTACTCTTTTGGATAACACAACAACGTCCACCCAGGCACGGAAGAAAGTTTTAAAAGGGAGGGGGAGCAGAAAAGCAAAAGGGGTTTTAGGTGCTTTACAACAACACAGACAGCAAGAGGGTGAGTGGAGAAAGATACCGCGAGTGCGTGCGTGTATTACTTGAAGGGTACTTGTTCGTTCGAGTCCAAGATGAAACCGAAAAAATATAGAGTTCGCGTTATTGTTAAAAAAAAAAAAGGCCGTTTCCCCGTCAATCAAATGTGTTTTCGCGAATGTTGAAAGTTGCAAAAGGACTTTTGACTACTACACCACTAGGACTTCTTTTTTCTGCTTTTGAGAAGCGTGGTAGCTTAAGAGAGGGGTGAGTGTTTTGGTTGGGGAAAGAAGAGAGAGAGAGAAGGTTCGGAATACAAATTAGCCGTACTATCGAAAAGGAAGAGAAAAGAAGAAGAAAAGGCAAGAAGCTTTTTTCCACATGGGCGTTCTAGATGGATCCTCTTTTGGTTCTCTCTCTCTTTTTCCTATGTTATAGCACGTATGTATCAGGTGATGAGCTTTTGACCTGTTCAATAGCTCAGCAGTGATGTGGGGGTGGGGGGGAGGGAGAGAGCGGAGCGTGTGCGACGTAAGAAGATTCGGGAATGCATTCGAACGCTTGCCTTATATATCACGATCACAAGCACATTTTGGCAAGAGAAAGGGTGACATGATGAACAAAAAACAGACAGCATGGTCATCGAACGCACACATGGATAAATACAACCCTGTTTCGTTCTCCTTATTACCATGCTGAGCTAAAAGCTACTACTCAAGGGCCAAATACTGTAGCGCAAGTAACTGGCAGCAGTCTGTTGTATACGTATGCGTCGAGAAGAAGAGCCTTCGGTGGACCCCGAGTTCCGAGGCATCAACTGCTGCTCTTATGTGTATTGTCGGTATGCACCGGTTGACATGACACAACCGCAAGCCAACGGTGGGGCGATAGCAAGGAGGTGAAGAATGCTACTGTAGCCCTACAACAAGAAAGGTTTAGATTAAGTTTAGCTTCTTAAAAAAGCAAATAATAGTTCCATCAGCACACCCGCGACAGTAAGAAGGAATAAAAAGAACGTCTAAGAACACCGTCGAATAGCCGAAGAATAACTCTGGTTCCTTGTTCTTTTGCCCTTCTCTCTCTCTCTCTCTCTCTGTCTCTCTCGTCTAGCCTGCATACAAGTTAACTTTCTTTTTGCCAACTCAGCATTAGCACTATGCAGACTGCCTAAGCGAATAGGAGTGGAGTAGTAGTAGTGCTTGATCTAGTGACCTTCCAAGCGTGGCGAATCTTCGTTTTGAATGGTGCTCACACACGCCAAACAAAGAACAAGATTGGTTTTCGGTAAAAGTGTGCCGATAAGGCATGTTCTTCATTCTCAAAGGACGATATGACCAAGAGTCGGCCTTTTTCAAATATTAAAAGCACAAATAAAGCTGCGCATCCAAATGGTCGTCCAAACTTCTGAATCACACTGTCACTACTGTAGCAGCACTTCCCACGATGACAAAAAGTCATACCCTAATACTTTAGCGATTCCGTGCAGCAGCCAGGTACATATATCAAATGCGCATCTACTACCATTGAGCTATTTCTTATACACACTCTCACTAGTTAGTGCACTCTGTATGTTTTAATACTGAAGCAAGATAATACGAGACGAAGAAGGATTATCGGCTTTTGGTAATAGCCTTTTTTTTTTGTCACACATTGGGCATTGCACCATGTCACTATAAATACGCATCCACGTTCGTTTGAGGATCGAGAACGAAAAGAATCTTTTTTCATTTATAGAACAAATTTCGGGGGTAAGAGGAGAGAGAGAGAGAGAGGGGATAAACTTAGCGAAAGGAAAGAGGACAGACAGGGTCATGTAGCACAAACTAATCGAATTAAGTTCTACCCACATTATTCGAGAACACTGGCTGACTTTTTCTAATCTGTTATACTTCCGTTCCTGATTTTAGAACAACGCCCCCATGTTCAAATACGGATAAATACATGCTAAAATGTGAGCAACGCCGCAATTAAAAAAAAAACAATTCATACTCATCACTATATACTATAATGCAGTGCATTGCTTCTTTATTTTGATCTCAAACAGCTTCGAGTTGACGCAAGCAGCTACTACAGGAGTATATGTGCTTTCTTTCAGATAATTCTCTGTGCCATAAATAGGACCACTTTCCGAAATAACAGCTAGTGACAAGAGTACTAGGGAGAAAAGTTTAATGCCTCATTATCAACGATATGCACACCAACTCGGAAAAGAATCCACAGCAGCAGACTGGTTTAGAACAATACTTATTCTACACCTTCCTGCACAAGAAGGTACTAACAAGTGTCGAGCGTAATTTATAATCTCGAAGAATAACAGCTGGCGGAAACCATCTATGTATTTCTGTTTGGACGGAGATTATGTACAATTTACGACGCTTCTGCATCGTCGAAAATCTGAGATGCTTTTTTGAAGCCTTCAAATAAAGCATTTGAAAGCTTTCCAGAGCTTTTGAAGGTTTTAAAATGCAAACATGAATCTCCAAACGATACGTATCAGAATATGCTTCTGCTTGGGTGTTCGTGGATATCTATAGTACGTACATACATGCATGTGTAAAAAGACCGTCTGATAGGAACTTTGCCAGATACCGCCCTAGTTCTACATGACGGCAACACCATATGTCTAGATCTACGTGGGGTTGTCTAAATCACAGAACCGAGACATTGTTTTTTGCAAAGGTGCCATAGAGCTGGACCTCTAAGGAACGTCTGTACAGCTTGATCGTAATCGATGGTGATGTTTTATCTATGTCCGGGAAAGGATTTGCAAGTGCAAATACTAGATCATGGTTCTGGCTACTTGAACGTTGATGTGCGTAGTTAAGACAGGTACATTGTTATATCTGGTTGTTGGTGCAATGAGCTGTCGAATTCGGTATGTTATCATGCATCTCGCGCGACCAACGAAACAAAAGTTGCTGTGGCAACAGAGCCTCTTATAAAGACCATAGAACGTTGATTTCATGCCAGCAATTCCAAGCTGTTAAAATCCATATATGTATAGAACAGATCTGCCGTATATAGAACGGTGGAGTAATACCATGGTGCAGTAGGCGTTACTGGATGTATATTTCATGCATGCGGAGTATTTCTACCATTTTCAAGTCTTCGTCTTGGTTGAAAATATTGAGATCCTTGCACTTTTGCTGGATGATGTCTTCAAACCGGACAAACTTGTTCTACAGAGGTGAATCAGTTTCCGTCCTCTTGGGCTTCGATCGTACCTATTTGTCTGGAGCAAGAATCCTCTGCTTGTCTAGTCGACGTTGCGTTGCCTTATCACTTTCGAGGACGACGACTGTGTCTCCAAACCAACGTTAAATCTAATGTGCCTACAAGCCAAGTGGGAGAAACTGATGATTGACTTCTAGTAGTGGTTGGAAAGGACTTAAGGAGGTACACTATGAGTGCACAATCATTGGGCGGTTTATTCTGCTCGTTTGACTTGAAGCATGAAATCTCACTCCTATAACAACAGCCTGCTACTACTTTGCAACAAAACTGTTAATCAGTCCACTTTACATGATATAGCAGCTGGTTGTTCAGGTGGAAAAATTGACGGTAAAATAAACTTCCGACCACTCACAATTTTGCAAATCGCGCAACTGAATCCCGATTTTAAGCACCAGCAAGCACTTCTTTGAACCGTCTCTTTTTCGAACATGGTACGTACGATGATACCCTGATGAAGGATGGGGGAATGAGTGACGCATGGGAGAGAAAAAGATAAAACGAACGGATGAACGGCATACGACGACGGATGGATGGATGAAAAATGGATTTGATGGTTGGAATACACATCATCCATACGACATGCGCGGCTACACGGGACAAATTGGGGAATTCAATTTTGACGATTCATCCACATCTGACTCTTTTTTTTTTCTCTTTCTCCCACCAATTATCCTTTTTTTTTTTTGTGCGCATGTAGTCCAAGGGTACTACCTCGTTCGGTAAGCGCCAGACCAAGACGCACACCTTGTGCCGTCGTTGTGGCAACCGCTCCTTCCACAAGCAAAAGAAGACCTGCGCTAGCTGTGGCTACCCCTCGGCCAAGATCCGCAAGTGTAAGTTTTATTGGGCAACATGCATATTGGGAGAAATTGCACCGAAAGGTAGAATGGAATTCTTGTAGAACAAAGTCATTAATTTCGAGAAATCCAATAGTCAACTGGTCCGAGAAGGCTAAGCGTAGAAAGACCACTGGCACTGGCCGCATGAGCCACTTGAAGAACGTTCACCGTCGTTTCCTTAACGGTTTCCGCGAGGGTAAAATATCTTTCTGGCTGAAAGTGTTTGGTGACTAGATATGACGTAGAAGCTAACGTATGTTTTCTTTTTTCGGTTGTGAATTATCAGGTACTCAGGCCGTCAAGCAGACCAAGGCTGAAGCTTCTGCTTAAATATGATCCACGATTATCGTCCCTTGCTTTAAACCTACCAGAATAAAAAGCCAACTTTGAACATTACACAATTGCTGCTGCTGGTGCTGCTGCTGGTGCTGCTGCTCTCTTCCCTTAATATTGCGTAAACATTTTTATGTTATGGATACACACAGACGGTTTGCATTGGTTCAGGTTATTGATTTTGTAGAGTGGGAGCAGGAAAATAAAGGCAAGAGAGGTGTATGTTTGCAATTATAGCTGGCCCGAAACATTGGACGTATGGACAGAACCTATTCGAGTGAAATGAAAATAGCCTGTGCGACCTTGGATTGTTTTTTAAAAAAGCGACGTTTCTTGGGGCAGGATCGCCCCTTCTTCTTCTTTTGCCCCAAAAAAAAACCATTTCTTTTATTATGTCAGAACGGGTACCAACGCTTGCAAAACGATCAACGTACAAGAAACATTGTAGGAAACAGCTCACCGAGCAGGAATATCGTAATATTATGTAACTTATACTACAAGAAGTCATTGCTTATTTAACTGTAACCAAACCCTTTGGATCTGTTGAGACTAACATTCGGGGTACCGCTTAACTATTATTACAGGGACAATGGACCCCAACGACTGCGAGAAAACCCTGTGGGCCTCTTGAAAAACATTGCGATGCATTACTCTGGAACAGTGAGTGGTATACTGTGGTGGTGATGGTCATCTGGCCACTCCTGTTGCTGATAACATGAACACGCCCAACTCCCCTTACAATATCTCGTTATGCACGGTTATGCAGTTGCTGAATATGCTATATACATCCTCTGGTGCTTTTTATAAAATTTATGTAGGGCTGGCGTGGGTACGAAAGCTTTATTGGCACCAGGCTCTTTTATCCGGGATACGCTCAGGAAATGCAAGATGATATTCTTAACAGCCAATCCGGTAAATCTATTTCCTTTGTTGATTACCTAATTTGAAATCATCCTTTTGGCATTTTAATTGACAGCGATAAAACCACGGTGAAATATGTAGTCCGAGATTTGATCGAGGAAATGGCAGAACAGCAAACGCAGCAGCTTGAGGCAGAGCAACTATCCAAGGGCAAAAGGAAGAAATATGATCGAGAGAAGCAAAAAGAGGCTCGTCGGAAAGAGCTCGAAACCATGGCCCGTGCAATGGCTGTAAAATGTGTGACAACTATGGAAGACAAGAAAAAAGTCAGGTATACAAGGATCACATACATACACGCAGACACACATTCGCAGTAATGGATAACAATTAACACATGTCTGTTATTGCGACAGATTCTTCGTTGCAGTGGTAGATATCGCTTTGTCCAGAATATATGACCAGGGTGTGTACATCAAAGAAAGTCAGTGGGAAGAGGTAACGTTAAGTTTGCGGCTCTACTGTCTCAAATGTTGCACAAAACCAACCAACCAAACAACCTTCGTCTTGATCATCTATACACAGCTACGAAAGATTGCCACGATGGCTCAAAAGAACAAGCAAGCGCTTTTGCTTTTGCCATCCCACAAGTCTCATGTTGACTACCTCGTGATCAATTATGTCATGTTCAGACTAGGTAGAGACTAGCATTGCGATTAATCCGCTTATGACTTATTTGATCCTCATACTATCATTCACCTTTTTTTTTCTTTAAGGTTTCCAAATCCCACATATCATCGCTGGTGATAACTTGGATATTCCTGTACTTAGTACGCTGCTCAAGGCAAGCGGCGGTCTCTATATTCGTCGCGAATGGGGTGGTGATACTCTGTACAAGACAGTTCTTGAAGAGTATATCAGTCTAATTTTCGAAAAAGGGCGTGAGTATACTACCAAGCGGTGACGGGAGAGGCTGGCCGGTTGACACACAGTATAGACGAACGTGCGAGAAAGGCGGGAACATGCAAGAAACGTTTTCATAATAACTTATGCAATCATGATTTGTCTTAGTCAATTTCCAATGTTTTGTGGAAGGGACTCGATCACGTTTAGGTATGGTTCTCTGTATCCTTCTACCATCGTATAAGAAGAAAGAGGTAAAGTCGTGTTACTTAAAAAAGAAAACTATCAATGTATTAGGCAAAGTGTTGGCGCCAAAGTTAGGTATTGTGAAAATGGTGCTGGAATCCTTTGCAAAAGGTCGATTTTCAGATTGTTGGGTCGTGCCAATGACGGCTTCTTATGACAAGATTATGGAAACGCAAAGGTAAGTGTTATGTGTATGTAACGTTACACATTTGTCTGGAGCAACAGAAGCACATCGATGACGGATCACACCACCTCTGACTTTCTTTACTTGTATGAAGCTATGCCGACGAACTTTTAGGCAATCCAAAGCAAAAAGAAAGCCTCTTGTAAGTCGGTTTGTATGCCAAAAATTTTTATTGAGTGTATAAATGACGGCTAAACAGCTCCCCTCGCTCTTGTTTTATCTAGAGGTGTCCTTGGAAGCGCATCTGTGCTTATGGAGAAGATGGGCCGTGTGGATGGTAATGCGTTACACAGTGCACTACAATTTTTATTTTGGGAGGGGCAAACACACTATAAAGCTATTAGTACTGACTGAGCATACATCATCTATAGTGCGTATCGGCAAGGCTTATTCTTTAAAGGGATGGATAGAAGAACAGACCAAGCTGCGTGGGTGAGTTGCATTAGCAAAAGCACCTTTCACTGCTTAACCAACTTTGCCTAACAACATCATCACATTGTAGTCCGCTCGATCTGCTCCACAATGACGAACAAAAAAGCGTTGTCCTGAAATCGTTTGGATATCGGTAAGCAACAATTCAAAATTTAACCATGGTGATTTCTGCGGAAAACTAACTACTATAATCAACTCAAATCATTATAGAGTGTTATCTGATATCGTAAGCGTCTTTAATTCTTTTTGCATTCTAACCCAAAGATGGATGATTTGTCTAAATAAGGGTATTTAATCATACCAGAATGCCATTACGCCTGTGATGCCATCGGCATTAGTCGGAACCGTAATTCTGACGCTGCGTGGCCGGGGCGCGGGTCGAAGCGAATTAATCCGAAGGGTGGATTGGTTGACTCAAATGATCAGTGCTAAGAATGGTGAAGTGGTGGCTATCCCTGGAATGTCTACTGACGATCTTGTGGATAGGTAAGGAAGTAAAAAAAATCAAAAAGTTGTCGAAAATGATATTGATATTTAGCTTAAATATTTTTACTAACTACTAAAAAAAAATAGAGCCATCGCTATCCACGATCAACTTATCGGTCAACGTCGCGAAAAGGATCTGCTAGAACCAACATTTTATGGCATCGATCGTTTCGAGCTGTCTTATTATCGAAATCAGGTCATCCACTTGTTTGTCGAAGAAGGTTAGCAGTTTGACTGATCCGTGATCGTAATAACGTGCGTTACAATATCTCTAAAGTTTAATTGTTTCTCTTTTTATGCTACACTATTATAGCCATCATCTGTGCATCCTTGTATACCATTATCAAGAAAGGCGGAGGTATATCGGATCAACGCATGCAATTTACTGAGTTGCTGGATGAGATTACGTTCTTGTCGAGTTTGCTCAAGATAGACATGATTTACAAGCCCGGCACGGTTGAAGATAATACGCGTCGTACACTACAATGGCTGGTGGAGAATGATGTGCTGTACTTTGATCAAGAAGGTTGGATTGGATTGTCCGAAACTGAACGAAGCATCGGACGTGAAAACTACGGTCAGCGTTTTTCCTCTAAATATGGTATGCAAACTATGCGAGGACACTTCAGTTGACATTACTGCTTTTCTGGGTAGATTTCTTATGTTTCTTGATTTGGCCATTCATCGAATCCTACTGGCTTGCATGCGTGAGCTTGTTTACCCTGACGCCACCTGTACGAGCCCAGCAAGATAAGCCAGTGTTTGTTGATAATAGCGCATTCATGAAGCGTACCCAGGCGCTAGGTAAAACACTTTACTACCAAGGAGATCTTGTAAGTAGCAAAGGACTTTGTGCAATTTGGAATTCTCGCGACGGATTCTAATTCTTTTGTTTTTTAGAGTTATTTGGAAGCTGTCAATAAGGAAACAGTTGCTCATGCATTTAATCGATACGAGCAACAAGGCATTCTGCTGCGCACACATTACAAACAGCCCAGGATTTGGTCCGAGGTGGCACTCGATGCAAAATACATACCCGAACGCTATAATAGCGTCTTGATAACAGAAGGTCGTTTATGGGGTTTGGCTGATCATATCGGCAAGTTTAGACGTGAAGGCAAAAACCGAAGAGATAATGCAGCAGGTATGAGTAAATATAATTTGTTCCTTTGGTTATGTGTTTTTTTTTCTATATTTTGCATATCTCATACTTACAGAAATAATGGAAAATAGTGAGCTCGCGTGTCTTGAAAATGGCACAGGATTTAGCAGAACAGAATAGCCAGTTGTCAGCAAACCAAAAGACTTTTTTGAAAATCGCCAGTAAATTGTAAATTATCATCGTTAAAGTATTACCCTATAGGAAGTACAATTTCAATCGAGCAACCAATATTACCACATCATCTTGACGAACATAGCATTTACATAATATCATAATAAACGATCCTGAACATGTTCTATAAACTAGCAAAATATCACTGTCCATAACATGGTGACAAGCTAGAAGTACGAAGAGTTAGTTTTACACAAAATATATCCTACATGAGCTATCTTGATCCCAATCTGGAATCAAGCAGATAAACAGCCCTTGTAAATTGATCATGCTACAAACGAATCAAGATGGGTCCGCAAAGAAGCAGTTAAGTAATTACAAGATATATTTCTACTTACAGGCGCTCTTGGTTGGTTAGTTAGCTGTTTCTCTCTCGCGGCCTTCAGCATGATTATTTACGGTAGTCCATCAGGGTATTTGACATATCAATGCCACTATCATAACATGTGATAACAATGGTCAACTACAGTACAACTTATATAGTGCGTGTGAATTACATGACTTTTACTGTACTCACCCGGGAGTCATCTTCCGATATTTCGTTACTTCGTTCTCCACCTGAGGTCAGCATGTTATTCTGTTTCTCTCTCTCCTTCTTGCCGTCACCATCGTCAACTTCTTCTTCTTATGCTCTCTGTGCTTAGCTCGTTAGCTCTCATACAAACCTGTCGACCTATATCTTCGCATTACACTTACTTTGTTTTTCGTCATCGCTATTTTCTCCCAAAACTGTATTAGTAACTCATTCGTATGGTTGTACTTTTGTACTGTACTTGTATGTAGCTCTTACATATTTTGACGAAGCAGTGGCCGCCGCCAAGGACTCGCCCTATTTATCTAATGATTGAGCCACAAAGTACGTATCGATTGGATTCCCACTATAAGAATGGAACTCTTACTTCTTGCTCCTGTGTCTGTCAATCTTGTTCCGATGCAGCTGTTTCAGTGGTACTTGTGGCTTACCACACTACTTTGAGATTGATTAGGACAACTCAACCCACTTCGCCGTCTTCGTAACTATATAATGCAGTAGAGAGAGCACCACACACACACGGATGAATTAATATAGGTAATACATAATCAGCCCTATATCAATAATCCCTCAAACATGGATCACGATCGAGAAAAACTCAGAACCAAACATTGTGTACACATTGTTCTATTCTCGAGTAAGTCAAAACTTCCTTTCGATCTAGACATCTGAGTTGAATGAATAGTACCTGTCAAAGAGTATGAATCAATTCCAACACAGACAAAGGTAACACTGCATCAAGGAACAACTGATTAAGGCAAAGATAACTCTTTACACTTGGAAGACATCATCGTGGCATCCGAGCTCCACTTTCCTCATGCTTCATAATCTTAGTGATTTCCAATATCCGGCATGTCCGCAATTCGTCCATCGATTCATCCAAACGGAAGTTTAGACAGCATCTCCAACAGTATATAAAGAGTTGTGGATATATCTAAAATTATCTCATATTTGACTCTCGCTGTATTTAATATTTCTTCTATCTTTTTTAAAACCGATCCCTTTTCTTTTACCTATCAACAACCCACAGATTTATCACAAAAAGCCAACAAACATGCGCATGATATTGGTGTGTGATGGATACATTGTCTTTTCAGCATGTATGGCAGCGGCACGAAACACATTTTTACTGCTATTATGCTGGGATTGACGTAAAAGATATGAGGTTGCTCGACCTATCATTCTATTATTGTCGAGCACACGTATAATCTTTGCTACTGTACTTAAAACGTCCCATCATACATTTTTAATTTACAGTACATCCTATTGCTATTGTCTATTTTATTTAAGTAGATGTATCACGTATAATACGTCCTAATAAAGAGCATGCAAAATTTGCATCTATAGCTAGTAATAACAGATTAAGTAATAGTAACAGTATGCAACAGACACGAAGTCATTTCTTTAAAGAGAATCAAAGGTCCTCCACAATATAAGATGGAGCACTAAGTTCATCTCCCTTTAAAGGATCATCACTTAGGAGATAAACATAGCGAATCTACTATGACTATATTTATAAATATCTATGAGACTCCTTGATGTTCTGCATCTGTACACGAAATGAAAAGTATTCTTTCAACCTGACTGGTTTGGCGTACTTCACTCATTAATAATGTATGATTTTGCATGGTTCGTGCTGAAGTCTGGCTCGTGGAACATACAAAATCCACAATTTGGAACGGACCAGCACCAGCCCTCGCCATATAAATGTTGCCCGAAACCATTCAATTCAGCCAAGCACATACTTTGCTGTATCATGCCCATTTTTGCCGAACGGAAGGCTCACGGTTTATACGCCCGTTCTTGGAGTGGGAAGCTAGCAAAGCAATCTGTTTACGTGATGTTGCGAGGTATATGCAGCAGACCTTTTGGTAGTACATAAGATGGCTGCAACAGCGTTAAGAAAGTTCAATTTGTGAATGAAGACAATCGAAAGAGTAATTGTCGAGGTAAGTAAGCGCTCGCACACTTAATAGCATCTGACACTATATGCCTAGTAGGGCAGTATACCTTTCGCTCATAAATGTTACTTTATCTTATTTCTTCTCGTGTCAAATAAAACGTCTATCTCATTATGGTCATTTTACGTATGTTTGACTGCAAATGTAAATACGCGTAATCCCCACTTTAAGCACCATAAAACTATTTGAACCATTGCGGTAGTTCACCATTACCATAGGTCAAGTATGTATGTCACTGATTTGATACATAGCAGTTTTAACCGTTGCTTATTAATAAGATCGTATGGTTTATTGATCCACTTACACATATATTACAAGGCGGGAGAATTAATGCAGTTTGTATGGCATAAAGGTGTTAAAAATGGATTTGGAAGGGTGTAATCAATGAAGTGAGAAAGTACTTTATGAAGTACGCGACTTTTTACTTTGCTCTATTGGTGTTGCAGCATTGTTATCGGTCAGAATTTGAGCTTTGTCAGACTCGCCACCTGTTTCTTTGAGTGTTCGTTTGCGTCGGATCGAGGTTGATGATAATACATTTACTTTTTCATTGCTTGGTGGATTACGGCGCTTGATGCTCAAGGTAGGCAGTACATTAATATGCTTTGGTTCTGTTGTTGGTGCTGCAGACGAAGAAGCTGCTGTGGTGGTTTCGCCAATTGTGGTAACAGGGCGTGCAGGCCCGTTGGTGTGGATCACCGTACACTCATCTAGGTCCATTGCCTTCCACTTTGCAATAAACTTTTCTGTGGACTTTTTGTTGCTCGCCACGTCCTCAAAGTTGAGGTTCATAAAGTGATTCCAAAGTAGAGTGTATCGATCCCGAGTAATTTCCTTGCAACCTTCCTTCTCCACCGTGTTGTCGCTCTCATCATCGAGTTGTACCACAAAAAATCCAGTAAGGTGATGTCCACATTCTTCAGTAATACCCAGTGTCGCCCAAAAGTCTTTAACAGTCATCTTGTCGTCATCATCATTGCCCTTGAATGACTTGAGTAGACGTGATTTTGCGTCGTCTTCAAATCGTGGCAGGACCTCGGCAGCCTCGGCTTCAGGATCATATGGGTAGCCGTATTTCCATAATGATGATGATGATGCGTCTTTCTTCCGTCCAATTTCGTAGTTAGCAGACTGCTCATCATCAATACTTGGAATACTCAACCATCCAACCCGCTGCTTTCTCATAACAGATGCTGATGCGTTATTGCTGTTCTTGCTTCCAGATGTCATCCACTTCCACCAAGATCCGAATAACCCGGACTTCGCTGTTGTTGTAGTAGTTGTATTCTTTGTTGGCTTTTGTTCTTGTTTCGTCTGCTCCAAGGACACTGTCAATAGTTTGTACCACCAACGAAGCAGATCGCGGTCTGGGAGCACCTGTTTATCATTGTTATTCGCCGACTGGTGGAAAAGGTACTGTCGTTGCGACCGAGCAAACACGTGGACGGTACAGGGCGACACGCTTTTAATATACGCTCGAACGACTTTGCTAACAATGCCCTTGAACGCGCCTGTTGTATCGACTTTACCGATATAAACAGTCTTTTCGATTACACCATTGGAATGCACAGTCTCGAACTCATCGGCTTCTATACCGCACACAAGTTGCTGTTGCTTTTCTCCTTGTTCTTGCCGTTGAAGATCTTGATGGTGTACATCATTGGCGCTGTCTGCCTCTTCTTTGATGCTGGTGGTGCCTGTAACCAAGATCAAGTGGTGTTGCGATGTCGTTTTCTCGTCGCGAAACAGCTGACATGGAGTAGGTTGGGTGCGAACGTCGTAAACATTGAATTGGGTACCGCTTGGAAGCGGTTCAAGCAGTAATTGTAATTGTTGCGAAAACGTTCTGGTAGGCATACGCGACGAGACAGAAAACAAGGTTTGACTTTCCTCACGTTACCGCGTTGGAAATTAAAAAAAATAGGAGCTGAGTTCTGGATACACTTGCGATATCTCGCTGCCAATGCTACTAGGTTTCTTGCCGTCATTAACGCATCTTTCAGTGATGTTTGATGGCCGCACTAACTTATCAGACGCTACTCTTGAACAAGTTGATGGCAGAAGCAGACACAAAAGGCCACCGATACACAACATTATCTTCTTAAGACTGGACGGTGTTCTCAGTTTTAAATACCGGATCCGTCCCTTATTGCAGCGTTGCTCCCACATCAAGTACTTGATATTATCGCCTTACTCACGATTCAACAACGTATCTCCAATCAACATCTATACAGCTTATGAGCTGTGCCCTCTATTACGCTACATTATGTGGGAATGCAGCGAACCAGTCATAGCAGACAGATGGATTTCACTATCAAGAAGCACGAGTGCTTATATTAAGTAACTGAAAGGAAAGCATCGAATGATGGCGAGGAAGGCAGTATGGCTTATGAACTGCTATTCAACGGCAAGGGACACGAGAGGATCATGCCGATAGTAGTAAAATCGCAGCCGATACTAGAACATTTACGTATAGTCGCCTGTGGTCTTTCTGATATTCATTGCTGGGATGTCTTGGCACGCAACCAATTCACACAGCTGACAAGTTTGGGGTTGACGGACATCACTGGTATGTCAAGCGAAGATTGGTCCCAGATTTTGCTCATGCAGCAACAAAATGAGATCTTGGAAGTTGGAAATCGCGCTGGAATAACGCAGTATCTGAACAGCATTATCGCAACCATCGGTACGCTGCAACGGCTCCGTATACTTTCCTTGCGAAATTTCCTTCACATGTTCAGCGAGAATAGCGAGAATCCTCTTTGCGATCTTACTCCGCTTCGACGTTTGCAACAGCTTGAAAAAATGCGTCTCACGAACATACCCATCGACAACCAAGGTCTAATGCAGTTGTGCGAACCATCACAGCACCCACTAGTCAGGAGATTAAGCTTGAACCCGCACATCACCGTACAGTAATAGTGTCGACGACTTTCTCACAGAGGCAGGATGGATTGTGTGGGCACAACGACTTGAGGAAACCAAAATACTGAATCTGGAACTGACAGCCGTGAAAGGTGTTACTGGTGCTGTCCTTGAGCATTTTAAACAAGTCGAAAGCTCGGTGCTATAGCGTGTTTCACGGATCTATAGTCTCACCAATGCAGGCATCAATGCTTTTCGTATCATTGAAGGATCTAGTAAAAAGATTGAAGTCGTGGGGTGTTCAGGATTATCTCGGACAGATGATCTTCGTATGCCATACAACATATATTTAATAATTGAGTACCATTGCGGTGATATTTGCAGTCTGGCTTGTACTTTTATTTATGATGAGCTGATAAACAATATTGGCAGCATGTTTAATTAATCAGTTTTCCAGGTTGGATTGTTGTGATATCTGTATAGTCAAGCATCGATTTGAAATGTTTACATATACACTTACTAGATCCAGGATTGATGGAAAGGCAGCACGATGTGGATCTGGTCGGCAGCGAGTCTGGTGCCCTTTCAAACCTGAGCGAAAGCACAGACTAATTTTTTTTGGTTACCCTATGCTTTCCTTATATATCAGAAATGCTTGTGTACCCTTTTTCGTCACAAAAGGGATCACCTCGCACTCTATATGATATAGTCTCTGTGACAGAAGAGAGAAAAAAAATGAAGTGAGAATATTCTTTCTTCCGTTGTTGAATAGAAAGACCATCGTCGCCTCCTCCCGTCTCCCTTTATGACCAAAAAAAAGCAGTCTGTATGCTGTATGTATGTGCATACGCGCGTTCCTGTTAATGTCGGGCAGTGCCCGGTACTTGGATTTCATTGGCCCAACGTGCTGCTGCAACTATACTCGAACCGCTTTGAGAGTTATACTACGCAGAGGACTTATTGGAGTCAAGTTTACTGACAAAGGTCAATATTTATGGTAAGCGGGAACATTATCATCTTCCACATGCTAGGATATATACGGGATCAAGAACATCTTTAAATATAGCGATTCCCGGAAAGTGTTCCTCACTATTTTCTGGGCACATTCTAACTACTACAGTACTTTGTCTATTTTAACTCTTTAACAAACTCATGAGCAATTGTTCAGTAAAGGAACCAAGTGTCTTAAGCTTGATGCTTACCAAACGAACAACAATACGATAGCAAGCTCAAAACGCCAGAGAAAAGGCAAGCCTAATACAAGACGCTGGAGTGCTACTGTGTGCTGTCAACCAAGATATAAACATCACCCTAGTAAGCTTCCTGGATCCCAACTCCGCTCAATGGATTGGATAGCATTGTAATACCCTGCAAATGCGGTAACGAATAAACAACAGCATTCAGGATGTCTAGATTATATAACTGAAGTCATCCTGGCAATAGCAACATAGAGAGCAAAAGCTAGTTCAGTCTTCCTTACTCTCAAAGAAAGAAAAAAAGAGATGCAAACGAATTATTGAAAAGTAATATGCAAAAGGCAACCATGACTGAATCAACCCACACTTGTGACAAGCATTTACTGACGTGAGTCAGCAGGAAGCAAAGGTAGTCTAGGAACGAGGAGCTCAGGAAGAGCGCAACACAGATCTTTCTTCTTTGGATAGTGACAAGTGATGCGTGTGTCAAACCTCGAACGTTCCAACAGCTTTCCCTTGAAACGAAAACTCCGTAGAGTGAAAGCGCATTGTTACGCAACGATTTGGCCAATTTATTGGTACTCAAAGTGCACAAAGGAATGGCGGGTGAACAAGGTGATCAATGGAGCAACGATTACGCGCAAAAGGGTCAAAAGATGTACAGTAGGAAGTCATCGTTTATGTGTTATTCTCCTGATCGTCCCAATGGATCTTGAAACGCTGCTCAAAAAAACGTAGAATCGCACAAAAACAAACGAACCGATTAACTTTATCAGCAGCAATGAAAATAATGAAGGGTGAGTCAGTTCACTAGCGGCAGCGTATACTTACCATGAGCGGACAGCTTATCTGCGGCAGCACATACATACTTGGATAGAGTATGAATTCGGAATGGATGGAGGGAGGTTACACGGCGTAGTTCAGAGAACTGTTGGCGGATGGCGAAAATTATAAAGCAACAGTAGACAAGCACGCTTCACAATAAAAGATAACGATCTTTGATACACTGCAGCGTTGAAGTCAAGTGTGTGTTGTATCTATTCCCGCACACCGCACATGCAGTCAAAAGATACTAGCAAAATGGAATCGTCTGTGGACTACGCTTTATACTGTTTATCTTGTTGGGTGAAATGGAAACTGGCTGCTGGGAGGATCGTGTCCTTGATATTTACTAAGCAACTGATGCCGTAGAATCTGTTAAGCTGTTTACCGTGTCAGACAATCCTATATTGCCATTTTATTGCACACAGAAAAGCATTTCTTCCGTAAATCTACATGCTCATTCACATTCGTGTCTTTGTTTTCGCTTGACACGGTGCCGTGCACGGACCCCCTCACAACCAAGCGGCGACAGCATCGGAGGTACAGCAGCCCATAGTGAGAGACACGTACCATTACCGCCGAAGCACGCTTGTCTACTTGACCATCAGGTACCACTCCTCCTTTCATTTCCTTTGGTGCTGTATCTTTTGTTATGCCATAGTAGGCAACCCACAAGTTAATACGCAACCCGTTATCTGGGCCAATGAGAATTCACGGGGATTTGAAGTCCCGAACGAGAAAAATGTCTATATAAAGCGAGCAATTTCGCCTTTCTTTTTTCTCTTCTCTTCAGTTCGTTTTGGTACAGCTTTGATCTGTAGTACAGATGCACTGCTCTGTGCCATGATCGGGTCATTGCTTGTGCTGGCTATTGTCATAATTCTTCTGATGATCGGCAGATTCAGTGGTCCGCGCCCTGAAGAAAATTTGCAATATATACCAGTGGGAATGTGGTCATATACTCCGGCAGCCGATCGTGAACCTTCGGGTGCATGTGATGCCAACGGTATATGTTGGGATAATTGAAACGAACTTTTTTTTTATTATTTATTACACACAAATAAGAAAATGATAAACAAAATAAAAAATATATTTTTCTTTTTCGCACTTTCCGCATAAACGTTTTACCGCTTTTGCCTCGCCTTTTTTTTATGTGCACGACAAGTTCATTTTTCTTTTTTCGCGAACAAAAAGCTAATTACTCCCCTCTCCATCCATTCACAGCTCCGTGCTAAACCAAAGCGGGGAACAATGACAGTGGCTCAGTAACACGATCACAACGCGCTTTATCACGCTTTGGCACTCTTTTTCACCTTCTGTGTTCGCCTAAATTGCCAAAGTAATTGTCAAGAAATAAAAATTGTTACAGGTGAAAGAGGAGATGCACTTTTTTGTCATTTTCCGAGACACGGCCGTGCTTTCTTGACAAGTATTGCTTTTAATCGCGAGAACACGTTGTCCAGGGTTTTGGGTGCACGTTGCTGCAATGGATCGCGTTTCTAAATTTGTGTTGAAGGTAAAGTGACCAACACTAGTCGTGAGAACTGCTCTTTAAGAGATAACAGGAAGAGCGAGAATGTAAAAGCCTGAGGCTGTGCATTTCTGAGAAAATTTTGGGTATTGCCTGGTTTCGAGACACACAGCTTTGGACAGGAGCAACGAGGGAACAAAAATTATCGCTTTTACTGGACTAGTCTGCTACCGGTCTGATGAGTGCAACGGACGACAAGTATATCAGAAATAACACCAGAACCAGTGTTATTATCTGGGGTTATAGCATAAATTATTTAAAACCCCTAAGTCTAGTGTAGTGGTACGTTTGCTTGTTCTTGCTTGTCATGAAACAATCTTCCGAAAATTCATGTACTTCATGTTTCAAAGCGAAACAGACACTCTTTATATGATTGAATAATTAGTATATTTCTAAGACATACGTAAGCCTACATATAATATAAGGCGATAGAATCTCATTCTATTGGCCTGCACATTAGTTTTCGTTTCATTCCATAAAATATTTCGTCGATCTATTTGATATACTATGTCAGCCAGACGTCCCTCACACCAGCAACAACGACGACGCCGCAGTAGACAAACAGCACAAAATCCTGGCAGCGACATACCAGCATCCGATTCAGAAAATGCTCAGCTTCATGATACTGGACACACAGACAATGATTCCTTAGTTTCCAGCATACCATCTTACCAAAGTAATCATGCAAGAAGACAGCGACGGCGATCAGCTCATTCTCGTAGGGAATCCCGAGCGGAGCCGCAGCAACAACAACCATCAGTCCGCCCTCCACCGGTTGACAGTCTCAATCAAAGCATTGAAGAAGTTGGTGATACGGCCGGTCAACTAGCCAATACAGCGGCGGATATAGATAAACCTCGAGTTCCACCTAGTGATTATGATGATGCATTGAAACTACGGTTGGATTTAAATTTAGATGCGGAAATAACACTCAAGGCTAAGTTACATGGCGATGTCACCCTCTCACTGCTGTAGTAGCATAGATTTCTTTTCTTTGATCATCACTGTACTTTAATTTTTTATAAAAAGATGTCAAAATATACAAAATTATGTTCCATGAAACGATCTATAGACAACGAGCTGTGGTGAGTGCTCACCAGACGAAAAAATGGGTGCTTTATATATCATTCGAAAACGAACAGAGATACATCTGATGTCATTATCGTCACTGTCCTGTTTTGGCTTTACAGTTTGATTAGTTGAATCTGGACTAAAATGGCACTGAAGTGCTTACTGGATTTTGCCTAAGCGGATGGTGCTTTTTTTAGGAGTAAGCGGATGGTGGTGTTAGTATCACGTTACAGTATATCGATCGTTCTTGTAACCTGTCAACGACATGGTTTCTACATCAACGGCATGTTCTCCAACAGTAAGAGCATGCTTCAATTGCCAATTGTTAGTAGAAACAAACAGTAGCAGCATATATATATGCTTATATAATATGATATAATGTTCCGCTATTTGCCACGACCACGGTATTAAACCTCGCAGCTCTTGATTTCAAAAATTACAACTATTACAATGATTTATATATAATACTAGCGGTCCTTCCTCGCTTCGCTCGGATGAATGAGCCCCTCCGCTTCGCTCCGTGTCATTCAACGGAAACGCGTCGCAGGGGGGTTCCCCCCTTGACCCCCAAGTGGGGGGCAAGCCCCCCAAACCCCCCTGTCAAGCGAGGTTGGATCAATGTTTTGGTATTAGATGCTAATTGTCTGTTTTCAAAAACAAAAGCAAGATCATTGTGCAGTGCGAAGTAGTCTATCATAGAAAGTCGTCAAAGTTGGATACTTAACTATCTCCAGTTTAGAATGCAATGCGAAAAGAAGTGTTGACAAAGATGATGTAGTGATATTGATTAAAAGAGAATGGGCGAGAAAAAAAGAGAACAGGCAATATATAAAAGAGAATAGGCAATATAAAAAAAGAGAATAGGCGATGTAGAAAAAGAGAATAGGCGATGTAGAAAAAGAGAATAGGCAATATAAAAAAAGAGAATAGGCAATATAAAAAAAGAGAATAGGCGATGTAGAAAAAGAGAATGGGCGATGTAAAAATAGAGTAGGTGACAAAAAGAATTAGAGAAGGACTTCATGGAAAACAACATTTCGGGTATTTTGGCCTTGCTGACCCGCGATACTTAAGTTCACGGGAACTAACTTGATTCTGATGGATGAAGGGGTGCGGACGCGTGATATGGCTACATGAAGTAGACCGTGGGTGAAAGGAGGTTTAGGCAAGTAGAGGCCAACAGTGTTGAAACCCTGTGCCTTATTGATGGTCATTGCAAATGCCAGGCGAACAGGGAATTGCGTGCGTTTAAATTGGATGGGCGAGCGTGTTTGCGATGGTGTGAGTGTTATGCGAGGGATTAAGACAATGTTGCCAGCATGAGGTCCAGTGGCTATTTCAGCTTCAAGTACATATCGCTGGAAAGAGCGTACAATCAGCCGTGTCCCATTGCAGAGACCACTTTGGGTGTGCAAGTTTCTCAAAAGCATGACTGGGCAACCGACTTTGAGTTTTAGCAAGTGTGGTGGGAGGTCGGATGGATTCATGGAATTGAGCAGCTCTAGTGGGTATGTGATTTGATCCTCTGGATCATCCACAGTATCTGCGCTCGGGAATTCGTGGATAGTGCCTGGGAAATGGTCGAGTATCAGATCGTTGATTGCTGAAACGTCGACATTTTTTGGAGTTAGAATGGAGCGACTGATGAGGTAATCGCGATCCACGTGTGGTGCGTCAAGGCTGCCGTAAATGGCTTCGATGAGCGATTTAAGCACTGCTGTACGATCTGCGAGCGCGACGCATTTGGTATCACTGGAAGGACCTATTACGATATACTTTACTGTGAGTACTACCGCTTAATAGTAAAAAACATGCAAAGTAGAAGAGAGGATACAATGTTGAGTACCTGGCAAAAGTCAACACCAAGGACCATAATTTTTCCACCAAATGGAACATCGGCAAGCGCGGGATCGTCATGTCTCATGATATTTGGATACGCTTGTACGTATACGTTGATACTTGTATTGATACTTGTGTCCAGCGTGTTTAAAGCGATGAAACTTCTCATATGATGAAGGACGTGAAGTGAGCTTCATCTCGTGTTAATGAAGGTTATCCCCTTAAGTCTTTCCTCGATGCGATACCCGTCTACTCACATAGTCATACATTCATGTAGAACGAATTTCCTGATCTGGAGGAGCCACACATTTCGGCGCGTCATAAACGTGAGAGAGCAATCTGATTGGATAGATTGAACTGGCTCAAATGCCGTGTTCATTACTACTATATAACCGTACGGCCGCAGCAATCATGGGGCTCTTCTTCCTCTTCGTCAACTTTTCTAAACCAAAGCTATTCAAGGTGAGTGTCATTGGAACGGATTAGAGGATCGGAGAGTGTATGTTTATGGTGGTGAGTGAGAAGAGTGTATGCAACCGGTTGTGAGTATACAGTGATTTCTTTAAGATCCGTTTATCTCACTTTCTTTCTTTTTTGACACAGACTTTCTTTCGTCTTAACCTGGTCCTTCTCCACTCAAAGCACAAATGCAAGAGTAAGTACAGTACAATATGGAAAGTGTGAAGTGTACTTTGAGGTTTTGCATGTGGATGTGATATACGAAAGAAGATATGAATTTCGACGTGTCTAAAGTTGTGTGTGTACAGCATACAGTCGCTAATGTTATCCTCCTTTCTTCTCTGCTACTACTATAGGATTCTGACTTTTTGAAATGGTTGGTTCGGTTTGTTGTTTGCATCCCACCCTTAAGCATAAGCAACAACTGTAAGTACGGTAGGGAATGAAATGTGAGGATGAGTTGGAGAGAAGTCGAGTGTCTGTTGGAGGTGCTGATGCCATGACGTGTCAAAAGTAGCTGCATATTTAGAACAGCCTGCTCATGATCTCTCTCTACTTCAGGTTTCGCTTTATGCTGGTTGGGTTAATTGTGTCCTGCGGACAAATAATAGATAGTAAGTATAAGCAAAAGGGGACTTGAACATTGGTATGATAGGTGAGTAGGATGACATGGGTGTTGGGGATGACGCGTCAAAGGTGTGCAGTGTGTACAGCAGCGTGACGGGAAAGGGCTCCTGACCATGACGTGTGCAGTATGGCAGTCTCTCAAAAAAAGTTTCTTTCTCTCCTCCCCTTTCTTCTCTTATTCTTTTTTTCAGAATTGGTCATCCCCTTCTTGCTTTTCCTCTCTCTAACTCAAGGCTCTCTTCCTCCAAGCCAAGGATGTCATAATAGTAAGTATCGCTGTGCTTGTGTTTGCCTTTGCGTGTTTGAAGAACCAGGAAGATGTCTGCCGTGACATGTCAAAAAGTGTATGCAGCTGCTCATAGATGTTTTCTTTTTTCTAATAGAGGATGGCTCTGCGGTGATCTGTTTGGACTTGGATTGGCTTAGACCCCATCTCTCTCTGTCTATAACTTTGCTGTAAAAGACAAAACAAATGTAAGTCAGCTTGGGATGGAGGAGGATGGTAATGCCGTGTAAAAAGTAAAGATAGCACAGTGGGTGCAGCCCTCTAATGATCTTTTCTTTTTCCAGCTAGAAGAAGTGTTTCTGTCTTGGCTGTGATTCTCTGCTCTGCTCTGGCCGTGTGCTCGGCTCTCCTGTGTCTCATCGTAGAAGTATGGGTAAGCATAGCACGATAGAATCTTGTATGTGTGTGGTTTAACAGTTTCCCATTAACTGTTCATCTCTTTTGTTTCTCGGAATGGCGATAGTGCACAGACATTTCCATGCTAGTCAAGATTGATGCTCCACTGTCATCCCGCTCCTAGAAGCCGACCTGTCAAGTAGTCCATCGGCAGTGGTCAAGATCTATCCATCCATCTGGACGGTGGCGTGTGCTTTTTGCTTTGACTTGGACCTGAGGAAGTCCTTAAAAGCCTCATATTCTTCTTTGCGTTCTTTGTATAATTTATCCCCCCCTCCCCTTCCCCTTGCTCTGACCCAGGAAGTCGTTAAAAGCGTCTATTGCGTTCTTTATATAGTTTATCCTTCTCCCCTCCCCTCCCCCTTTGCTTTTCTCTCGCAGTTCCTAGTAGCCTCTGTCTCGACCCATCTTCGGATGTTGCATCGTTTCACGCGAACGGCTGTTTTTTACTCAGGCAGCCTCCGGGCGTAAGTCCTGCTTCATTTTAAAATTCCCCGTGCCCACGGGTCAAAAGTGCGGCCGAGGTCCCCCATGAATTTGGGGAATGCTTTGCGTAAGTATTTTTCTGTCTGTGAATTTACATGGATGAGAGTTTCCTTTTTTGGATTTTTCAGCTAACTTTTAAAGATTTTAATAATAAAGAAGATGATAACGCGCAAGAAACAAGCACTTTAATTACAACGTGCAAGAAAAAGATAGTATATCTCGATTTAGACGCACAAGAGATTATCAATAATTCGTTTTCTATATAATATAATGAAGCCATGTGCACATAATATATTCTTTGTAGTATGTAAAGTTTATGAAGCAAAGATATATTGAAGACTTTGAAGATACATGATAGTAAGATGAAGCAAAGAAATATTAAAAGTACATCACAAAAGACGATAGAAAAGAAAAGGACGCATGAGTCATACAAGGTTTGTCTTTGGTGAGAAAAACTCGGGGTATACATACACAGAATAGGCTTTCTAGGGTAACATAGGTATTGCAAGTATTGATAGGAAAAAGGCAGTAACTTAGGCGTATCGGCCACCAAATAAATGCAAGAGACCTTTTCCTTGGACGCGAAGCATTAAATTTCCAATGACACCTGCACCGAGAGCAATGCAACCCAAGCACAAGAAAGCCTTATGAAAGTGAGGTTGAAACTGACGGAACATGAGATTGAAGACGATACCGCCAATGTTGCCGCCTGCACCAACCATACCCATGACCTTGCCGTTATTGAGAGGGTCTACGAATGGAACGATACCAAATGTTGAACCGCAGACAGCCTGAACGAAAAAGGAGAAGAAGATCATCAAAACGATCGCTGTTGGCATGTTTGTGTCTAATCCAAAGCTGAATCCGATAAGGAAGATGCCTTCGAGAGTCATCAGTACGAAATGGGCTAGGATCCGACCGGGGAGATGGAATCGGTGTGCGAAGTAATCGGAAAGAAGACCACCGCATACGCGCGAGAACAAGTTCATCAGACCAAAGACTGAGCCAATGTAAGCCGCTGTGGAAGGTGCCAAGTTATAATGTTCACGGAAGACATCGCCAATAACGTTATCAATGGCAAGTTCGGCACCCAATGAGCAAGCATAGTGGACTATCATAATAAGGACAGGCGGTTTGCAAAAGACTTTACCAAAAGTAAGCATAGTCTCGCCAAACGATTGGTTGCGCTTGACATCCACAATTGACTCGTCGTCGTTGGTTTTATCGCCCCTGATGTTGTTGACTTCCTCGGCTGTTCCAACAATGGCAACACCTATCTCCATTTTCTGATCCGGCGATTCGATCGATGTGATACTGCTGCTGCTGCTGTCGCAATATTGCCCCTCTGCTTCTTGACGGCGCAGTACGAGCCAATCACCATGGGGAGTATCGGTAGCAAAGAAATAGTTTATAATGGCAACCACGATACAAATACCAGCAGGAACAACAAAGGTCACGCGCCAGGCAATTGCGTTGCTTGTGTGTGCTGCAATGCCATCGTAAATGGCGGGCATTACAAGATATGTGATGCCTGCACCCATATTACCCCAACCGGCTGACAAGGAATTGGCTGTGCCGACGATAGATGGCGCAAACATTTGCGTGGTCCAAAATTGACATGGGACAAATGCACCTCCGAGAATACCTATAATTGCTCTATAGTACAAATCATAAATTTTCGCGTGAGCTTTTATTCTTGCAATGGGTCACAAAACTTTTTTAGAGAATAGCTTACCGAATGACAATAAGACCGGTACCACTGCTAATAAGGCCAGTCATGCCGCATGGAATTGCACCACAAACAAGAACAACGCACATCATTCGTCGCGGACCAAAGCGTTCACAAAGTGGACCGATAACCAGACGAGCTACGATTGTGATGGCAACAGATACCATGTTTGCATCATAGACTTGCACTTGGGGAATGTTCAGATCCTGGGCGATGTGATAGCCGATAGGAGGAATAGCGTACCACGACATGAACGCGACCAAGAACGAAAACCAAGCCTGTAACAACGACAGAGCACCGTAAACAATCTAGGTCAAATCTTTACATTTTTCTCCAAAGAGATGCCGTTTACATCTCATCTATACACATATTGATGCAGTGATGAGATACTTACAAAGTGCAAGGCTCTCATATGTGGAAACTGGAAGCTGTGTAGCCGAAAATTGGTGGCTTTACCATGCTGGTCGACTATAAGTTCTTTAGCAAAGAATTTCATTTCTGAATAATTCGAGAGGTCTGTGGTATAGTAGCGGACAAGGCAGATAGGGCAAGGCGAAACAAGATCAGAGTATTTGTGTGCTGGTATACAGTGGTTATAATCCAGCGTGCAGTGTGAAGGATTAAGTAAAAGATTATGTGGTCGTGTAAGCGTCGATGCAGTTCAACAGCAAAATAAAAGGCGATTATTTATATAAGGTTTTTTATGAAAAAAAAATGATATGCTCCAGCTAGAGTCGATAAGATAATGAGCAATATCACTACCGATAATCCGAGCAAAGTGAAATACGTAAACATAGCCAAGCGATTTCTGTCGGTCTTATCACATCGTGGAAAGTCACCTTTAGAAATCGGTAAGTTCCGTTAATAGCCCATTTAGGGATAAGAGGGGGTGAAGACAATGAGAAACACTTTGTTCTTTTGTTTGTTTGTTAGATAATGGCTATCTCTCAAAAAAAAAGCTATAGGTATAATATCCCCAAAGGACCGCTTTTGATAATGATAAGACAATCGCTGTCATCAGCAAGTCTCTTTTTCATTCCAATATGGCGGTTTAAAATGCCCAACCTCTTATGAGCAAGTGTTCAATGGACTACTATGTAAACATACTATGTTGGCCTTTAACCCCTTCTGACAGCTTTTTATCCGTGTTAAGCCTATACGTCTTGTTGTTCCTTAATATGTACACTAAAAATCCTTTAAAGAAATTGAGCCAGATTGTATTCTTTTTAGGAGGGGTAAGAAGCGGAAAGTTTGAAAACCTAAAAATGGAGATAATATACAATACACTGCTGATAACGAGTATTATCTATTATGATATGAAGAGTAGGGGGTGGGAGAGAAGCTGCAGCAGCAGCAGTAGTAGTAATCAAGCTCAAACTAACCGATCATCGCATGGCTCCTCAAAAAATCTCACCAATAGTGGTCTGCCTTTTTCTTCTGATAACGGAATCCAAGACCCAAATACTGCTGCTGCCGCCCATCCCCCATTACAGTAATCTTTTCCATAGATAGAACAGCTGAATGATAAACATACACTACTGATAAAGTATCAGCACAAGTACTTGGTGCCTAATTTACCAGTAGTAGTTTCTCTACATACTACTGTACCTCGGTGTGCGTGTTTCAGTTGTCATATGCCTATCCAATGCAAACGCATAAACTGCCTTTATCATCAACTCCCCTCCTCCGCTTAAGTGCTCTTTTGAAGATGCGCAGTTTCATATACTAATTCTTTAGTGTACGTATGAGGTCTAAGGTTAAAAAAGGACATTAAGAAGCAGTAGTACCCTTTTCATTGCTAGATACTGAATGCTTACTCCTACATAACAAAGAGAGTATATACTTTGCGTTTTACTTGTACGCGTGTGTGTGTGTTTTGAAAAGATAAAGATAACAAGGCTAGCAAAGGAGAGCGTTTTTCTTGTCAGTGAGAGATTTTTAGTGGATGATTTTAGATGTGACAATCTCGCTTTCCTCCTTGATTTTTTCGTGCCTTTGTGCAAAAGCAACCTTTTTTCTCCGATCCGACAAGTTTCATAATCTAATCCCATATCTCTGGGCTCTCTTATTATGCAAGGTGATAAGTTAGAAAAACAAAGCATAAAGTACGCACTTATCAATAATACTACCATATACCGAAAGTAGTTTTCCTAAAGCATTGCTCAGCATGGAAAGAACTGAGCAAAAGGTGGTTAGTGGTGCTTTTTAGATTTGTTTGTTACCATCTTTGTCTTATTGATCTGCACAATTCACATTTTATTAGCATACACAGATACGTAGATAAGATAAAAGACCTAGTTTTGTGCTACTTTGACCAATCATCAACATAATCATATTGTCACCCCTCCCGGTTTGCAAGCCTATTGCACTATGTAGCCAAAAGACCGATGATTCGAAACAAAAAAATAGCGTTATGTATTTCAAAATTCTCGTGGGAATACATGGCTAATCACTGCAAAAGGGTATTGTGTTTGTTGTTGTATAACTGGAAAATGTAAAGAACGTGTTGACATTCATCGCGGGATTGCTTTCGTTGTGATGTTGAGAGCAGAGAGATAACAAATATAGATTTGGCATTTTCTGTTCATCTCCGCTATAACCTGCAGGCTTCATCACAGATCTTCCATGTACTTCTCATTCCTTGCAGTCAACTACTAGCACATTTACGTATCTACAACTTAGTAGAAAGGTGTATTTTGCAATACTTATTTATTCATAGATTGAGCATGTTATTTTAAATCTATTGTCATTGAACCACTGCTTCTTCCGCTATATATCTATGATACATTGCGTTTGCGTTTAATAAAAACCACACTTATTGATGCTGCTTATGGTGGTTATGGAAACCTCAACTGTACCACCGCTGCATAATCATTATGTGTGTTAATTGTCGCTCACTAATTTACGTGTACTCTACTCAACGTACGCACAGGAACCTTAAAAGTGGCATTCAGATCATGATGCTTATCTATGCGATACAGTACAAATGGGTGTTTTCAAAAGAGCATATAGTCGAGAGTACTATATGATCATTCGTTTATATATGACCCGATTTAGTACTTGTGTATATGTATACTCGTAAGGATATATTAGCTCTAAATTCTTTGAGGTAGGAAATTCATTAAAACCTTCAAGATGTGTTAAAGTTGATTACATGGGTGCAATGAATTATGCGACGGCAGCGCGTATAACAGAAACATTGGCTGGTAACAACGATACCATATCATACCCAAAACTAATACTGTAAGCCGCGCCTTTTTTTTAACAAAATACAGTGTTAGATCATTTCGACTATTAAGAATTATTGGTCGCGTTCTTAGTGTTTTTAAAGAAACGAGGACAACTGCTAATTTTAATCTGTATACACAAGAATGGGCTCATCACCTTCTAATAAGCTGATTCGCGACTGGTTGAGGCAAGTTCGGGTCAGCTTGCGTGATTCATAACCTCATCGACTTCGATTTTTTTTCTCTCGAAAGAAAGCTTTTACAGCGTATAAAAAGAAATACAGTGATGGCTGCGGCGTCTTTGCGATTCACATTGGTTTATGCATGTTTTATCTATAGTATGTAAGTGATACTTTACATTTTTTTGCTCGGCATGTTTTACATGCTATGCCTACAGTTACATATATATATATATATAATATAGCGTACTCATTTTTCTACGTCGCGTAGCATTGTATTAGCCACCAATGCTACTATTTTTTATACTTATATGAGCACTACGACTACAAGAAAATTTCCTTCCGATGATAACAACATAAAAGGATTGCTCACACGCTTCGAATCTTTGAGGTACGACTTGTATTATTCCTGTTTCTATAAGCCCGGATCCAAATGTGTCACTAACAATTACGCGAAGCAGTTTTTCCTTGCTATCAAAATATCCTGAGGCACGTTTAAACTCGCATCGATTTTTGAGGAGGTCTAGCTGTATATGGAGAGGAAACAGCACCCGGCTCCTAGACAAAGGCGGTCAACGACTACAAAAAGTATAAAGCAAGAAAAATGTGTTCAGCCAGCCTGATGACAAAATAAAAACGAGGCAGACGGTGATTTATTTGTTAACCGCTACACGTATGTCATTTTCCATACTATTATAGTACAATATATAGGCTCTCCCTCCAGAATAAATGATCAGTATGGTCGTTGTTTTCATGCAAATTCATAGATTACGCATGACCAAACTTTATTTTTCATGATGTGCTCCCAACTTTATCCAGGATTAAAGCATGAGTGGCTGTTTTACTTGTGGCTACTCTCTTTGCCCATATAGAAAAACCGACATTGAGTGATCATGTTTCGAGTATACGTTAATGATCCTGTGGGCACGTATGGCAACGAAGAAATCCTGCTGTTGAATTTTATTACTAATTCGCAAACCATGGGTTACTTGTATAAATGAATGTGAATAACTTATAGATGATAGTGTCATCCTTTTATAAAGTGCACCTCATGTTTCATCATCAAAGTAAATATTTGGACGCTGGTTCGAAGAAAGAAGATATAAAACATCCTGTCCGGTGTAGCTGAAAGTTGTAGTGACTGATGTCCAGGACAGCAATTTACGGAGTTATTTTGAAGGGAAGAGAGGATGACCTGACACAGTACGTTAAATTGATTGTTGGAAAGTGTGTACAGACAGAGAAAGTAAAGCCTTTGTTCATTATCTTTTATGTTCTCAAACTACCATTAAATAAATCAACATAAAGAACAGAGAACAAATATAAAATACATATGATAATAATCCATCAACGGCCAATAATTTTAACTCACGAGAGATCATATTGAGAGTAGATACGGCTGAAAAGATCTTTTCAACATCTCTCTGGAATCTAAAAACCGGCAATGTTGCTTGCACATCACCATGCTCTTATAGCTAGCGTAAAATGCGTACACAGCTGTTCCTTCATCAATCTTTATTGATTCAGCAAAATGAAACTTTATGTGCTGATGATCTAAATACAGGTGTCAATGTAAATGCTACGTTTTAATGTAGGGCACATAATGCTGAAAAGCGATTCAGCATCATGTAGATGACCTATCCGTCACACATATAATGACCCCTTCTATTGTTTTTAAGACCCTACCAGTTTGTTGGTTTTTTATTTCTTTTTCGAGATTTCAGTGTCTACAAATGCTCAGCTGATCAATCGGCAATACACCCATGTGAGCAAACACTTAATCTTAATTAGGCAGTAGTATTGAAGGAAAGAAAGTGATGACCTGTCTGAGCCACCCTCCACAAATCACAAACAAAAAACATGGTCGTGGTATTGCTGTTGTTGTTGTTTCGTCACCTGGCTAAAAAAATCACTCTTCCCCGTTTAACCATCGTTTATATCGAGATAAGGATTTCCCCTATTTGTCTCAATTCCCATCATCGCCACCACATAGTACTAGATACTACCAACTAGGACTCAGCATTACAGAAAGCATCCGCTTGTGCTGCCGTAGGTAGAAGTGAGTATATTTTGTACGTATAAATGGAATGAAGTTATATGTAACACTAAGTCAGAAGTCAAATAAATTTATTGCCTTACGTTTTGGTCTGGAATATCTTCCACTGCTGGAGATAGGAAAAGTAGTATCACTGAAAATTATTGCCATCTTACTAGTATTACTACGTTTTTCTGTATAACACAAACTAATGCTGTTTCGACGAGGTCCAGCGTTTCTTTCGTTTCTTCTCTAGAAATTGCGGGTGTATCAGAGCGTGGGTGTTGGAAAATCGCGGAAATAATAAGTACGAAGCGGGGACATCTTACAGAATTGATAAAAAAGCACAGACAGTTACGACCTTTCAGTTAAGCAACAGAAAGAACTGGAGAAACGGCCCGCGTATTTCTTGTCTGGAACATCACGCTTGCTTTCATAACAATTGCTTCTTTTCAGTGTAATATGTTTCAAATTTGGATTGTCGAAGAAAGCGGGTGGAGTGTAATTAGCCTCAAACAAAAATTTCCAGCAATAAAGATGGATTGGGGTTACACGGGGAACTATTGAAGATCTGCTTTGTCCGTCCAACCAAGCTATACGCAAAATGGTAAAGTGCCCACGGTGCTTGTTTTTCTTTCTTTTTGCTCTCCCCATCAAAAAATCAGTAAACAGTTCGGTAGGGACCAAGAAAGAAAAAGCCTTACTTGACATATGTTTCTGTTGATAGTTCAAGGCCGTTTTGTAAGTGTCAATATGTTAAAACAAAAAAAGGTACCACACGGTGTCCACGTTGTTTAAGAATGGAAGAAGAAGATGAAGAGCGGGGCGGTGATTGTATAATATCGTTCAGCTTTTTATTCCCATCTCGTTTTCTAATAAAAAGGGCTAGGAGCCAAATATCAAATCCGTCCCACTAAGAACATTCTACTGCGAATAATTTCATTAGATAATCTTGACATGCGGATGTCCTTGACACAGCCCCGTGTAGATATACAAGAGGTGTATATATATATATATCATCCCTATACATGTTCTGGAGAAAAAGAAAACGACATTACGCTCATCTAAAATTCTTTTTTAGAAACTCGGGACCATCAAGCAAAGGACTAACAGACACCGCCGCATTTATAAAATACCTAGAACGCTTCTTTTTGCTTAATCTGGCAAAAGTACAGTATTACAAAAATTTGCATCTGACGGACCGAATGGACTCTTTCTCTCGTGACACACTTTCTCCCTCTCAGAAATAGACCATGGTCTACTGGGAGGTGTCGACTAAAAAAGAGATAGAGTCGGTGTATAAGAGATTAAGGACAGGAGCCCATAATGATATCATGATTTGCTACAAAAGTGTGACGAAATACCATGACATATGATACACACAAAGAGACGACGCACATGCACGGTATATGGTATAATGTTTCGAGTCAAGGCACTGTATACTTTCAATACGATGATAGCTAAGCAACAGCAGCAGTTACAGTAGCACTAGATCAATCAAACATTATTTGTAAGAAACGTCTCAATTTTCCTTAAAGAATCCGTTTTTCCTTTAGGTGACACTTTGGAGCGTACAGAGCGTCCTTATCCTTGCTTTTGTGTAATTCATCTATTTATGGCAAGTCACTTGAGAAAAATAGAAAAATTGTATATCCAGGCGAGCACAGAATTCTTTTATTCGCCAAATGAGGCAAAATTAGTCTGGTTCAGCCCACGGTCTACTCCCCCCCCAAAACACCTCTCTATTTTGTGATGACGCCTTCTTTATTCATGGCTTGTCACTCCACCCTACTAGCTCACAAGACTGTGTTATGGCTAATAGAGTGTAAAATTTCATTTCAAATCGTATACTGGGACAATGATAATAAGCCTCACATCCGCATTTCCCCTTATATAACCAATTTTTCCTCCTTTTCCATAAATCCTCAAAATTGCGTAACCCCGGGTACCGGATTGCTGCTAATTGACAAAGGGGAAAAGTCTACCATCTGGACCTTCTATATTTGTTGTTTTTTCCTTTCAACATTGTTTCGAAACGGTTAGTTGTTCTTGACGTTCTTCTCTTACCTTTTTATAACTAAAACAGATATGTGCGTGTTTTTTTCTTTCGGCAAAACGGGTTCGTTTTCATGTGTGTATGTGTTTCTAGCGGTTCCCCCCTTGTGATGTAAGATCTTGGCATATATATTTTTTTATGCTAGTAGGAAAGAGAGCCAAGGATATACTATTTTTTTTGACAGTATCTGTTTACGTGTATTTGCATAGATAGAAAACAATAAAGTTGTCTTGGCATCAAATTAAGGTTTCCATAACAACAAATTCAAGTATGTTTGTCGCTATAGTAATTGTATAAGGAATCTTTGCCATGGTGACAGATTGTTATAGATCATGAACTTGTAGGCACAACCAAGAAGTCCAAGAAACAGCCCGCGGATTTAAATGTAAAAAACTCTGGTCCGTGCGGTTTTTCAAAAAATGAAAACGAAAATGCGGCCCCTTCTTGTTTTAGTAAAATCACGTCAACCACGATTTTATATTAGAGAGTATGGAAACCCAGGTTAATACGGAAAATGTAATATGATAAGTGTGTGTGTGTGTACAAATGCTCATACAGAACGGTAAGAAAAAAAAGAAGACGAAGAAGAAAAAAAAAGGGGCTATAATAGCGCACAACTTACTATACCTACAGTGCTAATACTACTGGATAACGATGAGACGACTTAAAACGATATTGTAACACAGCTGAAAAAAAATTCCTTTAAAACTCTAAAAATACCATGGACGATTGTATGGCTCAAGTTGAAGGGAAAATAAAGTCGATTACTCAGAAACGTAGATGACTTTCCTGGTAAAGTACACGCTCCCCCTCTATCCTCTCAGGCCATCTTCTTCCGCCACTTTGTAATTATCTTAAATTGCCGCTTTCGCTCAGCCAAGCGGCGAAGAATAACAACAGCAACTCCATTGCCAATGTTTCAAATTATCAAAAAAAAGAGTCTAGAATAGAAAGCCATCATGTCTTGTGCGCACCATCATTATCTAAATCATAGTAACTGTAAAGAACGCCGATTAAGCACAAAGAAAAGAAGAGCACAATTCGCGTTGTCACTATTTCTTAGCTTTCTGTGCTATTATCTGCGCCTCGTATAAGTACCCTAAATGACAAGATCAGGCATGTGAAAATTGCCTTAAAAAGATGATTTACATCCTAAATTGTAAACACACAACTTGGGTTCGACGATGGAAACGCAAAACCTTCTTGCCCGGTTCATGTAAAGTTGTGCTTCCATATCTCTCTCTCACGTATGCTAGTAAAGTTACCATCTGCTGCTGCTACAGCACCGACATGAATAAAAACGCTGCAATAATTCATATTCCTACATACTTGCTGCAAAGAAGCTCATTAAGGGCCTAGCAGCTTTGACTACATTAGCCGAGATTCAATGGTGGTGATCCAAAAATAATAATGCATAAAAGAAAAAGTGTCAACAGTGCAAAAGGACTACACGTGGATGGGCTGGTTTGTTTATTGATTAAGCGCAAGAAATTATTTGTGGGGGGGGTGGTAGAGAGAGAAGGATTGGGGGGAAGGGGATACACTCACGCACACAACATCACGCACGCAATCCACACTTTACACAAAGCTTACACTTACAGTTTACAGTTCGAGAAGTACGAGAAGGGACGGAAACGGCACTTCAATTTGATTGGGTATGGAATCCTTCCTGTAGTTCTTTTTGGCTGTACTGGTCTGGAAAACTCATTTTCATCATATTTGGTATAAATCTTGCCTTTCTTTTTTTTTTATTCTTTGCCGTCTTTTACCTGGTTTATACGCATCTTTTCCTTTTCTTTATTCTTTTTTGTGTCTTTCTCCCCCTTTGCATCAACCTCTTCCCCCCCCCTAAAACACATGCAGCAACATAGTCAACAGCCAACATTACCGCCAATTTCACATTTGCTGCATCCACCGTCTCCGCCTGCACACCCGCAAAAGAATGGAGGCTTAAATGTAAATCTGACGCCTGCTTCGCCTGTGTCGCCGCGACCTTCACCATCCTTTCCGCCGTATCAACAACAACAACAACAACAACAGCAGCAGCAACCACAAGACAAGTTCTTAAGCCCTGGACCTCCATTGATCGATTGCCGTAAGACCTATTCATCTACGCGACAACACCCGCCTTCGCCCTTGTCACCTTCTCCGCCTTCACCATTGCCGGTACCACAAAGCAACATTGTATCGGCACTACCGCCGCTTCAGGGGAATGATCCACCAAGACCTCTGAGAACATATCAACCACCTCCTCCTCCTGCTCCTACTCCATCACAATCTTTTCAACACGACAAGATTGCACCATGGAGCTCTCATCACCATCAGAATCAACAACAACAGCAGCAGCAGCAACAACAACAACAACAACATCATCATCATCATCATCAATACCGTCATTCACCGCCTCCACCACCGCCACAAACACATTACTATCCTTTATCCACGACAACTACGCCTGTCACAGTACCAGCCCATGCACCACACTCATATCCACGATCACCAATACCATCTCCACACAACTCAACGACCGTAGCCCCTCCTGCTCATATTCCATCACCCACATCGTCCAGTTCCTCACTGCACAACACCAATGCAGCAGCAATAATAACAAGCTTAGCATCACCCCCGCCGCCACCTGAACCTGAACTTTCACATTCAAGAACAGTGTCTTCATCTTCAACGACATCAACCGCTAGCACCAGCAATGCTACAGCAACAAAAACAACCAAGGAAAAACCATCACCGCCACCATCAACGCAAATCTTGTTTACTGCGTCCGGTGAACCCATCCTGAAACGTCGCCGCGGTCGTCCTCCGAACGTGCGTGAGCCTGCTTGGCAGGGCGGGTTCACTTTTCTGCAACCCACTGTAAGTGTTATCACACTATGTGTTAAACATTCTCAATGACGATAGCATACTAATTGCGTTATCAACAATAGGTATGGACAGTGAATTCTAGTAACAATAACAATGGCGATACGTCTTCTTCTTCAGCAGCCGCTGCATCATCAACGACATCCTTGTCCTCGTCAATGACAAATGATGTCATGGATGGGTCCATGGCAGCATTCACAAGCTCAGACATGGATACCGTACTCCAGATGCCGAAAAAGAAACGCGGAAGAAAACCAAAGACTCATATCGCTGGCAATTCGTGCTTTGTGTGGAAAGAATTGTCCGCCACAAGATCGTCAAAGTCAACTGCCAAAGCGACTGTTACAGCCGCGGCTAATCGACGCGCCGCTGCTGCTGCCGCTGCCGCTGCCGCGAATGCCAGCACCAATGCGAGTGCAACTGACGCTGCATCTTCTAACCCCAACAATCGAATTTCCGGAATAACAACACCGGCATCGTCACCTGTGCTATCTTGTTCCTCTTCTATCACTTCCACTACCGCTGCTGCATCTGCTATGACAGTATCAACACCACCACCAGCAACAACCACCCGTGTTGAAGAAAAAGAAGATAGTACGACTACCAATGCTACCACGCCATCCAAAAATAACAATGCATCTTCATCATCATCACCATCGCCAACTACACCATCTTCACCAGCATCAGAATCATCTCCATCACCCCTGTCATCGTCAGAGCAACACAAAGAAAACAATATACCTGAAGAAGAACCACAAGAACAGGAGCAACTTGAACCCATGGATACTTCAGCCTAAAAGAATACCACCTCTCTTTCTCTCTTGTTTGTCATTTTGCATACATTCCCCTACTAACTCGATTTTTGTCTGTCATATATATACACTCAACCCATACATTTAGCAAACTCATATATCTCATTGTAAAACTACTCTCTCTTTCTTGTAACAACCCAAACAAGTACAGATATTTTCGCATCATTACGGTTATATAACAAGGAAAGCCAGATTATTGTATCATTATATGTATATCAATTAATATGTATTTCTATTAATATTACTATGTAAAGCATCGCATTACCATCACCCCTCCAGAAGTCACACACACACACACACACACTTATTATTAAAGCAACATGCATAATCAGATCTGTTTCGGTGTTTCGTGCAATGTGAGCTTATTTTGCTCTGCGCTGGGTTGTGATTGGCTTTGCTGTAAATGCGCAACCCAGTAACCTGGTCGGCTGCTTTGCTTTCAACCGGAAAACCCCGCATCCCGCCATCTTTCAAAAATAGAGTATGTTACGGCAAGCATTTCGACCATTGACAACGATCCGATCGTATACGACCGTCCCTCTATCCTATACCAAATACCCTGCGCCACAGCCTTCACAGAACGCACCGCTCATTGTGTGCCATGGTCTCTTTGGATCCAAACAAAACTGGCGATCCCTCGGTAAAAGCATGAGTGTCCGCCTTTCGCGCGATGTCTATACCCTTGTAAGAGTCACAGATATACAGTAGTACTAGAAACAAATAATCAAGTGCTCATATTCATTGAGTTTCTGTTTCCTCGCTCTCCTTTTTTTTTCCAGGACATGAGAAACCACGGCGAAAGTCCTCATGCTGAAGAACATACTTACGATGCCATGTCACACGATCTCGTTTCGTTTATGGAACATCATAAACTCGAGCAACCCATTCTGCTCGGTCATTCCATGTAAGTATATTCTGGAGCCGAAAAAAAACGTTTAAAGGAGAAGATGGAGGAACGCACGGGTGCTGGTAAAAAAAAATTGGGGGGTTTATTGCTCCCCCGAGGGGGTGTGTGTGGGGGATGCGCAAGAGGAGAGAAGTCTTACAAATTCTTTTTCTTATTTTTGAATGTGATACGGGGAACGACGATGGACGACTTGGCATCTCTTACGATTATTTTATATGTACGTGTAGGGGCGGTAAAGTAGTCATGACAACGGCGTTACAGCACCCTACACTTGTCAAGAAGCTTGTCGTTGTCGACATTGCCCCCTTCTCACTACCCTTATCCAGCGACTTTGGCATGTATATTGACGCCATGCGCAAGATCGATCAGGCCAATGTTAAGAAACAGAGCGAGGCGGATAAGATGTTGCAAGAGTTTGAGCCGGATATGGGCATTCGGATGTTCTTGTTGACCAACCTGAAGAAAAGCGCCAAGCAGGATGGACAGTATCATTTCCGGATCCCATATGATATTCTCGGCAAGGCTTTGGGCAATATGGGCGATTTCAGTAAGATGTCGGATCAGTTAAATTATTCGGGCCCAACACTGTTTATTGCTGGTGGTAAAAGCAGTTATTGTAAACCGCTCGCTCAGTATCCAGACAAGTTAAAGGCCATGTTTCCGGATTATCGATTGGATGTCGTAGAAGGCGCTGGTCATTGGGGTGAGTCGCAAAGAACAGGCGAAATGGGGCTTCTTACTAATTTATTAGTAGGGGTTGGATGAGTGTGTGAGCGGGAGAATTAAGATAAAAAAAAAAGCAGCGGAAAAAAGCAAGAGTTAGAGTTAACATTTGTCTTTGTAATTGGAATACTAGTGCATGCCGAAAAACCAGACGTGTTTATGAAATACGTTACGAACTTTGTAGGCCAAAAGGATTGAACCTTAGATTATTATTATTATTATTAAAGCAATATAATGTATTATTAGATATTTGGGTTTTTTTGCTCGTTCTTGTATTGTGCTGTAGTAGATGCATCATGTACAATGTTTATAGCACTTTGACTGTCAGTTAGAAGATGTAAAATAAAGGAGGATGATGTATGTAGTAAAAGATTCAGGAACAACACAAGCAAAATGATATCAGGAAGTCCTTTACGCGTCAGCAATAATAAGCATCCGCCCCTCCCCCATTTCCTATTCTCCTTGTATTCTTTTTTCTTCTTAGAGAAGCATATAATCCACTCTTCTAAGTTTTCTCATTCTCCCCGATTAACGGGTCACTTGAGTACTATGTTATAGAAAAGATGACATCCCCTTTTCGCTTTTACTCCATCTATCCCATAGATGATGAGTATCCACGTATTCATTTTAGGAGGACAAAGGGAGGAGAGGAAGAGAAAAATGGCGAGCGAAGGGGTAGAGTCATTAAGAGAGAGAGAGAGAGAGAGAGAGAGAGAGGGCCATCTAAGAAATTACAGTAGTCTATTTTTCTGCTCTTTTAAAAATAGGCGTCATCATGATTATGTACGCCTCCTGGACCTTACTTATGCATGTGCGAGTATTTTTCCTGGACCACAGGATTTGTGATCCGATGCTATAAAGTGCAGTATATACTGCTATCGAAACGACAGACCTAGCGCTCCTACAGATACTTCATAAATTAAAAGCAACACCCATGTAACTTTATAAGATTAAATGCATCTACTGTATATGTGTGCTTGTATCAACAGACATTAGCAGCAGCTAATAATAAGGGTTCCTTTTTTTCTGTTTTTGAATTGTAGGAGAACAACGAGAGAAAGAAAAAGAGAGAGAAAATGGCTTTAAGATATATACTATATACTTTATGTATTATGCAGGGTGCACTCAAACATAAACTAGATAACAATTACTACTGCTAACTGGAATGTTCATATTCCTTTACTTTTGTTGAAAGAGGCTGATAGAGAAAGAGGGAGAGAAAGGGAGACAAACAAGCTGAGAACGTTTACTTTTTTTTAATCATGAGAAGAATAGTAAGATGTAGGCGGGTAACGACTAGGAAGAGTGGTATCAGAAGGAGAATGTTGACGGTGAGGATAATCCCGGCTAGGGGAATTTCGATGATGCTGATACGGTGATCGCTGCTGGTGCTGTGGGTTGTGTCGAAGTTGTAAAGAAGAAGAAGAAGAATGGTGACGATGATTATGTGTACCGGGTATAGGACGATTGACTGCATCAATGACAGCTTCAGGATTGACAGGACATGTCTTGTGAGCCAATAACATGGATTTCAGCTCAATGAGTTGTTCGCGCAATGAATTGTTTTGCATTTGCAGCTGCTCGTTGTCGCTAGAGAGGTATTCGACCTTGGCTTGAAGGTTTTGGAGCCACTGTTTCTTGCGTTGTCGACACTTCAATGCCGCTGATAAAAGAACAAGGAACATGTGATATTCAGTATGATAAGTTAAGATAGGAAAAGTGTTTCAAGTTATTACATACCTTGTCTATTTCGTTCTAAGAAGCTTTTACGTTTCTCTTGATCATCCATCATGCTGCTACTAGATTGTGCTCTGCGCTTCACTGCAGGTCGTAGCAGTTGCTGTTGTTGTTCTTCTTCTTCATCGTCATCATTTCCAAGCATGTCGGGCATTGGTTCGGTCAGCGAACGTTTCACAGACGGACTTTGTTGGTACCGTGCACGGTTCACAGCAGCAGTCTCATTGTTACATTTTACAAATCCTATACCATTTCCATATGAGTATTTTTCTTGTTTTACTCTGAATAATATTTTCTTACCTGAGATGGACGAATTAAAAGTAGAAGCAGCAGTAGTATTGGTGGTAGTAGTAGATATCGATGATCGTTTATTCATTGCAGCACCAGCTGGGCCGAGCAACATGGATGGAGACAAGGGCCCAGCCCGTAAAGAATCCCACATGGCCGTGGTACGGATGCCGGGACTTTCGATCGACGAGACTGGCGGCAATACCGGCTTTGAGAAGCTTTGCTCAAAAGGATTGGGCTCTTCTTCGAGCTTTGTTGTACGTGGAAGTGTAGCATAAGTGGGCGGTAAGGACGATGGGGAAGGGTTCCCCGAGGAAGAAGAAGAAGAAGAAGTAGTAGTCGTCGTCGAGGAGCTCGTAAGTGAAGGACATCCTAATACAAAATAGAAAAATTTTTCGACTTTTGGCGTTAACAAAATGGTATACAGTAGCACATGAGAATAGAGAGCTACGAGTTCTGTAATTACGTGTCGAACCTGTTGTCAGGCCATGACCCGATGGCGATGTATGAGTAGCATCAAAGTAACTGCTGCTATTGTTGGAGTGATTACTGCTGTTGGCTGTGTTTGAACTTGCAGCAAGCATTTCTTGAAAGAAGAAGGAAAGAGTGAAAGAAAGAAAGTAGAGAGGAAAGGGAAAGAGAGGAAGGTGGTGGATGTGCCCTTTAGTGCCATGGAAGCTCCGCACAGCATAGCAACATACTTGGTCAGTAAGGGCTGTTATAGTGTGTATGTGTCACCAAAAAACACCTTGTTCCACCCGCACACATCCTGAATCAACAACAGCAGGTCGCGCAACACGCGTGGCATGAACATTAAAGAAGCAGCGACAAAATTTCCGCAAGTGTGGACAACCCCTCACCACCTCCTCCTCCTCCTCCCAACCCCCTCCCTTCTCGAATCTTTTCCAGCAGCTCCTTTAAGAGCTCTTGTTTCTCCTCTTCTCTCTCTCTCTCTCTCTCCTTCACTTTCATTTTTATATTCTCTCATTCCGAATAATACCTTCAACCTACCCTCCCCCGCACCCCCAAATGTATCTTCCGGGCTCGGGCAAAGTATAGAAAAAAAAGAGGAACAGGGAGATTTTTTCAATCATGTTTAATGCCGAAACTTTGGATACGTTCTGCTTCCGTTGGCCAGCGTTCCACTGCTATGTTTTGGTGAGAGTGCTAGATCGCCATCAGAATACCATTGCCTTGCTCCCGCTTCGTTCCCGTCGTGCGTTTCTGTATTTCCAACATGCCCCACTGCCACACCAGCCAACCAACTTTGCTATCCCTGCTGCTAAACGGCGAAAGCCATCTCGAATCCAGGCCATGTTTCATCCGTGGAAGCATACACTCGCCTTGTCTGAGCAATCTTCACTGCATAGTTCTGACAGCAACAGCAACAGCAATAGCAATAGCAATAGCAGTAGTAGTAGTAGTAGTAGAAGCATCAGTAGCAGTTACAGTAAAGCTGAAGATGATGAAGACAGTAGCTACGTCGACGACGATCTAAAGGAGCAAAAGATACAAGAAAAATTGCGACAACGACAGCGGCATGAACAACAACAAGACAACGAAGAAGAAGACGGGGAGGAGGAGGAACCAGAAGTAACGCTGGCTAACGTGTTGGAACATGTGCAAGATCACGATGGCTGGATCCAAGCGCCATGTACAGTCAAACCGAGTGCCAAGGATCCTAATGCCGTCACTTTGGAGACATTAAACAATAAAACGCAGATTGTTTTGGTAGCACGATCCACAGTGGAACGTCGAATGTTTATCAATCTGGTGCTCCTGTCAATGTCGAAATTAAGCTGCCGTCGTCGTCGTGATCCCACTGACGGTCCTACTACTACTGCTGCTGGAACTCATACTATGTAAGTACCCCGCTCGTGCAAACAGAAAGAGAGAGCGAGATGGAGGTGCGTGTGTATGTATTTCTTTGAGGGGGGGTGAAACACAGAAAGAAGACGATTGTGGGCACAAGAAATACAGAAAAACAAGTTTTATTGACACACGGACACACACTACTGCAACCACTAGATCGACGCACGAGTTGGTGCAGAGATTAGAGAAACAGTGTCAACAAGAATCCGCAGACGTGTTACAGTTGGCACGTCAGGTTACACGTGCCAATAAGGAGATTGTGTCGTACACGGATCAGTTGAACAAGTTGGATCGATCGTCGATGCAATTGACGTCCTCAATACAAGAGTTTCAATCGATGGGCGAACAGGCCTATTGCGTGCTCCAGGCTATACAGGAGCAACTCGAGATCGTCCAACAAGACTTTTATGCGTTCAGACATCGCATGCATCGCTTGGATCTGTGGATGACTGCGAATCCGGACGTTGTGGGTGCTGCACGGTTAAGGCTCATGTTGGATCATGTGCATGTTTCGCCTGGTCGTTATTGGCTTTTGTACCTGAGTAAGTTATATTAAATAACTTTTTCCTTTAGCACTGATATCACTCACGTAAACTTTTTCTATCTGTAGTTGCGGTGACCGTTGTTGCAGTGGCCATTGTTGCTTTCTGGGAACAGTTGTAGATAAAGAAAATGTTCAAAATGCAGAGTCTTTTTTTATTTTTGATAATTATGCAGAATGGTGTGCGAGTGCGTGAGTGAGTGTAGTTCAAGAGAAAATGTAGGAATGAAACAAGAGAATAGTTAAACAGCGATAAGAGATAAGAGAGAGTGGGAGAGAGCGAGGAGGTTTGGAAGGGCAGATGACAATAAGATAGTAACAGGGAATGGCGAGAATGATGTATTAGAGTGGAATTGTTTTAACCGCTGCAGCTGACGCAAGCATCCTTGTTCTCAAGAGAGCAGACCATGTCAGCCTCGTTATCGTTCTCTTGAGCCTTTCTATCGCGGTATTCCTTCAATGACAACTGATCGACAGTGAACTTGATGGCGTCGACTGCAGGGCGCGTGCGCAAATAGTACATGCCAGTCTTTAATCCCTTCTTCCAACCATAAAAGTGCATACTCGTCAACTTGCCAAAGTTGGGCTCGCCAATGAAAATGTTCAAACTCTGGCTCTGGTCAATGAAAGCACCACGATCAGCAGCCATATCGATGATGGTACGCTGGCGCAGCTCCCAGACGGTCTTGTAAAGCGCCTTTAGATGTTCAGGAATATGAGGAATGCGTTGAATGGATCCACTATCGGACATGATCATGTTTTTGACATCGTCGTCCCACAGACCAAGCTCGACCAGATCCTTGAGCAGCCATGGATTGACAATTTGGAATTCACCGGCAAGGACACGACGGGTGTAGAGGTTAGATGTGTAAGGTTCAAAGCATTCGTTGTAACCCAAGATCTGGGACGTGGAAGCCGTTGGCATGGGTGCAACCAACAATGAGTTGCGAAGACCGTGCTTGGCGATCTTTTCCTTCAAGCCAGCCCAGTCCCACAGATCGGTAGGCGTCACTCCCCAGAAATCGTATTGCAATGTGCCCTTGGATGCAGGACTGCCCTCGTAAGTTTCGTATGTGCCTTGTTCAACAGCTAGTTCGCATGAAGCTTCTAACGCAGCATGATAGATGGTTTCAAAGATCTGTAAGTTCAATTTTTGGGCTTCAGGGGAATCGAATGGATAGCGCATCAGCATGAATGCATCGGCAAGACCCTGGACACCCAGGCCAATAGGTCGGTGGCGCATGTTGGATCGCTTTGCTTCAGGTACAGGGTAGTAGTTGACGTCAATGATCTTGTTAAGGTTTCGTGCAATCACCTTGGTGACGTCGTGCAACTTTTGGAAATCGTAACGCTCACGGTTGACAACAAAGCTTGGCAAAGCAATACTGGCCAAGTTACACACAGCAACCTCATCAGGGCTCGAGTATTCGACAATTTCGGTACACAGGTTGCTGCACTTGATGGTACCGAGGTTCTGTTGGTTGGATTTGCGGTTGCATGCATCCTTGTACAGCATGAACGGACCACCGGTTTCAGTCTGGGCTTCCAAAATGGCGTACCATAACTTTTGAGCCTTGATAGTCTTGCGTGCACGGCCTTCGCTTTCATATTTGTGATATAATTCCTAATGAGAAAAAGACTTTAATAAGAACAGCCCATTCATCTGGTTTATCATCAAGTAGCCCACACTATAATGACAATTACCTCGAACTTTTCACCCCAGACTTCATGTAAGCCAGGAGCTTCACTAGGACAGAACAGCGACCAATCACCGTTGTCTTCGACACGCTGCATGAACAGATCGGGGATCCATAAGGCATAGAACAAATCTCTGGCACGGTTCTCTTCCTTGCCGGTATTCTTACGCAAATCCAAGAAATCAAACACATCGGGGTGCCAGGGTTCCAAATAGATAGCAAAGGCACCTGGACGCTTGTTACCGCCCTGATCGACATAACGTGCTGTATTGTTGTAAACGCGCAACATGGGGACGATACCGTTGGAGTAACCGTTGGTACCGGCAATGTAAGATCCGGAGGCACGGATCTGATGAATGTTCAAGCCAATACCACCGGCGGTCTTGGAAATTTGGGAGCAGATCTTCAAGGTTTCGTAGATACCTTCGATCGAGTCTTCCTTCATGGTCAACAAGAAACACGAGGACAGTTGGGGACGAGGGGTACCAGCATTGAACAAGGTAGGACTAGCGTGGGTGAAATGACGGGCCGACATCAAGTTGTACGTTTCAATGACAGCCTCAATGTCTTCACCATGGATACCGACAGCGACACGCATCAACATGTGTTGTGGTCGTTCGGCAATCTTGCCATTGATTTTGAGCAAATAAGAGCGCTCCAGGGTCTTGAAACCGAAAAAGTTGTAGCCATAGTCACGGTCATAGATGATGGCCGAGTTGAGTCGTTCCGAGTTGTCCATGATGATCTTGTGTGTCTTTTCCGAAATCATGGGCGAGTGCTTGTCGGTCTTGGGGTTGATGTAGGTGAACAAGTCATCGATCACTTGCGAAAACACCTTTTTGGTTTCCTTGTGCAGGTTGGAAATCGCGATACGGGCTGCCAGTACGGCATAGTCTGGATGTCGGGTGGTCATGTAGGCGCATGTCTCGGCAGCCAAGTTGTCCAGCTCGACGGTCGTGACGCCTTGATAGACGCCCGAAATCACCTTTTGTGTAATTGAAATGGGGTCGACATAGTCCATGTTTAGGCCATAGCATAGCTTGTTGATTCTGGCTGTGATCTGTTTAATTCATCCACTTTGTTAGTTGTTATTCGGAGTATTAAAGTTTGGGGGAGAAGAGGAAAACGCGCACGCACGACACGTAACCGGCGCGTAAAAAAACGCGCAAAGCGCGAGAAAAGGGGGAGAAAAGCGGAACTGAACTTTTTTTTCAGCTTTTTCTTTTTTATCCTTTTTCCAGAACGCGAAAGCTCGCGCGCTTAGAGCAACATAATCTTAGATAGTTTACCTTATCGAACGCAACGCGTTCATGACGGTTGTCTATCCAGAGCAACAGAAAGAGAGAAAGAGATTAGTCTCTATGTTCGTACACAAAACTTGACATATAGCTTATGTACCTCTTTTAATGACAAACATAAGTGTGGGTTTACGTTGGTGTTGTTGTTGGATGGTATCTGCCTGCATATTGAGTAGAGAGGATGATAGGAAAAGATGGTATACGGTTTATAGAGAATAGTCAGAGATAAACGGGCTGTATATGTATATTGTATGCGCTTGTATGCTCGTTTTTCTGGTATGTATGTTATAAACAACTAACCACAGTTGGGCGAACGACTTGCGGAAAGAAAGAGAGAAAAGGAGAAAGAAAAAGACCAGAAACAGGGCGCCAGACGAATTTAAAGACACAAAGACATCGGAGTGAGACCGAGCCAGTCATCCATCACGTAACTCAAACAGCTCGCCGCGCAGCAGCACGCACATAAGCAGACGGCTGACAAATACGCATACACCCTTGTTCCACCCAGGGAAAGGGCGGGGAGATCGGGAATGATTGACAGCAACATGTTTCTATACACCTGCAATTGGTGTACTCCTGTGATTCTCATTTCTTTCCACTGTCCTGTTACGTCTATATGACGAGGAACACCATTTGCAAAGTTGATCGTGATCGTCCAGCAATGCCACTCTTAAGAAAATTGAAAAGAAGCCTCTGCTTCGAATGCAGCGGGATTTATGTATACGCTCATCACAACGTATGTTCTTTAGGCGACTCGTGCTCGGATATCTTCATAGGTTACAATGCGTTTCGTTCAACTATTACTGTTTGCACTTATATGACTGAGTATCAGGTTGGTAAGTATATCAAAGAATAAATGATAATGGCAATGAGAGCAGTGTTTACTGTACTTAACCCTTATCGATAATGACAGTGCTACATCATATATCTTTCGCCTCAGTGCGATGCAATCCAGTCAACATACTTCTTCAAGGAATCACCGTTTTTTGTGTATTGGGACCCTGCTAGCAAGCCATGCTTGTCAGTTTCTTTACACACGTAATTGACTCTACTCTAAATGAAGCAGCCTTCCAATAGTATGGACATTGTTTTCATTACCTACTTCATTACCTACGACCCATTTGCGAGATTAGCTTGTCCTCATGTGTCTTTTGACGGTCGCAAAACTGTCCTTGAAAACGTTGGGTTCCCTTCTACATCGGAAAACACAAACTGACCACCGATGTATTATCCACTTGTTATTTTCATATTTTCACATCACGGCATAATTGAAAAGTGGATTGTTCGGTTCGCTTCCACCAATTTGTATTTTTTAGGTGAAACACTGTGATTGTCACGAACAATACAATCTTATATTTTATGAGATCTCGGAATAAAGTCGTCTCTTCTCTTATGTATTTTCAAAGAGGAATTTAGATTACTTTCTATCCCCTTAGGGAGTCGACAGAATGGCGTCAAAGTCGTCGGCAGAATAGAAATAGAGAACTAATATGTCAGGTCAAAAAAACATTTGCGAATATACATATTGTCAACAGGACGAACTATGGCTATATCCTTATGCATGAATTAAACTCGAAAGGCAGTTTACGCTTATACAAATATAGTAAGGAACATATATTATCCGTATATGTATAGCATGTACGTAAGATAACGGTATCTCAATAAATCATCTTCTACACAAAAAAAAAATGTACGTAAGATCATGCAGAGAACTGGTAAGCTGAATGATTGATGCATCGTTGACAGTCTTGTGGGCATGATGATGGCCAGATAGCTTCATTAAAACGATCTCCCAAGCTATCACCCGGCATCAAATGTGCCTGTTTCAAGTACCCTATATACTTCGAGAAGCGCTCTCTCTACCCAGCATAGGGGAATATACAGAAAGATGGATATATCCTCTGCGACATCTCGTACTCAGCGATACGATAGTAGAAACTAGTGTCTATAATAAGCTTCTTGGGCGATGCTTTAAACATCGTCAACAATCGCATCAACTCCTGGACATATTCAGCGAGCATTTCACCGCTGCTCCTTATAAGCTAATTTGGAGACAAAGCGTTTGATCGACGCCGTCATGTAAGACGGTGGTTATTTTTCACCGGAGCGTTGACGCTTTTATATATGTAAATGAGTAGGTATCACTTATTTATTATACCTAGAAAGAAGAAAGGGTATGTTGGTCAATCTCAAAAAACACGAAACTGAATTTATAAAAGGGCTTATACAACATTCCATGATATTTCTTGACACTACAGTCGAGACCAGTACTATATGACTCGTTAAACGTCATCCTTCGCTACCACAAGCTAGGGAAAGTATACCAGTGCTTACTTTTGCAGAAACCATCTTGTATATATATTGCAATTAGATATACATATACAGCAAACAGCAGCCTGGACTTGGGTCACATTAACAATGATAATGTATCAAGATGTCATGTCTTGATAGAAGAAGATGAAAGGTAAACAGAAAGTACACCTTCTTGTTTATGATACGGGACTAAGGTGAACATATAATAAGTTGCACCTTTGCTGATTAAATTACATAGAATAAATACTCATTGCAATAGGGCAAGGGTGACGTCGCCATGGATTCTAGCCTTGAGATTAATTTCGGCATCCAGGTTTAAATCCAAACGTAGTTTCAAGGTATTATCTTCATCGTTAGAACCTTGTTTCTGCTGTTGATTTTGTTGTGACACATCTGCTCCCGCTGGATTGGCAGTACCCACCGCGCCTTGTGAATTTTCTCCTCCTCGACTAAGCTGGTGACCTTCTGGTGGCGTATACGGTTTTTGTCGTTGTTGTGCAGGAGTAGGTGTTGCGGCAGATTCTTGTCGCGCAGCTGATCTTTGAGCACGAAATGCCCCTCGACTTCTTCCTCTTTGTCTATTACGGCTATCCGCAGACATGTCAGAGACCATAGATTCTTGTTCTCCTTCATTATTGCTGCTATTGTAATCATCGTCATCATCGTAATTGCGTTGTTGTTGTCCTTTATTGGACGTCAAGTCCTCGCTGCGGCGCTGCGGATCTGGTTTTCTACCGCCCTCTTGTTCTCGTTGGCGTGATCGATTTCTGCTTGGTGCGGCTGACATAATTGTTGCTACGGTTGACTATCAGAGTGGGTGCTGTACGGTGCTGTACGTAATAATGCAAAGAAAAAGGTTTACATAAATTTCGGTGAAGAAAGACACTTTCTAAATTTATATAACATGCTGAGCTACGCAACAAAGCATGAAAAACAACACTAAAGTTCCTTCCTTGTTTGTTTAATGATGATGCTGTAATATTTAGACCAGTGGATATACCAGAGGATGACGATATGCTATAATGAAAACTGTGTTTGTTTGCACTCGTCAAGATCAGGTGTATGCAAAACCAAATCATTTAGACCTTTTACTTTTTGGTCGAATTAATATCGCAGGTCATCAAAATGTCGATTCTAAATCCTCTATAAAAAGCACACTCATATATACATTAGCACACAGTCAAGCAAGAGTTAACATTATCGTCACGGTAGCATTTATGCATGAGAAAAAAATTGTCAGCTGTATAAGTAGACACAGAGCTATTTTTCGTATGCGTTCTGGACCTATAAAAGTAAAATAATGATCTACACGATCGTGATTCAATCCCATGCTGAAGTTTGTGTGCTGATGATATGATGTGTGAACTATATTCAGACGATTTCAGCGTGCAATGAATTATGGCCGCGGAAGCTGAAGGAAAAATTAGAACTTTGACGAAGAATCGACGAGGGTAATAAATGAAGAAACCGTTAGTGAAAAGTACTATAGAATACCGTAAAAAAGCAATTATTCACACAGTTACTATATTCTATTGGCAAGTGAAATGACGACAGTCATTCGTAATCACATAAACGGAAGTAAACACTAGATACTGACATTTAATTGTTGCTTCTTTGCCACATGGGATACAAATGGATGCATGATCACTACAATAAGACCGAGACACTTGATATATATATGTGACACCTTTCTGTTCTTTAAACACTTTCATTTTTGGTTAAAATAATCAAAAGGCTTTCAGACTCTATACTAAAGCATGAAAGAATTCTATGAGACAAAGGTTAGTGATTTTACTAGTTATGGCTTAAGAGATGACAGTAGCAAAGCACACTCGGCAGATTCATGTTTTATATAGAGTCGATGACCGAACTCGACACTACACGAACACCCAACGCAAGAAGTCAATAATAAACGTAAGTGAGTATATGAGAACATTTTAAAGCCGCCGCTTTGATATCGTAGCAAAGAAGGCTTCAGTTCAATAAAGAAAAAGGTGCCAGTGCATTTCTGAACGTTAATGAACGTGCCATAGTGGCAGAGGATGAGATCAGAGAAAGAAAACAGCTGTAGTCACTCATCATAGAATAACATATACTCTTTTCAAATCAGTGTTATGTATTCTTCATTTTTTCGATTCGCGTAACCTTTTTCAGACTACTAGATGCATTCATATGTACACGCAGCAGATACAGTATATGATAAAAGTAAACAGTATGTACACATGAATTATGTTACACGATATTGTTGATGATGATGCTTTAGTACTACTGCATAAATACTACTACAACCAGCAATATAACATTTATAAGGAAGAAGGATGATGACGATGGGCGTGGGATAGGTGAGGCGATTACTACAGCAATCTTGATGTTGGTATATAAATAAACTATCCCAACATAGCAAGAGTAACATCGCCGTGTACTCTAGCATTGAGTTGGATCTCAACATCCAAATTCAGGTCCAAGCGAAGCTTCAATGTGTTATCCTCCTCTTTCTTTGGTTTCTGTTGTTGAGCATTTGCCGCCACATCTGTCGCCGTGTCCGTGAGTTGATTGGCAGTGTTATTGACAGTGTTTCCAACAGTATCCAGGGGATTGTCAGTAACTGGTCCAAGAAAATCGTCATCATCGTCTGAGGGTGTTAATGGTCTTTGTCGTCGACGCTGTTGGCGTGATCTCTGGGGCTGTGGTTGCGGCTGATTGCGAGATGATTGTCGGTTGTTCCTTCTGCTGCGTCGGCTGCGACCACCATTGCTTTGGAAAGATGCGTCAGAAATCACAGATCCTCCGTCATCGTAACCGCCTCGGCCTCTAAGTGCATTATGATCATCATCATCAGGAAAGCTGCGTTGCCCAATACTCTCTGCGTCAGAGCCTGCACCGTATTGTGGATCCCGACTTAAGCGGCGCTGTTGTTGTTGACGGGATGGGCTTCTGCCGGCGGCTGACATTTAAAGATGCTAGTGGTGGTTCTTGTTGAAAGTTATAGGACTTTGCGATGTGTGATTTGAAGGAAAGGGAGGCCGAAATAAAAGTGGAGTCGCATTCCTGTATAAACTTATATATCTCCTAGCGAGACTTTTTCTTCTTTTCCGTTTTTTTAGTTTGAAATGTTGTAATGTTTTGATCAGCAGATAGGCCGTCATAGCTCGATCCGCTTTCCGAGGCTTAATAATGACTGATGCAATGTAAAAAGAGCTGCGAAGCTATTCGCGCCCTTCCCTTCTTTCCGCATGGTTAACTCTTCATGAGATTTCGATTTTCTGTGTTTTCGACTTATTTCGTTGCTGTGTCACTACTATGTTGCCAGGGAAAACTTTGCCATACATCATTTCATACAATAACAGCAACAGCATGAGAAATTACTATCGAGTGCGATCAGCGATCTGCTGCTGGTGATCTAGACAATTAGTCTAATAGGAAAGTGTGTGAAACATGGAAAAGCAAACTAAAAAGCACAAAACCAGTTCGACAGGCACTCTCTGCCTGGTGATTGTGATGACGTTATCATCACTAATAAACCCACACAAAGAATAGGAATCGTTCAATATGCAAAGCTCCGATAACACAGCGTTGAAGCCATTGGAAAGTAATTATTTTTAGCCCAGCGTACCGTAATGACAGGAGGATGACGAAATTGAAAACCCGAGTTCGGAAAAAAGTATAATCGCATTGTCTGTGGCACCTGAGATCAATGTAAACAGCAACTTCTTACGCCGTGCATAATCATGCCTCACGTTTGTGGCATCAGACAAACATACCGAATCACCAAGTCTTCTGCGCTGTGCTATGAGTTTTAGTGCGTACTGCGTCCTGCTTCTGCTGCTGCAGTACATGCTTGAGCAACTATTAATATTATTTACTAATCCAGTATTTCGATTAATCACACGACAGCCCACCAATGCTTGACATCACCAGTTAGCTTAACATTGATGAGGAGGAAAAAGAGCCGCTCAAAAGGGTAGATAATGGAAGAGCATATATGGCTTATGTCATTTGTGTAACAGGATAATAGTAACTATTATCCATATATGTAATTGACAGTTGTAGATATGACATTGCCAACAATAAGCTTGCAAGCGGAATAAAAAGCAAAACGTAGAGAAGCTTTGTCGTCCCTCTATATGATCATATATGAGCCAAAGACATAATGCAGTATGAGCTGGAGTATCAAAGTGTCTGATAATAGCTCAGTTGATCTTTTCAAGTCAGTTGATGAGCGATAAAACGCACTATCGATAAAGTTTTTCGACGCACTGACATCATGAGAAACAGCATATAATACACGAGCGAACGCTATGAATGATCCATGCACTCGTCATGCGCCTTGTATTTACTCTCATGGCTTAGATATTGTTTTCTTGTTTTGATAAATGCAGTCACCACGATTAGATTACTTGATGCAAAGCATCTCAGATCAGTCGTTGTCAAAAACGTCATAGGAGCTGACCATTGGCTTTTTTTCCCATAGAAAAACCAGCAATGGTAGCCAAGTTAGAATATGTATCATATAAGTCTCCGTAATACCATACCTTTCATTCGTAGCAACAGTTACTGGTAGCAGCAGTTACTGGGAACCGAAAACGACTTTTGAGACTATCGGTAGTTTTGTAAAAAAAAAAGAGCACCATTTTTTCTCAGGAAACTGTAATACAGTTATTACAAAAAAGACGCTCAATCCCAAATTTCTGGATTAAATTCCGTGAAATATATTTGTACGCAAGGCCACTTGTCAAAAACCTCTCTCGAACCATGCAGCTTTGATCATTTTGAAACTTATACAGTTGTAATGGCTCCAAATATCTATTCATCAACCATAACTGGGAGATACACGCAAGAGGGATGGGGGGAAACAAAAGAATGTATAATGACTTCAAACTTACTACTTTGTTACATGATCTCCGTGTGTGTGTGATAATGTACAGATTACAAGTGATTGGCAAATATGTTTTTATGGAAAGATTGCTTGTTCGTAATAGAAGGTGAAGGAGGGAGAGAATGGAGAAGAAGACTTTACATACATTCATCGATAAGTTAAAAAGAGAAAATAAGCAAAACTATGCCAACAGAGCAAGGGTAACATCGCCATGGACACGAGCATTTAGAGTTAATTCAACATCAAGGTTTAGGTCCAAACGTAGCTTTAATGCATCATCTTTTTTGCCAGAATCCTGTTGTTGTTGTTGTTGCTGAGGAGGAGGAGGAGGAGGTTGTTGCTGTGCTACAGGTCCCGCCGCTGTGTTTGTTAATTGATTGGTAGTATTTCCAGCGCCTCTGGTAAAAGGGGCAAGGTGGTCATCATCCTCATAATCATCATAATCCGATGAAGTCAATGGTCTTTGTCGTCGAGAAGATCTCTGACGTGATCCTTGGGGTTGCGGTTGAGGCTGATTGCGCGACTGGCGATTATTTCTTCTGCTACGTCGACTACGACTACCAGTGCTTTGTGCATCAGACGCAACAGAGGCTCCGTCGGTGTCATTACCTCCTCCTCGTCCTCCTCTGGAACCTTGTTGCTGTTGCTGTGTATTGCTGCCATCGTAACCTTGAGAATTTTCTGCATCGGATGCCATACCAGGATCCCGGCTTGCTGAACGACGCTGTTGTCTTTGACGTGACGCGCTTCTGCTGGCGGTAGACATTGAAAGTTGTGGGTTGGGAGAACTGTGAACGGAGGAGAGAAAGAAACTCTTGAAAAGTTAGCAAGCGGGCGTTCGATTTATATACTCCTAGGGAATTAAATTTTTATTCTTTCCCTTTCTTTTGGTTGGGTAAAATGCTGTAATATTTGGAATCAGCAGATGAAGACAGTTACGGTTTTCGATCCGCTCGCCGAGGATCGATTGTTTCTCAGTTCATGCTAAGCTACCAAGCCATTTTTTTCTTTTCAATGCAATAGCCAATAGCAAATGGGGTGGGTTTAAAGAGCTGTCATGCAACAACAGCAGTAGGAGTAATAACAAGTGACCTTTGTGCTCATTACTGATTTCGATGTCAAGTGCGATTGCTACACCATTCGTAGTTATCTGGAAAAAGATATACATTTCACTGTTATGCGTCACCTGCGAGTGGCTCGTGGTATATTGAAGGATCATCAGGAGGAATAGCCACTTGAATATCCCGCATGTGAGTGAAACTAGCGGAGACAGCAGCAGTGGGGTTCTGGACAACCGTGAACACAGAAAAGGAAAGGGTTAAGATCGAGAAATAGAATCTGATGATACCAACCAATGGATTGAAACATGCTGTCGACTAGGTTGAGACAAGAAGATTGCAGCTAACGTTAGTGCACTGATGCATCCGCTCTTTACCAAAAAAAGGAAAATGACGACAATTGATCGTAAGAAGAGAACGGAAACATACGCCCCAGTCAAACCACAATTTTAGGGCGCTGAGACCCTAAATATATAATAAAACATTTTTTCATACAAAAAAAAAGAGAACGGAAACAAATGGGCGAGACTCCCGGCAGAAGATATAGTAGCAAATAATAGTAACGAAAATCATGCACGCACAGAACAGCTCATCTTGGCATATATGTGTGTATTGTGAGCTTCCCAGCAGTAATGGTACGCTGTGTCCTAAAGCATGAATGTTTGTCTGAGTCGTTTTAAGCAAATTATGACACATTTGTATTTGTTGCGAGATGCAGCTACATGCTTTTTAGTAGGTCGATAGGAGGTGATCTGACATCGCACTCAATCGCGAAGAGTTCGACGACAAATATAGACAAGAAAAAGGTTATCTTGATACGTCGGACGTTGCACACAGTGTTTACAAAACGGATAAATAAACAATGGTGTCTCTATGGTAATGGCGTGTGTTTTAATAGACTCGATACTTGACAGCAGTAGAAGTAATAAACATGATGAGACTTTTAGTTAAACCACAAAAGAACTGCCTCCCTATAAGTCCTGCTATATCTGCTGATATCAATATTGCATATTTCATTGTTTTTGTTAAGCATGATGTGAGCAATGATATCAATATAAATAATGGCCGATAACGAATTGACGACATCATAGTCAATATCCTTTTAGCAGCAAATTATGCAGCCCTGAATAGAACCTCATTCAAATATTCTATCGCATCCCATATTAAGTCGTAAAGCTCGTTATCAGAACGCTTGCACGATCATTTGATTTAATGTAGTTGTACGGCTTGATGCATACTGGTATAGCAGGACATGTGACATACATGTAATGTTCGCGAACATCGTAGTGACCCTTGATAGTATTAGCTTTCAATGGTAGTAGCACCAGCATTGCCGAATCTATAGTGCTTCAGTATATCGATTTTGGATTCATATGCGTCGTCCTGTAGAGGCATGTGGGAGCCTTGGATGCTACTCCAGAATAATAATTTTGAATCAATTTCGTATTCTTGCTGTTGTTGGTATTGCGTTGTTGCTGGCACTACTTTTCATCATCCAGGCACAAGTCGAAGAGAGCAGCAAAGGCTAGTATGGTCAGATCCTGGTTAACCGAGAGCCGATACAACTCTAGCGTCAAGTCCAGAAGAGGGATATATACCGTTTGCTCAAGTTCAAAAAGAGAATATGAGCTTGAAATTAGCCAAAAAAAAAAAAGCATTATTATTACATACACACCGGTACATATTAAGCATAGTATGTCATGACCGCATTTTTTTTGTTTGCATCCAGCAAATGAAACGACGAAGCACTCTAATTATTCTCTAAAGAAATTGAGTATCAGGATAGTCTCTCCAATATTTTGCATTCAATAATGACGGATACACTATGCTGATTCAACTTTATTAATTTGTATACTGAAGAAATGGTTCAATGATAAAATATGAAGAATGTGTGTTTCTCTTATAGTTGCTACATGACATTACTAATAGGCGCTAGCGGAGAGCGCATACACAGGTCGTTCACCTGGATGCTCGCCAAGTGTCCATAGCTGATCGCCTTGCTGACGATATGCAAGATCCTCTGGACCAACCGAAAGTATTCCTTCATAGTGGTTCAAGTCACCAGTGCTACGATCCCAGGTATACAAATCGCCGTTTGTACGATTACCGCGCGAGCACGAAAAGTAGTACTTTTGGACACCGTCCTTAGTAATAGAAGTAGCACCTTGCATCGACTTCAATCCGACATAATAGAACTCGGTCGCAGTAGCGTATGTTCCCGAGCTATGCACAGGAAGTCGTGTTTCGTAATCAATGTCAAAGCGGACGATACGATTATTGACGCCCGATGAATTGTACTGGCCCATGACAAAAGAATCCGGTATGGTAGTACGATCCAAGCTAATGAAAGAGTAGGCGAAATCTTTTGCAACGTCACTGTAAGCCAAGTAATGACCCCACTGTGGGAGAACATATCTAATAATTAAAGTAAATTAGATGTGTAAAGAGTTGGTTGATTATAAGCTACCACCTTGTACAGCTTAAACGGAAAGAAATAGAACATGGATACATTACTTGTAGTTTGCACCTTCATATCGACCGCTTCCGACATGGCCGATACCATCACCAATGGAGACTTCATAGATGTGGCTCAAATCAAAGATACGAATACCATTGGCAGTATCAACCACATAGAGTAAGTTTCCATACCACATTATTCCTCCTGCGTGGATTTTTACAGAGTGGAACGATGGGACGCCGGCAGTCGTTTCGTAGGGAACAACCAAAAGCACGTTACGGTAGTGATACTGGTTCGAGTTCATTTCAACAAACGATATGCGGACACCCTTATTTGCTGGATCACTAGATTTTGTCGTGTGGTCATACCATGATATAAGCATCATGTTGTTTTCACCATACGTTCCCTTGTCGTATGCATCAGAGGATGATGTGACGCCCTGTGGATACCATTTCGTTGTATCGATATCGTTGTAACCATCCTTCTTGTCCCACCTACATGATATTTGTCACATATTTAGCGGCAAAGTAAATATGTATATAAATTGATCCTTAATTGATAATAAAAACATACGTATAATCGCGAATATTAACTGATGGACCATCATACGGAAGACACGGGTGGTTTGTATTCCGAACAACTTCGGCGACAGTAACATTGGGCAGCTCGTCATCCAGCTTAGCGATAAGATCTTCATAGTGACCTGGCTTGCCAAATAGTTTGAATTCGCTTGCTTCAAGCTCTAGAATAGCGGCTTGGACTACACATGTGGCAGCTGTAATCGAAATAAGAAATTTTGTTGATAGCCAAACCATTCTTGATGTATAGTAGTAATGAGAGGAATCTAGAAATTTGTTTGGGAAGTGCAGGAGAAAAAGTATAAACCGTTCTTTTGTCGCTGTATTTATATTGTTTTACAGAACCTATTTACTACCATCGCTACATAAACAGAAATAAAAAAAGAGGCTGTGTTCGCTGATCCCTTTCAAAGCCTCCCTAGGTATGTATTTTTCAAAATGGAAACCATTATAAACAATTTATGTGTTCTAGACATGTTCTTGTCGTTGTCGTCACGTACGCATATTGATTGAAATAAAAGAAAGGTAGCAGTAGTACATCCCGTAATAGAAAGTCTGGATTGTGTAATGTAGGACTTGTAAGCTGCTTGTACTGAAGCAACAAGAAGCGTTGTATACATAGAAAGGTTGAGCTACCATAGAAGACTGCGCTACTACCTATTGAAGATCGACTGTTCGTGTCTTTTTTTATATGTATTTTACTATAAATCGATCATTAGCAACCACTTAGAGTACGGTAGTAAAGCCACCCATACAAAAGACGAGAGGTTGAAATACTATATCACTTACCAAATATTTTTCTTGAAATTAAACTTTGATATTCAAAGCGGCGATCAATGGTGGGGTACACAATTGTCATATGTACTTAATATCTACCAAGGACTGCTACTACCCCTTCCATTTGAGCACAAATACAATGCTGTCAATGTGTCACTAAACACACATAGGGAAGTAAAATCCCTCTTTTCTTTACCACAATGGACCTCTTAAAGTGCAGTTTCTGCTATATTTGGTTAACCTCATAATACTCGTGTGTAGAAAATGTATACATCTTGCATTATTACTTTTTATTTGTGACTGGACCTTTTAAGCTGTTACTTTGTACTTTACTCACACGCGTTTTACTGAGTGGCACAGGAGACTTCGAAGAAGCTGTAGTGTAGCTCTCACAGCACAACATCTGGAAAAGAGTTTTAAATAACTTAATTAATGAAGGAAAATTTGAATGATTACACAAAAACACGCGACACCACGTCTCCCATCTTATCAATATCTGTGAATCCTACAAAATGTTACGCGATAGATTGAAAGGAGTCAGCACCAGGTAGTATGTACGCACCGCAATCCGGGGATTTGCGGCTGTCGTTTTGATACATTATTTTATTTTCTAAAGAGCTGCTATTTTTTGGTGGGCACGCCTCCTTGTTATGTTATTGTATCGATCGACGCATAGCATTCTGATAAACGACACACTGTCAATCAAGCGTAAATATGATAGCAATTTAGCGCTTAGTAGCTCGATTCACCATGCATTCACTCAATTCTAGATCTTTACTTGAATGTATCTCTGCGGCCTGTTTTGAAGAATAAAAACTTAATAGAACAACAGTGTGTGACTTTCGCCAATAACAACATCTCATTGTTAGGTATTACTTGGATGTGATACCGCTGTTAATGCTTGAAAACACTCAATTGATCCCACTCTGTTGCATAGCAGAAGTCCCCTATCACCATTGTATGAAGACACTAAAATGAACGATATATTATGAAGGTCATATTATTGGGAATAACACTTTTTGTTCGTGAGTACTATCTAGCTGTGCGAAGGAAAAGGGTAATAGGTAGTGTGGGATAGAATGTGATAAAAGGGATATGTTATGTAAGTGATGAGCTTGTGAATAATAGGATAAAGTGGATAGTAATACAGAGTTGGTGTGCTTTGTGCGCTAAAGATCCGGGAGGAATTAGGGGAAGAAGGGAAAAAATTGCATGCTTTAAGATTTAAGAAGATGAGGGTGGACGATGATGTATACGTATAATAGAAGGGAAATGTAAAAAAATGTTTAGGCTCGTCTTCGAGTGACTACAGGCATTTTGGCGCCCTCTTCCGCTTTGGTCATCTTGACCATTACTTGATTTCCTGCCTCATCCACACGGATATACTTGTCTCCGTCAAGGTGGCCACGAGCTGCAGGGGTTTTAGAAGAGCGACGGCTTGACGTGGACCATGTGCCTGCCAATAAGCTGTTGTTATCCGTGCTACTCGTTGCACTTAGAACACCATTCGCGCCACTTCCGCCACTTGCGCCACCACCTCGTACAGTGATACGGCCTGACGGTGACACGCATCGTGTGTTGGGAGCAAGAGATGATGACTGGAAAGGCGTTGAAGTAGATGAAGAACCGCCCGAAGATCCACTGCTGCTTGTACTTGAAATGGCGTCGTCTGCTGTCGAGCGGATGCTTCCTTCAGTCAACTTGTGATCGCGCAAAAACCTAGGTCATTTAACAATGGTGAGTATTTATACTGCGGTAGAGACTCCTCGTATTATACCGTATAGCAACTTACTTTGACAATTCGACCCATCCACCTCCAACGCGGACCATCACCAACTTGCTGGGCAAAATGCGGCAATATACCAAGCGTGGATTGACTTCACCAAACCAGTACTTGCCCACTTCACCGGGCACCATCTTGACCTTGACACGATATGCGTTATCATTGACAATACGGCCGAGCTCCATATCTAATTCATTTTTGGGATCGGCGACATACTTGGTGCGCGAGACTGAGCGTGTTGGAATCGGGGTTTTGGAAGGTCGCAGAGGAACACGGCTGCGTCGAGTATTGCTGGCTGTGCTGCTCTGGCTCGATGAATGACGCGTCATGGGTACTGGGGTCGGTAAAGGTGGAGGCAAACCGCTCTTTTTACCACTGGTACCGTTGCTTGCACCACCGCGGCGCGAGCTGGTCGTCTTGGCCATGGCAAGCTTGGTGAAGAAATCATGGTCAAGCTGATTGATGCAGGTCTGCAGTTCACGTTCGCGTGCCGCAGCTGCTGCCTTGATCTTGTTGCATCGTGCCAATGCCCGTGCCAGGCGCTCAGAGACGCGTGCATCGCCTGGGTGCTTCTCTGCCTCGGCCTTGGCTTTCTTGACGAGCTGGGTCATACCTGGTTCATACTGCTTGTACGACGCAATCAGGTTCCGCAACAGCGACTGCAGATCCGATTTGCTGAATTTGTTGTTAACCACAGCTGCATGATGGGGTGCTGCATCATCGATGGCTGTAGACAAAAGCGTGGCTTGCTTTTCAAGTTTGTCGACAGTTTGCATGAATGTCTTTATATTGCCTTGCGTCGTAGCCTCACTGCGCCGTGTGGCTAGCAAGCTTTGCAGATCGCGGATGTTTTCCTCGAGGGACATGCGTTGGTTTTTGAGGCCTCGGTCTGTCTCGGTCGGTTCATCTGCAAAGAGTGTATTCAGGTTTTGGGCCGCGATTTTTTCAACTTCCTGTTCAATCTCGCGCAGCTCCTCTTGCTCGACACTGATCATGTTCTTGTCGTCGTTCGAGGAAAGCTGCAACGCACTGGCACGATCCTTGAGCTTATCCACGTAGCGCGTCGTTTCAGTCAAGCGGGTAGATACGTCGCGATGCTTCTTGGCTTTTTCCATGCGTGCCAGCGTCTCAGCAATCATCGACTTGAGTTGACCATATTCGCTCTTGAGTGATTCTAATCGACTCTCGACAACCTTGGCCACTGCTGTATAACGCTTGTCCTCTTTTCGCTTGTCTGTAATGGCAGCAACTTGGCGCGCTTGCTCTTCCACGGCTTGAATAGATTCCTCAGTCGATCGTTCCATATCCGCAAGCAAGATCGGCATTTCGGTCTCGTCGCCACTGGTACTGGTGATGGTCGATATCAGTGCATCCAGCGAGCTACGAACATTACCACCCAGCTTATCATGCTTGGAGTACAGCTTCAAAAGTTCCAGGTACGACTGCTCATCATTGATGGCGTTATCCAGTTCCTTCACTGCATCAGTGGTCGGCTTGCGAACGCTGTCAACTGTTTCGACATCAACCTTGAGTTCGTCCGTCAGTCGCTTGCACTGTGGGGAGAATGTTCCTGTTAACTCATCTTGAAACGTGTTGCATTCGTTTCGTGCAGCAGCTAGCGTCTTGCCGTGTGTCTCGATGAAGCTATCGGTTTCTTCCACTCGCAGGTTATCGTTGTCGATGAGTGGTCCAACATGTTTCACCTTGCCCAGATGTTTGGTGCAGCCATTCTGGATTTCCTTGGCCTGCTGTTTGACTGCATCCAAAACCGATTGCTGCGTGTACTTGGCTCGGCACGCTTCGATTGCTTCGCCTATCATGCGTGCATCATCCGTGACTTTTGCATGTCGACCGAGTAAATGAGCATTGCGCTCACTATTGTCACGTGTGAGACCTGTCGCAAGTTCGTCCAATGCATGGGTGACTGTTTGCAAACGGCGAGTAGCAGCATCCAAGGCAGCATCACCATCCTTGTTGTTCGCATCAAACTTATCCACATCCTGTTTGATGGCTGCCAAGTCCGTTTGAGCCTGAGCAAGAGTTTCATGACCATCCACACATTTCGCTGTATCACCGACAAGCTGCGATAATTGGCTGCTTGCTGCCTCAAGGTCGGACCATTGCGCATCAATGCTTTCCTGGCATGCCTTCGTGTCTTCTTCTGCGTCGATTTGAGACTTAATAAAGCTGTAGTACGCTACGAGGTCGGCGTACGCTTCCTTGCAATCGTCTTGTTGGGACAATGCTTCTTTGTGAGCAGCAACAAGATGCTGGTATTGCTGCCGCATCTCCTTGATATCCCGTGCTTCAATCGTGGAGCGCTGATGCCTATCAATCGTCGCGTGAACCAGCGCACATACCTCTTGCAAACGCGCCTGTACCACGTCGGCATTGTCGCTGTGCGTTTTTGAAAGTCGGCTGACATTGACAGCGTCGTAAAGACGGGTGATTGCCGTTCGCACTTGCACTGCACTTTCTGCCACTCGATCCATCTGCTCTTTGACCTCGACGTTGCTGTTGGCTTCCTCGGATTCAGCCGCATCCTTTTGCAGTTGTTCATAGTCGCGCGATTCAAGCTCATCCACCTGCTTTTGCCACTGCGAGATCTGTTCGTCGGTCACTGTCGTGGTCTCGGCATCGCCAATTGCATCCCTAAGCTCGTCGAAGGACGACAAGAGTTTCTTTGCCCGCTCCTGAATCTCTGCAGGGATCAACGATGCCAGCAAAGCCTGCTTGGTTCGTACCGTCTCATCCATTAAGTCAGACCATGCCTTTTCGACAGCAGCCTGCTGCTCGACTGGCAATTCTTCAGTGGGGCACAGGCGCGTACATTTATCATAGGCAGCCTTGAGCGTCGTCATTGCATTTTCGCTCGCATGCGAAGCTGATTGAATGCTATCTGTCAAGCTAACACCATCACGCAGTCCCGGAATACTGCACGGCGGCTCGGTATGTTCCCGTGCCTTGGATAACATGGTGTTGCGCAAATCGATCCATTCCGTGCAGGCTTCAACTTCTTTGCGGTATGCTTCCATTGCCATCTTGCGCCTAGAAATGTTTTCTTTGGACTCGAGCAGTTGCTCCAAACTATCGAGCAGCCCTGTCAGTCGTTTGCTCTTGGTTTCGACCGTATCTCGTACCAGCGAATTCGATGCATCATCTTTGAGCTGTTGCTGTGTCGATACTGCTAGGTCGGAAGATACAAGGGATTTCGGGCTGTCGGGTCGTGTTGGATATGGAATTTTGGCAGACACGTCGCGATCAATAGCTTGACTACTCGATCTCAATTCTTGCACCCGTCCAAACATGGTCATAGCCGCTTCTTCATTGCTAATACCACTATTGTTGTTGTCATCACTGGTAGACGCCGCAATTTCTTCACGGATTTGTTCAGCTGATTGCTCTAAAGCAAAAGTACGATCCAGAAAATCGGCCATCAAACACCGCTGGGTAACAATACCATCAGCAAACGTCAAGTCGAGTTGGATCCGCTTTTGGATATAATCAAGGTGTCGGATTCTGCCGTTAAGCGGTTCCGAAATAAGGACCATGTTGCTCGCTGCTGTGGATGATGCTTCGCGCAACTCGTTCAAGTCATTCATCAATCGATCAATGACTTTATCACAATACTGTGCATACTGATCGTTCAAGTCAGTCCATGCACTTTGCAGTTCGTCATTACTGTTATTGTTGCTGTTCTCGTCGCCATTGTCATCGTCAGCAGCCGATGATGTCCATCGTGCTCGTTCTTCAATGAAACGATCCACAACGCCCTGATGCTTTTGTAACCATTGCAACGACTCTTGTAGCTGATCATCGAACGTCAAGCGCTGTCGCACCAAATCAAGTTCCTTTGAGCGTGCGCCCAAGTTTTCTTCAAACCGATTCGTTGCTCGGTTCAAAGATTCCATCCATGCTTCAATATGATCCGGTGTAGCAATCGGCCGTGCGAGCTTGGCAAAATACTTAACAAACGTGTCATAGCTTTGCTCAATACCAAGCAACGTTTCCAAGGTAAAAGTGTCCTTTTGTTTAATCAGGTCATCCCAATCAGCCTCCAACTGCTGGACATGCTCTCGACTGAAATCTTCTTGTGCTATCCATTTGTTCTTGTTGCCATTGAACGTACGCAGCTGCTCGCTCATTTTCTCGAGCTGATCACGACCCACTTGCAATCGCTTTTGCCAAATGCTGCGCTTTGATGCAGCTTCGATGGTCACCCGGTGGTCTGCAAGCGAGTCCTTGAGCTGCTCCAAATGCGTCATGACCTCCCCAAGTCTTCGAACAGGCACCGTGATATCCACTGATTTGATTTTAGCCTTGGTTGTAGTCTCCATCAAATCGGCGACCTTGTCATGAAGCTCCTTGAGCCGAACATTCTCGAACTCACGCAGCGTATCTACTAACGCACCATGTTTGTTTTCGAGATCGTTCATCAAATCATCCGTGACACTTGCAAAGGTCGCGTTATCAGCAGTGATATCAATATGCTGCTGCTTGAGTTGAGCGGCTTGCTCATCGATCCACGTTTGCAATTCAGCTGCTTCATTGTCGTACTGACCGGTAAGCGTTTTGGTGTGATTGGCTTGACGATATGTCTCGAGCAGCTGGTCGATGGATTCCCGAAGGCCTTGCAATTCGTCCATTTTTCGGTCGAGCAGTGCCTTGATCTGCGCCTTGATTTGGGCATTGTAGTTGGAGGTCTCGGTCGGCTGCAACGAGCGCAAGAGACCAGACCCATTGTATGTGGGGTAAGGCATGCTCTGACCACATTCTTGCCAAATAGCATCAACGATCTGGCGGAATGACTCGGCACGCGATTCCAACAAATGAGCCTCCTGATCTTCCATAATGCGACGCGTCATTTTCGTGATAGCATCTCGTATCTTTTCGCCATCGCGCTGAGCATCCTGCACGCGCAAGAGGAACTCGGTGATAATGGAGCGTTGCGTCATGAGCTCGGTCGTGTATGTGAGCAGGAACTGCAAATCCTTGTACTTTTGCTCAACTTCGCCCTGCTTTTCAGTCAAGAATTGAAGCGTGGTTGTAGCCATGCTGTTGCTGTTAGTATTGGTCTTGCCACCATTGTGTTGCATCTCGGTGTACTTGTCGGTCAGTTGTTGATGCATGTCGGATAACACAGACATGTGACGATCACCAATTTCAGCTACGCGGTCCTGAAGCAGCTGTACTGCCTGTGTATTTTCATTATCGTGCGCATACGAGGGCTTGTCAACATCTTCTCTGCTAGGATCGAACCGACCTTTTTTGATACACAGGTCCCAGATCTTGCGAGCCGCAGTGAGTATCAGATGATTGTTCTTGCCCCACATGCCTTGCCAGGCCATGTATCGCTTCACCATGTCCAAATCAAACGCACGCTGACCGAGTAAACGCTGCAACTGTTGATGTGCCGTTTCGAGACCCTCGATGCTGCTCACCAACGAGTGTCGGTCAATTGAGACTGCGTTTGAGGCATCAATGTCGTCTTCAAGCTGCCGTACTTCTTGAAGAGCATTCGCCAGATCATCTTGCTCGATCTGCGCCAGACGTGTGGCGATACCGTCGCGTTCCTTTTCCAAACGGGTGACCTCTTCTTCGTCCATTTCTCCAAGGTTCTGTTGGCTGCAGACATCCATCTTAGCCTTGTTCAATGTCCGTGTTCGCTCGTCCATCCATGCAGTCAAGCGAGCCATCTTGTCATAGGATATCTTGGATCGTTGATGAAGCGACAGAATGTATTGGCGGCTAGCAAGCAGTTGATCCAAACCTTCGGCCAAAAGCGCTAATGACATACCATAGGCACTAATTGTGCTTCGGATCGATTCGTTGGCAAGCTGGTTGTCCTGGTCATCGCCCGTGCCAATGGCTGTGCTCATATCTGGTGCATCTGGATAGGGCACTTGGGCAGCAAAATGGGTTATCAGATAGGCCGATTGTTCCTTGAAAGTCTGCACATTCTCAGCATACAATTCCTCGTCGTTGAGATTGACAGCATCGTGTTTGCGATCGCCTGTTTCCATCATAGCCTGTCGCAGTTTCTCGCCCTGTTCCTTGATCTGTCGGAACTGGCCTACTACTTCCATCACCTTGAGATGCTGCTCTACGACCTTGCGACAAAATGCACAGCGTTTCATCAAGTCTTCGAATGCCTTTTCGAACCCTTCTTGTCGCTTTTCCAGATGATCAGGCAAAGCGGCGGTATCTGCTGAAGCTGCAGTCGAATGGTTGAGCTCGTCCAACTCTTGATAGGCATCCAGCACATGCGAGTAGTCCTCTTGGTCGAAATCGGCAATCTTGCGCTCGAGATAGACGAGTGTCTGAATCACTTCTTCAATGTTGGATTCGGAAGCATCGGACCACCGCGCATTCTTGCGTAGAAACGCGTTCATTTCCTCGTCCGTGGTAGCCACCCATTTCACTGCGTCGGCGAACAAATTTTCCCACTGGATTCGCAGCATGAGCATGTCAAGTAGAATCGATCGGCTGCCTAATAGTTCCTTGAGTTGATTCAGCATGTTGAGCGTTGTCAATGTTATCTCGATCGTCGATGTGTCTGCAGGACTCAAGTCTTTTTTTCGCTCGACACCCGTGAGTGTCTTGACGTGCGTACGCAGCCGCGTCATGTCGTCTGCGTCAAACTTTTCAATCTCTTCGCGCAACGCTTGGTGCTCGTCGTACAGCACCTTGATTTTGCCATCCGAGACCGACAACTGCAGACTCAGTGGATCTACGTCCTCCATCAATCCATCGCGTTGTTCAATGATATCGATACGCTCTGCAATCCATTTCCGAATGCGTTGCGCCTCAATGAACCAGACTCGCACTTGGTCGACCCAATCGCCCACGATTTCGTACTTTTCTTGTATTTTTTGTAGATGTGCAACGTAGTACCAACGATCGTCTTCGTTATTGTTGTTGTCGCCATGCTTCTGTGGCTCTTTTACAGGGGCTATGATGGTGCTGTCCGTACTAGCATCCATTACAAGCAAATCCTTGTATTCTTCTTGAACAGCTTGGATCGTCGATCGAGCCACGTCAACGCGTTTTTCGAGGTCTTGAATGGCGTCATCCGTTACGGACTTGGTGCTGTCGCTCAAGGTTTTGCGAACGATTTCAAGCTCTTCGCTGATGGCGCGTGTGATGTCGGCAAAAGAGACACCCCGCTTGTATCGGCGGCAATCATTCTTTGAACTAGACAAGGACTTGCTGAGGTTGTCATGTCGCTGCTGTAGTCGTGTGTATTGTGCTGAAACAATGCGCATGGCAGGTGCACACAGGTCTCGCGCAAGTTGCTCGAACGATTTCCACGTATTGGCATCAAACGTGTCTGCCGATGATGCCAGCTCTGCAATCGACGCTTCATATTTATCAGCTGATTCATTCGAGCCTTCCTCTAAGGGTTGGAGAGGATATACAACGTCGGATCCATCCCCACTCTTTTTGATGATTGTTGGATAAGCATTGTCCAACGATTCACGTAAGGCAATGATTTCCTTTTCGACAGATGCGGCCCGTTGTTGGAAGCGCTTGGCATCGTCTTCGCCTTCCTGCCAATCGTGCTGCAACGTATTGAGCGTATCGCCAGTCGACATCATCAGTCCGACGAATTCTGTCCATCGACGCCCCATATCTTCGTAGATCAATACGGCCTCGGCCTGTATCTGTTCATGCTCATCACCATCATCGTTTAGGGATCCGCTGCTACTGTCAATGTGTTCTTTGGTGACAAGTTCTTGACGCTTGGCTTTGATTGAATCGAGGAGGGCATGTTGCCCGTCGGCCTGTTCTCGTATGGCTTCAAAAGCAAACATGCGCTGTGTGATGGCTTCTGCTGAGCTGATTTCGTCTTTGGTCATGGCTTCAATGGCTGGAGAAAAGGAAGAGATGAATGTAGCAAGCGCGTCGCGATCGGATCTCATGTCGATGAGAATTGGATTGGATATTTCATCACTTGGCGTATCCAATGGTGTCGGTTCCTCTTCTTCATCATCGTCTTCTTCCTCTCCTTCTCCTTCTCCACTGTTCTCATTGTGTTTATCTTGCACTGTAACTATTTTATCATAATTAATCTAATTGCATATAGGTAAAAATAGCATTTTTTTTTCGAATGATGGCTCAGTAAATCACTGTACCTGCACGTTCATCTTCATTTTCCTCCAATAACATCTGTTCCTCTTCTTTTACTTCCTCCTCTTGCTCCTCTATCAGTGGATCAGTCTCATTCTGATGTATGCCCAAGAACTTTAGTAGAGCCGAAATGCAAGCAGCGCGCTGTTTCCGTGCAAGATCTGCCGCTTCCTGCGTCTCCGACCGTTGTGCATAAGACATGATTTTGTAAAACTCGCCGACATACATCATCACGCTGGGTTCGTGCGGATAGTCGACGTCTGTGAGATCTTCGGGCTCAAGGTACCGTGGTATATTCAGCTGATGCTCACCAATGTTGAATGCCAACGTCAACAACTCGATCCATGTTTGATGGTTCCATTCGGGCACTGTCTGCAGGTATTTGCCAAACAGATCGGGGATCAATTCTGGGTCGTGCCGATGGATCAGTAAACAGAATGCAACACCGTTTCGCCAGGAGCGCGAGAAATCTTGGATCGACGGTATTATATTCGCCATGACATAGTCGTGCAGTTGCGTACGCACCCAGCGTAACAATGCAAGTTTGGCTTCTGTCGCGCTTGAATGTTTTTCTCCTCCTCCTCCTGCTGCTGCTGCTGATGCTGCTGCTCCTGCAGGATTGTTACTGCTGTTGTTGTTGTTATTACGCAACGCTCGTTGGGCGGTCGAGGATAATAATGATAATTTCTGCTGCTGGCCAACAGCAGCAGCAGCAGAAGAAGAAGCTGACGACGGCAATGGTGAGGATGGTGCTGTTCTGGATAACGATGGCGAAGGTGACACAAGCAATTCATTGTCATGCTAAGTTTTTTAAAAAAGAAAAAAGGTTCAGCACAAACACATCAGAGCTATCATCCGGTGCAGATCGATATTGGATGGAATTAATTTGCTTTTTACCTCCACGAGGGACATGATAGACTTGTCATCCAAGATCAAGTGGACATGATACTTGAGCATGACAAAATAAATCAAGGCCAGCGTCTTTTTCAAGTCGCCATTGACGATTGCCTCGTTGCCGACATCAGGCACTTCGCCCAGCTGTTCTTTGAGAAACCCGAGAGCCCGAGCGACGTTGGAGAGTTGGTGTATGCGCATATTGCCCCTCTCGGGTTTCGGCGCAGGCTCCTTAGAAACGACGGACAAGAGCTTGAGGAGCCGCTTGCCATCCCTGAGGTCAGTTTCCATATTCTCGATATGATCATCTGCTGTCACCAGCTGAGCATTCACCCATTTGGTGAGTGTACGCTTTTGGATCTCTTGATAATCGATGCTGAGGTTCCTGCTGGTTTCGGCATCGTCAGGGTACTCGTGGCTATTGTGGTTGTTGTTGCTGTTGCTACTGGTGGTAATACTACTACTGCCGCTGTTGTTGTTGTTGTTGTTGTTGTTGTTGTTACTGTGTTGACGACCATGGCGGCGAGTTGTGGATATGCTGTTGGTCAATTTCATGGACGTCGATGTCTCGCGTAAAAATAACGATCGATTCGATCCAGAGCGATGCATGCCGCCAGTGATGGAGGTGGTCGTCGAATAGGCAGTGGTGCTGGTTCGAGTTGTGGAGGTCGATGGCGAATTGACATGGTTGGGCAACGGGGACGGCGATGTAATATTACTATTGCTATTATTGCTGCTCATTGTAGGGCGTTGTGTGTAATATACTATGATCCCAATGTAAGGGTAGTGGTGGTAGTGGTAATGTATATATCTTCTATTTTATCAAGCTGTTTCTTGCTGCGTTTGCTGCTGCTTGTTGCTGCTGCCGCTGCTTCTGCTGCCACACCAAACACACAATTGCCGATCGACGAAGGAAAAAAAATGAAGAGAGAGAGAGAGAAAGAGAAAGAGGGAGGGGAAAAAGAGCACCACCTGAGCGCTTTCCTTTTTTTCCTTTTGCCGCACAGGAACAAAGAAGAGGTGAAGGCAAAAGAGAGGAAAAGAATATGTGCGGGTGCTACGTCTCTTATTTTTGAGGGGGGGAAAGACAGCGAGTGATGAAAAAAACAAGAGAGAGAGAGAGAGAGAGAGAGAGAGCGTGGGGCCTTGGCGGTTTGGTTGGCGCGTATGCAAGGAAGTGATCACAAGAAATAGAAAGTCAAAATTCAAGTCGAGAAAAGCAAGATGGCATATGTGGGATGTAGCGAAAAATAGAAGCGACACAGAGAGAGAGTGAGAGAGAGGAGAGTTTCCTTATTCTTTAACCCGCGTGCTGCGTGCTGCGTGTATAGTGGTAGAAGCTATGCCCGCTGTGCTAACCGCTGATGACACTTCCTTTTGACATTCTCCTTTATTAAGGAGGGATTGTCCAGCGTCGTCGTCTTGATTCGTCTGACCACTGTCCATCTTATTTATCCATCACAGCTCGCTGGCACCACTATAATTATAGCTATTGCACCCTTGTTCCAATTAGAATGTTTGGCGAACAAGTTTGTTACAACAACAGCCAAACAGGTACCGTCCAAACATATACAGAATGTGAAACCCTTTCTGGGGCTCATGATACATAATCGCTCTATCAAAGTTATCTGCTGTGTTCGCCCTGTTATTTACTTTACTGGGACGTGCATGTAAACATAGTTTGCATGTAAATGTCAAAGGCTTATTTATACAAGTACAACGATATCTTCTGTATGTGGTCCTTGTTCCCGCTACTACGTATGACAGCAAATGAACAAGTTCTCTCGGGAAAACACTCACTTTTGTTACATTTGAAAATGATCCAAATTATTCAGTGGGAAGGACTCGGTTGAGTTTGCAGTTGCGGGAGGAGCAAGACGGACTTTTCAAATTACACAAAACAACACTTACTAGGCCTACTGAATGTGGAGCCATGCTGCATGAACTTTTACTTGCCTGCATAAAACAAACCCCATTACATTTTTCTCTTGATGATAGAGAAAATGTTTTCTGGGCAAGGTGTTAGTGATCATCGTGTACTCGGAAAAAAAGTTCTGTGTAACTTGATCCATGTTGTGTGTGGGCTCACGGTCCATCTCTTTGAGTATAATCGTCCCCTTTCCTTTCAGTGACACCAAAACCACGCCCTGTTACTATAAATGTCGTGGTCGGTTTTTTTAGGTTTCCTCGTTTGTGTGTCACAGCGAGCGCGAATGAATGGTTTTTTCTCATCATATGATATCCATACACTGTTAAGGATCTACATCATAATGATAAGCTTGGCTTCTACTCTATTTGGCCGTATTGTAAGGTCCCAAATACTTGGTTTCGAGGACGACTCGTTGTCAACGTTCGGGGCTGAAAAGAAGATGTGACCTGTTGCTCGGTCGGGGTGCATAGCACCACATGTAATGCTATCCTTGAAACTAACGATAACAAGCGCTCTCATTCTTTACATAGTTTGTTCTGTTTTCAAAGGATATCGTTTCATTCGCTATATTTATGCTGATAGAAGTGTGCACACCAACCCTTCGTCAATTAAAATTAAACCTTAACTCCTCCTGTAAATTTGGAAAGTACCCGGGCACCAGGGAATTCAGTTAATAGTGCCAGAAATCAAGGTGACATGTATGATGTATAGTGGTTTTACCACCTGGACGGTTTTTCTAGACAATGATCATTTGCGTGTGACCTTCTTCTCCCCTGTGAGATCAAACAACTAGTGTATGTACACATAACAACCTTTCTATTAGAGCAAATCCCATCAAGTAATATTTTACAAAACCTATGTAGTAATTAAGATACATGAGTACTAGTGGATGGTTGGGAGATGAAAGCTAGTGTTGTTAACAGGCATAATGATAGCCTAACGAGCATCCTGATTATACTTATTTTTTAAAGCGAGCATCCAAAAATTAGAGTCCTCATTATGGATAATAAGACACGGATAATGAAGATCATCCTTCCTGTCCTTCAGGTTGATCACCAAATTTAGTGTATACAGCACTGGATACCATTTTGACGATTTGTTTATTTGTCGCTGTCAAAGATCACTGATGGTGCCCGTGTTTCTACCGCTGACTTGATAGGTTGATAATCTATTGCAATTGCTCTTTGTCACTGAAATCTTGCTAGAAAGTGAATGCTTTGGCCAAAACTGACATGCGTAACCATCCAATGCCGATGTGGCTGTACTTGATGCCCTGTACTTGACAAGCGGTAGATCACATATTGCAAAAACTGTCACCGGGGCAAGCGCCTTGTAGCTGCAAAACACCCTATCTGTTGCTCTGTATAAGTAGTGGGTAAAATTGTGTAAAGCCATTGCTTGTTCAAATTCGTTGATATACATTGTGAGGATGGTAAATTGCTGCCTTTGCTTCAACATAACCTAATAATGTTGAATTAATATATGCCGGATGTACCGCATGAATGTTAAAGTGCTGACCGCCAATCTTCAAATCGTGTGCTTACACAGACGTCTCTCCGGAATCATCGCAGAAGCTAGCAAAGGGTTCGGTATTCAAGGTTGGCATGTTTAAAAACATGATTTGAGATGGATATCGGCTCACTTTAAGCCTCACACACTAGCAGCGAAAAATATTATTACTGTATGGTCCTAAGCTCCCTACTAAAGCAGTTTTGATACCGCATAGTGCCAGACGAACAACGTATCTTATCGAATTATTCCATCACATAAGTCCCTTGTAGTTGGTGGTGGCGGCAACGTGGGTACGAAGCTGCGAAGGTCAGACACGGCACTTTTATTTGTGATTGTAGCCTTCTTATCTTATGCCATGACCCGGTTGTTTACCGACCGTGTTGCATCCATCGTGCTTTGTTCTTTGTGCAGCTGGGCGACATACCTTACCTTTTGACCGTTTTATGTAAGAATTAACCCTATTTACTGTGATGTCGTCGTTGTTGACAGACTTGTGCGAGAAATGTAAGTCCATCAGTTTGCAGTTTGGTCTAGTATTTACGTGATCTAGAAGGTTGCTTAGTCATAAGGACGGATACTGTGAATTTGAATCGCATACGGGAGAGTTATTATTGATAATTATGGCGGACGAAAACTTGTTTGAAATACAAATAATGACACCGATTACCAGCTTACATTATGTCTACTGCAAAATAGTTTATCAGGGTATCGGAAATTGAGCTAATGAGTATAAGCGAATAAAGCTATGTTTCTGAAAAATTTAATGTTATGTGTTCCAACCACCTGTTTTGTTTTAGAAACGCACCTGTCATTTGCAAATTGCTTTTGATCTTCATGGCACTTTTGATTCGCAGCAGGAGCACCCAACTTTGTAAGAAGTAAGGCACTGTATAATTGTTAGAGTTATAGCATGCTTAATGATGTCCTACAGGCCCTCCCTCGATGTGCTGTGCACGCATGTGTGCTTAGGGGGGAAAGGAAGGGTACAACAGCTCCGTAATAACCTTTTTTTACTTACCGTAGAGCAGCTGGCCATGTTCCATGAAATTTGTAAGTAGAAAAGGAACCGTTGTCAACATTTCGAAAAGACATCTAAAACAGAGTAACACCGACAATGGCCGCCCGGTCAAATAGATGCTGGTGGTGCTGCTGTTGCTGGATTACATCAGCAGTGGTGGGAGTGAGTAGTTTCGGTGTTGGTGGTGCTGTTGAATACGCTTTGTTAAACGAACGTTCTTTGTCGGATCCTGCTGCTACTGCTGTGGCTGTTGCTACTGTTGCTGTTGTTGTTGTTGCTGTAGTTACTACCGACGGTGATATGGGCGTAGTAAGGAATAGATACGCATTATGAATGCCACGCGCAGTTGCTGTTCTCGCTGCAGAAAGGCGCTGCTGTTGTTGTTTTTCTTGCTGCTGTTCGTTCTCGTTCTCGTTGTCGTCGTTGTCTGTGAAAATACGCAAACTTTGGCTTGCAAGGGGAAAGAAAAAGACGAACTGTGTTTCTCACATGTGACGAAAAACTAACGGAGTGGTCGTCGTTGTCGTTGTCGTCGTCTTGGACAGGCGCTTGTTCCGTGGCTGTAGTCGTCTGTGTCGTCGGTGCCGTTGTCATGTAACGCTCGTTGAGATGACTAGATTCAATTTGGCCAGAAGGATCAATTAGAAAGGCGTGAAATAGGAGCTATTAGGAGCGTTTAAAGTAAAATAAAATCAAAAGAGGACGGAGAGGACTATGGTAAACGGAAGCGGTGGTAGTAAGGTATGGTTGTGGCAGTGGTTTGCAAAAGTATAAAACTGAGCGAAAGCACAGACTAATTTTTTTTGGTTACCCTATGCTTTCCTTATATATCAGAAATGCTTGTGTACCTCTTTTCGTCACAAAAGGGATCACCTCGCACTCTATATGATATAGTCTCTGTGACAGAAGAGAGAAAAAAAAATGAAGTGAGAATATTCTTTCTTCCGTTGTTGAATAGAAAGACCATCGTCGCCTCCTCCCCTCTCCCTTTATGACCAAAAAAAAGCAGTCTGTATGCTGTATGTATGTGCATACGCGCGTTCCTGTTAATGTCGGGCAGTGCCCGGTACTTAAATTTCATTGGCCCAACGTGCTGCTGCAACTATACTCGAACCGCTTTGAGAGTTATACTACGCAGAAGACTTATTGGAGTCAAGTTTACTGACAAAGGTCACTATCTATGGTAAGCGGGAACATTATCATCTTCCACATGCTATGATATATACGGGATCAAGAACATCTTGAAATATAGCGATTCCCGGAAAGTGTTCCTCATATCTTCTGGGCAAATTCTAACTACAGTACTTTGTCTGTTTAAACTCTATATGTAACAAACTCATGAGCAGTTGTTCAGTAAATGAACCCAGTGTCTTAAGCTTGATGCTTACCAAACGAACAACAATACAATAGCAAGCTCAAAACGCCAGAGAAAAGGCAAGCCTGATACAAGACGCTGGAGTGCTACTGTGTGCTGTCAACCAAGATATAAACATCACCCTAGTAAGCTTCTTGGATCCCAACTCCGCTCAATGGATTGGATAGCATTGTAATACCCTGCAGATGCGGTAACGAATAAACAACAGCATTCAGGATGTCTAGATTATATAACTAAAGTCATCCTGGCAATAGCAACATAGAGAGCAAAAGCTAGTTCAGTCTTCCTTACTCTCAAAGAAAGAAAAAAAGAGATGCAAACGAATTATTGAAAAGTAATATGCAAAAGGCAACCATGACTGAATCAACCCACACTTGTGACAAGCATTTACTGACGTGAGTCAGCAGGAAGCAAAGGTAGTCTAGAAACGAGGAGCTCAGGAAGGGCGCAACACAGATCTTTCTTCTTTGGATAGTGACAAGTGATGCGTGTGTCAAACCTCGAACGTTCCAACAGCTTTCCCTTGAAACGAAAACTCCGTAGAGTGAAAGCGCATTGTTACGCAACGATTTGGCCAATTTACTTGGTACTCAAAGTGCACAAAGGAATGGCGGGTGAACAAGGTGATCAATGGAGCAACGAGTTACGCGCAAAAGGGTCAAAAGATGTACAGTAGGAAGTCATCGTTTATGGTGTTATTCTTCTGATCGTCCCAATGGATCTTGAAAGCTGCTAAAAAAACGTAGAACCCGCACAAAAACAAACGAACCGATTAACTTTATCAGCAGCAATGAAAATCAATGAAGGGTGAGTCAGTTTCACTAGCGGCAGCGTATACTTACCATGAGCGGACAGCTTATCTGCGGCAGCACATACATACTTGGATAGAGTATGAATTCGGAATGGATGGAGGGAGGTTACACGGCGTAGTTCAGAGAACTGTTGGCGGATGGCGAAAATTATAAAGCAACAGTAGACAAACACGCTTCACAATAAAAGATAACGATCTTTGATACACTGCAGCGTTGAAGTCAAGTGTGTGTTGTATCTATTCCCGCACACAGCACATGCAGTCAAAAGATACTAGCAAAATGGAATCGTCTGTAGACTACGCTTTATACTGTTTATCTTGTTGGGTGAAATGGAAACTGGCTGCTGGGAGGATCGTGTCCTTGATATTTACTAAGCAACTGATGCCGTAGAATCTGTTAAGTTGTTTACCTTGTCAATCACTCCTGTATTGCCATTTGATTGCTCACAGAAAAGCATTTCTTCCGTGAATCTACATGCTCATTCACATTCGTGTCTTTGTTTTCGCTTGACACGGTGCCGTGCACGGCCCACTCACAACCAAGCGGCGACAGCATCGGAGGTACAGCTGCCATAGTGAGAGACACGTACCATTACCGCCGAAGCACGCTTGTCTACTTGACCATCAGGTACCACTCCTCCTTTCATTTCCTCTGGTGCTGTATCTTTTGTTATGCCATAGTAGGCAACCCACAAGTTGATACGCAACCCGTTATCTGGGCCAATGAGAATTCACGGGGATTTGAAGTCCCGAACGAGAAAAATGTCTATATAAAGCGAGCAATTTCGCCTTTCTTTTTTCTCTTCTCTTCAGTTCGTTTTGGTACAGCTTTGGTCTGTAGTACAGATGCACTGCTCTGTGCCATGATCGGGTCATTGCTTGTGCTGGCTATTGTCATAATTCTTCTGATGATCGGCAGATTCAGTGGTCCGCGCCCTGAAGAAAATTTTGCAATATATACCAGTGGGAATGTGGTCATATACTCCGGCAGCCGATCGTGAACCTTCGGGTGCATGTGATGCCAACGGTATATGTTGGGATAATTGAAACGAACTTTTTTTTTATTATTTATTACACACAAATAAGAAAATGATAAACAAAATAAAAATATATTTTTCTTTTTCGCACTTTCCGCATAAACGTTTTACCGCTTTTGCTTCGCCTTTTTTTTATGTGCACGACAAGTTCCTTTTTCTTTTTTCGCGAACAAAAAGCTAATTACTCCCCTCTCCATCCATTCACAGCTCCGTGCTAAACCAAAGCGGGGAACAATGACAGTGGCTCAGTAACACGATCACAACGCGCTTTATCACGCTTTGGCACTCTTTTTCACCTTCTGTGTTCGCCTAAATTGCCAAAGTAACTGTCAAGAAAAAAATTGTTATCGAGGACCTCTTTATTTTATAAGAGACAACGCCAGAGCATACGCCAGCAGACATGTATAATTGCCAGATCTGTAAATTGGAATGTTTTTTTTTCAGCTGTTCGTCTCTCTCACTCTTCCTGCACGTAGCTTATCACAACACAATTTTCTTATCATTTTGGGTTTCACCTGGATCGAAAAAGCTTGCACTGATCTTCCGATATGCCTGCTTTTAAAGCGTGATTCTTGTAACAGCTCTTTCCCTCCCCTTACACCTTCACTTCTCTCTTCCTTTTCTTATTTAACTTTACTTCGTTACATATTTTCAAGGTATGCGTTACCTATTTGAAAGTGATGATCGCTCACCAAAGATATCAGGGGGACCTGTTGAAGATATGATATATTTGCTCTACCAAAACATGCACGCACCCACACACACAGGGATGCTGTGTTTTCCAGGCCAAGCGATTCGTTACGCATATATGTCTTTTGCGGCTCGCAAACAATAAACCCGAGTGTTCATGAAGCCTTTTGCTTCGTATCGAGAAGTCGATGGTTTTAGAAAGAGCCTGTTCTAATGTGTATCTGCGTATCGCTATGATAGCATAGATTTAATGAAGTTACTGGTGGTTACAATAGATCAATCTTCAGGGTCCCCCTTTTCCAAATAAAATTCAGGTGAGCTACCTGGTTCGACTTGCTTTTCCTTTGTCGGACATATTATTTCACGAGTCCGGATTATGTTATACAGGATTTGTTCGATTAAAAGCCTCGTGCCAAATTTCTTTTCGCGCGTCCCCTTTCACATACACGTAATATGACTGATTTGATCTCGATTTTGCCTCCCGAATCATTCAGTACATCTTCTCGTTTATCGGACAGCGGGCTGTGTCGAATGTGTGAATGTATGTCGCCGCTGTATTCGCGATCCCCACTTACCAGACAGCCCTGTGGACACTGGTGGGAATCTCGCCTGATGCATGGAACAAAAGGAGCGACGCGATGCTTCAATGTTTGGGACAACAAGTCGAATCAGTATACATCAAATCTCAAGCCACGTATAAAGTACTGGAACGACTTGCTTGGCGAAGATACAGCATTCGCTTCCTTGGTGAAGTAAAACGATACTCTTTTTTTTTGCGTTAAGAGGATCGCGTATTCGGTAGTACTTACTACTGCTTATGCGCAAAAGATATACTAAAGCTTTTTCTTTGTTTTCAATAAAAAAAAATAAGACATCAGCAACCATGTGCATAGCAAACAATTACAACCTATTTTCGACAGTAGCACGTTACTGCCAGGATTCATCAGATATTTCTCGCATACGCTAACTGCTCTGACGATTTCATTTCACACTTGCGATATCTCGCTGCCAATGCTACTGGACTTCTTGCCGTCATTAACGCATCTTTCAGTGATGTTTGATGGCCGCACTAACTTATCAGACGCTACTCTTGAACAAGTTGATGGCAGAAGCAGACACAAAAGGCCACCGATACACAACATTATCTTCTTAAGACTGGACGGTGTTCTCAGTTTTAAATACCGGATCCGTCCCTTATTGCAGCGTTGCTCCCACATCAAGTACTTGATATTATCGCCTTACTCACGATTCAACAACGTATCTCCAACCAACATCTATACAGCTTATGAGCTGTGCCCTCTATTACGCTACATTATGTGGGAATGCAGCGAACCAGTCATAGCAGACAGATGGATTTCACTATCAAGAAGCACGAGTGCTTATATTAAGTAACTGAAAGGAAAGCATCGAATGATGGCGAGGAAGGCAGTATGGCTTATGAACTGCTATTCAACGGCAAGGGACACGAGAGGATCATGCCGATAGTAGTAAAATCGCAGCCGATACTAGAACATTTACGTATAGTCGCCTGTGGTCTTTCTGATATTCATTGCTGGGATGTCTTGGCACGCAACCAATTCACACAGCTGACAAGTTTGGGGTTGACGGACATCACTGGTATGTCAAGCGAAGATTGGTCCCAGATTTTGCTCATGCAGCAACAAAATGAGATCTTGGAAGTTGGAAATCGCGCTGGAATAACGCAGTATCTGAACAGCATTATCGCAACCATCGGTACGCTGCAACGGCTCCGTATACTTTCCTTGCGAAATTTCCTTCACATGTTCAGCGAGAATCCTCTTTGCGATCTTACTCCGCTTCGACGTTTGCAACAGCTTGAAAAAATGCGTCTCACGAACATACCCATCGACAACCAAGGTCTAATGCAGTTGTGCGAACCATCACAGCACCCACTAGTCAGGAGATTAAGCTTGAACCCGCACATCACCGTACAGTAATAGTGTCGACGACTTTCTCACAGAGGCAGGATGGATTTGTGTGGGCACAACGACTTGAGGAAAATATAATACTGAATCTGGAACTGACATCCGTGAAAGGTGTTACTGATGCTGTCCTTGAGCATTTTGCACGAGTCGAAAGCTTGGTGCTATTGCGTGTTCACGGATCTATAGTCTCACCAATGTAGGCATCAATGCTTTTCGTATCATTGAAGGATCTAGTAAGAAGATTGTTGAAGTCGTGGGGTGTTCAGGAGACAGTTTGTAAGGCCCTTTAGGTAGTGATCTTGGTCGATCTGCTGCCGCTGCTGCTGTTGCTGTAGCACTTTTGGTGGTACTAGCCAACAGCAGATGCTGAAGCGCGTGATGGCACGGATGATGGTTTTTGCGCACTAACGTTTGCTGATGGTGGCATAGCGTACGGTGCTATCGGTGCAGTCCCTATTGCTGATGTTACTTTCGCATCTCTCTTCGGAGGTGGTGGCAGAATCGCTTGGCGCGTCACTCGCAATGAGCGGATCATTTGCCATACATAGACATGAATCTAAGCTGTTTACATACAAGAGAAAGGATCAGGCTATAGGAAGAATGAATATGATCGTTTGATAATATTAGTGCTCTTCCAACTTACCAGGTATTTGATATCCTTGATCTCTTTTGGGCTTTCGAAAATGTATACACACAGACCGGTTGCCTTGATGATGTAATCGTTGCTTGGGTTCAGCAAGATTTCATGATCTCCTCGGTCTGCAGCGTATGTTTTGATAACAAACAAAATGACCTGGCATTCTTTGAAACAAACCTGTGATGGTATATGCATGAATACGTGCTTTTTAAGCTGGTGACGGTTTTTTCTACTATCCCTCTCTCTCTCTCTCTCTCTCTCTCACACAAAAACAACCACATACCCAAGCAGCATGAGCAAATGCCACATTGATCAGAAACTCTGGTGGTTTTGCAGTACAAATTTCATAACACGAGATATCGTCTGGAAATAGAATTGGAAGGCACAAATTAGTATCTAATTGCGCAAAAAAGCATATCGACGAAATTAAAAAAGAGTATATTACCATACTGAGCCTGCCATGGTTCGTCATAACGATTCATGGGTTGCCGCTGATGCAGCAGATTCGTCAAAAGAGTTGATGCACCACGACAACGACAGTTCATTGCTAGGAGATAATGCTTAAATTCCTGGACGCAGATAATTTCTTTGGCAACCTTTTGGTAGATGGCAGTCGTAGGCGATAAATTGTATGTGTATATGGGCACATTATGGCTCACAGTGTAGCAATAGAGTGACCAGAGACGGACTGTGTTGCGTTCATCTTCTTCTGCGGTATTTCGTGCATTTTGGTCTGCGAAGAACAAGGAAGATAAGTCAGAGAGAGATATTCAACATGTATCAGAGAGGGAATCTAGGAGAGTGAAGAGAGCTACACAGTAGATAAAAACTGTAACGGTACCTGAAATTGTAAAGATGGCATTTGCATAACGCGCTCTCTACATCGATAAACATATAATGCCATAAGTTTCATTTCTGTCGCAATGTTCGAAAGACCTAGAAAGATTATGTTAATACCGCTCTCTGCAGCGTTTTATCATTGAAAACGGAACCATGCAAAAACTGGACGGGGGGACCCCACATGGAGTTACGCTCCATTAATTTGAGATCTTCGGCCGGCTTATTGATATCGAGAAAAACAACATTCAGATGACTTTCCGCATTTTCCTACCATTATCAAGGCCAGTTATTAGAGTTATATCATTCATCGTGATGCTGTATACCTTTCAGATGTTTTACCCTATTCAGAAAGCCATCAAGTATCTCGCTAACTTGATCAGGTCGGAAGGCGCCGATAATCAAAATAAACGGAAGTACACCGTGATTCACATGGCCTCCACCACCTGTTTGTTGTTAATTTTCATCAAACCAGTCAGTACACACATGTGTCATATTCTCTAATATACTAACCATTCCTTTGCCAAAACATCGGCAATCAAACTTGGCAGAACCGCCAACGAAGTAACTATAATGAGCATTACAACAATTCGAATGACTTCTGTTAGGGCAGTAATATCTGTAGAGATTGGTATAGCAGCCAAGATGAGTTCTCGTGACCTAGTAATTTCCTAAATTTGATTTAGTGTTTTTCTACCTCCATAACCAAGTGTGGATAATGTCACCATGACAAAATAGCTATAATAGATTATCGTTGTTAGCATACACGTGTATCCTGCTTTCAATAGCAATCATTGTTAAAGATTATAAGAAACAGACTTACAGCGAGTCGATAATTGAGTAGTTGGTACTGGCAAACGCTGTTTCACAGTACTGGAATGCAGCCATACCATTATACAGCAGTTTAATAAGCATATATACTAAGTGGATCAGCTTGGAATTGAGCAAGTCAACAGGCTTGTGTGAAAAAGGCTATAAAAAATCAGTATTTGGTTTCAAACAGGATTTCTTTTTTTGGCTGCTTTACACACACGCAGCCCGGACCCCTTTATAGCCTAAGGCCGGCCATTTTTACGAGCAAGAGGTATCGATCCACTTTCTATTGAGATAAAGGCATGCAGTTTACGAAAAAGGTGGAGAGTAAGCAAGCTATCTACTAGTTTCCTCTTTGTGTAGTCTTACACACAGCAAGGCGGTAGAGCCGGGTTGCCGTGAAATTTCAGTCCGCTGCATGAAACCTATAGGAAACCGCAGCAGTGCTTGCTGAATTTACGCCTTTGAAAAAGTCACGGGAGGGGGGATTTGGAAAGAGGAAACCAGCTGGTTGTATTTCTTCTTTTAACCTACCTTTTCAAATTTACACAGCACACTAATGTCTGGCCATCGTGGACGATCTCGCTCACCCTCTAGCTTCCGTGATCGTCGAGACACTCGAAACGGACGATATGACGATCGTGGACGACGCAGTGACTATGATCGGGATAAACGTCGTAGCGACGATAGGCACAATAGATCCCGACACGATGACGACCGTGACCATGTGAAAAGATCAAAAGACAGCGAGCAACAACAGAATTCTGAAGAACAAAAAGAACAAGAACAACCTAAAAAACGTGTGCCAGTCTCCATTGAAGAATTAATTAAACGAAAAGAAGAAGAAAAGAATGCTACCAACAAGGTGAACTACAACATCTACCTTTAAGGATCTTTCTAGTACTTTTTCTTCTCTACAGTTTAATTAGTTTACTAACAGCTTATACAATTCTACAACTTAAAATGTATAGCCCAAGTTTCTGACCAAAGAAGAGCGTGCAAAGTTGGCACTAGAAAAACGTCAAAAAGAAGTTGAAGAACAACGAAAGCGACAAGACGAGGAACGACGAGCGAGACAACAGTTTGACATTAAAGCGGAGGACGAGCACCGTAAGGTTATGCACGATCGTCATTCATCGTCGTATGGTGGTAGCAGCAGCGGTCGCTATGGACGACGTCACGAATCTCGACGAGAAGCAGATCGGCGACGCGAGCGAGAAATGTCATCAGATGATATGGATTCCGAAACCGGCTTGAACGAAAAGGAAAAGCAGGCGATTCGTGTATGTATTAACAAAAAAAGCGGCATATTTACAGGAGTGGAAGAGAGGAAACGAGTATAACAACTCTGATTGTACTTATATATGTAAATGTAGGAACGATACTTTGGTGGCGAGCGCAAAAAGCGAAAGATCCGACGCATGAACGAACGTAAATTTGTATTCGATTGGGATGCTGGTGAAGATACGTCGTATGATTTCAATCCACTCTATGCACAGCGTCACAGTGCACAAATGTTTGGTCGCGGTCATATTGCTGGTGTAGATATCAAGGAACAAAAGAAGCAACGATCCGAGTTTTATAACCAGTTGCTGCAAAACAGACAGACTGAGGAGGAACATCGTCGTACAAGGTATGTCTTCTACAATGCTTTGGGTCTCAAACATACTTAGTATTCTACTGGTGTTTATTTCTAAATTTTCTTTTCATTAGGGAATTGATGGAGATGGATAAGAAGAAGGAAGCCAAGATGATGTGGGATGATCGTCATTGGTCTGATAAACCGCTCGAGCAAATGCAAGAAAGAGACTGGCGTATCTTTAAGGAAGATTTCAACATCTCGACAAAGGGTGGCAACATTCCTCGACCTATCCGCTCCTGGTCAGAGTCCAACTTGCCACAGAAGGTTCTCGGTGTTATTGAAGGTGTTGGCTATACTGAACCTACACCTATTCAGCGACAAACTATCCCTATTGGTATCCAGAACCGAGATATTATCGGCATTGCTGAAACAGGTATATAAGACTTAAACTTTTGTACTAATGTTAAGGAACTATGATGGTACATGTGATATATTAACGATGGTGTTTTTTTTTTCTATATAGGTTCCGGTAAAACCGCATCGTTTGTCATTCCATTGTTGGTGTTTATTTCGGACTTGCCTAAGCTTAACTCGGAGAACATGTCCGATGGTCCTTATGCTTTGATCATGGCGCCTACGCGTGAATTGGCCCAGCAAATCGAACAAGAAACTTTAAAGTTTGCCACACCTATGGGCTTTAACTGTGTATCCATTGTCGGTGGTGTAAGTGATCCATCTTTTTTTTTGCTAAAACGACTTACTATTAGCAATATGCGTCAGATACTTATAAATACCTTTTTCATTTGCCTTCTTGTACATAGCATTCTATTGAAGAACAATCATTCAATCTACGTAACGGTGCTGAAATTATTATTGCCACACCTGGTCGACTCAAGGATTGTTTGGACCGACGAATTTTGGTTTTAAATCAGTGCACATATGTCGTTATGGATGAAGCCGATCGCATGATTGACATGGGTTTCGAACCCGATGTTAACTTTATCCTTGACGCTTTGCCGGTATCCAATTTGAAGCCGGAGGATGAAGACGAAAGTGGTAGAGCCATGGAGGTAGAAGGCCGCAAATATCGACAAACAACCATGTTTTCAGCCACCATGCCTCCTGCTGTTGAACGGTTGGCAAAGAAATACTTGAGGCGTCCAGCCGTGGTCACTATTGGTACTGCAGGCCAGGCTGTCGAAACTGTCGAACAGCGTGTTGAAATGATCAATGATGAAAACAAGAAAAAGTATGCTGGGTTGTTCACGCAGATACTGAAATTGATGAAAGCGGGATTGTTTAATTCATTAACCATATTCTTTTAATATAATTATCAATTTACAGGAACCGATTGCTCGAACTTCTCGATGCTGGTACTTACGAACCACCTATTATTATCTTTGTCAACCAAAAGAAGGGTGTGGACGTGCTCGCCAAAGCACTTAACAAGCTCGGTTACCACGCTGTTACTCTCCATGGTGGCAAATCACAAGAACAGAGGTAAACAAAAAGATTGGCTTTCTAAGCGATTATAGCAGTGTGTGCAGGGCGAGGTACAGACACTAACTGCCTTTTTATACTAATCTAGAGAGGCTGCATTGTCCCAGCTTAAGACTGGCAATGCCGATGTTTTGGTAGCAACAGATGTTGCTGGTCGTGGTATTGACGTGAAGAACGTATCTCTAGTCATCAACTATGATATGGCCAAGAATATAGAAGGTGCGTTATATTTGAGTACTTTAACTGCAAACATTACGTAATGGATCAGTATACTAATGACTAAATATGCTCTCCTTTTAGATTATACCCATCGTATCGGTCGTACGGGTCGTGCTGGCAAGTCTGGTGTGGCAATCACTTTCCTTTCCAACAACGATGCAGAAGTGATGTACGATCTTCGACAGATGCTTGCCAAATCCCCCTTATCTAAAGTTCCCAGTGAGCTGGCTCATCATGAAGCTGCTCAAACGAAACCTGGTATTGTCAAGGCAAAGAAGAAGCACGAGGAGACAATTTTTCAATAGCTTATAGATTGCGGTTGTTAAAGCAGTACTACAATAAAACTTTTCTTCGTCTGGAACATTTGACTTTGTATTTACTGTGTATTGACATTCTCTTTGAAATTTGCACCTCTTTCATGATATATCGCCAGGCTTTCTGAAAATTGGCGACCAAGATTCACAGCAAGGAACATGGGTTACATCATACTATTTATTGCTCCAACAAGATGTTAGTAAATCTCTCTTGCTAGACGTAGACAGTAAGCGGACTTTGTCTAAATTGCACTTGAAAGCGCAAATCAACGCAATTACGAATCCTGCACAAATCCCAAGCTAATGTTTCAATAGAAGTGCGAAAGCTTATAAATGCCAAATCTGTATGATGACACGCCCTTGAATGCACCAGTATGTCATCAAAATGATACTGGAGATGTCAGACCTGTTCAGTGCCGATTGCCAAGAAGATCACCAAAAGAAAAGGCCGCCTTGGATCTGTAAATACAGGAAGTGCTTAAACGCGGTGTAATCAGACCAAGCAACAGCCCATGGCGTTGAGTACCACTGTTGATTACCGAGTCTGACGGCTCAACAAAAGTTGCAATCATTTATAAACCACTGAATGCAGTAACAAAACAAAACAAGTTTCCACTGTGCCGCATCGAAAATTTACTCGACAGATTGCTTCCAGCAAAAGTTTTCTCCCTCCCTCTGCGACCTCAAATATGGCTACTGGAAATTCCAATGCATGAAAATGACATATCCGAAACCGCATTTGCAACAAATCACAATCTTTCAGACTTTGTTGTATTATCATTATGCAGTAACGAATGGACCGTCTACCTTTGCACGTTTTGGACAACAAATTTTAGGGCATCTCTGTTACGTGACGATTTATATTAATGACATTTTAAAATCTTTGTCAGATATGGCAACACATCTCAAGCATATCGAGGACGTGCTCTGGATCCTACACAAAATTTAATCTCAAGCTCTGAAATCACAAATGCAAATTTATGATACCAGATGTCAAGTAACATGGATTCATCGTGACCATTGGAGGTGTACATCTAAACCCAGAACATGTTGTTGAAGCAATTGTGGAATACCCACGCCCAGTCAATACATAAAATCTACAGCGATTACTAGAAATGTGTTATTTTTATCACCAGTTCTTCGCAAAGCTAGCCCACTTGGCGGCACCACCTCTATAGAAATTACTGCAAAAAAGCGAGGAATGGCAGTGGCATACAAAAGAAGAAGCAGCCTTCCAAGATATCAAAAACGGCTCATTGAACTTCCAACGCCAGCAAATTATCCCGGCCCCAGCTTACCATACGATCTCCATTGTGACGCTTCGGATGTTGCTATTGGAACTGTTTTGTCGAAACTCAAGGCCAGTTGCCTATATGTTAGCAAAACATTGACACCAGCCGAGAAGAATTATAGCGTGACTGAACGTGAGGCGATGTGCGTAATTCAATTTTTATGGTACTTTCATTGTTATATGCATGGCGCCCAACCTACGGTCTACACAGATCATGCAGTGATGAAGGCTATCTTATCATCTCAAGTCTCAAGCACCAAAAGGGCGAATGTACGATGCATTATGGCGGCAAAGCATTACAACTATACAATTCCACTGCACGAAAAAGTGAATATCACCATGTTTGAAAAACATAATCGTATAGGAAGTCTAGAGGACGACGCCTTACTTGGTCCATAATTTTTTTTTAGAATAAAATTTTACTTTGCTATTGTTGCAAAAGGGACGGTGAAAAAACAACTTGTTTTTGCAGGACATTAAAACATACTCATATTTGTATTTATTAAGAAATTTGCACTTATCGCTAATTATTGCAACCTTATCTGCAGGGTCTGTACATCGTGTCATATGTAAAAGCGAATTTGAGGGGTAAGGAGTAGGCTTAGAAGAATAATCTTTATTTAATAATATAATATTTTATATGATAGTGATAGATAAACTATCATCCTATTGGAAATCTGCCAGTTCTGCAAATTAAAATTTTCTATGGAGATTTCCAACTAGCCACTTTCTCTAGAGAAAGCAACACAAAGATTGCATTGCAAGTTAAAACTTGTGACCTAATTTATTTGTATGAAAATGAATAATTTATTTGTATGAAAATGAATAATTTATTTATTTTTTCTACTAGTCTTATTTCATAAGACAGTCTTTTATCTGCTAGTGGATTTTCAATCTACAAAAACTTATTTACTTATTTTTTATTTTCTAATTGTTGTAAATTTATTTTATTAATGATTAAATTTATAACTTCTAGAAAATATAAAATCTAATTTCACTGATTTTATTAATGTTCGTTTTATTTTTAACTTCTAAGAATAGAAAAATATATATTCTACTTTATTTTTTATATTCCACTATCTGTATTATATTTACATATAATAGGATAATTAATACTTATTGATTATCCTTCTTGATAAGGGGGTACTTTTTTTTCTTCTTATTTACTCTCTTTCCTCTGTATTTTTGTACAAGTTGTGCTGTAGCATGTATAATCTGGCTGTATTGATGTAGTCTAGGTAGCCTCCGACATTGAGATTGCTATCAGCACCTATATGCCAGAGTTTCTTGATTGCTGTATTCGTTACATGGTCGAAGGGAACCTAACAGTTTCCGGCTGCATAAATCCATTGTGGTGCCATTGTGATGATGTAGCAAATGTAAAAAAAAAAAACAAGGACTAAGACTGAGGAATCATGCCGAATGTTTGACACAGCCAGTACAACAGTCGAAGAGGTTGATTATTTCTTCCTTCGTCAGCAGATCATGATGTCGCGAAAATATGTTGAAAGTCAATCCACAATCAACCACAATCTCCTCAATTTGTGTAAATTTCCTAATTTTCAAACATGACTTACACAATTAAGCATCACCCTTTTTTTTACTGTATTATCAGTGCTAAAAGTCACCAAAATCTGGCGTCTGAAGTCGGCAGAGAGATACTACAAACTTTCTTTGTCGAGACACTTACTAAAACATTTGACAGAATGTGAACAAAACCTTTGAAATCATTTAAATATAAGCTATCGCATGCTTCACTAATCCTAGTCATTAATGTTTCTTTTTCCAATAGTTCATTTCGCTTCACCACCTTACTCTACTCTTAACAACAGACCGAGCTGCTCAATTGGGGAAAGTTCAGGAGAATACGGAGGAAGATATACATAATAATATCCTTGAGAACGAACATATTTACCTATATCAGTCGAGCTGTGGATAGGAGCATTATCTATGGCAAGATAGTGTCCTTTCAATTCGGGATACTTGTCCATTTCATCAAGTGTCGCCTTTAAAAAGCTCAAATAATGTCCTGTTACTGTTTCTATGCTATAACCATCATTCGCACGTCCAAGCTTTCTCTTTTTTGATACGCTTTGGAACTCCCAAACTGACATTAATCAAGCCAGTGGCAGATATGGCACCTAAAATCGATGTTGCATTCGCTTTTGTCACAGGCACTGTAACTATCGCAGAGTTCCCTTTTTTGACCACGCCATATCTCGTTTGAAATTGATATGAAAGGCTGATTCATCAAGAAAGACACAATTTAATGTGAAATCCATGTCAGTTTGCTGCCACTTTTGAACCCAATCGTACCTTTGTTGAAACTTTTCTTCGCAATTTTTTTCTATAGGCTGAAATTGTGTCTGTTTAATAGATAGATTGTACTCACCTGTCAAGATGTTATAAATGATGCTACGAGAAACATGAAGATCTGCAAAGTTTTGCGTTAAACTTTCTGCCACTTCAGTTATAACAGCAGAAGGATCCTCATCAATATAATTTAAAACAAATTGCTTATGCCCCTCACCAAGAATGCGACGCCGGTCTGACTTTTTCTTCTTCTCGAAGATGTTTTCAGGGTCCTAGTAATAGCGTTTAATCCATCTCTGTGCTTCTCGGACATGAGTACCCAATTGTCCCGCAGCTGCAGAAGCATTTGAGCATTTGCTGAGAAATAAATGAAAAAATCGAGTTTTATCTTCATCAGAATAGATTGTTAGCGGCGCTTGTTGCATTGCTCCATATAAACATCCTCGCTGCTCCTCTCGGCAACGGCACGCATTACAGGATTATGAGGTCTCTCAGGAGGTTTATTCGCTAGGTATTGACTACGAGAACTTATTGTTTCCATAGCGAATAACTCCTCGTCAACAACAAGATCCATGGGCTCAACTCCGTTCTCATCAACAACATGTCCTTGTCCATCTTCATAAAAAATTGCATATCCATTCTGAATGTGTGTAAAATAAAATATACAGTAAATAGAAAAAAGAAACGCAAAAGGAAGCAAAAAAAAAAATCGTGCCTATTAAATAAAAATAAAATGCCGATGGATAATAGCGACAAGTAAAAATAAACGAGGCACAGGACACATAAACGCGTCTTATCTTTGGATCAGTCGACATTGTTGTTGGACAGGCAATTTTTTTGGTACGGCATCAAACTCAAAATCAGCAACTTTACTTTGTAAAAAGACTGTATATCATAGCTTATATCAAGATCGAGAAACTATGGCGTATGCCTTGCTTGATAAAATGCACTTGATAGCATCGCTGCATTTTGCCGCGTTACCACGGACGTTCTAGCTACGTAGTAGATAAAGAAAGTGATAAGCTTTTCTATGATAAACAAGCGTTAGATGTACTTGTTGTATAGATAGTCAAAGCTTTTCGAAAGAAATTTTCCTCGAGATATTGAAGATAAGTAGTGAGAGTCTCGGGTTGTGGCTCATTAAAAATCAATTTCTCAGTCGTATTAATCATATAGCAGACAGCCCACTTACGGGACATTATTTGCTTCAAAAAGCCGAATTTCTGCATATGTTTAGTACAATTACAGGAATAATGCTGTACTTTTTACGACTCGTTTACGGCAGACCGAGCTAAACTTCTGCTGGAGATTTGTTGGATACACAACGGTATATAACTAGATGACCAGTGTGCTCCTGTTTGGTTTACAAGAGGGTGGTGCCATAGGTTCTATTGTAATCATGTGCCTAAGCAACGCTACAAAATAGTCTAGTAGCAAGATTTATATGTTTATCACCTTGATCTCCAGGCTAAAAAAGCATGAGGGAATAATGCCTCTATATCAGACAAATTGGGTTGTTTAAGAAAAGAGCTACTATATTGAGTCGCGTTTTTATGTATATATCTCGTACTAGAAAAGCAATAATCGGAATATGTATATGTGAGAGTTTCGTATTACAAAGTGTCTTTGGGGTTTTAAAGGTGGATGAGGGAAATAAGAGTGCTGGTGGGTTTTAGTAAAAGGAAATATGTGGTGTGAACGGACAGACAGGCTTAAGAAAACAGGGATGGAAGTTATTAAAATAAGGGGGATATAAGGGGATTGACAGGAGAAAAGTGCTACTGAGCTTCTTCGCACTGATAATCGTCTTCAAAGTTTGCAAACTGAAACCACAAAGGTTCGGGAGACGTTGGTAGTCCAAGATCGCTTGAAGGATGATCGGTGGGAAGGAAATCAGAAGAAGGCTGTAGGTTCGACGAGTCATCGTCGACCATGGCATCAGAAAATAGCAAGGACGGTGGTTGTAATAGGCTTAAATCGCTAAAGTCCCAGTTGGCGAACTTATTTTCATCGTGGCTGCTGCTACTCATCTTTGTCCATGGCTCTTGTGTTGCCTGTCGTAAGCTGTTGTCCGGTGTTTGAGAAAAGAGAAGATCATCCCACTCTGGTGCTAGCTGAGATGCACTATTATTCTCCAACGGTACTACTGGTTGCTGCTCCCGATCCCCAGATTTCATATCGAATAGCACAATGTTATTCTCAGGCGTGACTCCGTGAATAGCTTCATCGTGAATATCAGCATTCATGAATTCGTCTTCGTTGCTCTCCGTGCCGCTTAAATCGTCATCGTTAAGTGTTACTAGTTGCTCTTCAACATCCATATCACCATCCTTCATAACAGTGTCGTTTCTACTGGAGATCGTGGCTGACGATATTGCTGGTGTTGATAGTGATAGATCCTGCTGCTGTTGCTCTTCACCCATCTCTTCATCGTCCTCAGCGAGTTCATCCTCTTCTTCTTCCATCTCGTCTAACTCCGAATGTCTGCGTGCTTTTGCTGCTGTTGTCGCTTTGCTGTTGCTATTTACTTTTGCCTCCTTTTTCACGCAGTAAGGGCATGTGTAGTCCTTGGCAATGTCCTTCTGATCGACACCTACGCATTTGAGGTGCTGCCACATTTGACACTTGTCACACTGGATCATGGTACCGCGGTCTTCTGTTGGTTTCTTGCAAACGCATTTAATGCCTTCTCCTGATTGCTGCTCCTCCTCGTCGTTATCATCCTCTGCAAGCTCGTACTGCTGTTGGTTTTCATCCTCGAGTCCTTTCTGTTTACATCGATCACGGTGATATGCCAGCCCATTTCGATTCTTGTACTTTTTACCGCATGATTTGCAGACAAAGGCGCGTGAACCTAGTGCCACAAAAACAAGATCGATCCACGGAGTGTATGTTAGTTCTAACTTTTCTGCACTTTGATAAGGTCTCTTTTTCCCCAAATATATAAATAGCTGTACTCCACGACATATTGATGTGGGTAATTTACCATCTTCAAGAATGAGCGGCGGCGTAGCCCGTGATCGTCTTGTTTGTTTCGATGTTGTCGTAGTCTTTCTGGCCTTGCTCTCACCCACGTTTCTTTTCTTGCCAGCACCGCCAGCGGTAGAGCCACGTTTCTTTGGGATCTTAAGAGACTGACTTTGTCTGTCATCTTCGACTTGCAGTGACAGGGCATTGTTGGATGATATAAGTTCACGGTGATTATACATGTGTTGTTGTTGTCGCCGCAGTCGCTGACCGTTCCCGGATACCGTACGCGTATTTAATGGCGCGGCTTGGTGTCGTTTGCGTGCCAGTCGTACTCGATGTTTTTTGGTAGCCTTGGAAAGCAACAAGGCATTTGGATCTTGTGGTCCAAGCGATGCTAATGCTCTGGCTTTGGCCTGGCAAAGTCGGATTTTAAGCAACTCGCTCAAATATTTGATGTTATCGTGACGTAAATCGGCAAGTGAAGGGGGACTATTAGCCCAAATTGCCATGCACGTCTGGTATAGTGTTGACGATGATGGCGCCGACGATGAAGAGCCAGAGTGGTTGCTTCCGGTGTTTGTGTCGTTACTGATATTGTTGCTGTTGTTGTTGTTGTTGTTGTTGTTACTGCTGCTATCAGTAGTATTTGCTCCAATAGTGGTGTCGGTGGTAGTACGGTTTTGAAACTGTGACGATTGCTGTTGTTGTGGTTGTGCTGGTACTATTGACGATAATGGTTGTGACGAAGGAGAGTAAGAAGTGACAAAGGAGCTCGGTAACGCAGGTTTAACGGGAGAGCTGTGGGGAGATTGTAAAGGAGCTGAAGGATCAATACGTCTGCTGAGCAACTTGAGTTGTTCGGCCGATAAACGCTGATGTGGGGTGTCGTTACGGTCGTGAATTTGGTGGTTATTGCTACTGATGCCACTGTTGTTGCCAGAAGCACCGATTGTATGGTGATGATTGTTGTTGCCAGGGCGCTTATCGTTATGGAGATGCTTCATAGCAGCTACTGTTTTGCCACCAGCGGTCGGTCGCAGACATGTACGTTCGACACGGTTTTTTGTTGCCTTGTATGTCTGAGGAATAAAAAGATCTCGCTTTTTGGTCGCATGTGTTGCAGTAGGACTGGTAGTGGTAAATGGACTGGCGTTTTCATCATGCACAGCAGGCAATGCCTGGGCGGCAGAATGGACAGTAGGTGCTCCCGTTAATTGCTTCCTTTCTACTATTGCTGCTGTTGCTGCGGATGTCAATGGAGTAAAGGGGCGTTTTTGTAGTGATTGTTCAGATCGTAAAGACTCGTTTTTGTTCTCTAAAGACGCTAACGGTGGGTGATTTCTGTTTACAAAGAAAATAAAACAAATCGTCAAGGTCAAAATCATCTAATTTTCAAGACGTGTTATTTCCCACTTTAACAAGCATTGAATCAAAGAGTCACCTATTAGGAGTGCGAGGTTTTTTTGAAGGATTGGGAAGATCCATGACGCGGTAAAAGAGAAAAGAAAAAAGAGAAAGAACGGAACGATTAAAGAAGGAATAGGAGGAGGAAGAAGAAGAAGAAACAATCCGTGCCGGTGATAATATGAGATTAAAATCTAACAAAATGAAAGTCATGTGCCTTTGCGGATAGAACAATGATCGACCCCGTGCTCCACGGCGAATACAATAAATTATTTCTTGTGTTTCCCTGCTCGATCGTGATGCGTGAAGAAAGGAAAGAGGCCTTTATGATCTTGAACAGGTTGATCGTTGCTTCTGTCCCAACGCATTAGCTAGAAACTGGAATATATAGAAAACACGCGAATCATTTTGTAATACCGTGACATTCATATATCGATGCCTTTATCAACTTTCCGGCAAACACTCTAGAACTACGCTATCCATATTTGTATATCACATCTGAGGAAATTGGCAGAGTAGTTCTTCTGGTAGAGAAATGACAATAGCAAGGAGACTCTTATCAGCTGATAGCGATCTTCCCAACGAGCATGCTTTATTTTTGCATATCGCATTGGGTACATTGTTAAAATCATCATGTGTACTACATTCTTCCATGCTGATAGTTAAAATATAGGCTAAACCAATTCAAGGAATGTGTACGCTCCTCTACTAGAGCTATGGATAATATTTGATACGAAAGAAAGCTAAGAGGCTAAACTCTCCTTCCATTCGTTCTGGCACGTAAATAACGAAGAATGTTTGCAAAATATCTTTCACTGTACTTATTAAAATTTAGTGCTACTTTACTGTTATAAGCTTTCAATTCAAGACAATGAACGAAGGAGGGGCTTTATCAAATACAAGCCAATGTCGATCTTCAGCATGCAGACAAGCTACTTTAAAAATACTATAGTTATTGATCTCTCCTTTATTTATGAGCGTTACCAAAAACTACTGAGCGGTTAACACAAATCGGCTCTTGTAAGAGCTTTGCTGGTTTATAAACATATACAAGCATAGTCTAAAAAATAATACCAGGAGGTTCAATTACTACAAGATGCTAAACCCTCTCTCCCGTATCAATATCATCTATGCATCAGACCATCAGCACCAAGTAAAAAAGAACCACTTCTTATACTGTAATCTGTAAGGTAATATATGTATATATATACTATTTCTACTGGATTATAAAAGTCAAAGTTATGAAGCAATTTTGATGTAGGTTTTTTTTTTCTTTTTCACAATAGAGTCTTACTGAATATACCCACCGAGGACTTGTATTTTGGAAATGATTAGATGCGCGACATAACGAGGTAGTAGTGTCGGATCTTGTTAATCAGTGACGCTAGTCCTAACCTCATGTTTGTCACTTACGCTACAATCTCGTAGATACCATTGTCCAAGGTATTATTCAGATTACTCTCCTACGGAAGCTCGGTTTGGCTAGACTCGATGACATACCCACTGTGATTTCTCGCATGGGCACTTAGTAGGAGAGTGTGGAGAGGACTCTTTGCGTATACTGACTGATGAATAGTGATTCATACTCGTAGTTCGATATATACTGTTAATGTTTGATTTGATGAGAGAAATTTAAACCAGACGATGAAAATTGTATTATTTGTCTACCATTCTCTGTCACACTTGCCTTTTCAATTCTTCTCAACATGTCCCATACCAATGCCAACAGACCAAGTTGCTTTTATCTATTACGTGGCCACCGATACCCAGAGTTGGGATGATACGATTTTGTCACTCCAAGTCAGTATAATCGTCATAATAGCTGTAAATCAGACCGTATTTAACGTTGCCGTTGGCGTTGCTCAAAGTGAAAATGATGGCTGTGCTACAGTGATCGTGTTACTAAAAGAATGAAGCTGCAGGAATCCAACATTAAATGCAAGGACTAGATGGTAATAATAAGGCTGCTCACTGTGTTGCCGTAACTGAACAAGTTGCAATGGCTACAATAATGATAGTTTATTGTAATGTGCCTACAACCTCGCTTAGGCAAAAATTCAGTTAATATACAAATAGCACTGGTGCGCAGAAAAGACAGACCAGTCCAGCATTCCGACAATGAAAAAGGAGGAATAGTCTGGGCATTGGAGGCCCTAGCAATGCACTTGACCTCCAAGAAAAGGTGGAGCAAATTATGGTTTCTCTTAAATGGCTCGAGCCGAGCTCTTTGTTGTACCAGAATAACCGCTTGCAGGACCCATAGATGAGAGCGACGTCCAACCGACCATCGACATTAGAGTTTAACGGTATATTTGATCCAGCGTTTATGCTTACAAAATGTAATATTGGCGCATAAAGAAAAGGCTAGTATCGGACAGACAAAGTTAACAACAAAGAAAATATGTTGATAAGATATTGACGTACCCGTTGATAACGTTCCAGCAGACCATTTGCCAGATCCATTGATATATATTCTTGCGTTCCTTGTCCTCTTCTAATTTTTCACATATCGAAACGAGCAGCGATCCTGCTCCTCAGCTATATTTCCGTACTGATAGACCAATATCATTTGTAGAAACTGGATTGAATTCTATGGGTCGATCGAGAATATGCGAATGTACAACTCTTGCCCCACCTGCTACGGGCTTTATCAATCTCGTGGTCCAGAATCATGCACGCAACCTAGCCGACGATTAAATGGTACTGCTTGCGCACCCTAATACTAAGGCCTCTATCCATTACCCACGCCAACTGTTGAACATCCACCAAACAATTTACATATGATTCGGTACAGCACACTCGACATGTTTTTTTTTGTGCAGGATGCCTTTGAGAGCAAAGTCGAGCAATGGAGAAGCTGTATGCCACGGTATACCAGTTCATTTATGTAGACGACGGTGCGATGTGATGACAGCTACGTAACCCCATTACCTACTTACCAACAACGACATTGATGACGTCAATCGCTTATTGAGAGACTGTATCTGGGAGTCCTTTAAAATGTTACGGCCTAGAATCGGTCAAATTTTAATATGCACGTCTACCTTCGTCTGACTAAATTGTTAAGAAGTTCGGCCTTATATATCCATTTGTGTTTTCTAGTTTCGAGTACCACAATGGATATATGAAGGATGTAGGAGCCAACTAAAGGACTCCTTTGCACTGACGCTTATGACGCGGCTTATCGAAAACACGAACGCTCTTGATTGTGCGGCAATAACAATCGGCAGCAGATTATTGGTGGGTTGAGCAAGCAAGAAACGTATTTTGCAAGAAATTACCGTAGAATTACAGTTGCCAACGCAGCAACCACATGCAACATCGTTCAACCCACTTACGCTCGGCGACCTATTATCGGGATACAGCCAGAAACGTCATAGGATGTGAGCTTCTTACGAATAGATACATACAGCTCGACGATGGTCCCAATTCCCGATTTTATATCTTCCTTATTTACACCGCTCGTCTAAGACGTGAGTATAAATCAAAGTTCGAAGATGACAGGTAGCCAAAGCTAAGGATCGCAATTGGACGGGTCGGGTCGGGTCAAGACTGATTTCGATGTAGTGATGAAGGAAGTGTCAATCAACTTGAACTTGAGCACTGGAAGTGCAAAACTCCATATATATATACATATATATATATACAGCTCTCTAAGATGATGGCACGCAAATTCCTAGCGGTGCTAGCAACACCTACGTTTTGTGTGATTAGTCTTAAAGGTAAAGGGTTTTGTGCCATCACGAAAGAAATCGCTCGGGCTCACATGCATCAAAGAAAGCGTAATGGTTAAAGTGTGGTTGAAATCGACTTTCCTATATGCCCCTAATCCTTTTCCTTTTCTTTTCAGTTCTTCCTTCTTCCTTTGTTTTTCTTTTCTCAATTCCTTTTCCGTCTTTTGTCAAATCTCGTCTCTTACTGCCACCCTCTATTGTCCGTTCTCATTGTATTACTGCTACTACTTCTTTACTCCTTTCACATATATTGCTTATAGCTTACTTATCCTATACTCTTGAATATAAAATATAATCCCACAATAAAAAGAATATAAGTACATTTTATGTTACAGTTCTATAGCAGATATATTGACAACTACATCTTTAATATAATGATCCTTCCCAATAAGAAGATTGACTACTTGAATATAAGTACCTCATAGATATCATATGTATACACAGGTCACAATGGGTCAACGGGTCGGGTCAAGGGTTAGACGGGTTGACCTGCGGGTCAGAAAAGCATCAACCCGACCTGTTGACCCGTCCTCAACCCATAGGTCGGTTTTGACCTGTAGGTCAGATTGCAACCCCTAAGTTTGACTAACTTTATAATGAGTATCCAAAATAGTTGAAATTAACAGCTTTAATTTTCAAAGATACTAGAAAGAAACACTTGATGAATAAGATTCAGAGTACTCTGAAATATTCTCATTGGTCGTCGTCATTTGTTCTTCTTCTTCATTCTTCTTCTTCCATGTTTAATATTTGTTTACTTGTACATTAAACAATGCGGTACAATCAAGAAGCTCGCTTAGCTCAGCTGGTTAGAGCGTGGTGCTAATAACGCCAAGGTCAGAGGTTCGATCCCTCTAGTGAGCAGCTCCGATAACATCCGGTTGGGTGAATTCCTTTTTGCATTTTTTTAAATGCGATTACTCATGTCGAGTCGCTTTTTGGCAGGTGGATCCGTAGCCGATGGGGAAGGAGAAGAGCAAACGGTAATAAAAGGATCCTTTAATGCGTGTGGTGCAATGGGATGATATTTATATACTTTTTTTTCTAAGAATATACAATTACGATGCTGTCGAATCTTGTCTGCCTATCCTCTACTCGTTACTGGTGTAATCGTTTGTGTGGTGGTGTCAACGGATAGTAGCGCGACAGGATTCTGTTAGTGGTGTATTTGTTGGTTACATAACAAGAAGTTTTTTTTTGTAGTACATAACAAGAAGTGTTGAACTGCCAAAACGGAATAATTAAAGGCCAGTTATTCTTGCTTCGACACTGGCTTGATTCCAGCATTTATTTCAATATAAAACCTTTTTTTTCAGCCTTTACGAAACAAGGAGCGTAAGTAGGGGCCCTTATACTCATTCAAACTTTAATATTCAGAATGTATATCGCAGCAAAGAATCCATTCAACTATTAAAACTCGTAAAACTCGTATGAGCGCCATTGAAAATAGATTAAGCTTTGTAATCAACTGCCAACTGTGATATCATGCACTCAATATACTGTATCCAAGTAATTACTGGCTGATTGGCTGTTTTATGATATAGTGGACTGTTTAGTGATATATTACGGGTCTAGTTCAACCCGCTATATCGAGATCCACAGCATTATTGCAAATGATATAGCGTATAATTAGTTTCATTTCGTCAGGGCTTCCAGTAGGATGAGATGAAACTGAAGAGCCTAGTTTGATGAAGCGGATCTGGAGCAAAACTCGTCCTTGATATACAGAATGATAAGAAACGTTACTGTAAACAAGCGAGATAAAGTGGTTTGGATCTTCAAATATTGATAGGTCGAGATTCTTTTACCAGCTGTCCAACCGTGTTTCTAGTTGAATTCCTAAAGAAGATTTCGCAAAGTAAAATAGTGAATTACGTTCTAATGAGTCTGTTTATACATTCAAAAAGAATATAAAACAATAAAAAACTTCACATACAAGTATACAGTAATAGATTTAAGTACCTATTGCAATGACCAAAGTGGAAACCAAAAGGGGTGGCACATTTACGACTTTTCATTGTAAGAGTTTCGGGCTTTCATACCGTCAAATGGTTAAAAGGCCAAAACATGATATGTATATTTAATATACCATTTGGGAAAAGTCAAATGGGTTTAGAATGCTGCATATAGCGGTTGTCAAGATGGCTAAGTGACTTAGCATCTGATTCTCTCACTACTATAGCAAAATAATCAAGGAAGAGGTTACTTTTTAAATCATCCATATTTGAGAAACCTATTTTTGGCAGGCTGTTGCTCTATTTGCTTGTCATACGAAGCTTTTGCATAGCCTCCCACGAATCAAATTTTGACTCGCCCATAATAGGCTCTCCCTCTTCTATCAGCGCAAACCGCTTCGAGAAGTCCACTTAGCAGTATAGCACGTTCTGCTGCCATTGTTCATAGCAGCAAAACATACAGGACACCATCGCCACTACTGATTATGAGATTGGCCACGATTAATCCCATTGCCACCATAGGTACCGCAATTAAGATATTCGAGCATGTGCTCTATGGACTGGATATTGTCTGGCATCGGATATATATACTGCCGACGTGGACCTGTAAGCTCCTGAAATGATGAACGTCGTCTGCAGGAATGTAACCATACCGTTAAAACATGGGCCGTAAAACACATGAGAAAAGAGAGGCTAGATATATCATAGTACCAAGCTGAAAAGAATTTCTACAGCTCTCGCGCTTCATGCTATCGAACTCTGAAGTATCAGATCTGTCTAATGATGACATTACCCGTAATAAGCTATAGTACAATTGTATTTATACTGACCGACACTCTTTTGCGAAGCCAATAATTATATATTTATCTACTAGAATACAACATATGAAAGGAAGAGCAATCACAAGATAGAAACTACCGTCTAATTTCCTGTTGCTCTCTAACTAGTCTTTACAACGACAACGCATGAATCTGATACCTTCAGCGATAATCTCGACCGTAATATCAGCTTTATAATCATGAATGATTTGCTTTCGTAACAATTCTTTGATGCGAGCTCCTGATGACTCGTCAAAGAACCGAGTTGCTGTACTGAACGTAACCATTTCCAAGCTTGTGCTCTTGCATAATAGTGATAGGGCGCCTGATGTATCCATTGCTAACGATGGATCATCATGAGAGAACTGTACATCCAACACTCGTAGCCGTGAGAAGTCCTGCAACTTATCGATGACAGGACGGATCAAACGACGCACGCAACGCAATCTCAATTCTTCAAGTGTTGACGCTGATTTTTGGTGTAGCTCTTTGACAAAAGCACATAATGCTGCCGATGGGGCATCATAAATACTCTCCGCTAGTAGTGGCTTTCCGCTGCTTCTGACATCAAGGCATTTGAGTGCGGGCAGGTTCGCAATTGCAAAGAGTAAGTTTTTCTCGTGTAAGTTGACGTCTTGCAATCGGACTAGTCGAATAGTATCGAGTCTTGAACCATGCAGGGCCAAGTAGTGGAACAACGCTGGTTTGAAGATTACTTTTGTAACTGCTGGTGGTGGTGCTGCCATTTCTGAAATTTCATCCGTAGTCCTTGTTACTACTGTTCTTCTTTCCCATTTAGACTTGTTCAGCTCTAGATGTTTTAGCTTTGTAAGATATGGGTACGCTGGTTCAGCAAAAGCCACTGAAGAACTTTCAAAGACGAGTTTTTCTAGCCCAGGAAGCCGTTCCAAGAGTGCAACCACAGAAAGCTCGTCATCGAATGAGAATCCACATAGACTTAGAGATCGAAGATGGTGTAGAGTGTCGAGTGGTTGGAGTATTGCTTGATCCAAGGTTTGACTGACCAGAGACAAGTCTAATTCTTGGATATTAGGGCTTGCATTGAGCAACATGATGATGGAGGTCATGTCAAAGGAGACGTAGTCACAAATCAATGTATGTAGCCATGGCAATTGTAGTGTCTGAAATGTCGACGACCATGAGAACGACTCTTGGCTGTACCAACTAGAGAATTTGACAAGTTTTAAGTATTCAAGTCTATCTTGGTGTTCGAGCAAAGAGTCAACTGTTTGTTCGTGGTAGCCGTTATGATGTTCGCTAATAGCGAGGTGATATAGTGGTGCTGTCGTGCGCCTTCCTTCTTTGTCACTGCCATTGTAATAGTTGTAAGTGGAAGTAGTAGTAGTAGTAGTCGAATTTCCTTTTTCAAGTGTCATGATGTTTTCATCATTCGGTGTGTTATGTTGATGATAACTGCCATTGTCTGCAAAGTAAGCAATATTTGGACACCATCGAAAGAGGTCGTCGAGTCGTATAGATTCAGCGCGACGGTTACACGATTCTGCACATGCGCCAATAAAATACTGAAGATTGGGACATCGTTGTAGGATAGGGTTAAGGCGTAGTTGTAAATTTAGCAAAGCGTTCATGTGTAAGTAGATGAGGCTATCAAACTGATCAGTCGGTGGTGCTTGGTAGTCAAGTTCGCTCGGCGTCAACATTGTCGGAACAGCTGGTTCTTGAGTGTATATGTTTTGCTCTTTCCAGGCTGAATAACTGGGTTGGTACGTGAAATGAGTAAGCACTGGACACACGCGTAGTAGATGCAGGATTGCAAGGTTGGATCCGTGTTGGCTGAGTTTCAAGTGAGTCAACCGAGTAGCGAGCTGGCGCAGCACCGCAAGGAATGTGTGTTGATCCACTGTTGTGCAATCCACAAGCTCTATTGAAAGCGCTATTTAGTCTCTGCTCTACCAAGATACGGCTGCTAGTAAAACTTATTCTTACCAAGTGTTTCGATTCCATCACAGCCAAGTTCAACAAGCTTCCGCATTGTGGAATATAATTGTTCCTCAGGCACTGTTTCAAACACGACTGATTTTACGTGGCTGCCTAGACAACGGTCGCGACGATAGGAAGCAGTAAGAACATCGGGAGATGTAATATGTATGGTTCTCCATAGTTTTTCGGTATATTGCGGCACTCGGTCGTACCAAGCGCGACAGACAGCCATACAGGTTAAGACGTCGGCTTGGTGTACGAATGAGAAGATTGTCGAGACAATGTCGAAGGGAAGCTGGTCAAAGATTGCAGACTCTTTCGACATTGTCACTGGTAAAATGTTCACGTCAGTTTCAGAGTGATAAAGGAAGAGGTAGGTCGATAATTTAAAAAAAGAAAAAGGCTCGGGGCCAGTTCGATGTTTGAAAGTGCGACTGCGCCTTAATAAGAAGCTGAGGCGAGAAGGGTGACAGCAGCACAGCCTCAAAGTGCTACTATGACTACTTTTACCAGTGCAATCAAAGCGATACATACACACTCTGCTTCTTCAGTGTTGCAGTCGCGATGGTAAGAGTTTGTTAGGCTAGATGAACAGCTTTCACCTAGGGATACAGCGTATCAGCAGCATATTTGTGTAACACTACGATGTCCATATTCCAGATCGCATTGTGCCATGACACGCGCATTGGAACTCGGATATCATAATGGATTGTCCAGGGCTTTTGTTGCGTAGGATACTCTCGCCGTCTGCCAGCCATAGCTTTTGTTTACCGTCGTTTGCATAGAAGGTTGACTCATCATGGGTAACCATAACAATTTTCTTTTGATCAGGCGCTAAAGATGGCTCAATGATGATTTCTGCACGTTGTCCTTCGTACGAGTCCATCCGCTTCTTGTACTCCACCATTCGTTTAGCCCATTTTAATCGGTATGCTACCACGTCATCTCGTTCGTGCCCGTCGTAATATATATCCTTGCTGTTTTTGCGGTATCGATAACCCCACTCAGACATATATCGCCATAATGTCGTCTGTGATACTGAGCCTGGAACACCAAGTATCTCAGGGATGATACTTTCATTGATAACTTTAACAAAAGCAGGGAGGTTACACAGTTCGAGTTTTTGACCGCCTATCAATAGACGGATTCGTTCTTCCACGGACTCGTCACTGAGGAGTGATTCTCTTTTTACATGCTTCCCTTGTTGATGTGTTGAGATGGACCCAGAATCACGGAATTCGCGCGCCCAGTAGCGGATGGCCTTTGCCCTGTACTCTTTTGATGGGGTGGTCCAGATATCGACAGCAGCTCTTTGAGAACTATCAATCCCTGTGACCGATAGTGATAGTACCGGTATACAGCTTGTGTTTTTGCCATTTGAAAAGCACCCATAGTATTGAGCGTGCTTCCTTTGTTCGCTACCGGCTTTATAAGTGCTTTTAAAGATGCTAAAAGCTGTGAGAGTTGCTCCTCACCATCAATATTGGCGACGCTGTGGTTTTTGTGGAGAGCTTTAGAAGAGTTCTCTGAATGTATACACGGCGTTTGCGTCAGGTCAAGGAGTTCCCAATCGTTGATATTATCGTCGTCGTTGTTGTCACTTAGTTCAGATCCTGCATCGACATGTGTAATAGTCGCTGGACTTTCCGAAGCTATGAATCTTCCATATTCATCGTGTTGTTTTCTCTTTGCGTTCTCTCTAGCGCTCTTCTGGCGCTTCCTAAGTGGTGGCATCTGGTAGAAGGAACAGGGTGTGGCCACATCTCAGCTCTTGCGAATAACAGTGTAAGGCATTAGATACTAACCAAATTAGGAAATTTCACGTGAGTATTATTTACCCGAATATGCATGAGTGCGTTTCAATTTTCCCCTTCGCCTGCAAAATTTTCCTAAACCGGCAGACTTTGACGACTATCCTCTCCTTCCCAAAACATTTTTTTGAAGAAGTTAGCCAAATAGAAATAGACTAAAGATGCTTAAGAAACAATTTATTTGGTTGCTTTTGTGGTAAACTTGTTTTTGGGGGTGCTGATAGCTTTCAATTTTGGGGAAAATTTTGGCGGTTATAGATGAAATACACCATACGGTATGCCATTGTTGTCAAATTTCTTCCATTGTTGTAGTAGCAACTCATCAAGAAATATAAATATCAATTTGTTTATTTTTTTGACATCATTGTTTGAGATCAGCTTGTCAGAAAAAACTATGCCGATAGAGCCAAAATTAGGTAAGTATTTTTCATCAGTTTAGGTTTAAAGTTTTATGTCTCAATATAGAGGATAATTGGACCGATGCCTATGAGCATGCGGTCACTTGTTCGAGATACAGTTGTGTTAAAGAGATATTTGTATATGAGATTGGAATGCAACAGCTAAAAGAACCCGTGTAGCGGAATATTACATGCTAGCGTAGAATATCATAGTGCTCTAAGTGTGGATGGCGTAGACTACTTTAACGGAGTGCATATGCAAGGTACAGTAATATAGATGGAAGGAAAAAAATAATGTCAATAATGCTGTAGTGTTTTCATTAGATTAAACAGCAGTTAGATGAATGGGTTGCTCTACAACGGCGACTGCATACTGTACATGCGCGATAAATGGCATAGAATTTCGGTCACTGTTATTAAACCTCTGTCTCTCTCTTCCTTTCTCTGTTTGTGTGTGTGTGGATATCCTTGCAGAGGGCGCTGTTTGTATGGAATGTTTGGGTTGACAGATCCAATTGCTCGCTAAAATGGCGACATAACACCTCAGTGACTGATTCTTACTTTCGCATCCACTTCTAGTAGGTAACGTACATGGCCACGCCAGTGTTTTCAAGCTGGTTTCCTCCGTTGACTTTGTCTTTGCGCTGAGCTTCTTAGCTGCACTTCTCGAGGATCTACTGTACGCATTTTCCCAGGGATCGTAATACATATTATTAAGTAGGAGGAGTAGAGTATATTATATTATATGTTACAATTTCAGAGATAACGACTGATTATGTGAGCAGCGTCATCATAAAAGCGGATCCACCGCAAGGATTGGGGGAAGGTTTTTGTTTACTTGAGAAGGATCCCATTTCTCTTCATCGACCATGCTCGCCAGATTACGATTATCGCCAATCACGCTGACCACCGAGTTCGTTGCGAGGCTAAAATAGACAAGTAGTCAACCTCCCAGGATATGGAAAACTCTATCAAGCGTATTCAGCAGCGTCGTGTACCAGTGATGTCCCCAAGCTCGGGATCCCCTCCGATGTCCTCCCTCCACCCACTCCCTACACCCCCAATTTATTTTTCACGGCCAGCACGAACGGTCTGTGCATATGGAGGCCGAGTATGATAGCAAAGTACAATGGAGACCCTGCACGAAAAGCATCGTAACTTAGCCACAGAGCCGCAGAAAGACAAGGGCCTGGTATCTACGTGTTGCCAGGAGTCTTTACATTGTGCTGGTTGCAATTGTGTGAGAAAAGCTTTGCGAATCTCTTCGCGAGAACAGCCGCCATTCCGCTCGGAATTGGCCAAAACGGGTGACGCGACGAATACAATAAAATTAATTTTTGACATGCTTGACATGCTTGACATGGCAACAAGCAGCTTTCAGGAACAAGAAATGTCACAACCCCTGAATGCCATGGCAACAAAAAGGTCTTTTCCTGCAGTATAGCTCATCGAAAACAAGCTTCCAGTTGTCTGCTTCAAAGGTCTCATAAGTCATAAAGAAGGATCTTTAATGTGAGTGGTAAGAGATCATGGGGGCAAGGCAACCCAAAAAAGGAAATTCTTTGTGCATATCAAATCAAATCATATCAGAGCAAGTATAGATAAGGAAGCAGGATACAAAAAAACGCGGTTTTCCTTTTTTTTTCTTCTTTACCAGTTTTTCTATTCTTCCGTACTTTTACGATGAGCACTCACGCTGAAAACACCTACGACCGAGCCACAGGCTACTACAACTTCGACCACGACGATGCGTCCACCATCCCCTACGACCACGACGATGCGTCCACCATCCCCTACGACCCTGACGCGGCATCACAGCTTTCCTACCATTCCCGTTCCACCATCTCCTTCGCGCCACCCCAATTCTCGCCCGTCCTTACACCCACCTACAGCTTCGACAACGCCAGCACGGCCTCACACCACTCCTTCGTCACCGTCTTCTCTTCCGACTCCTCCCTCATCATTGACCTCGGCAACAATGATGATGCGTCCAGTGCTCTGTCGCGTGCGGGTTCGTCCCCACCGCCATCACCGCAGTTCAGTCCTTTGCGTTCTCCCGTCTTGCCGCCGTCCCCTCTTCCTCACCATTCTGCTCCCGCTTCCCCTGTCCTCTTCCCCGCTCTCGCTCCTCCGATGGTTGAGGTTGCCGATGACGAAGAGGCTGAGGAGGCGCCTGCTCCCGCTTCCCCTGTCCTCTTCCCCGCTCTCGCTCCTCCGATGGTTGAGGTTGCCGATGACGAAGAGGCTGAGGAGGCGCCTGTGCCAGAAGAGGACGAAGAGATCCCATATGCTGGTGATCTCATGGACATTGACAGCGATGACATGGATATTGACGACGATCAGAGCAATCTGATGCACGTTGACTGGGTACCGCCCTCGTACCCCTGGTGGTACTGAAAAAACCTATAAAGTAAGCTACTCCACATTGACCTTTTTATTGAGCACGTTCACTGACTTGGACACGTCTATTCTTTCTGTTATGATAGATCCCAACAAAAAGCAAAAAACACCACAAAAGGTAAGTAATGTTTCTGCTGGTCTTGTGCTTCTGCTTCTTTGCTATCATAGACGCGATCTTTGATACCGCCTTCTTCTTTTTCGTACAAATTTTTATAGCACTTAAAAAAAATTCAAAAGTCAAAACCCTCAAAAAAACATTCAGTATTCCGCATTCAGTATTCAGTATTCCGTATAACTATTGGTAACAGGTTAATCCTCGTTTTACTAAGCCTGCTTCAAACACATTGCTGCCTGATAAAGATGAGAACTAACATTGCTGGCTGGTCGATTTAATAGGCCCTCCTTTTCCTGCTTCCGTTCTTCTTTACCTGCTCCTGCTTTATCCTCTTCTTCCCGCTTGTTGGCGTTGGTTTGTGTTGGCGCGTCGGCGTCGTGGTGATGTGTCGGTTCCTCGGTGGTGCCTTCTCGGCATGGCTTCTTGGGTGGTTCGTTTGGGCCCTCTTTGGTCGGCTTATTTGCGTGGGCTGTTTTGGTATGTAGTTTAAAGAAGGCTGTCTCATATTCAAGGAATATATTTACTGATTGGATCCATGTTCTTTAGGTCTTTGCGTGGTCGGTTCGGCTGCGATGCTTCTGGTGTTTTGTCTGGCGGCTTCCGCCTTCGTCAGGCGATGGGGTGCAGTGGAGGGTACCCGGAGTAAGGTAAGGGCTGAGATGGAAGGCTGTGGCAAGGCACTGTGCTATCGCCTGTATAGGGAGATATAGGGGGCCTCTGCGCATGTTTCACGATGACTTTGGACTAGATGGCTGTGGCACCACCGGTGTGCTGTATGGTGGTGCTAGGAACATTGCACTGTTGTTTGTCGGTTTTGGAGGACGTGGGTGACACCTTGCATAGCAGGAATGTACAATGGAGCGGCCCGGTAGACCATGGCTCTGTTTGCAGGCACGTATTAATCATCTTTACTTTTACGTAATAAAGAAAAACAAAGTGAGTATGATTTACTAACTAATTTAAAGTATTTTTGCTAGTTGTCCATCCCCCTTTCTTGTAGCAGTTAATCGTTTTGACGATTGCTAATACAAGGGAGGGGAGCAGCTCTATGTAGGACCTGGAGGCCGTCTTTGCATTGTAGCATTTTCTTAGTCGTGGTTGCTCCATTGGTTCACACTGGCTCAAAAGACACCCCGTGGTACTCCTGCGTCGACAATACCACAGAGCATCGTTCCACAAGCATTACCACCTCACCGACCCCACAGCACGGTTCTCAGTCGTCCTCTGGAATGTGTTTACGCCTAAACCGCGTCTGATCCCTCGGGGGCCTGGGTAGCAGTTAGCTGTCCCTCTGCTATGGAAGTGAGTATCCTTCTGTCTCATAACCCTTGCCCTCTGCTTCGGGTGCCTGAAGCTGGGGTTGTCCTGGCGAGAGCGGTGCGGTGGTAGTACGCTGCCATGTTGGGAGAGCGCCAGCTTTCCAGGCTAGCCGAGTAAAAAAAAACTTGGCGCTGATCGTGGATTAGCAGAATCCCGTCTTTGGCTTGATTACATCGTCGTTGCGTGTGGTTAGTATGCATGTGCCTGACATGCCGTCATGGTGGGGTGGCGCCAAATTTCAGGCTAGCCGAGTACAAAAGCACCCTTGTGTCGAATCGAGGATTCGGAGAATCCCGTCTTTGGCTTGATTTTCTCTTGTCAAAATGCATGCCCATCACGAAAAAGCGTGCAACGGTGAATCACATGTTTCAGCGCAGCAATTTTATCATCACATCAAGAAGTAGCGCAACTCAGTGATACGGATAACAAGCAAGAAGTTGTAGCAACGAAGAGGCATCAGCATGGCTGACGGTTCAACTCGAGTATCTCAACAAGTTACGTTAAGGCGGCAAGGACATGTAAGGAGCAACACATAAAAGAGAGCGGTATCAGCACGTTGTAGACATAAAACCGAAAAGCACAAGAGCGGAAAGAATTGACAACATTGCAAATGACAATTGCTAAAGGTCGGATCGAGATGATGAGTCACCTCTGCTTATGACAACAAACAGCAGATTTATTCATGCGACAACATCGACGCAACAAAATAGTCGGCATCGGCATTGATGACATCCAACTTGGTGGCAACAACTCAGGCAAACAGCATTTGCGGTAACAATTGACAACAGCGGGAACAGAACAAGCTTTCGAGCGGATCTTCATCATGGCACAACAAGATATCAAGAGCTTCGGACGACAACATCAACCAAGGCAGGAAGGTGGCAGCTAAACCCTGGAATCTGGCGACAGCACACTTATCAAACAATCAAGCGGTCAACAGCTTTTCAATTACATGACAATTCTCGTCCGCTTCTGATCGTTTATCGTTGAAGAGAAACAAGAAGCCATGGGAACGCTTTTCTGTCAAACCTGCATAATCTGGCGATAGTATAGTATGAAGCGTAATGACAACCACACATCAGAGACAACAAGAGCGGCAAGAAATGATGTAGGCAGCACAATGAGTCATTTTACTTGCTACTTTATGAAGCGAAAGTAAGTGCGTATGGTTTTCTGATGACACTGAAATTCAAGTCAAAAACAATGGTATGCTCATATCTATTATCTCTTCTTAGAAATCGTAAAGGCGATCCTAAAACTTGGCGATGACCTCCAGACAACAAAGCATCGCGGGTTTGGACGAAATGGAACAGTAAGGAAACCAATGCGAACAATTAACTCAACAAAGTGGCATCACATCATACGTGATGGTTTCATTCACTTAACGGGTGGTGAATGGAAACGCAGCTGAAGCGGACGCAAATCAAACACAGGACACAGCTATTCGAACAATACAAGGTCTCGCTCATAAGGCGCATCAAACACGACATTGGCTTTGAGGGCATCATCATCAAGTGGCCCATCATAATTAGATCGACACGACGGCACCGTATACCAACAAAGCGGGAAACAAGAAGAGCCTACCACAAGTATACAGTCTACGATACATTGGTGAGAGAGACGATCCTACAAACCTGATCGGTGGCAAGCGGAAGCAGTCAATACATCTTTCAAAGTCAAGATGGAAGACACATATGCACATACACACTCAAGGCACATCAATGAAACGCACATGATTGTCCACCGAGCATCCATATTGCTCGCTCAATTATTATGCGACGACAATAAGATCATTTGTGGAGAAAACGAAAAAACGGTAATTGTGCAGTGCTTTAGAAGGATTACAACAAACTTCATTGGGACAATACCACATATATTCATCAAAACTTCAAACCATCCATTAGCAAAAGTGGCGGCCGAACGATATTGCTATTTAATGCGTCCTCAAGAGATGCAGACACATGCTTCAAGAAAATCAGCTACAGACAGCAAGATATACCAGGGGCAATAGGCATTTAGAAAGCATTACGGTAAGAATTAGTGGCAAAAAGCAATTGATCCACCTTGTAATGTTACGCAATTGTGCTCACATTGCTTTGTCGTAGAGCCCTGCATGTTCCTATATACCAGTCAACGATATCTCTCACGAATATATTCCCACTACAGATGTTTGGTAAGTTAATGTCCAGGTAATGATAGACCCCATGAATAAGGAAAAGAAAAAAGAAAAGAAAAAAGAAAAAAAAAAGAAAAAAAATTATATACAAGACACGAGTTGCAAGGCAAATGCTGCAAAAAAAAAAAAGGCAACTCGAGAACAAAAAAAAAGAACACAAAAAGCAGCACCTAGAGCAAGCTTATGGAAAATTATGATACAAGGTCAATACGTTTCGTAAGATACGAATGCACTTGTATCAATTCCGGGCTGAAGACAAACAATTGCATTCAAGACAAACATCGAAACAACGATAGGCATTACCTATACAAGTGGACCAATTATGGAAAAGTGATTTTAACTGTAAGTACAAAACACATGATGATATGTTGCCATCAATTTCATCGGTAGCTAACGTCACAAAGTTCATGTTATGTTTTCAATATTTCAAACAACAGTAACGAAATCAAGATTCTCGAGTTTTGTAATCGCAAACAACTTATCCATACCTCTAATCAAAAATGACGTCCGTGATCCACAAGAAGAGATGACGAGATCATCATACAACGGATGTAGCTGATGAGTGATACAACAACAATACCGTTATACAAAAGCAAAAAATTACGAAGGATAACCATAAAGTACAACGAGCAACTGCAGCACAGCCTTGGCATTTATAGCAGAAACTTAGACTAGAAGCAAAAGAATAAGGGGCTATCATTACCACGGACGTAAACTTACTAACATTTGGTAGAATAAACATATCTTTTCTTATCAGCTCAGAATAACACTTACTTTTGCTAGAGGAAATTGCTCAAGATTAGGGATTGTTGCATATAACCATTTTCGTAGAATATATCATTTATTTATACAGTAGTGAGATCTAATGTTATCATAATGAACCAGTTTGTAATTCCTTCCGGGTCTCGTTGACTTATTTTGTCTCTTTAGGTTTATTTGATAATACAGTGACTCAAAAAGCCAGGTAAGTGTTGCCTTTATCATACGTTGATCATCAATCTAACCTACAAACGCATTTTTAAGAATATGTACATATTCGGATGCTCGCTTCAATAAGAGCAGCTGAATTATTAGCAGTGCATAATAGCATGCTACGATTGAGCTACGTACATATGATACTGCATGTACATGTCTTAAAAGATATGCGATGACGAATTGTATCAATTATGTTTTGCTCCTCTTGTTGCAGATCTGATTGATAATACTACTACATGTATATAGCAAGGTTTTAAACAATCGTGTCTACTGAATTCCTTGCATGTAGGTAGTTGCTGCTTGCTTGATTGAAAGTTACCCATCGTACGAAACCAAAAGCTTCTACAAAAGTGAGCAGAAGGCACGCACTGCATTTAATTCAAACAGTAGCGAAAACATTGTGTATTTGATTGACCGCAATTATCACGGTAATTGAACCAACCTTGATACCATCCATGGCAAAGAACGACAATAGGCACGACAACGAACCCGGAAAAACAGATTCAGAAGAGGTAAATAAAAACAGATAAGATAAGGACGAGCAAGTCAAAAAAGAAAGCATTGCTTTCTGTTAAAATGTGAAAGGCAACGTAAAACCTGCTGGCCAAGTTATAGAAAAAGACACCGCCGTCGACGATGGTATGGTGTATTTCATCTATAACCGCCAATGTTTCAATTTTGAGATTTCAAATGCCGCTTCTTTATTTGGTAATATTCAAATAATAGTAGGGAAATCGTCACGACGGTGTGAGCTGTAAGTTCGGGAAGTATATCTTTCCACAAGAGTGATAGCTTCGGGAGTTGGTAGTTCTTGGGAATAAGCGTCTATAAAACGCCACACCCTTCCATAAAATCGTCTAATTAGTGTAGGTACTTCGTCTGGGGGCGAAACAGTATCCAGGAACTTTGGTAAGTTTTCTTTCAAAGCTTTAAAACTGTAATCACAATTGATTCGTGCATGGTACTTTGCTTGGCCCCAATATCGTTCGATCCAATTGCACTCGCAATGGAATTTTGGATATAGCTCAAAAATGTGACCCGCGTTCTCCACAGCTTCACAAAGGGCTGTCTTTTGATCTCGAAAGTCGGGCTGAGCACCAAGAAAATGTCTAGCACAACACTTGCTATCGTCCGCTTCTTCTTTTTTGCAATCCATTCGCCAAACTTTTCCAGGTCTATACGGGTCTTCCTCAAACCAAAGTCCACGCTCATTCAAAATGATTTTTATCCCCTTGAAATGGCATACTTGCTGTTTGTCGGCCGTGACTATCGTGACACCTCGCTTGCGTTTCTTAATGTTTTCTTCGATATTCATGTACATCCTTTGTGTTTTCTTTTCTTTGGTTGCTTCATCGATAAAGTAGCTGTCCCGATACACGTGCATGCTGCAGTCATGCTCTGCGTTATCCACTCCACACCGCTTTGGATCCTTGCACATAGTTCTCGCCAGTAATGCATCACTTGGGTAAGCGTTATGATTACTACTTTGATCGAATATAAATAATGCTTGACAACCAGGGTGCAAAAGGTCAAATAGTGGGATCGCATCTTCTTCTAACTGCTTAACCATGTCTTTGCTGGTCCAATACTGTTCTCGGTTAGCCCCTGCATAGAAGTATGTACGCGAGGTCTATTCGCACATGAATGGTCCTGCTCATTGTCTGCTTTTTTCTTTCTTCCATACTGGAAATAATAGACTGATTTTACGCAAGTTTATTTTTGTTTCTGTTCATGGATTTTTTTTTAAATTTTTGTTCAAAGAAAAAAGAAAGAGAAAAAAGAGGCGTTGGTTGTGTGTGGCTTTTTGCAGTTGATGTGAATTAAAGGACAATGTGCGGTGGAAGAAAAAGCGATTAACGAGACCAAGAGCGACTGCGACTTCTCGATCTGTAAGAGCCTCGTCTTCTACGGCTATAATAAGGGGAGCGGGATCGGCTACGGCGTCGGTATCGACGGTTGTTTCGGGAGTAGCGTCCACTGCCGCCACCGCCGCCGCCACCGCCACCACCACCACCACGCTTGTCACCCATATACTCGCCAGGTGTAGGGGTGTGCGGGCGATGTGTCACAGAGAAATCCACACGAACAGGACGATTGTCAATGTCCTATTATCATTTTGACGGTTTAGCACAGTACGTTCTTTTGAGAGATTGTGAAGGATTTATAACGTATCATGTAAAAGAAGAAAGAAGCCTACCGTGCCATTCGTTGCCTCACGGGCACGAGCTGCATCTTCCTGGTTTGTAAAGTACACAAAGCCAAATCCTCGAGAACGTTGATGCTAGATCATATTTGAAACAAAGGTTGTTGTGGTTTCGTAAGTATTTGATAGCAAAACATCTTCTTTCCATTCTATGTAACCTCCTCACCACAAGAAATACTTACTCGATGGTCATACACAACCGTCACTCGCTCCAAAGGACCGTATTGCGAAAAGATTTCTTCAAGGTCGCGTTCACGCGTTCTCAAGTTCAAGCCAAACACACCAATGATGTTGGAAGTTTCAGGTTGGTCCTAAGAAATTGCAAAGCCAGGTTGTGTGAGAACGATATCATTGTGATTTATATCTTTTTCTTTTGTTCTGTATTTACCCTTGTGCCATGGAACTCCTTCTCCTTACGACTATATAAAAGCGGAAGAAATAGAAGAGGGGTTAAGTATCTCCATCGTGATAGAGCAACATATGTGTATAGTTTGAGAATTAGCTAAGCTGACCTCTTGCGCTTTTCTAATGAGCGCGATGAGTAGCGATTTCGACGGGGCGGTGAGCGACTGTACCGGCTACGTCGCGGCGATGGGCTGTTTTGATAAGAGTATGCGGGTCAGATATCATCTTGCACATGTAATGCGAGCACATAGCAGTAGGAAAAAAAACAATTCTTGAAAAAGAGGTCTTGTGTAGTTGGGGTTGGGGATTTGGCTTGCATGCAGAGAATGGCGCGTGTTGTTTTTCTTGCAAAATCTTGTATCCTCTCCTTTTTTTTTTAAAAAACTCTTTAACCAGATGACTCCCAGCTCTTGCAAATGCTTTATGAAGAAAGCCAGAGCGGATAGTTTGGTCAACAAACGATGATGCAACAGAGAAGAATAATAATCATGGTCGTTTTTTTTTTTCAAAGGAGAAAAGAAGGGATGTGTGGAGAAACGGACCAAAAGATGCATCCACGCCCACACACACACACGCGCGTACACGCAGAAAAAGAAGGAAAGAAAATAGAGAAAGGGAGGCAAAAGAAGAAAAAGGAAAGGGAAGAGGAATACGTATTAGAACGTAAAAAAGCATTAAATCATCCTTACCTTCTTCTAAATCTTCTTCTGCGATCACGGCTTCTGGATCTGGAATACGAAGGCGATCGGCGACGGCGGTAAGAGCGCGACGATGACCGACTACGACTACGAGAGCGTGACATTGGTGTTCGTGAGCGCGAACGCGAACGGCTGTACCGTCCTCGTCTAGGCGATGGGCTTCTGCTGACAGAGCGAGAACGTGAGCGAGGAGCTGAACGTGAGCGTGAACGAGAAGGGGTACGAGAGCGTGAGCGTTTGTCGTTGTTGTTGTCTTGAACATTGTCGTCGTCGTTGTTATAGTCACCCGACATTGGTTCGAGTGGTGCTGGTGAGCGTTCTTCAGCAGGTGCTTGTTCCTATATCGTTTAGTACGAAACAGTAAAGTTAGGCAATTATTGTTTAAGAGTCGACGCGCCAGTAGGCAGATGTGTTGAGGATCTTGATTAATTTACCATCTTGTTGCAAGTATGAAATGAAAAAAACCCTGGGTTTCTTTTTTCCTTTCTCACTGGAGCGAAGGAAATAGAACAGGTAAAGAAAAAAATTGAGGCGTGACTTGGATTTTTTTTTTGTCTTTAGCACAATATGCTTTTCCTGCAGTTGCAGTTTGAGTTTGAATACGCATCAAATGGCAAAATGACAGCACTATCCATTAAAGCGTCAAGCATGCTACGATAGGCAAAGCATTAGAAACTTACATAGTCAGCAAGATACGCACCAGCGAACAAACTGATGCTATCTCAAATATATATTTATTTATATGACTATCCAAGACGGACTTACATCCCTAACAGAGGAATGACTACGGGCCGGTGGGGGTTCTTCATCTGGATAGCATAGCCGAATCTTCAACATGACGTCGTAAGCATGCATAGCGTAGGGTGCTATTACCGATAATAACGAGCATGTGTATCAGATGATTGATAAAGTCAATTTCTGTGGATAGCCTCATCATCGTTATGAGTAGCATGTTGGGGAAGAACCCAGAAAAAGCCCATCCTTCATACTGTCAATACCAAGCAGCATGCGCCGACGCTCAGGGAAATGATACAACTTGCACCACAGCTAAGTAGTAGCAGCTGGATATCTTCCAACAAGGTCGAATTCACTTTTCTGTTTGGTCATCGAAGCGTGCTATCGAAGCATACGACAAAAAGTTGGATCCGATCGGCCATTCAACGTAAACAGCTTTAGGTCTAGAAAGCCGAAGCAAAGTATCGCAGGGAGGTTTCTTTTTGAGTGCCGTAACGTCAAACACAAAAAGTCAGCCTGAGGCCGTCATTCGAAATTGTGTTTTTTTCCTTCAAAACTTCTCTCAAGACAGTCCCATCAATGCGACATGCGTCATTTTCTTACGAAAGCCGGTAACTTGGCCGATATATACAGACAATTGATTAAAATGGTCTACATTATTTAAAAAAAGACCGACCCGCTCAAGGTCATATGCGTGGGATAGCCACGGTTACCGACGAACGTCATGGTCGAACTTTTGTGGCTCAAAGTTTTTTAACTCTTCACAAAAAAAAGGTATTCTCGACTATCGTTATTTAGAAACACCTGTGTATATAGCCCAGATTAAAAGCAAAACAGGTGGAGGTGAAGATGGCGTTTACGGGGCCTAGTATGTAAATTTCAAATAATCTCTGACCGCCTCTATGTGTGTCTCACTGTCACTTGTCGACGCTTACTTTCATTAACGAGTTGTATACATCTGTCGTAATAAGTTCGGAGGAGCCAGTATACAAATCGTGCTTTGCGAAATTTAATTTTGTTCATACATCGCACTATCGTTTAATCGTACGACGTAGTAGCTCTCGAGACACCGTACTCCCTAAAATCCATTGATTTCTTCACAGGGTGGGTAATCGAGTTCTCAAATTTCCGTTTGGGCCTTTTGAGGCCTTATACAGGCGTCTTAGAAGGTCGTCGTAGGTGTCCGAAAGGCTGGAAAACGGCAATTTGTACCTTTCAGATATTATAGACTTCTTGGCGCGAGTTCCCACAAATGTAGCCTCAAGTATGTACATAGTGTGCCACCGCATGATCTACAAAAGAAACTGATGCCGTCATCACATGATCAACTCTCCACATCATTAAAGTTCGTTTCTTCAAGCACTTTTACAGCCCCATTAAGCCAGCATAATTGCTTTGTGATGATGGTGGCGGCTGGCACAACAACTCTTCTAGCTGGTTTATATCGTTGGTAGTCGCATTCATTTTTATGTGTTAAACCTTTGCAAAGTAGGTTTCTGTATATGCTTTCCCTGAAATTATGTAATCATTTTTCAAGTTGTACCGTGTGTGCAGTGTGACATGGTTGTGCAATGATAGCCAAGCGCTTAACATTGTCGTTAATGATCTTGGCTTCCTCTCTCTCTCTCTCCTGAACAACCATCTCCGCTGACCGAGAAAGATTACGGCTGTGCGATGACAAGATGACGGGCTATAAAGGTTAAATAGTTCAGTAAAAATCAGGGTTAAAATGAACAAAAAAGGTGATGCACATTTTTAGTATTGATGCCGTCTTTGTCTGGCGTATCAGTAATACATTAGTATGTGGTTTTGTCCCGGGAACGAGCATTCGTATCAAGAAGATAATGCGCCAAGCTGCGGTCCCCTCCTCCGACGATCATTACGGCCGCCAAGGTTTGTGGGTGTAACTCTTGCCAATATTGCCAAGATGAGTACAGCCTTTATATATATGACAACCACAAACAATCACCAACTTGACTTCTTCGTCTTTTGTGCCAATATTTTTTTATCATACCATATCATGTCTTTAATTCCAACTAACGAACATAAAGAGCAGATCCAACATATGCGAAGACTACATGGGGACTTGGTCTTGGACGAAGGCGGCTTCTTTAAAAAATTAATGCAAAAAGATCAGACGTTAAACAAAGAAGCAGCGACAGCATATAACAGCAATTGGAACGATAACAGCAACAACAACAACAAATATGACGACGACATCAAACAACAGCAACACGAAGACAATGGTGAGGACTCAGTCAGTCATCGTCGGGAACAAGCTCAATCGATGACGAACGCATTTTATGATCTGGTCACTGATTTCTACGAGTACGGTAAGTCATGAGTTGCGCGTAGCAACGCAATACTGCGATAAAAGAGTTACCAAGAGAAGCGACCATAAAAGTATCAGTGGATGTACCTGGGGAACACTCGTATATTGATTAGTAGCTTACATATAAAATTTGTTTTTATGCAGGTTGGGGACAATCATTTCACTTTGCCAGACTCTACAAAGGTATAAGATCGATCTGCTATAGCGTCATCATCTCCTCGTAATGATGTAGTACTCAACAACAGTTCTACAATACCGTTTACCATTTTTTGATCGGAATACAATAGGAGACACTTTTGCAGAGAATATTAAACGACATGAAGCATTCTTGGCCTTGAAACTTGGTCTTAAACAAGGACAACGTGTATTGGTATGTTGGAGCTCACTTTGTCCATTAAAAAAAGCAGTTTTTTCTGATGCAAATTATAACAATCGTCTCTAGGATGTCGGCTGCGGTGTAGGTAAATATCATACGGGGGCTTTAGCGACAGTAATCTAACATGGAAAGAAAGGCACAGCTACACAATACATTCAACTAAAAAAACGAACAAAAAAACGTGCTAAAATATGATAAATGTTGATTAGGTGGTCCACTACGAGAGATTGTAAAATTTTCAGGCTACGCGCATGTTACCGGAATCAACAACAATGTATACCAGATCCAGCGATGTGCTGCCTATGCCGCAAAATATGGGTTGAGCGACTATACCGGGTTTGTCAAGGGTGATTTCACAAAGATGCCTTTCGCCGATTGTTCATTTGACGCCGTGTTTTCCGTCGAGGCTACTGTGCATGCGCCACGACTTGAAATGGTGTATAGCGAAATTTACCGTGTACTGCAACCGGGTGGACGTTTTGCATGTTATGAATGGTGCACGACGCCCAAATACAACAATGACACTAGCGACGATACGATGAAGAATACTCGTAAACAGCACCAGCAACAGCGCCAAGTGATCCATGCTATTGAACAAGGCAATTCGATCTCCAAACTGTATTCCACGCGTGAATGTCTGGAGGCGTTGAAGTCGGTTGGATTCAGAGTGATTGAGCAAGCGGATTTTGCGCCCGTGGATGCGGCTACTGTGCCTTGGTATTATGCGCTCAAGAGGCCTGAAGGGTTACGTGGCATATTGCGATCGCCAGTGGGTCGGTTTTACACGCATAGCTTACTGACGGCTTTGAGCAAGTGCAAGCTGGTTCCTCCAGGTGTTTTGGAAACGTCACAGCTATTGAATGATGCTGCTGATGCGCTGGTTGCAGGCGGTGAAATGGGAATATTTACGCCAATGTACTTTTTTGTCGTTGAAAAGCCGTTAGAGAAGAAAAATTAAGCATGCATAATAGGATGATTTACTAGTAGTAGTAGTAGTAGTAGTAGTAGTAGCAGCAGAGATGCAATTGGTATTATAACGTATACTAGTAGCTACCTCTATGAATAAGTTTTTTCTTTTTGTAATTAAAATATGCCCATAATCTACTCGGATATGTCAATTGTCTTGGTTGTCTGGAGGTGCCTGATTGTAGCGAAGGAGGTCGCCGTATCATGGAGACGATGATGGTTGGTTACACGAATCGCACCAATTAGGGATGCTGTGGCTTTTTTTTTTACCTCGACATGCGCTGTCGAAAATTCTGAACTTTTTTTTTCTCCCCTTCATTCCCAACCCTTTTACGTTCATTCATTTTGACACATTGACACGCTAACATGGCTGGAGAGTTGGAATCCGTTGTTTTTGCTTACCTTGTGTCCAAGGGTTATAAAGAGGCTGCTGAAAAGTTAAAAGAAAAGTGCCCTTCGGTAAGTTTATCTCTTGGGGGACTATGATATAGTATGTCCCGTGCTGTCTGTATTGATTCCGATAAACTGATTCAGAGCTTTTTATTTTATACAGGCCGAACAATCCTCAAACAATGCCCCTTCGCTTCAAGAACTGTACAAGAAGCACGGTGGAAGGTAAATACCGAGAGGAATGACTTGGTTTCGCGCCACGTGGGGAGAAAAAGGAAATTAATATATATCATGGTTCTGTATTATAGTGACGAGGATACTGAAATGAAGGAGGCCGATTCCTCGTCGTCGTCCGACAGTAGCTCCAGCTCCGATTCGTCTAGCAGCAGTGATAGTGACTCGTCGTCTTCTTCGGATGAGGAAGAAGAAGAGAAGGTGGAGGCAAAGTCTACCGAATCGGTGAAGGAAGAGGAAGCCAAGTCAAGCTCTTCGGATAGTGACAGCAGCAGCAGCAGCAGCGACAGCGAGTCGTCATCATCCTCTTCCTCGGACGAAGAAGAAGAAGAAGAAAAGGAGGAAAAGAAGGTTGAGGTGTCAGCAAAAGAAGAAGCAAAGGCCGATTCGTCAAGCAGCAGCAGCTCCTCGGATAGCGACAGTGACTCGTCGTCGTCATCTTCGTCTGACGAAGAAGAAGAGGAACAAAAGTCCGAAGAGACAGCAAAGGAAGCCAAGGTCAAATCATCTAGCAGTGACTCCTCCTCCAGCTCGAGCAGCTCTAGCAGTGAAAGCGACTCTGATTCATCATCATCATCTTCATCCGACGAGGAAGAAGAGGAAAAGAAGGAGGAGGAAAAGCCTGTCGTCGTCGCCGCCACACCAGCCAAGGAGTCATCTAGCTCCAGCTCGGATAGCTCCAGCTCCAGCGACAGTGACAGTGACAGCAGCTCATCCGACGATGGCGACGAAAAAGATGATGATAAGGACGTTGAGATGAAGGAAGCAGCCAAGTCGTCCTCATCGTCATCCTCCAGCAGCAGCAGCAGCAGCAGCAGCAGCAGTGAATCGGAAGATGAGGATACAAAGATGGAAGAAGCCAAGAAGGACTCCAGCAGCAGCTCGTCCAGCGACTCTAGCGACTCTTCCGACTCTGAATCCGAAAAGGAAGATGGTGACAAGAAAAAAGAAACATCTAGCGAACCCGTTGAAGAAAAGAAGGCCGAATCATCCTCGTCGTCATCGTCTAGCAGCAGCAGCAGTGATTCTTCTTCTTCGAGCGAATCTGAAGACGAAGAAAAAGAAGAAGAAAAGAAGGCCGAGTCTGAAGCCAGTGACGACAACTCTTCTTCATCTTCCTCGAGCAGCAGCAGCTCGGATTCGGATTCTGACGACGATGATGAAAAGAAACCAGTCAAGCAAGAAGATGACGCAGAAGAGGATTCGTCGTCCTCTTCCAGCAGTGGATCCGATGCAGACAGCGAATCAAGTGACTCTGATGAGGACAGTGACGATGAAAGCAACAACAAGAAGGAAGAAGCAGCAGAAGAAAAGGCTGACTCTTCTTCTTCTTCTTCTTCATCTTCGAGCAGCAGCAGCAGCAGCAGTGAGAGTGAGAGTGAGAGCGAAGATGAAAAGGAGAATGCCAAGGTTGAGCCAGTTGAACAAGAAGAAGCAGCAGCAGCAGCAGCGGTGAGCGCTGGCAGCAAGCATAAGCTTGAAGAAGCAGAGGTGAACGGCACAGAGGCCAAGAAGGCCAAGCGACAGCCAGGCACGCCATTCCAACGCGTGCGACCCGAGGAAGTGGAGTTTGTGGACGAGCGATTAAAAGACAACACGTACGTGAGCAAGGGCGGCTCGGACGAGATGTCGTATGGATGGAAGGCGCACGTGGACCTGATCAAGACGCGGGGCGATAAGTTCAGAGCCGAGAAGAACAAGAAGAAGCGCGGATCGTATCGTGGTGGGCGCATCGACATGCAGTCGCATTCCATAAAATTTGATTAGTTTTTTTTTCTTTTCTTTTATTACTGTTTATTCTTTCGTTAAATACTCTCCCTTTCTCCCTCTCTCTCTCATAGTCATCTTCTCTCTCTTTATTCACACATACTCATTTTTCTTTTTTGTTTCTCGATCTGCTACTTCCCCCCCGCACTTCATCATTTCCTAGCAACAAACTCTTTCTAGAATCTCTTTGTTTTATCTCAAGCAGCAAAATACACACATTGTATAGTAATCACAGATCGGGTGTCACACAGAGTGCCTGCACGGGCGCATGACCTGACTGTTTGCATCGAAAAAGGCCTCGTCTGACCCGCAGCAGCAGCAGCAGCATCGTCATCGTCATCATCTCCATCAGAAGCAGACAGAGCCATCTCTCTCTCTCTCTCTCTCACGGACTCATCCTCCTCTTGTCTAATATTTGTTGTTGTTGCTGCTACAAAAACACTTGCATGTATCATCTGTAAATCATCGTTTTTTTTTTTACCATTTTTTCCAACTCGAGACAGCACAACCCTTCTTTTGGAGAACCCGAAAAAGCAACAGCTACCTTTCCCTCCTCCTCCTCCTCCTCTTTTTTTTTTTTGCCCTTTTTCTTTCCTTGTTTGCTAGCGACAAACCACCAACGAATCGCAACAACTAAAAAAATAAAATAAAACCCCACCCCACTCCTCAACCATACCTGCTCTCTCCCAACATAAGGAATGAACGACCATTTGCTTGGCTCGGAATTACTTGCTGACGACTTTGATCAGCTTAGTCTGAACCACTTGTCCAAGAGCTCCCCGTCTGCCTTTCAGGTGAAACGGTCGCGCAGCAGCAGCAAGCACCCACGCGCAGCCCTGGGTCGCAATAATAGCAATACAAATACAAGCAGCAATAAACGTAAGAGAGTCTTCCCTTCTTTTGTGCATAGTGTGTCTATACGCATCGTTCTAATAACCCGGCTGTGTGTTCTATTACCAGAATCCAACCTTTCGCACGTACCGTGCAAGTTCTTCAAACAAGGTACCTGCACTGCCGGCGCCAATTGTGTCTTCTCCCACAGCCAAGACTTGACGTCCGAGTCGGCTGTATGCAAGTACTTTATCAAGGGCAACTGCAAATTTGGTTCCAAATGCGCCCTGCTCCACACCTTGTCGCCTGTAGAAAACACTGGCCGAACCAAGCTGTTCCAGCATGGTACATCGGCAGCAGCAGCGGCAACAAGACGCAAAATGCATGCAAGTACGAGTACGACGACGACCAGTGCAAGCAATTACTTGTTGGTTGCATCCCCGCCTGACCCAAGACCACATCTCAATCTCACACGTGACGAGTCTAGAAGCAGCAACAACAGCAGCAGCAGCAGCAGCTATGGCAACAACAACAATAATAGTAATTACAGTTATGGCAATAGCGAGCTGACGGCAGCCATCAGGCAACAGAGCTCGGGCATGATGTTCGGCACTGCCTCTGCTTCGGCGCCCAATGCAGATCCATCGCCTCTGGCCAACAATTTCGAGAAAAAGTATCTACTGTCACCTCCGCACTATGCACCCTCACACAGCAGTCTGTTGAATCCACAGCATCACAGACGCACATTCTCCCAGCAATATAGGGAAGAGCAACAACAACAACAACAACAACAGCAGCAGCATCATCGTCAGCAGCAGCAGCAGCATCGCCAGGAGCAACAGGAGGAAGAGGAAGAGGAGGATGAGGATGTCTTGTTGCCAGCGTCGTTGAACGACCTGCTGACACCGGCAGAGTTGAGCCGATCCATGAGGGATCGGATGCTGAATCATCATCCGTCGACGTCCTTGTCGTATCACAATAACAGGTCGCCACTTGGATTATCCCCGTTTGATATGCCTCCAGCACCGCCACCAACCATGCAATCGTCGTCTTGGCATGTTCCATTTGTGCCAAACAGAACATCGTCTTCGTTTTCTGCTGCTGCTGCTGCTGCTGCTACCACCACAACAACAACGTCGTCAACGACACCCACTGCTGAAGAAGAGCTATTACAACAGACGTCGTCGTCGATCCAGGCCATTAATATCCCGGGCGACAGCAGTCATCATCGCAACACAGGTGCTGCACTGCTCCAGCGAGCATCGCCCTCGGATGAAGACGATGAATTCTCACCGTTTGCCAATAATGGCGATGACGATACCCAGTTCTTTTTCATGCCGGATGATGTTACGACAAACGAGCAGCAACAGCCAAAGACGCCTACAGGAGCAGGTCATCATTTCCAAAGAATGCTTTCAGCACCCGTACCTTTCTCGTCTCTGCTACACAACAGTGTGCCCAGGTCATAATAATTAAAATTCTCAACGGCAGTGAGTAAGCGCAGCAGTAGTGCTGAACAGCATGTATTATATAAAAAAATGTATTCTTCTTCCTCACCCTTATTCAAGCCCCCAAAAAGTGATACCGCTAAACCTTTACCCCCATCTCTCCTCTCTTTTGTTACCCTTTTATACGACGAAACCCGCTTCTACCCATTCCCAAAAGTTGACTGCTGCAGCAGTTACTATCATTTGAGCACTGAACTGCTGCTATTATAGCCAATGCTAGTAGTATAGCACAGGAAAAAACACACACACACTTGTCATTTACCCTTTCAAAAAAAAAAAAAGAACCCCACACCATTATATATTATAAAATACGATCCAAAGCTTTTATAAACAACACTAGATGAGATAGACCCACGGGGGACTACCTCAGTCAGCTAGCGATGTAGTGTGTCAATGCCTGTTTGGCCTGCGTGATGTAATCATGAAGGGGCATCAGAGAAGGATGATCCGCGATGGGGCCATGCAAAGCCGAGTGGAAATCGATCATGTTAATGCGGGCCAACAAATCGGAACCCAGCGGCAGCTGCAGGATCTTTTCCTGGATCTGGCGACGATGCTTTTGGGCATTCGCATCATGATCAAACGCCGACGACCGGACCGTGCGGATCTTTGCGTCCCATGCTACATCGTCCTTGATCAGGTCCGTCAGGTAGTTGACATGGTCACGGAGACAGTCGTCTGTAAATAATCCCTTGTGGATTTCCTTGAGGATCCTGTTGAATTGTTTCTTGTACGTAGGGATCTGCATGATGTGTTGAAACAACGGTCGGTCGTGGTGGAGTAACCCATAGCGATCCAGTGCTTGGTTCTTCTTTTGTTCTTCAAACATGCTGTTGCCCATCGTCTGGTCAAGGTCAGCTGTCATCCACACGAGCTTCTGGGTCGTCGGATGGTAGTATAGAAAGTAGTTGTGTGCGGCACCGAGGTACCCGTCCACATGACCCATTACCACTTCGAATGCCATACTGTTTGATTCAAAATAAGCCGTTTTTGCTGGTGAGTTTACAAAGTTTGAGAAGGGGCTTGAAAAAGACATACTTTTTCAGGAACATGTCAACGTCAAACCGTTCTTCCCACTCTTGCTCGTCTGTGCTATGGGTGGCAATAAACTCCAAGAACTCAATCAATCGCGTCAGTCCCGGTGGCTCTTCTGGATCTGATGACTCTTGTCGGATCCTATAAAGGGCTGTCCTACTACTACTACTGCTGCTGCTGCTGATGGCTATTGAGTTGTTTGCTGTGGCGTCCATGTCATTAATAGTAGTACTCATAGCAACATCATAATCGGATGCAAGTGGCCCGCGGTAAGCCAGATTCGCGCTTGGTGTTTCAGGATTCGTAAAATTCTCTGCAATGTCGCCTTGGTAGAGCACGCCATGCTTGTACTTGTTCTTCTTGTTGCCCAGTGTCGCTTTGCTACCCCCAAAAGTGTTTTTGAGAAACGGGTTCTTGTAATTGTCCACCATGACGTAAAGTCCCAGTGGCTCATTGTTGACAAACAATCTAAAGATCATAAACAAAACCGATGGGCTATATTGTAAGTAAACCAAGCAACAAACAAATAAAGTTTTGCTTTTTTTTTACCTAACATAGGATGCACGTGATGCGGGCAATCCAGCAGCCCCAAGGACATCATAATACATCTTTTCCCGAATAAACGAAGGATCGGTCACGCTAGCACGTAGCTTGAATTTACGATACCCACCGAGTCCGCCTTCTTCCTTGGCAATATGCATACTATAGGAGAATTTTTCAAACAGCCGTGATGTTTGTCCACTCAAATGGATGCGGACGTGTTCAAAACGATGGAAATCGCGACCGGTGATGTGGGACACTGTCGCATTGATAGCAAAGTCATCGAGGTAATTGTCGTACAGTTCTTGCAGATCTTCGGCGTTCGCTTGCACATGCAGTGTTGGAATTTCGTTGGACGGATGGCATACTTGTCCCTCGTCGTCATCGTCTCGATAAAACGTGGATGTGCTAAAGAAGGACGAGGGTAATTGATGTGATTGTTGCTGCTGTTGCAATGATGATCTTCTTTGTTGTTGACGGTTATAAAAGTCGTGTGTTGAGTCAAATGAAGATGGATCACGCTCGAATTCTTCTTGGTCAATGATGAGCAAAGGAAGATTGTTGTCTTGTTGTTGTTGTTGTTGCTGTGGCTGGTCGAGCACGACGTAGCGGTATGGCATTGAGGAAGGTGCAGTGCCAATGTGTAGTAGTGGATCAAGACTGGATTGTGTGAGAATGTAAACGGAAGTATTGTGAAGCTGGATCGCCATAGATTGAGTGCTACTTGTCAATGGATGTATGACCTTGAACGAGGCTACTTTATTCTCATTGTCAGCGCTTGTTGTAAAAGTAGCAGCAGCACCAGCAATGATCACATTGATATGCCAAAAGAAGGAGGAAACTAAGAAAACGGGAAGCGGGTTTCCGTAAATGCATGTCAATACATTTTGTGTAATTCATCTGTTGTGTTACGCTTACCGTAAACCCAGACTAGCCTCATTCAAACAAATGGTGGGAATTAAGGAAAGATAAAGAAGACGTAGAAACCTATGTAATGAAGCTTTAAGGTTGTCTTTTTTTTGGGAAGAATATAAGAATAAAAGTGTCCTCATCTGTCATCGAGAACAGAGTCCTGGAGTAGAGAAAAGATCCATTTGTTGATTATTATTATCCTTGGTCCAGTATTGAAGAATACCAATTGATCTAGCCTTCTCCAATGAGCCGTCGCTAGGCACACCCACGTGTTTGATCCATTGAAATTTTACGTATGTGTGTAGTAAAAAACAACAACAACAACATATGAAAGAGGGAACTCTATTGTTGCTTATCAGGATCATAAAAAGAAAATCAAGGTATATAGTGTTTGTGTGGAAAACAACAGAGATAAAGAGAGTCTAGATAAGTGATCCCATTTCCCGCAAGTTGAAACCAGCAACAGACGCGGGACAGTGGGACGGTGATAACATGAAAAAGTATACTAGGTTGTGTGGTTGGTTGGTTGGTTGGTTGGTTGGGTGTAAAGATAAAATAGTAGTAATAGACGGAAAACAATATAAATATAATGTGTAATATGTACAAAAAACGTGTTAGCTCTTCTCTTCTTCATAATCAGAACATGCGAAATTCATTATTGCTCCATTCAGGACGTTGTGTAAGTCGTGCAGAGCCAAACGTAGCCGTCGGATCGACCATGGACGCAGATTCACGATCTGTGATTGTACGTTTCATGGGTCGTCGATTACTACCAAACTCTTCCGCCATAGAAGGCGGTGGAGATGATATTAGGGAATTTTGTAACGACGGCGACGAAATATCAAACGCTGGCGATGTTGGTAAAAGTTCAGGGTCGACGCTAATCACGGCTGATAATGGACAATGGTCGTTTGTCATTGTTGTGGCTGTGGTATGTTGAGCAAGTTGATGTGTCGATGAACTACGTCTTTCGTTGTTGTGATTGATCCCATTGTTATTGTTGTGGATATGGGTGCTGTCACCGTCCGGCGGTGCCGCAAAAGAATCTGGTATTTTGAGCGAAACGTTTAAATAGTCATTATTGTGATTATGATCATGCGGTGGCGATCGATGTTTGTGATCGTCGCTGGGCAGTCGAACTGCCATGCCACAGTGTTCGCAGAACGCTTGGTTGGACAATCGTGTATAATCGACGCGTAAGGCTTCAACGAGTAACGTAGACTCAAACAATGAAAAGTAAACAGTAAATGCCTGTATAAATTGCAAGTTAGTTTGTTTTTGAAATATGCTATGGACCCCAGAAATAAAACTTACATCAGATCTGTTACCCAGAAACACAGTAACTTTGAGTAAATTCATGGCCAAGTTGACAATAAATGTCAGAATAAGACACCAAAGTGATTTACGAGCAATGTGTTCAATGACGCGGTTTTGTCGGCTCATGACTTTTTTCGACGTTCGGATATGTAGATTCAACCTGATACAAAAAGTGAATTTTAAAGGGTGATAGTGAGTAAAACGCGGGTAGAACGGGAGCAGACAGAGCGTGCGAATCTTTGTACAACCCTCAATAGCAGGGACTCTTACCTTCGAACAAACATGCCACTCAAAAATAGATTAGCTAAAATGTCGCTAATAAAGCTGAGGATGCTGACACCATTGCCCCTATAGAAGGTTTTTTTATATATATTAATAATCGATCCCGCCATTTCCCACATGGGAGAAGAAGGGGGCTGGAGATGTAAAAAGGAGAGAGAGAAGCGTATGTCATCATGTAAGGGTTATTTTGTTTCATATGCAAACGTACCATTCGGCCCAACATGTTCCGCCTTGTATCACCGGCTGCTTCATTAATCGAGCTTGAAGCGGAACATAGGCAAGTTCAAACGGCCATACTGAAAACCGGAGCAAAATCAGCAAAACACCGACTACCTTGATCCATCGTGAATGGAAATCAGGTTCCAGAATAATGAGTCGCATGAACATGACAACGTAGAATAACATGTAATCTAGAATGTTTCGTTAATGTCAAAAAGTCGTCTGCTTCTGCTTCTTTTTTTTTTTGGGTATTTCGTATGATATTTACTCAAGTGCCATAGTCTGTTATTAGAACCAAGAAAACCATATACATAACGATGAGTTCCCTTCCCGCAACAACACATGTTGTCTTTTATTATATACAGAAGAGAAAAAAAAAGACTTACGAGACGAGGAGGGGAAAATACGCGCAGGTTTGAATCTCAAAGAGAGGAATGATGCCATACAAGACCTTGTGGACCAAAAAGACTGCGACCTGAGCCATATTGGCAACATGGCTGATACAAGGGGAGGAAATAACACCAGCATTATTCAGTACACAAAGTTGTCAAATGGGGGAAGAGAGGGTGCGTTTGCTTACATTTTCCCTCGAGTACGTCGATATTGTCGGTAGCAGACTTTAAAGTTTCGTATAGCGATCACCATGGCAATCCACATACCAACCATGTTGATACGGTCCACAACTCTTTCACCATATGCTGTAAGTTGAATCATTGTTGCTGGTGACAGTAGTAGTAGTAGTACTAGTAGTAGTGCTGATAGTTATGGTGAATCGACAGAAACATTCGCCCCCTTATTGTACCGTTTCGTCGTTTCGTTTCGTTCGTCTTTCGTTGCTTTTCCTTAAAAAAAACCGGGTATAATCGCAGCGATCGCTTGTTCTTCTAGTATTCTTTTTATCGAGTTGAACCGAAAAAGAAAGAAAAAGAGAGAGAGATTGAAAAGCGAGAAGGGTGGTGGAAAGTGATGAAGTTTTCCGAGTAGTTTTGTCGTCTTTGTCTTTTGATAAGTAGGTATAAAATTTGGGAAAAGAAAAGAAGAAATAAGCTTCAACGTTATTCTTCTTTTTTTTTTTTCCTGGTGTTTCTGAGTCTGAGAAGGAAAATCTCTCTCTTCATCCCGTCCATTAAAATTGGGACTTTTTGGATGCTTTTGCTGGCACAAAAAAAAAAACAGAGTTCTGGTGGCTCCCAATTGAGCTGATGTATGTGTGTTCACACGGGGGGGAGGGGGATGACGGGGAGAAATGGGATTCCACTGACCCAGGAAAAAAAGCCCAACGACATCGTTAGATAATTTCGAGGTAATGGCTAGTAGTAGTGATAATCGCTCCCTTTCGCTCTCTTGTATAATGTTATTATACGACATGTTACCAATGGTCTCTTGACATCTCCCCCTCCCCTCTGGCAAAATAAAAGTATGTAGTATGCACGCTACTGTATCAATACATGACCGGAAAGCATGAAATACTATAAGAATGAGGCGTGCATGCATACATATCACCATTACAGATCATGTCATCGACACTTGCTGCTTGGCCTTTTAATGGGTGCTTTTTTTTCTTTTTACCCCGTGTGGCGGATGCTGAAAAAGATGAAACCACGTATTCCCCGCCTGCCAACCCACCAGTTACACTGATAAATGAAATAATAGACAACTGGGGAGGCGAATTAACATTTATTGTTGCTGGGCAAGAAAAAAAAAAGCTTCTTTTTAGAGATGGTTTTTTTTACGTCATTGGATGTGTTCCAACTTTAAACCTCTTTCTTTCCCGTTTTCTGAATATTCACCACTAATTCCCACCCCTTAACCCGCTATTCTGTTGCTCTAGAGTGAAGGAGATCAACTCATTCGCGGGACTGACCGAGTAATGCAAATGAAAACTCGCGTTCCTAAGACAACGAAAACACTATAACAGAACAAGGACAGGGTTCATCGTATACTAGTAAAAAAGCACGATGAGATGACGTTGAAGGCAGGGATGATCATATGTGCATATTATAATGACAGCCAACTAAATTAAAACAAAACATTTTGTTGCCGCTGATAAGTCAAAGTTACTCGATGTTGCATGATCTAGTGTTGTTGGAGGTCTTGATTTAGGTAAAATACCACTGCTACTACGACGCTTATGGCTAAATGAGTCGTTTGAATACATAGTTAAATGTCTCTCTATTTAGCCGCCTTTTTAACTGCTCTATCAAAGTGTGTTTGTCAAATAATATTCAGTCTTTTGAATTATCTAAAATGAACAACATCTGATAATACAGTGATCTCAACGGAGACGAGCAGCATAGTCAAAGAAGGTGAGTCTTGGACGACAACAAATGTGTTTCCCAGTACGGCACGGACGAGCGATCCTCTATAGTGCGCCCTTGCAAGTTCAACAGTAAGTGATTAATAGCTGATTTTCCATCTAAATTGTACTGTCAGGGTCAGCATCCATAAAGGTAGACATCCCAAGTTTTTGCTACAACTTCCGACGTGGTTATGGCTCGTATGCTGTGCGAATCCATGTCGTGGCCCTTACATTTAAAGTTTCACAAGGTCACGGACGATACGGCGTCGATACCTCCTCGCAGTAGCTATGAAGGAACTGCTGGATTCGCTCTTCTTGCTGATGTGGAGGAGGTATATACGAGCGTGTGCAACAGGAGCAGCATGCTGTCCGGAATGTCATGGAAACAGGCGCCGACTTTAGTAAGGGACGGTGAACGATATAACAAAAACACCTCCTGTTTATATGGCCTTAGGTTGGCAACAGTTATACACATTCTGGACAGCACCAGAAGTTGACCAATTACCTGTCGATTTCTTAAGTGAAGTAGTGGCTATTTTTACCAAGTTATATATATATGTGCTGTATGTATAGTTTGCAGTGAGCTGTTGCCATACATTGTGTGCTTTGAATGTATTGTTTATGTTTCTGGTTTTGACATATGGGATCAGAGAATGCTAACAGGTCTCGAGACAAGCACAGGTGCCGATGACCACGTGGACAGTAAAAAGTCATGGGAGTGTAGAAGACCGATTGACGAAACTGAAATATAATATTCGTTATCAAAACCGATGACAAGGCAGTGGTCTATAAGCTTGTCTTTTTTTTCTTTGGTTCTAAGCCTGCATATGAATACCTTTTCAAGAAACAGAAACAACGTCTCTTGCTATAGGCAGGCAATAGCTTACCAAATTGGATGATCTGAGCTTTATAATACCCATCCGACAGCGTTGGAGGCACTGATACACGAGGTCAAGATATGGCCATGTCCCACTGAGGCTTGTCCGTTTGGTAAGATCCCCTCGCTAGCAGTTGACGACCGTCTTTCTACGAAATGGACAAAAGAATCAATCTGTTACCCATCATCAATCAAGGGAATGATGTATCGTACTTTTCAAGTATATAGACCGCTACTGGCTTGGTTAGCCATTGTTCTTGTAAATTAGGAAAAAGTGTAATACAAATGGCGACGGTAAGATGCTGTACAAACTCAATTTGAGCTGAGGGCAATTTGCCCAAAACCAGAACGGAAGACAATATGCTTGCAAATGATGCACCAACTTGATAGATAGCTTTTGCAGCCACGGATACAATTATTGACCGATGGCTGGTAAATAGCCTCGGTTGGTAAGTTTTCTGTTCAGTCATACAGCTTTTCCCATACACGGGTAAACATCTGATGCCAACGGGTCGCAGAGCGAGAACGAACAGTATCACGGTTGAACTTGTGACGAAGATTAGGGAAATGTCGCGCAACAATCACGTATACGAGCAAGTCTAGTCGTGCTCGGTTGAATGGGTGCAAATGATTACGTTTCAAAACCTTCCAATGCCCTTCAATCAACATTGTTGTTTTTCCTGCTGGGATACGGTCCGAAATACTACTCGCGCGCCATTTTCTCCAAATAGACGGCTGATACCAATAGCGGTATTATACTGTATGATGGCCATCTTGATGTTCCTGGTGTGTGCACATGCATTATGAGACCTTACGGACTGCGTGTAGCCCGGTCGAGCATCGATGTTTTAATGCGAGCTGCTCTGTGCTATTTAAACAAGAAAAGAGAGACTTGATTTATATTGCTTCCCGATCAAAACCACTCTCTTCCGTCTCTTCTCCTCGTCCACATAAAGCACTTCTTTTCTCACTCCCACTTCTCTTTTAGGGAACGAACGTCACCAACAAAGGTAACGACAAGCACTAGCAGACGCGTAACGAAGGTGACCTGTAGATAAGCAATGTACCAACAACTCCACCAGAACGATGGCCGTAACGTCAACAGCAGCAGCCGCAACAGCGACAAGAATGAAGAGTTCTTTTTGGACGATCATCCTAGAGACAATGCAGATGCACCGCCAGAGTACAAAAACGCATGGACATAGACAGCGAGAGTCTGCTAATCTCGTGGATGTCACACGCGCCTGTACTTTCAAACGCGCGTAAGAGCACAACGTGTAGTGAGGCTTCTGTAAGCATTGTTCCGATTGCCACTTGGAATCACGGATCGCCAATATTGCTTCCCAAAAGACAATGCCCCCGTCATGCGCCATTATCGATAGTCTAGGCCTTGTGTAACCTCAGTGTTGAGTAGAAGAAAAGCGCGTCATCATACTTTAACAAGTGGAGACACTTTGTGAGAGCCATGTAGAAAGACAAGACTAGTGTGTACGTGTAGCCTGAAGTGAGCACATTGCAAAGGGGAATGTCAGTGAGGTTGCATTCCGAATGCCTCGGGAGATGACAGACCCATAGTTCGGCGTGTCCAGAGTGTGCTTGTCGGTGTAACATGGCATCACCTGGGCTGGCAAGTGACGCTGTCAATTTTCTTTTTTTTCCTTTTTTGGATCAGCTGCCCAAGCGAACAGATAAGATATAAAAGCACTGCATGGAAATAATTTCTGCTACTTTGCTCCTCCCTCTCTCTCTCTCTCTCTCTTTCTTTTCTTTAAGATCATGAGAATTGTGACCAAGATTTCGAATGCAAAAAAGTACCCGTGCACAGTGTCGACGAGCATAACGATGAACCGGGATGGCCGCGTCCAAAAGTTTGTCGTTTCAGCCAGGACTACCCGTAGCAGCAGAAGCAGTGGCAGCAGCAGTGACAGTGGCAGTGGCAGCAGCAGTAGCAGTAGCAGCAGTAGCAGCAGTGGCAGCAGTAGCAGCAGTAGCAGCAGTAGCAGCAGTGGCAGCAGTAGCAGCAGTGGCAGCAGTGGCAGCAGTAGCAGCAGTGGCAGTGGCAGTGGCAGCGGTATGTAGTAGTAGCAGTATGTAGATTAATAAAAGCATATTTTTTTTTAAAAAAAAGGCAGCATTGCGCTGTATAAAATCAAAAGATACGTCGCCGTATTTCTGCTGTTACGTACCCGTGTGTGTGTTTTTGAGTGTGTTTTTCAGTAACTTAAGTCATCAGGCATGCGAATGGGCCCACGAGAACTATGGGGACTCAGGCACAGGATATGATTATTAGACGCTAAAGTCGCTTCCCAACTGTTGTGACGTGCTGACTAAAGCATTCATTGGTGGTGAAGACCGTTGGAGTGTCCGATGGATACAAGGGATTATCGCGTATATTCGTTGGTTTGGCCTCGTCGCGGCCAGTAGTAGATGCATTACTCGAGAAATCATTCCGAATGTCATGG